AAGTGATGCAAAAGCAAGCAGTTGCTTGTTATCCTCTCTATAACTACTCATTTCCTCGGATTTTTCTTTCACGATCCAGGTATCCTGCAACTTCCAATCGTTGAGTTCCATTTCTTCAATCTTTTAAACATCCTTCGCTCACAAATGTATATATTGATATCCTCGTCCAGTGATAGTTTTTGTATATCATGCACAATTACACGCTCCGTGTTACAATGAGCACGTGGTGAAACTACTTCCGATTGTCGAAATAATTCCTTGTTTCTGAAGCCAAATCACTCGAGAGTCTACCTAAATAGAGTTATTACATCATAATTCCACATCTGCATCGAGCGGGTATAGAATCTTAAATTTTAAGATATGAAAAAGAAAAGAGAAAAAGGAAAGAAATTTATGAAATCCTTCAGTTAAAAGGCTCGGTATCCTAGAGTTACTTCTCTAATGAGGCCCACGTGTGCCGGCGCGAAATAATACTTTTTACTTTTTCTGAATTTTTGTTTGTCAAATTCTTTTTATTTATATTCTATTGGCTTGTCTCTCGCCGTTTTGCGTTGTTCCTATTGCTTGCCTTACAATTATTGTTTGTCAAACCCATTTTCAATGTGCAGCTTACAGAATCGTCCAGAGATCCCTATGCTGCGTGCACCTTTGCATGAAGAGAGAGAAAGTCATTGTTTGTTCAAACACAGATAAGAACGCGACATTCAATTTTCTTGAATATTCGTCTTTCGTGTATGGACTTCCAATCTACCGGAACGTGGAAAAATTTTCGTACTATGTTACAACAGCAAAAATGGACAACGTTTACGTCGTTGAGCCGAATTTAAATGCTGCCAGCGCACCAAACACAATTGTCGTTTTGGAGCGAAATGAAGAACGCGACCAGTATCCGAACCGTTTGGCCGAGATGTGCAATGAAAAATTGGGATTTGGACAGTGTTTGTGTGGTGGAATCTTGGCGGCTGTGGGTTTTGCGCCGTGCAGAAATGTTCCTCACTGCTCAAGAACCACCGAGATGTGGATCAACATTGCTGGTGGGTTTTTGGTAAGTCCAACGAATTCGTACTATAAAGATAAAGATATTTTTTTCTTGGTACTATATATGACTACTGTAATTCCTCGAAAGCCCCTCAAGTTTTTTAAATTTTGGTGTCATTAATTTTAGTATTTGTAAAGACTAAAGAGTTCTTAAGTTTAACATCACAAAAAGCTATTTTTTGAATTTTTGAATTCTAACAACATAGAATTTTAGAGTTCATATGAATTCTAAAAACGCCACGATTTAATACTTCCAATTATGCAAGATCAGTTTAAATATGTCTAAAATTGGGTGAGATATTGCCAGTGAAAAATTTGAAGTTTGCTAACGAATCACTGCTATTTTGGCTCTGTTCATAAAGTTACGAGCAGAGTCCAAATACACATGATGGGGAAAGAGTAAATGCACACGTGACCATATCTCAGCCAATTCATAACACATTCGACTGATTTTGCAAATTTAGAGGTATTTCGTGATGCTCTTTCAGGTTATGGGAACAAATTTCAAAAAATCTTTAAAATAATTTTTGTCACGTCGCCACCTTAGAACTCTATTGAATTTCATGAATGAGAGGGCTGGTTATCTGCTTCACGTACAGTAGTTTCTATTTTTTTCTGGACGTCTTTCTTGTAAAACGAATTGGATCTTTTCTGAAAAACGTTTTCAATTCAATTTGTGTACCCATGTCTTTAACATTTAAAATTCTGTTATAGTATTTCATCATTGGAATGACTGCTGTTCAAATTTTTAAAAGAAAAGCAACCAAATGCCAAGTGAGTTAAATCTGTACATGCAAAACCATAAATGATACTATGCTAGATATCTGAAGCTGGAGAGTATTTGAAGTTGGGAAAACATATTTCTTTCATTTGGTCCTATTTTCCGTCTCCCCAACAATATTTGCTAGCATTCCTCTTTTGCCGACACATTTGTAAAATGTATTCAGGTTGCTAAATGCATACCTACTATTTTAATTTCCCGCCTTTGATTTTGTCTTCTGCTGACTTAACTCCAGCTTGAGAAATTTCACATAAATTTTGGTAAATGTCAGACCTAAATATATATTCCTTAGATCATTCATTATGTATGCATGTAGTTGTAGTTGAAGTTTCGAAAGCCCCGGGCCAAAACTGAAAGACGAGTTTCCTCCAGATTTGAGGCTCATTTAGATTGGCTTAGAATGCTTTTTAAGATATTTCTTGCATTCATCTTCTTGCAATCGTTTGAAAGTTTTTTCTATTTTTTATGCATGCTTTTGTTACGAAATGTTTTACTATTTCTTAAGCATTATTTTGCAACGTTTGATTAATTCCATTCTTATAATGGAATTATTTTATTTATAAGGCCTCGAGGCCCTAGGGCAATTTGCCCCATCCCTGTCTCCCTTTCGGCATCCCCACCTTTCTCACAGTACTCATAGTTCATCGTTACATGAAAAATATCTTCATTTTTCATAGACAGCACTTCTAGCAGGCTTGAATGCATTTTGTCTCCTAGCCATCGCAGCATTTGTAGTGATTTCCACTTTAAACCTCATAGAATGCTCGGAATCAATGTGCAAGTTTAGTAGAGGACTTGAAATAGCCTTCGCTCCTGTGGCAAGTGTTTTGTCAGTTTGCCAAGTGGTCAGATGCTGGAGAAAGATAAAGACAATTCAGGTGAATATACGAAATCATCATCTTCATCAATTATCATCAAAGACAGTCATAATTTTCATCATCCATGATTATCAACAATTATTGTCAATGTCTGAAGTCAGTCAATCATTACAATCCATTTTATCAACCTATCGCTTAGTTAAATCAACCAATCTCTTAGTTGAATCAACTAATCACGTCAGTACAATCGACCAATCACACTAGTACAATCAGCCAATCACTTCTCTAAGATCAATCAGCCACTTCAATGCAGTCAATCAATCAACCTCTTTGTTGAATCAACCAATCACGTCAGTACAATCGACCATTCGCACTAGTACAATCAGCGAATCGCTGCTCTAAGATCAATCAGCCAATCAATCAATCAATCAATCAGCCAATCAGTCATTAAGCCCAATCCAAGTCAATTATAATTATTTCTATCAGTCATTATTGTCAATCATCATCAGCATATTTTATCATCATCAATCAACATCATTATTATTATCAATATTAATAACCCACGTCATAACTAATTGTTTTCTTTGTCATTATTCAAGCTGCTTTCATCATTTATTATCATCCAAATCTCATTTGTATTTTTAACAGATACATGAAGAAGTTAATAATGATAGCGACAGCGTTATCAGCAACGAGCAGTCAATGACGACACCAATCATAATGCAGGACAGCCTTCAATCAAGTACGTCAGTCCCCGAATCTCAAATCGCAGAGCGCTGCAGAGGAACATCGGGATTTCCTCAAGGACCACCTCCTCCATATGAATAAAGATTCTAGAGAAGACCAGGACGATGACGTAAGAATCTGACAGTTTGTGATACTGCATAAACGAAAGAGGTCGTTTCCATATTTATTAGTGATTTATTTGTATACGATTTTTTGTATACGCAGTAATAATTTATTGAGAGATACACTGTATCTTTGGTTGATTACGAAAAGATGAGTCCCTTTCCTATGAACGAACGAAGGAAAGAGGGGATTTTCTTACCAAGATGCAAAACTTTGGAACAATGTTTATAATGGGGCTAGAAGAAGCTCTAGTTTTCGCTAAAAATAATGTTTTCACCATTGTAACTTCTTTTAGATCTAGTTTAACTTGTATTAGTAATTGATTCTTTTTTGTATGTAGACGAGTCCTTTGACTAAGGGGGTATTACGTTTAAAAAATAAAGTGAAATAAAAATGAAGCTATTTTTGTTTACCAAGATAAAATTCACTTGTTTTATCTTGGTATTACGTATCAAGAATGCAATGTTATGATAATATTTTTCAGTTTATAGCATGAATTTTTACAGTATATTCTAAATTATGATATTAATAAATTTGTAGCCGTAGCTATTTAGAATCAATGAGAATATCCGTTTAACCGCGAGATGCTCCAAGGTTCCTATCTTGCCCCAATTTTGATACTGTAGTCATTGTGGTTGCTTTTGTATTCAAATTGCCCTTGCTCAAGGAGACTCACGAATAAAGTGTAAATGAATAGACCATTGATCAATATTTTTGAAAGGAAGAATCCAAATGAACCGTTTAAATTTCAAGGATGCAATGTAGGGTAAATGGTTTTTGATTTTTTCTAAGCTTCCTCTGCTATTTTTAAGGACACTGAGAATCTCAGCCTATGCTTATCGAGCAGTGTCCTAGTCATTCTTCTCGATGTGACCATACCTCGTGATTCCTACAAATTGTTGGCGGCTACCTCAGGGCCACATTAAAAATTTTGGGCATGGAACATCATAGGGGCGTGTAGACGTGTGTACCCGATAATGTGGTAATGGCTGCAGATAGGCCTGAGCTAAGATATTTTTGTCAAAAATTGATGTTGATCGTGTGTTATACATATGTTACAGATGAAAATTGACCATGCTAGAAAATTTTGGGGCTTTCTAATGCTATAGGCTCTGGGCACAGTACCCAGTGTGCCCTGTAGGTTGGTGCGACCTTGGGCTATCTTAACAAGGTTTCGAATGCTATGCTCTTTGACCTGTAGTCTTTGACCCTGACTGTTGAGCCAAGGTATCCTAGGGAAAGTTCCAAAAAACGATTCCCCAAAGTAAATTTATCATTGTATAACCAAGTAAATGTCATTGTATTCTTTGTATTCTAGAAAAGAATTTCTAAATGACAATTGTGAGTCAAATAAAATTTAAGCATGATAACAGGTTTTTGTCTTGTCTTGTGCCAAATGTTTCTGTGATCTGTTGAGCTAGTTCAAAGCGTATGGATACATTTCTATCAGTACTTAAGATGCTGTCAATTAAAATAACTAAGTTTCCGTAAAGCTGTATTGTGACGTTGGATAATCAATAACTTCGCCGGAGATGACTGTATGTCCAGGACCCAGATTGTAAAGTCTGGTCTGCGCGGGGAATGTGTTCCGCCCGCGCATTATTAAGAATCTGCCGTAGATTCCGCGCAAAATATTTGTTTATCTGGTCATGTTCCCCTCGAATATTCCACCATTTAAACTTCTGACTTCTGATAACAAGAAAAAACAACGAATACAAGGTCTCTTCAAAAGTCTTTGCTTCAAATTCCGCGCACGATTTCGCGGGAAGTGTTCGTTGTCCGCAAATTTCGTAACCATCTATGTCTTCGTCTGTATATTTTTCTATTGATGACCCTCCACCCCCCTAGTCTGGAAGATCAAGCGACGCCACTGCGGGTAAGCAAATAGCTGTACTTACTACAGAATAGGAATAAACAGAATATTTCTTCTCTGAGGCCGTAGTTCATTGTGAAAGGAACATAAAGATGGAAAGGAACTGTGCACTCTACTAGTCCCCTAAACAATCACCCTACGTCATTGTACGTGATCGATTACATGAAAAAACACAATGGCTCTTTGTTCACCTTGTGACCTTCCTGAATATTCGAATTTTGTAATTAGTCTCGGGTCTAAAAATTTGTGTTATTCACACAAACAAAGTCAAACGAAATGGACAACATTTATTTTGTTGAACCAAATTCTAATTCGGTTATTTCACACGAGCATCCTGCGAGAACGCCGGATATTGTTGTTGTTGTCAGGAGAAATTGGGAGGGAGAAACTGACTGTTCAAGAATCCGGAACGAAAAGATTGCAGCAGGCCAGTTTGCATGTGGCGTGCTAATGTTTGTTGTCGGTATACTGCAGTTCACTTCCATGCCGGATAATTCAGACGATTTCAAATTTTATTTGCTTTTACTTGGAGGAAATATTGTAAGTGCAAAAATAAATTCGAATAAGTTGGTTCCTCTGTATCATAACTTTTTAAAGTTTCCCGCATCATACTTTTTTCCACTGGTGACAAGGGCCGCCAAGAAGAGGGGGCAAGTGGGGCAAATTGCCCCAGGGCCTTTTAAATGAAATTAATTAAAAGTAACAGAATTATGCGTAAGAAATAAAGCGTTTTAAACGATTTCAAAAAATTTATGAATTAAAGATTGTATAAAGGGCATGATCGCATCCTGGGGCTCGTCTTTGAATTTTGCCCCAGGGCCTCCAAAACCTCTTGGCGGCCCTGTTGATTCCAAGTGGAGGCAGATTTTGCACCTAGTGTATTTCGACAAGTTCAAGAAGGACAAGGCATCATAAAAGTCAGGTGCAGAAGGAAAAATGATCTCATTAAAAGCTGTCATTTTAAAGGTAGTTTTACTTTCTCCAAGTTACAGGCAGGGACCGATTCAAGCAACTATGATTGGGGAGAGGGAGTGTTAAATACTAATTGGATTTTTGTGGCACACCCTTCAGGTCACTGAAATTATGGGAACGCCCATTTTGAAAATTCGTTGTTTTGTCTTGGCGTTATTTTGTTACTACTGGCTACTAAAAAATGATATTTACCGAATGGAAGCAAAATTTACCGAAGGACACAGAAATATTGGCGGGTTTTACACCCCTACACCCCCCCTCCCCCCCACTAAATGCATCCCTGGTCACAAGTCATATCTCTGAGATTAAAATCTTCCGTGCTTGGCACTAATCTGCACTTATAGAAACTTGGTGCACGTAACTGTTTCCGTCCTTGTGGGTTGTATTGCCGTTTTCTTTCCTCGTTTTTGACTGGCCAATAGTTCATTGACAGATGGCTAAAGCAACTTTAAGACCTGTCGATTGCCTCAATCTGTAGATACGGACCATCCGTCCGTACGGTTTTTTCCCTGCCCGTATTGAAAGGACTGTAGAAAATGTCAAACTAGTAGTTGGGTACCAACAGTCAGATAGTCTTAGAAACAGAATTTAACACATTTCAGAATGTGAAGAACATTCAAAGTCTTCCACCAAGGGTATAGATGGCTCTATACAGTACTGTCGAAAAGGGGGGGGTAGCTGGGGGTAAATTGCCGGGTCTCAAATTCGAAAGCACAAGGGCCCGTCTTGCTTATAGCCCCAGGGCCAGAGCTGGCTGTTGACAGTCTTGGGTCTGAACAAAATCTCCAATAAAGAAAAGAAAGGATGTTTGGAGGCGATGTTCCCAATTGGAGTAGTATAATCTTGCCCTAAAAATGCGACACATTTTGACAAAATTAAGCACCCCAACCTTTGTTTGAAATATCTAAACCCCATGTAAATAAAATGTTTCCTTTGCATATGACTTTCAACATGTTTTGCAACTTTTTTAGCTATACGCAGTTGGAATAGCGGCCTTTATAATTTCAAGAAGAAAACAAAGCAAATGCAAGGTGAGTTGATTTAGTCTCTTATTCATTAAATGAAGTAGCATACAATGAATTACTTCAAAATTTTCTTGGGCAGGGACGTCCCGACCGCGGTGATGTTGGGGGTGACACCCCCCCCCCCTCCAACTCTGCCGCTCAGCAATTTTTCAGATAGAAACTTATGCATCACCAGATAAAATTCAAATCAGGAAGGAGCAAATGAACCAGAGATTTCGCAACCGTTTCTTTTTACGAAGCTACAAAGAGTTTGTGCAATTATAAATATGAAACACTCTATAGGAAATTATATATGAATAAACAGTACATCATGCCTGTGCTAATACATGCCCCTCTCATCTGGGCACACTACTTCAACAACAAACTGGATCCCAGATCTCTGACCTTTTGGCTACCATAAGCACGGGGCATGAGCGATTCTGGACCCTTTAAAACCGCCATCGAGCCCGTAAATTATGTGAAATATAACACATCTAGCACATTTCCACTGAAGTGCAGCCCTTTATTTGTCATTATCTCTAATAATTAATTAAAAGTTATTTGCTTCAAAGCAAAGCTAGAGCTGGTAAGACAATATTTTGTAAAAATGATTATCAATTCTGTAATGTTGAATTTCTCAGTGTCAAAATTTCTGTGTGATTCTAAAGTCAAATCTATTTTCTCTTCAAGTTTGGAATCCTATTTTGCTTGAACGTATTCTGTGTACTGCTTATGACAGCAGTGGCAGTATCTAGTCCGCTCAATATTATTGCTTGTAAGCGAGTGTTGTGCCAACTGTCCAGTGCAATTGCTATCGTACTTGGTTTCATTGGAGCCACATTATCAGCATTTAAATCTCATAACCTCTGGATAAAACTCCGAACAGAAGAGGCATGTATAAATCTACTGTAATATAATCGTCATTATCAACAATTATTAAAGGGTATGGGGGTTGCGTTGTGCGTTACCCCCGTAATATTTTTTGTCATTTGCTCAATTTTGCTTTGATTCTTTAAAGAGATTTTTTGGCAGTAAAACGTGGTTAAATGACGCCAAATTTTAAATAGATCTATCTTCTTATATTCTTTATCATATAGTCTAAAATGGAAACGTTTTCCCTATAAGATGATATTTTCTTTCATTTTCCAAGGATCTGAAAAGTGTGGTACCAAAATCCATAAATTATCTAACACCCCTCTTTCGTTGCTTATAAAATGTATCCCTGATTTATTAATAATCACCATCGGTCATTATCATCAATCCTGGGCTGCAAGTTTTCCCAAAGGGGGCCCAAGTTCTCCTACAGGGGTCACAAGCTCTCCTACAGGGGTGCAAGTTCTTTCAACAGTACTTTACTTTTTACCTTTTAAAACTATATTGATTAGCCATAGCATTAATCTAATATCTTTTGTAAAAGGCTTTAAATTTTAGTAATGCTGTAACAGGTTCTATACTGTAAACGACCCTTAAATGTATATATATTCTCCGTTAAATTTAATTAGCAATTAATTTTTGTAACTCTTGTGATTTAAACATCTTTAGGTTGAAAAACACCAGGAAAAACAGCTATGATTAAGGGCTAGCGTCTTTAGAAAAATAAGAATATTATTATTATCAGTAATCCTCATCATAAATCATATTTATCACCAAAGCTCTTCAGTGATTCTTATTATGTTGTTTGAAATAACAATTTCTTCCTGTCTTTGATTAATAATCCAAACTCTTTCATATCTTTAACAGTTCGAGGAAGACAACGGCATCGTTATCAGCAACGGGCAGTCAATGACGACACCAATCATAATGCAGGACAGCCTTCGTTCAAGTATGTCAGCCCCCGAATCTCAAATTGCAGAGCGCTGGAGAGGGTTGTCAATTCCCCCAGAACTAATCAGCGGCCTGGAAGAGGCCCCTCCACCATATGAAGAAGTTTTTAGAAGGACGTGAACATGACATCAACATATAAAATAGAGGTTGTTGGTATTTTATGTAAAATTTGATATTAATCTGTACGTAATAAGTTATATTTTGCGTGTATGTAGAAATAATAATAATAATTATTATAGTAATATTTCATATTTATACAGGTTATTTTGTTCAGTAGGTAAATTACTGTTATAAACCAAAAACCTGTGTGTTACAAATTAATATTAATAAATGTAAAAGTTAAAAATTCACATGCGTAAAAGCTAAAATATTTGCAGGATTAAAAATTACAATCAAGAAAATGACTCAAAATCTAAGTTTGTGTCCTTGCTGGATGCTTTGAATCTCAAAAATGATGATTCAGTTTGCATGTTATTGGGTAGGTTATTGAAAAACTTTGCTCCCTGGAACAAGAAGGTTTTACGCCCAGTTTCTGGACTTCCTTTTTGGAAGACACAACATTTGTTATTTTTGCGAGTATTTATTTTGTGATTGTTCCTTGTGATATAATGTTTGAATGATTTTGGTGTTATGCCGTTTAAGCATTTAAAAACTTCGAATGCACATAATCTGTTTCGAACATGATTCATCCGTGGAAGCTTGACATCACTGTTTCTATTTCCATTGGTGATACGCCTTGTTCTTCTTTGAAAGGTCTCAAATCTTTGTTTCTTCGATTGAGTCATGCCAACAAAGACATTTGAAAAGAAGGGCATGACAGGAAGGATCATCACTTTATAGATGACTTCTGCCGTGTGTGGACTGATGTTTTGTCGCACTCGTTGTAGAAGCTTGATTCTTGATGAAATCTTTTTTAATTTCTTATCGAAATGATCGTTGAAATTAAAGTTTTTATCCAGTGTCATCCCTAAATATTCACAACTTTGAATTCAGTGATGTTTTTTTGTTCTATCTTTATCTCTAGTGATTTTGATGTTCTCTGACCTGTTCCGAATAGGACTCATTCAGTCTTTGTCGTTTTCAAATTAGCGACTAACTTGTTTTTGGGTGAGCCATTGAGCAACTTGGTCACTGTCGTTATTCAATTGACTCTCGATGTTGTTATAGTTTTTGTGTGCACTTTAAATGACTCCATCATCAGCGTATAAGATGATTTCACAATGGTTTAGTTGAAGGTAAACATCATTAATTAGCAAGTGAACAATAGCGGTCCTAAAATGGATCCTTGAGGAACTCCAAAGAGCACAGATTGAGTTCCAGACTTGACTCCAACAAATTTTTTCCTGTCAAACAAGTAGTTGTCAAACCATTTCAGTTCTATATGATTGATTCCATTCAAGGGTAGCTTTCTAAGTACCCTTGAATGGTCCACTGTATCATATGCTGTCCTGAGGACTACAAAAACTGCACCCGTTCATAATCCTTTATCCATGCCTTGTCATATACAAGCAGAAAAGAGGGTCACTGCATGTTGTGTTGATGACTTATTTCTAGAACCAAACTGCCTTTCCGAAAGAAGTGCGTTTTCTTCTAAATAGCTGTTAAGTTGCTTATAAACAATACGTTCGAACATCTTAAATAAAACAAGAAGGCCTGTAACTGTCCGTAAGTAATTGTCCATAAGCGATGTAAAGGAGGTAGTAATTGATTTAGAATTTGATGTAGTAAAACAGAACTTAAGCTAAACTCTTACATTTGATCACCCAATTGTGGGGTCTTGGTTGTCTATGAAATGGTTTCTAGCAAAAATCGTTGAAAATATGCTCTTACATGCAGCAGCGTCCCAAAGGACCTTTGACCTTTAAGTGGGTGGGAGAAGGGGGGAGTTGGAGTCAGGCACCGCGCAGCCATTGGGCTAGCAGGGGCTATAGCCCCTCCACTTTTTTGCAATGATAGATTAAAAAACTTTTTGGAATGTTTACTCTAACTATGCTCTAACGCAACATTGCCTAAGTAGTAGCAGTTTTTCCTAACTGGGAACCATTTTTGTTCATTTTCTAGATGTTTGTTTTGCTGTTTGTCATCCCCAAGCTAATTTTATCTATCTTAATAGCTATTGATATCTTCTCTGATCCAGATTGTCTATAAAACCCCATAGAAATAAGCCGGTATTTTTAAAAAGGGGCGTTTTCGGCGTTCTAGCGGGCGTGACCTCAAAACTTTTTCTGTCACGCCTTTCAGCCCTCCCATATTTAAACTGGTGCTCGGTCCCTGGTTGGAGTATACAAAAGGAAATTTACCAGCAGGTTTTTATTTAAAAATTTTAAATTGTATTGTATGGTTTTTTGTAACATAGAGAAACCTGGTTGCATTTTGCTGTTGTTACTAAACTGTACAGCAAGTTATTTCACAATTACCAGCAAGCCAGGCACTAAAAATTATCTCCGAAGGCTTTTTTCGGAATTGAGGGGTGCTAGAAAAATAAGCCTAAGTCTGTAGCAGCCATCAGGGGGTATTGTTTGCATCAACACAAACTTTTTCTGTCAATGGCTTCAGCTTCAAGGGCCTTGATCATTGATCAATGAGCTTTAGACTGAAGCCCTGTGAAGGAGGCTCCTCAATGTGAGCATGCGTTGGGCCTTGCAAATAAGCATGGGAATGGAATGGAGTGTGTTTGACGACATTTCGACAACATGTACCTTTAAATCTGTGCTTATAGCATGTTAAAAGAATTGGCCTATTGAAAGTAAATGATCTGTTTTTTAAAATATGTATCTTATAAAGATCATGGTGTTTTGTATAGATGGGTGATTGGCTGGGAGCTCATTTTGCCTAATTAACGATCTCCAGCAAATTTAATGGACCCTAAAATGTCTAATCTAGGCATAGGCTTAACGAGTGCAGGGGCAGATGGACAGCAAGGTATACATTTGTTATTATTTCATTGTGATTTTGTTTGATTGCATGCCTGGATCTTTCGAGTTTATAGATTTCAGTTGTACATGGGCCAAATATCTGATGTGTTTTTATTTAGTGTAATAGGCCTACCAACCTACATGGGAATATCGTGTAACGGTAAACATTTCTCGTGTCCGTCATGGTTTGGGTTTCTAAAATTAGGATATCGAAATCAATTTGTCTCCACACCTGTGTCAAATATTTACTGAGAATGGATTTTTCACGCTTTGTGCCAAGGGGGTGGGGGCAAAAAACCAACTTTGGATGCTCATAGTTAAGACTTTGAGTTTTTCTAGAAAAATCAAACTGCTTACCTGCGATCTCCTCCCTAAGTTTATCTTCTTTTTAAAATATATTTAATTTATGATAAATTATTATGTTTAGGGTATTTTGATCCTAACAAAAAGATTAAAACCGAAGATACAAGCTCTGGTGATGAAGCAAGAAGTCCGGAGCCTTTAAGAAAGTATAAGAAAATGCTGAAGCCAATGTATGTCAAGATAGAACCTCTAAATGAGAAACAGAAAGCAAAGTGCACATCTGTGGCCCCAAGGTATGTATTTACAAAACTGAAAGCTAAGCATACAGATTTGCTAAGTATTTAACGTCCAATTGAGGCTGTCATATTAGAAGAAGCTAAATTAAGAATAGGTGCTTATGATATTATGAGATGTAATCTTTGGTCTTATATGTCAAAAGTGCTGAGATTATATCAAAAAGCAAGATTTAATTTGTTACCACCATACCATGCATTAAAGAGTGACTACAATACAGTTCCATGAGTGAACTGAATTGAAATAAAAACTGGAGAAATCATTTTTACCTATTTGCATACACTTTACTTTTTAGGACAGTATTAGCGAAAAAATCAGCAACAAGCAGTTTAGTAGCTAAGAAGGCAGACAAAACAATGTTATCTAAAAAGAACCCAGCTCCAAAGAGGCCTGTTCAGGCTTCATCAGCCATATCAAGCTCAGCTGATATTGGAGTGACAAAAATTTCAAAGTCAAGTCCAAAAAAGATAACTAGCAAATCATCAAAGAATCTTGAGACATTACCATCATTAGGAAAGAACAGGAAAACTGGAGTTTATACAACATCAAGTCAATCTTCCTTCACCTCACTAAAGTCTGTAAACAGTTCAGTCAAGTCAAACAGTATTGTAAATGGCACACCATCAGTAGCAAGGCAGAAAAATCAAACTGATACAGCCTCGTCTTTGACACCTGATGATCTGCGATACATTATTGGTTCAAAGCCCAACCCATTGAAAATGCAAGCTAATGGAAAATTGTCAACAGATTTAGAAGAGTCATCAGACATGCAAGAGGACATGGATGAGAGTGATAATTTTGATTCAATGTCTATTCATGCTGATGATGATGATCTTTTTGATAACACAGGTCAAAAGGAGGATCTTAACACCCTTGGGAAGCATTTTGAATCATCAGCAAAGTAAGTTATGTTTATTATGATCGAGATCTTCTTTAAACTATTTTAGATTTTTTATTCGGGGAACTATGAAGCTAGGAATGCTTAAAGGCACAATAATATGTGCCATCAAACCTTCCTAAAATAGATGACTATTTACTAGGTGAATATGAATTTCAATACACTTTAGAAGATTTCCATTGTTACAGCTCTTTAGTGTTGTGGATATAAGATAACCTTTAGTAAAATGTTATCTGCTTTTCCTACATTATTTTGAAGTTCAATAGTACAAAAGGCGTGAGTTAATTGCCCTGTGAACGTCATCAGATTAACATTTTCAATTAATCAGCAAATTGGCATGATCTTCCATTGTTTCAGTACACCCTATCACATGTTTTGAGAAAATTTGAATGCCCTTTATTGCTCTATCTAGAAATTTGCCCTTGAATGTTGTTTTAAGCACCATACATTTGATTTCAGTTTTGAGCCACAACATGAGACAACAGAGACAAGAATAATGAACAGCACACTAAGAAAACGGTAAGTATTATTCAAATTCAAATTCAAATTTCTTTTCATTAAGCAACATTTTTACAGCGTGTTTATTAAAAATATATTTACTTATTAAAAATATATTTACTTATAAAATATATATAAAAAATATTTACGTAAGTATTCTGTTTATACCAGTGGTTAGTCTAGACAGGTAGTAAGGGTGCACTTGCACCTGTCAGATTGTAAAGTGGTTCATTTTTCTGTATGAAGAAATAGTACAATATGCCATATGGCAGTCTGCTTCAACGATCATTAAGTCTATAAGATAGTATTACTGTACCAAGCTCCATGTTATGTTATCTAAAAGCCAGACCAGAAATTAAATGAGGATCACAGGTGTCTCCAGTTTTATTCTATGTTGTTGATGTGGTCAGCTAACTCTACTTGCATCTTCCTTCTTCCATCAAATATTTCAAAATTCTAAAGCATTACCTTCAGATTCTTTGCAATATTAAACTGCAGAGCAGAACCTATATCAAATTTGGGCTCTTCCTTGCACCTATGGGGATTTGTCATTACTCTGTTATTTCAGGGGAATTTGTAGGGGTTGGAATTTTGATGAGTTGCGGATCACGTTTGGAAATACAAGACATATTCAAATTCACATACAAGACATTCTGGGTCTCACAAATGATGACAATGATCAAACTTAAATTTTTTAATCCTGATCTCTTATGAAAGTCCTCTCTCCAATTCTGTCTCCAATTCTCTCTATGTCTTTCATCACTTTAACTGTTGGTATCATAGATCAGCCATCTATAATTAAAGCAGTTTCTCTTTTTCATGAAACAATAGGCTTGTCAGCAATTGAATAATCATCACATATTATCAAAACCATAACTCTCAACCAGCACAGGCTTTCAAAGATATTTTGAGTCTCGATTAGGGTCAAAGTCATGATCTGACTTTATGTTATAGACTTCACACACAAATGATATTAACACATCTTTAGAAGTCATAGTGGCTATGGTTTAAATGATTTTCCATTATAAGGAACTTTTGTTCCCTATGTTTACCTTTTCTAAATATATAATAATAGTTGTTTCAATGCTTACAATTGAAATGTTATTCTTGAACTTACTGAAACTTAATGTTATATTTTAGTATGAAATTTGTACCTGTCTATCATTGAGATTGAAATGTTCTAATCATAAATTGGCTCAGTATATTTATCATTATTAAGGTTGTTGATCCATAGGTACCAGTATCAAGGGCATGGCACACGACATGTGTGGCTATAGGTCTACTTAGTTTTGCGCCAATCAGAAAAAATGGTTCTGCCACTGTATACTGCAAGAAAATATATAAGATTTGCCTGTTACTGATAACCTTTTTTCATCTTAAGTTCCAAGAAAATATTGTCAAGAAGATAGTAGTTAGTAGTTATAGAGGTATTTTTCAGATGATTTTAAGTTTATTTTCAAAGCAAGGGAAATAGTAACTTGCCAAAAGCGTTCTAATTCAGATGATACGTTTACAGGTACATTAATCTTAAAATTTTCAATTTTTAGATTAATTTTTGATGTAATATTATAAAACCTAAGATTTTGAATATATATACATTTCTTAGTTTATTTTGTCCAGAAATTTCGCTTTCTGTACATATTAGGCCTAGGAGCAACATTGAAGATAACCCCAGACAGCTTAACAAGAGGAAGCCAGACGCAGCTCGTAATGCCTTGAATGACCTAGAAAAATCTACTGTAAGAGAGACACCAGCAGGCAAGCTAGGGTCGAGTGCAACCCAAGAGAGTAAGCCAGCTAACAGTGTACAAATGGATGATGAAAAAAATGGTCTTGTCCATGGCCTAGCACACCCGTCACATTTGATTGGTGAAAGCTCAAAAGAAAATACTGTGTCCTGCAGTCTTGGAAGTAGAACAAGCAATGGTGCTATGGTGAAAGGCAGAGGGATGAACACACAAAATATTCATAACAAGAGGTCTAGTAGAAATGCAGATGGCAGAGGTTTCCCTAGCCAACCAAGAATGATTAGCCCTCCTCAGTCTCTAGGCTACGTGCGACCTCGAATGAATGTTCATGGACAGAATGTTCTAGGACCACAAAATCCATATCTATCGTGCCCCCCGAACCAAATGAGAATGATGAGGGCAAACTTCCATAATAATCAAAATAGACATCGATTCTTGGTAAGCATATTTTGTCAATTCGTTTCTTAGAAGGCTGGATGTTCTCTCTTCTTTTATTTTTGTAAAATGCATTCTATTCCATTTGCTACCAATTTTTTTGTCTTTGTTGAGAATATTATGCTAATTGATTGGAAAGTTTTTATAAAAGTAAAGCATGTCAGTGAAAGCAAGACAGTCCAGTTATATTTTTATGTACAGCATAGGGTTGGGCTTCATTTATATAAACCTATGGCGTATTTTTCTCATGACATCTATATCTATCACTCACTACCTTCTACAAGAAGACTTTGTCAGAGAGACAGGCAAGAGTGGAAAGTCAGCTCATACATAGAAAGAATTAGTAACTTGTGGTAACTTGAGTCAGGGTTATCAGCTATGCACTTCTAGCTTTGCCTGGTTACCCATTATAGTATAGGATGTCCACATAAGCTTTGAGTGAACTCAGCAATAGCACAGCGCATACATTTAACTATCCAACACTGGGCTTCCATGCCTTTATAGTTTTCAGCATTCATCTGACTATTTGACACCAGATCTGTTGCTCTTTATCTCGTGTCCTCCTAACAGAGACCTATTTAAAACAATATATGACTTTTAGGCAATGCCAATGGATTCACAAAACCGGCCAATCATTAGAGGGTGAGTTCTTTCTATTGATTTCCTAGAAAGTACATTTACCCGTTGAAAGTATTGCCCTGTTGTGCCCTAGGGTGAAAACGAACGCCTTCTATCTACGCTTAAGTGGTTTTCTCATTTTTAAATAGATAGATTCTGAAATGCTTGTTCAAAAACAGGGTCTATTAGAATCCGGAACATGTCGCCATTATGGTTTTCGGCACGATCTGGGTTTCCAGGAAATGCCGCCCGATAGCAGAATCGCATGTTTCAGTTTTAGTTTTAGATCTGCTAGACCGAGGAGACTGTTCTTTTTGAGGAAGCGTTTTTTTTCTAATGCTAGAAGGGACATGTTGTTTTATTCTACCCCTCCAATCTGTGGCTTGTGCATCCTACGTAGCCAGAATCACACTGGTGCGTAAACCCATAGATAACGGAACTCTTTTGGATGGTAGAACACAATTCTTTTGTATGTTTGGAAGGGCTGTTTGTTTAGGGCGAGCCAACTTTTGATAGATTCTTTTGAGTGAATAACAGATAACTTCCCTTGTGTCGCTCATTTCCTATTCTTATATTTGATTCATTGAACTTATAGATAAGTCGGAAATGTTACCAATATCAAAGACATTATAAATGGTCTTGGGAGTAGGAATAATGGGCGTGGTACACTATGAATATGCAAATCAGAGCTTGTGTTTATTAAGCTCTTGCCATTGTTGTGATAATCTTGTTAATATATTGTCTATTACTGATAACTTTAAAACATGAATTTTCTGATAATTAGGCCCTGCAAGTTATATTATGTTGGCTTGATTCTAGGCAGTTTCACCAGCAGAATTTCGACCCAGCAATGAACAACAGAAGGATTCCTCCAAATTTTCCAGGTATTGCCCTTTTAATAATATTGGAAATAGATGACGGGCTCCTACAGCGCCCTAAGACAGCGAGGCGAGTTTGACGAGGCTGGTAATGATTTTCAGCCATTTAAAGGTGTTGCTTCTTTTAAAATATCGTGATCCTCGGATTAGGATCCAGACCACTTTCAAGCCCAGCGCATTAAATTTCGCCACTTGGTTCTGTGTTACACTGGAAAGTTGTTCATCCAATGTGTATGATTACTTATTGTCAGTAGGAACAAATTAGTATAAAGTCTTAAGGTTATAATAGTATAAAATAACAATATTGATACCTCAGCCCTTTTTGGAATTGCCTTTTAAAGGACATGTGCAAAGGTATGCAAAGCTAACTTTGAAGTATCTTCAAAGCTGTTTTTTACAATGTCAAATCTTTAGCCTCATCGATCATGCCATTATTATTATTATTATTATTATTATTATTATTTCCGCTAGATGAAAGATTTCGCCATGAATCTCAATTGCTACAGGAGTGTTGCCATGGCAAGAATTTTGGTAATTCTTATGTCCAGTTAATAGTCAAGTATTACTATCTTAGTTCAGTTAAAGAATGACTAGGTTAATGTGTTTAAAAGTCAAAATGTTTTAGACAATAGCAAAAGAAAAATGTTTGATGAGGAGAAATGTGAAACATGTTTTTATTCCTTTACAGCAGAGTTATTCTTTTATAACTGATTGAGCCTGCAATGGCGGCCAAAAGGAAGTGCTTGAAAAAGTATAAAAACTGCATATCTTATGCTTTCTTCTGAATTATTAATTTTTCGTTGTTTTGTCAAGTTTTATGACTTGTATCGTTTTAGAGAATTGCATACCCTTGTGCCAGGCTTTCATACGCGATCACCGATCTGTTGGTTGCAATAATCTTGAAAGTTTAATGCGCGCAGCGACGGAGGAGGCGGTTAACTTAGATACAAAGGTAATTTATAAACGGCTGTGTTTTCAGTTTTCTGCATGGGTAAGGCCGTTCATTGGAGCTGTCCAGAGATTTTTACATTATGATTATTTTAGGGGGTGTTGTTTTCAGGGATAACGGGTCGGGGAAATGTTTTTGCACTTGGCACTTCTGAATTCTGTTCGTGCCCAAATTGAGTTGTCATTTTCACTAGGGATGTAGGGGAGAAATATTGCATTTTTCTTTGATAAACAGCCCAATTTGTTCAATCGTCGTCAATATTTATTGATTATTCTTAATGATGGCCAGTCCTGGACACTGGCTAGCACGTTGCGTTGGTTAGATTCCACAAAAAGTGAAAAAGGTTTTGACTGTGCACAGCTTCTTAATTCTCAGGGTAAAATCAGCAGCATGGCAAATTAGGGTGTTCTCAAGAGGAATGTCTTGGTCCCATTTGCCAATAAAGTTGGCGAGTCCTCCTTTATTTGCTGACAAGTTTAAAATGAGCCGAGGAAACGCCCTTAGATGACATAGAATTACTTGTTTTTGAAGGGATTGTTTTCGATGGGGAGGGGGATTAGCGTTGTTACACTAACGCCCTGTGCTCATTGAACTGGGATGGTTGACGGTATGGAGCACCTACTGAATGGGTTACACATCAACACTTTCCAATGCCTCCACCCAGTATAGCCCCAGAGCTTTGTAACATTGGCGATTTCTAAGAGGGTGCAGAAAGCGGATCCCCCTTGTCGAAAATTTTCCTGTCTTTAAGGGGGGCTCGGGGGCTCAATACTGTATTGATCTTACTTTTGAAAAACTCACTTGGGTGGCGAGCGTTCGGGGTGTGCATTGGGGTGTTTCTATTAGGATGTTTGTATTGGGGTATGTGCTTACTGGAGTGTGTATAGATTGGGGGGGGGGTGTACATTGGGGATGTGTGCATTGGATCGTGTGTTCATTTTTGTGCCCATTGCTTCTTATAGAATTTTCATTCTTGGTGGATCGGTCATTTGTAAATTTTTCATTCAAGGTGGTCTTCTTCCTGTTGGAACAGCTACGGAAAGAGCGTGTGAACAGGAAGCTGAACCAATTAGATTACAGCTATGCGATCGAGGCCCTTGTATCGTTGGATGACATCAACAAGTATGTCTAACTGCACTGTCCTTAAATTTCCGCTCAAAAATTTTGCAAAATCTGTTACATATTTGCCTTCTCTTTTTATAAAGCTCGTTGCAATCATTTTGTTTTAAGTTCACGTTTTGTGTAGCCAAGATAATGTCACAACTTAATCATAACCATCATCAGCCATCGTGACCAATTCTTTCTTGAATTCATCGATTCTCATCAGTTATCATTTGCAAAGTCAGGGTCTGGTGTAACGAAATGATTGAACCAGAGGACTCTTTTCAATACATGGCCTTAAATAATAATAAAGATTTTAATGAATTATCACAGATCTAGTTTTTCACTTCTTACACTAAAATGATTGCAAATATCGATGTCTACATTGTCGTCTCCAAGACTGAAGTTTCTCAAGTCTTATCAAAGTCGTTTATTTGTGCGAAATATTTACTTGAAAGGGTAACAAAAAACAGACTTTGGGCGATGTTAATTGTACGAATAATGAAAACACAAACGACGGTCGTTTTTAAATGACTGTTCTATAAAAGAGGCAGTTTCATGAAAGGTTATATAAATCCTTTTGCTATTTTTTTTCCAAAACGGTTTTCGTTTGTATCTTAATTATCAGATTTCTAATAAAACTGCGTTCCTTATTTGATTGTTCAGTGTCTACAACTGAATAGATTTTAAAAATTTCCCAACAATTTTCTCGTCAAAGGTAGAATTCGCCCCCTTTTGCTCCTATACCCACCCACAAGTGTAATGGCCTTGACATTTTTATTTTAGCGCTGTTGCTTTGGTGCTTGAAATGAAGCAGAATGACCTAAAGCCACGCCAGAAGGACCTGAAAAATATACGCAATGGAATCTGCACGTTGTCCTCTGTTGACAGTACAGATAGGTCAGTTCATGTCATTATCTTAATTCCATTATATTGTTAGGTGTTCAGTGAAAGGTTTCGATATTATCGGTGGAAGATCCCCCGTTAAAGGCGCCATGTCCCGTCCGCCAACCGTCCTTTTTTAAGAAAATCAATTTCCGTAATTATAAACTGTCATTAATTATAAAGTATTTATGCTTAAATATCGTACTGAGATACAAAGCCTTGTAAGAAACGAAAACAATTCTTTCAAAACCAGCGATAAATAATAAAGGAGATGGAAAAGAGAATAATTCATTTTATCAACAACTGTCCCCTTAATTAAAGTGTGCAATTCAATTTAATCTTTTTTGGTTTAAAAGGCACCATGTTCGGACGCATTTCGAAGACCATTTAAGTTTCCATTGGTTGAACTATACAATAATCCTATTATTTCGTATCCAATCAACAACGTAAGGCTATTTCCCAATTTTTTCTCAATCAGAAACGCGCTATAAAGCCCACTCTTAACTCTGAACAGTTGACTGACAGGACACAGTGCCTTTAAAGGAAAGTGATTTGTTAACAAGTTCGACGAATAGAAGTAATAAACTGGTCAATCATTGGTTCTTTTCCCAGAAAACACTGGGAACTTGATTATTATTGTTACCTGTTCCAAGTGATTCTTGTTTTTAAATCATTGTTCAAGATTAAAGTTTTGTCTTTTTCTTTTACAGGCTTGTTGGTTTTTTCGATTTGCTAGATCTGCATGATTTGGCCAATAAGCGGTATAAAACCTATTCTACTTTCTCTTTTACCCCGTCGTTAAGTTATTTTAAAATGTTCTTTATCTTGCTCGGGCCTTTATAATATGCCTAATCCTTCGAAACATTAATTCTTTAATCTGTATTCCAAATCCTGTCCTTGTTGCTTGATTTTTCCACTTGTGCTTGTATTTCTTACTATCTATTGATTTGACTTAGAGTTGTTGAAGAACTCGTCAAGCATGTTCCTGCACAAGAAGTGAAGCAAAAAGCGAATAGGGAGCGGATTATTCAAATGGTCGAGGTTTGTTTTTTGTGATAAACCTAGAGTCCTGTCGCTATGAGCTGGTGCACTAGTCGTATCTTGACTTTTGAATCTCTCGTATTAAAGTTTGATAAAGGGGCGATAAAAGTTTAGGTTTGCCAAAAATAAGCGCGAAAACGATTTGCTGACGCCATTTCAATATTTGTTACTTCCTTGAGTTGTTTGGTATACATGCGATAATTTTGCAAGTATTTTGTATTTTGGTTGCAGAATTTGAAAAGTGAGTTCCATTCATTTTATGACTGTATTTTCCAGGCAGGGTAAAATATTGTTTTATTTCTTGTCTTCTGTTATTAGTCCAAATACAACTGCAATACTGCAGCCCCGTTATGCGTTGAACAGTAAGAGTTTGAGAATAAACTTGAAAGTTATTCAATATCCTGTGAAATAAGGGATTTTTTCTGGCCGCTTTTTATTTTCCACAAGTCGCCATAGTGGTGCACCTCCGGAAATCCATCCAGGGTCGCCTGTGAGGGACTAAGCACATGGGAAGATAAAATCTAGGGGGAGGTGGGGCTTCCCAACGAAATTGTTTACCAAAATGTTTGCTGGACTAAGGGAAGATTATCCGATCGGGGTTGATTTAAAAAAATTCAAATGTTGGGGGCTGCAGCCCTCCTTCTCCCCAGCCCGATGGCTTGTATCCCCTCTAAAGATTCCCTTCTACAGGATTTAAAGTATTAGATGAACAGAATTATATATAAACATTTTGCAAGATAGTTAGCTGTTGATTAATGTTGTTAATTAAATGACTGTAAATAAACAAATTCTTACACCCATAGTCTTTGTAGCGACGCTTACTCACCTGATTTTGGCGCGTGCACCGGTATGGCAACGAGCCTACATTTCTTTCGCACAGTGTTCTACTTGTTAATGTTGGTTGTACGGAAAGCAAATTGAAAAAATTTAAGAATAATTCAAACATCGTTTAGAGGACACACTAGGGTGTCTTTTAATATTGAGTAAATCTTTTAAAAACTTTGTTCCAACAAGATATCACGTATTTGCTGAAAATGCACCAACTCATGGCGACAGGACTCTAAATTTTTCTATATTACAAGCGAAACGTGAAGCAGACACGTAGGTTTCCAAAGGCTGTTGATACTGTAAGTATTCGTTTAAAAACTGCATCTATAAGACTGCATCTTCATAGAAATTAAGGTACAAAAGTTTTTTCATGCTGCCTACACGAGGAATTTATAACCTGTGTTGAGTTAAACACGAACTGAGTCTCGACGCGGGATTTACTCAAGACGGCATCTTTGCCCGTGTTTAAGACTTTTTGTCGACGGTCCAATATCTTAAAATGTTTAAGTGAATGTGTTTCAAGTTTCAAGAAGGTCTTTTTCTGTTCTAGTTTTTTATAACCCCTTATATTTGTCTTTTTATTTTTTAGGAAATTACGAAGGAGCAAAGTTTCCCTGTGTCACCATCTTTCCAGCCGCATATTCCGTGAGTTTTCGGGATTTCTTTTAGCATTTTTTGTCAAGTACACTCTGTTAAAAACACACTTAATAAGAACCCAGAGACTCAATTTGCAGAGAAAACTAAGCATGTCAGAACATACCCAGCCTGAGATTGAAAAAGCAATGTGTTTTTAGAAGTTTTTCTAGTGTTAACAAAACAGAGACGATTCCATCAGCTATTCAATCTTGCTATTACAAATATCATACAAAACTGTCATTCAATAGTCTTAGAAACATTTTCTAGTATATAAATTCAGAAAAATTAATTTTAAAATGAGAACACTAATAGGCACACCTGAACCTCAAAATTAGAACATCGAACTCAGGGATTTCATTAGAAGCCACCCACCGGCGAAAGTGCGGCGCTTTCTCACCAAACCTTCGCCGCCTTTATTTACCCTCACTTTAGTAAGACTGCACAAACAAAAGTAAACTTATAGACGTCTCCTTTTAAATGTGAGCCTTCTACTTAAAAAATTATTAAAAACCCTGCGAGCTGCAGCAAGTGGTTCTTAATGAAAAAGAGTGTAGTGACAATTAATGCTTAGCTTTGATCCCTAAGTACATTTTAACGTTCTGTTCCTTTTACATAAGCAATTATTTTTGTTGTTTTAATGATTGCAATCCTAGATGACAATATTGGAGTATTGTGAGCTATATTGATTAGCATTGGGTTTCGTAGAAGTTGACAAAGACTGGCTTCATCAGTAGCTTTGTTAATTTGGCATTCTCTTTTCAATTCACACGTGCTTCTTAAAACGAGCTATATAATTGGGGTTGACCGTCACTAACATTATCAAAAGGGCTTGGCAGTCACCACCATTGTATTGTGAAAATTTACTAACGAGTTTTCTTCCGATTAAAATACTCTGATATTTTTGCATATATTGTTGGGTTTTGATTTTGCTTTTTCTTGCAGTGTTTTTAAAGACCTAACCGACATGCTTGTTGCAAAGATTGATCAAATCTCCCCCTTGCAAGATATACCTGTAGATCTTGTAAAACAACTTATCGAGTCGGTGAATACAGATCAAAATGCTTTCATTGTCACAACAAAATTGTCAAGCCTACCTAAAGAGATCCTCTGTAATGTTGATTGTGAAGTTTGGAATGATTTCTTAAGAAAGGCCTGCAGTGGAAACTTGCAGATTGCTAGCCAGATTCAGGGTATAATGGTGAATCTAGGAATTCCTGTTGACAGTGCTGTTGCCTTGCAACTGCTCTGTTGTTTCCACAAAGCGCAGTTTCCTAAAGAGGCACTCGAGGTTGTAGAAAATGTAAACCCGGAGGAGCTTGCCAGTGCTGACGTCAATGATGATGTTTACGAATGTTTGACGAACATTATGACCCAGCCATTGATTGACAATATCGACAGCTGTTGCAAAATTGTTATGATTATGATCAAATTTGGGAAGATGCCACCGAACGATAAGTTGAGGGAGATAATGAACATATTAAAAGGGTTACACCGTTATCAAGAAATTTATGATCTTATAAACAAGGTGAGACAGGACTTCGATATTTTCATTTTTGAATGATAATCAAGATTTATGTATATTTTTTTCAGACAAGCAACAAACATTGTACAGCCAGCCTGCAGTAGTAGTAACGCTTGAAATTTTGAGGTAGCTTCGTAGGCAAACCCTATCACTGTGTCACAAGCTTTGTCGAATATCACCATATTCCTAGATTGGAATCTTCCCATGTGCTTGCAGGTGACCTTCAGCTCGTCAAAATGAATAACTTTGTCAACCGATAACCAGTAAAAAACTGCTTTTCCTTCTGCTCATCAAGAATTTTAGTAGAAATTCTAATTGTGATTCAAGTTGTCTCTGTGCCCAGAATTTGGTTCATCTTTCTTAATGCTTTCTTATGTTGTCATGTTGGTTTCAAGCATTGTCGTAAGAAGTATCGTAAAAGTAGAGGGGTGGCACATGCAGGCGAAAAGGGAACCCCGTGAGCTTTAAATAGGCACTTAACGTCTGTTACTAACAAGTGGGTACATGTCACCTTTGCCCCTGGTTACCTCGTCTATTGTTTGAAGAGCTCCAATTTAAGAAAAGCAAACAGCATTTGCTAATGCTATTATCATATTTCTTAGTAATATTTTAATACTATTCACAGTCATTTCTTAATAGAGATATTATTTGTAAGTTAACTTTTGTTTTGATTGTAATTTACACATATAATGATGACGTCGCTTCCAAGTTAATTCTCGCCAGTTATCGTATTAACGTTCCTTTCTTCGCGTTATCAATGTAAGCATAAACTGGTAAATTGAAGTCTAATTTAAGTTATTTGTGTTTATTTAACTATCAATACTAAAGCTATTAGTGTTTTATATACTGTTTCTCGTTGAAGCTGATAGAAGCTGGACTGAAGCCCTCGGAAGAAAATTTCTTCCTGGCATTGTCAGCTTTGGAGGACTGGGACGAGAATCCCGGTGCATTCGCTGAATTGTACAAGGCAACGCGGAAGTATTATCCAAAGCTGCGGATTTGCAGCGACAGTATGGCAATGCATACAGCAAATGATACCACGGAAGAATTTGTAACTTATCAACAACCAGAAGCTTCAACTCTGGCAAATAGGTTTGCATTTTTAACTTTTTGTTGTTAATTTGTTACATTTGGTACAAAAATTAAAATTTGCTTTGAAAAAGCCAACATTTGCAAGAATGCTAAAGCTTCTTGTTTGACACATTTCATGGTATGAAATATAAAACTTTGGTATGTTTGAAAATGTTTTTTCAAAGCCTTTTTTATTTTGTGCAGTTCTTGTGGGTTTTCTTTAATAGAACTGTGAACCAGTTATCTTTCTTTAAACCAAGCCTAGATTCAAGTGATTGAAGGTCCTAAACGCAGAAACAAATGAGAATGTCCAGGTTTTAAGATAGAAACATTATTGTCTTTAAAGAAATCCTTTCTTCTTTATTCATCGAACAACTTTCAACAAAATCTTTCCAAACCTGCCTCTTTTATTCTTGATACGCCAAATTTCATTTGTGGAATCTGGTAATTTACTCGCTTGCTAGTAATCTTCGGCCCAAGAAATCATTGATTATAACTGGAGAAATATTTGAAGCTTGCAGAGAAGTTTTTCTGACAGTAAAGTTTCTAGATATATGGGATATTTCCTTTGCGTTCGCGATAATTCAACGATGTAGCTCTTCGGTCAACACTAAACGTAGATAGTCAGATAGTTCTAGGATGTTTTATGGGAGTCCTGTAGAGAGGATGTACCATAGCAAAGTTTAGAACTTTCATCTTACCGACAATACTAATTACTTCTTTTCCAGAGACTTTTTTTATTAATATACTTCACACACCTTTGTGAATAAAGAATTCAAGTGAACTCGCATTTTTTACAATTTTTAGCACGTCGAATGATGCTAGTAGGCCAGTACCACTAGACGACGCAGTCCAGTTGCCCAACACTAATCCATTTCAAGAACTAATGTCCATGTGGAAAGCAGACAAATATCAAGCCAATGATCCTGCTAAGGCCATGATCGTTCGCATCCCCTCAGCAAACAGTGAAGAGGCTGAAGTGATAAGCAAGACAGATTCTGGTTATATCAGTAATGGCTCCGCTGGCTGTGTTACCACAATACCATCGAGATCAATTTCATTTGACACATCACATGATACACGCCAGATATTCGACAGACTCGCGGTAGGCCCATTTTCTCTCGGTATTTAGAGTATTATCAATTAAATTTCAATTAAGTGTGTTCAACTGAGTATGCTTGAATGATTGGTTCTTTTTAGTGCTGCCCCCGCGTGATAGGAGACAGTTCTGCACAGCAAACCTTTTATTGGCTGAGCGATTAAAATTCTCCATTCTGCATTGACCAATCACAATTCACGAATATTACAACGAACTCCGCTAGTTTTCCGCCTTTTGCACGTTTTCACTAATACATACAAAAACACGTGTAAAATGTGCTAAAAGATTTAACCTAACTTTTTTTGAAAAATTAATTATTTGATAAATTTATGAAAAGACTGCCGTTGTACTCAGTAAATTTTTGACTCCTTCCATCTACAAACATTGCATTATTGGTCTCCTCTAGTCACGAGATTTGTTTGCACATAGTAGGTATGTTTGTATGTAGCCCATGACCTGTTCTTTTCTGTGATTTCATCTTTTCTTTCTATTTCCTTCTTCAGCTCGCATCAAAATCGAACGACATCCAAACTGTGTGTGATATCTATGTAGAAATGAGAGAATCAAACATAGCTATCGATGATCGAGCCCTGCATCAGATCTACGAGGCAATAGCCAAAAACAATCCGGTGTGCAGGCTCGAACAACTGTTGAATTCCGTTAAAGAACAAATCACGGGAACGCATCTTGTGTTAGAAGAAGACAACACTGAAACAGATGGTGCGCCAACTATATTTAGAGACGAAGACCAACAGAATTTAGGCCGTCTTGCTGTGACATTATTGTTCGAGTTAATGGAGAAGGAAAGACCGTCTGAAGCCTTCGAACTGTTATTTTTACTTCACCAGTCGCAGGTCAATTATTTTGTTTTTGGAAAGAGTTTTGATGAGAACCCGAACAGAACAAATTGTCAAATTGTTATGACTGCTTTGAAAGTATGCCTATTGCTGTCCCCACCCCAGGTAGACGATGCGATGACCGTGTTCAGGGGCACTGACTATGGACGGCCTGTCACCACGGTGGAAGATGAGCAGGAACGGACGTCTGTCTTATTAAAACTAACAGAGGATCTACTGTCTGTTGGTAAATTCGATGACGCCGACGAAGTTCTAAACGAATTGGATATCGAGCTAGCGAAATATTTGAATAATCTACTTTTACGTTTATCAGAGGAGAATAACGTACAGCGCGCGGCTAAAGTTTATCAGTTTATGGATACTAAAAAGCATGTTTCTAAAGAACCTAGAAGTTTTCGAGCTTATCTCAACTGCTTGGCAAGGCGTTCGCATATAGCTGAAGCGAAAACGATTTTTGAAGTAGGTCGCACCCTAGAGATTTATCCATGTCAAGAAAGAACAGATCCGTACTTTTTCGAGCTTCCTTGTAATCTTACACCAATTGAAATGCTGTTTATGTTAGAAGAACACTTGAAAAGGATACAGAAAACCGCATTGTATGGGGACGGAAAAATTAAACCGCTGATGTCTCAGACCGCCTTTAAGGTTATATTTAAGGATAATTACGAGTTGTTTGAGACGCCACATGAACAGATTGCCAGTGCGAGGGAGAAGATGGTAATTGTGTTGAGTGAAATGATGAAGCCTCCATTGAAGATTGTGGAGACAGAGAATCCAAACGAGGTAGAAACATGTTATCTTTTACACACGTATTGCCAGGCATTGCCAAAGTCAAATGGCTTTTATATGTTTGTTTTTATAGGTCGCTTACTTTTTAGCATCCTCAGATTGCAGTGTGATTTGTTAGATATATATTCTTATGTAAAACCGTTTTTTCCACGAAGAAAGTTTGACAGATGGAAATACATTTCTTCAAAATTATTGAACAGATTGTAAAAACACAGTTTATGAGAATAAGAACTGTCAATTTGGCATTTACTTTCCCTCCAACCCAACCAGACCTCCTAGACTCCCGTCATAACTAAAACTACCCCCTTTCAGACCCTATGCCTGCTTTGCCATATCCTACCCTACCTTTCTGAAACCCAGTGGCGTGCTGAGGAAGAGTAAAGGGTCAAAATAGCGCCCCTCAATTAGCTATCTTCAAATTTTCTGTATCTATCTGTGGCGTACTGAAAGACCTTCAAATGAGGGGCAATAGAGAATTTTCAAATAGAGTATGTTTTTCTTTGTAATACCTAAAAGTATTTTTGAGTATCGTTGTAGCGGCTGTATCAATAAACTGCACAACAATGATAATCAGGGATGTCTCTATTGAGGGAGGTTAGGGGTAGGGAGGGGGCGGTAGGATCGTTCAGGAGTTTAGTGAAGGCTGTGACCATGGTTGGCAGCAAAAAAATGCAAAGAAGACCTTCTAGAGATGGTCGGAAAATCATCTAAATATTTACAGCATCGCTTTAGAATCATGGAAAACAGCTGTGCGCCCAGCAATGATATGCAGCAGTGAAACCTGGGCATTGAAGAGAAAAAAGAGAAGAAGATGAATGTTGCAGGGATGAGGATGTTATGCTGCATGTGTGTAGTCACGAGAAGAGACAAAATCAGAAATGAGATGATACAAAGAACAGTGAAGGTAGCCGAAATAAGCGCGAAGATACAAGGAAGAAGGCTGAATTGATATGGTCATGTGAGTAGAAGAGAGGAGGAATATGGCAATGGAAATTCCAGGATACAGAAGAAGAGTGCGGCCTAAATTTAGATGGAAAGACAGGCTAAAAGAAGATATGCGGGAAAATAGCCTCAATGAATACCAAGTAGAAGATAGAAAAGAATGGAAAAGACTCTCGAGGAACAGTGACCCCATATAAGAATGGGAAAAGCTGCAGAAGAAGGAGAGGAAGAAGAATAAGAAAAAGAAGAAGAAGAATAAGAAGAAGAAGAAGCTTTAGACTCTTAGAAGATCCTGGACAATACCCATAAGCTTCCTTCAAAATATGGCCAAAAGGCCGGTGTGAGGCATTGAACATCCAACTTTGATTGAAAAAATTTGCGCCGCAATACATTGTGTCGATTCACAATATCTATTTACATATTAATATGAGAACTGCCAACCCTTTAGATCTATATATCGGAACAAGCCCAGGATAAAACGATAATTTCCGAGGCGGCACCATGGTTGCCGCCGAAAGAAAAAACCTCTCGAATTTTGATGCTTCTAGTTTGCTGGAAAAAGCACTTTCTTTGAAGCGATTTTCAATAACGCAAGCTTTCTCTGAAATGAATATCTACAGACTGAAAGCTATTTGATGGTTTTAATCAACTTTCTGATGTCGCTGTTTAATGTTTTAGCTTACGCAACATAATCTCTCGGCTTTTTCTTCCTATCATTTCTTATCATTTCAGTAAATCAAAACTCCTTGCACCCTCCCAATAATTTTCTGAAATCGTGCCTAATTCGAACTTTTACCGCCAAGCCCAAAATTATCGGTGGGTTCCTCAAAAACATTCCGCAACTTCTACCTTGGTACGCCCCTGGTATCTAATTTGTGCAAATATCATTTAGATTCAGCATGAGATCTTGAGATGGTGTTTGGACATTGTACTTATTATTCTACAGATGACAGGGTACTTTTGCAAGATATTTTTTTCATAATAATGTTTTAACAATCAACTTCAATTTTTTTAACGAATGGCGAATGAACAGAATTCAATTTTTAAATAGCATCCTTCGAAGCGAATATCAGAGTGAATATCAAAGAGAATATCAGAGAGAATATCAGAGTGAAAATCAAAAGAAAATATCAGAGTGAATATCAAAGAGAAAACCAGAGTGAATATCAAAGAGAATATCAGAGTGAATATCAAAGAAAATATCAGAGTGAATATCAAAGAGAAAACCAGAGTGAATATCAAAGAGAATATCAGAGTGAATATCAAAGAGAAAACCAGAGTGAATATCAAAGAGAATATCAGAGTGAATATCAAAGAAAATATCAGAGTGAATATCAAAGAGAAAACCAGAGTGAATATCAAAGAGAATATCAGAGTGAATATCAAAGAAAATATCAGAGTGAATATCAAAGAAAATATCAGAGTGAATATCAAAGAGAATATCAGAGTGAATATCAAAGAAAATATCAGAGTGAATATCAAAGAGAAACCAGAGTGAATATCAAAGAAAATATCAGAGTGAATATCAAAGAGAATATCAGAGTGAATATCAAAGAGAATATCAGAGTGAATATCAAAGAAAATATCAGAGTGAATATCAAAAAGAATATCAGAGTGAATATCAAAGAGAAAACCAGAGTAAATATCAAAGAAAATATCAGAGTGAATATCAAAGAGAATATCAGAGTGAATATCAAAAAGAATATCAGAGTGAATATCAAAGAGAATATCAGAGTGAATATCAAAGAGAAAACCAGAGTGAATATCAAAGAAAATATCAGAGTGAATATCAAAGAAAATATCAGAGTGAATATCAAAGAAAATATCAGAGTGAATATCAAAGAGAAAACCAGAGTGAATATCAAAGAAAATAGCAGAGTGAATATCAAAGAGAATATCAGAGTGAATATCAAAAAGAATATCAGAGTGAATATCAAAGAGAATATAAGAGTGAATATCAAAGAGAATATCAAAGCGAATATCAAAGAAAATATCAAAGAGAATGTTAAAGTGAAAGTCAAAGCGAATATCAATTCAAATATCAATACTAAAGCAAAAATCAGGAATTTCTAAGCGAATGTAGAAGAAAGAAGCAAAATGAATATCAAAACAAACGTAAAAAATGTTACAACAAATATGAAACCTATTTTTAGGTGCTAAAGATTCTATCTTGTTCTTTTGACATACTTAATAACTGTATTCTGTATTCCATTCAGTGTGTTTCTTTGGTTTTCACAAAATTACACATTCTGATTTTAAGGGATATTTCTACTTGAAAAAGTCGTTTTAGAGATGTTATTGAGCTTATTAATTACAAGGCATGAAATGAACACCTGAGGTCACCATATTTGGCATGCAATCTACGCCATGGTAACGTCATAATCTACAAACGACTGCTTTGTCAAAGAAGGGTTACTTCTTATTTAGTTTATTATGCTTGCAATTATATACGTCTTAGCTGTAAGCGAATAAAATTTCCCCGAATTTCCCCGTCCATGAGGCTTACTAATTGGCTTGTTTCTCTTTTTATAGCCTCTTATTATTGGTGTCACTTCAATAGTTGGTTGGTACAGACAAACTGGTCTTGTGGAAAAACAAGCCAAGTCATTCGAAATTCTTCCAGAAATTTCATTAGCCCCAGTAGAGCGATCAGTCCAATTGCAAAATGATGGACCGCCTACAGTAACAGTACAACCTCGTATAGCCATTGCTGCAACATCCAGTTTTGATGGCGTAGACCGCCCTGCAAGCTCAATTAAAACTGGCATGAATTTGGAAGTGAAGAAAGCTATAACTTGGCTCGTGGCGGAGGCGGTTAAGGAATACCACAAACAAGGCAGGGTAGAGGTGTGTTATGTTTTGTAAGATTTCTTCAAATATGTATTAAAACAATGATCGTTGACGTCAAAGTGATAAAACACAAAGCGGAATCAACTTATTGGGTTATTTTCAGAATCCTGTCCAATTTCCGTTGTCATCTCTTTGTTGTTCTATATTCGACTTAAACGGTTAAGGTTTTTTTTTCATTTAACTGAGAGCTGTTTCACCCATTGTCTGCACAGCCTCGAAAACTAGGTACCTGGCCAGCTATCAGAAATCCGGTCGGTACCGAATTTTTTCAAAAGTTCACGAACCGATACATTAATTTATTTATTCAATCATTCATTCATTTACCTATTCATTTATTTATATATTTATCCATTCATCCATCCATCCATCCATCCATCCATCCATCCATCCATCCATCCATCCATCCATCCATCCATCCATCCATCCATCCATCCATCCATCCATCCATCCATCCATCCATCCATCAAGTTATGAGAATTTTCACAAGGGTGGCGAAAGATCAGTCTGGATGCTGATCTATCCGGCGTTGGGTACATGCCCCTGCTTTTTTCGCTTATAGCGCCATCATACGTTATCGTGTAAAACCTTGCGATATACACAAGTGATATTCCTTAACAAAACGTCCCTCAACTCAAATACTTATGAGGTGGAATGGACCCTGGGGGGGGGAGGGGGGGTCTGTGTGTCCAAATCTGGCTATAAAGCTTCCTGGGTTGGTATCAGGATGTATTGCATGTTATTGTGTGTCTTGCTTTGTACCTTGTTTGTGTCCACCTTTAAACATAAGCTATAATTTTCTGATTGTGTTATTTGTTTTCCTTTAGGATTTTGAGCAGTGCTGTAAAACCATAACAAAGACATTTATCAAGCATTTTTCCAACAATAACGCAGGCCCTCTTGGTGACCCCAAAGAACACGTCACTTTGTTTGTGGACAAATTTTTCAAGGATCATGGTAGCTTTCATTTAAAGGAATAAGTCCAGCCCAATCGTATCTCTGTCTATTCTCAAACAAGTTATCGCTTGTGAAGAAGGAAATTTTGGTCATTGCCTAATAGAGGAAATTTTTTATCATTTCTTAAAAGGCTTTAAGAAGTGTTGCTTGCTTCAAACTACAAAAAATCATGTTACCCAAACTTGTAATTATACCATACTATGTGTATTTTGAGAGAACTAAACCAGCCAAAGTCTAACGAAGGAAAAACCTCTAGTTTTCTAAGATATCAACAACAAACCTTTAAACAAGCAGATATCATTTGATGGTTTTTCATGCATTTAATCCCGGTTCAGAGTAGTTAGGAATTTCACCATGAAAAATCGTATTATAATTGAATTAATTTGACTTTGACAATAGCTGATTTGTTGACATTGTCCACGATTTATGCTAAATTGGATAAGGCGAATGGTAATGGATAAAGCGTTACGTGAATCGGGAGGCCTTGCATAAAATGGTGCAATTGCCGCATTTCCGTTTGATAATGCAGGGAAATGGTACTTGTCCCAAAAGACGCTAGAAATCAGACAAAAATTATGGTGCTTTGTGTTTTGCATGTTAATAGCCAGTTTTGTATGTTAAGCTTAACATTTATGTAATATATTGTTAATAATAGTTCGTTCTGTTCAGTTTTATGCCAGTAAAGGGGTTTTATTTTTATAGTAGACATCAGTTTGAAGGAAATCCTTCATTAAAAATGTACTTTTTCGTCAAGTATGCGTGCCAGACTTTGGAATCTTCTGACCACAACCATGATACAGACGACTGTTCTCAAGTCTGAAAACACTCTCCAAATTTAAAAGGGTTCCTTTATGATTTTAAAGGAAAGGGGATGCATCTATCCTCTTTTGTCCCAGGTTTAAAGTCTCTGGCGTCACATAAAGTTTCTTTTAGGGTTTTGATTTTATGACGAAACCAAAGGCGTGTCGTCTGGTATAGTAGCTTGGGAGGGGCATGCATTTGACCTAACCTCTGAAGTACAAGATAATTTTTGTTGCGAATTTTATATTAGAAAATTATTGTTTCAATTCACGTTTTAGTTAAATCATCTGTTAAGAACGGTCGTTCTGTTTTTGGATTATTTTTTAATTCAGCCATATTTACTCCTTTTTAGAGAAAAGAATTATACGTGAACTTCGATTTATCTGCCGCTAGTAGAAAGTTGGATTTTAGGAGATATATTATTTGTATTGTTTTGGTTGCGAGCAGCTTTCTGTCTCATTTTATGTTCTTATAATCATTTGCCAATTTCTGGGTACTGAACACTCAGTAAACCTGAAAATCATTTAAGCCAATTCCCAGTTATAAGGATTCTAATCTAAACAACTCAAACATTACTGTTCTATGTTGGCCGTATCAACCCGAAGACTGAATTGTGGGACAACACCGTCATGGCAACTATGGCGCTTCTGACGGTATTGTCGCAGACGTACTACCCTCGACACACTCTTGAAAAAGAAAACGTACCTTCGCGCTAAGATGGGCCTGTCATTACATGGAAACTGCAATAGAATTACGCATCCTACTAGGTTTCTGAACAGTTGTAAGAAAACGCGAACTTAAGACTCTTCGAACCTGCAAACTGCAAAGATATAAGTGTGTGAAAATCACGCAGCAGGCCCTGAAAAGTCTTACTGATATTCGCTTGTGGACAACTGTACAAGTATTTCAATGTATCACATTTATTGAAAACGCTGAAATTAGAATTGGAGTTAAAAATTGATTGGAAGTTTTTAGTGGCTACTTTGCAAATATGAGACAAGATAGAGAATTCACTGGAGCAAATGTTCTTCTGTCATCTACAGTAGATATGTACGACCCTATAGAGAAGGCTATTGAAAAATATAAAAACCAATCAAATCCACTTTTTCGATCCACTGTTTTGCAGTTTTCGGGACAATTATGACATACAGCATGCGCTCCTTCAGTTCATAGAAAATTGCAGAAAGGCATTGTACAGCGAAAACACTGTCGGGGCCATTCTTATGGACCTTTTCTAAAGCCTTCAATTGCTTGAATCATGATTTATTTCTTGCAGAATAAGAGGCAGCACTGCAGTGTAGCACATAGAAAGATACTAGCGTAGGCGTACCTCAGGAATCTGTTCTGGGGCCTTTCTTGTTTAGTATCAACCTGAATGAACTGTTAATGTTACTGCGTATGTCGGACAGCAAATATGTAACTATGTCGATGATACCAATCGATGTACTATGTGCATCGCAATCATGAAAAAATCATCAATCTTTTACAATACGAATACCAATTTTTTTCAGAGTGGTTTCTTTCCCGTATTTCTTACTAACTTACTTGACACAGAAAAACTACAACATACACTAGCAACAAAAGATTTCATCAGATAAATTTTCGGCTCGGCGGGTAAACTTCGTCAAAAAAATTTCGGACAACTTTTCAGAAATTCGTCATGACAAAAACAGCAACGTATTACCAAAATCTTAAGTGACAAACCCTTACAGGTTGCTTTATATTCAATCCTATAGGCAGGGACCGCGCACCACTCTAAAAGTAGAGGTGCTAAAATGGGTGTGACCGAAAAAATTTTGAGGCCACGCCTTCTTGAACGCCGGAAAATGCCTCTTTTAGAAAATAATTGCTTATTTCTATTGAATTTTTATAAACAGTCTGGCTCAGAGAAGATATCAATAACCATAAAAATAGATAGAATTAGCTCGAGGGTAAAAAAAAACCATGCTAACCAAGTACAAAATATATCATATCATTAAACAAGATGAAACACCTAGAAAAGGAACAAAAATGGTTCTCGGTCAATGAAAACTGCTACTACATAGAAGTAAACTATCCAAAGTTGCTTTAGAAAAAACCTTCAAAAAGATATTCTAGCCTATCATTGCAAAGAAGTGGGCGGGCTATAGCCCCTGCTAGCCCAATGGCTGCGCGGTGCCTGCCTATAGGGGTACCGAATTCGCGAAGACATGGGAGCTTGATTGAGCACCCGTTCGGACTTTGGCTTAATCCCCCAGACATTTTTTTCAAACGAAACCTTATGTCAGGAAAAGCCAAATTAAAGCGGTATATGTCCTAAGTTAATGCAAGGGTGGAGTCAAAAGAGCTTTTAAAGAGTCTCTACTCTATATCTAATGCATGGAAGTTTATAAACAGAGTATAATTAAAGTTATTAGTGTGAATATAAGTATAAGATTCGGAAAGATCTCAAAAAGAAGGGGTTGGTCTCGAAGTTGTGCTTCCTGTAGAGTTCAAAATTTGGGTGAAAAGTGCAAATACCTTGAACGAATGAAAGAAATAGTACAGTTGAGTTAAAAAGGCAGAGGTGCAATCCTTTGAAACCAGCGACGAAGCACAGTTAGAACAGTAGCGTAGCCAGGGTGGTGAGATTTAGGGGAGAAGGGGTTGGGAAAAGGCGAGTTGAGGAGGAATTATTAAGCAAGTCAACCTAAGAGTTTTTTGCCATTGAGGGTGGCGTCCGCCTCTCGCCGCGCTACTGAGTTAGAACTATTTTCATTTAACGAGGGTGAAAAGGAAAGTTAATTCAAGAACCGATGATGATGATGATGATGATGATGACGATGATGATGATGATGATGATGATGATGATGATGATGACGACGATGACGATGATGATGACGATGATGATGACCATGACGATGATAATTATAAAGATTATATAAATGAGGAAAAAACGTAAATTACATGGAATAGATCAAAAGAATACATAAATTTGATTCTTGACCTCGTGTTTGACATAAGTTTTTCAATGCGAATTCTCAAATATCTTAAATGCAAACAAATTCGTCGTGATAAAATTTCGTCTCATTTTGAATTTAGTCGAAGAAATTTTCGTCAAAATATTTGTCCAAAATTTTGTAACGACGAAATTATTTGTAGTTAATGTATGCAATGCAACCTTCAATCCTATCCAAATTTAGCTACTACTCTTTAAGTATCGATGTTCTCTGATACATTAGTAAAACGCGTAAAACGATTACTTCCCAATGACACTTTCAAAAAGCAATCAAGCAAGCCTTGCATTCCAAAGAAAATTTTACTTCCTGAATTCCAAATTGAAGAAAAATGTCTACTTTTCTGATTAAAGGATTACGGATTTCTACTTTTCCTATATATACAGAGTGATTTTGTTTGTATTAGTGCCTTGTTTTCATGTCAGCGTATTTTGAAAATTTCTGGAACAAAGGTTATGGTTTCAAGGAGCTGTTAGCCATTCGAACAATCCTTTTTAAATATTTGATAAACAACTGTAAACAGGTTAAAAGAATGGGTGTAAAAAGCTAAAAAGAACACGATTTGTGCTTATCCGTCCTCTCATCTAATTGCAATTAGTTTGTATTATTCATAATCAGCAGCTCTCGTAAATAGGAGAGTGCTATGTCGTAAAGTTGTGCGATGAACATAATCAAGAAATGAATAAAGACGTCAGCATTTGTCGTAATTTCTAATGTCATTAAAAATAAGTTTTTAGAAATGATGGTGCCTCGCTTTAATGGCAGGTGGTTAAGAGGCTGAACAGTTTCAAAACAAAGCAAAAGAAGTGCTGGTAGATGCTTAAATGCACGTTTTGCGCGAGAATATCTGATTGTTCAAAAGCGAAAAATAGCCAGTATGATTAAGGCATTTTTGACACCTGATTGTTCATCCGAGAACTTGTTGCTAAGGAAGTCAATTGTCTTGTGGTAATCACGGGACGAGGTGACTGCTTGCCCTGCCCGGCCGGCACATTTCGAATTTATCATTTGACTTTGACGCAGCTACTGAACGGAAGACAACAGGATGGCAAATGTACTCATTCTGACCTTGGCCTTTTCCGCTGCAGTCTTTTCAGTTCCTTTGTCACCAAGAAAAGTAGTAAAAAACATTAAGCATGTACACACAGTCCCAACTTATTTCAGAAGGCAAGACAATGATGGCCAGTTAATAAGCAGACAGTCACCACAATATGGGGTGGAGATAAGCCAACCTATCGTCGAAGAGATTTCGAAGTATGACAAGAAGAAGGCTGTTTTGAAAGCAAAGCCTTTGATCATCAAAAATGGAGATGAAGTTACAGTTTCTTGGTACGGAGTTTCGAACGCAAATGTCAACGACTGGATCGCCTTAGTATGCCCCCATACAGAGAAAATTGAGAGGCAATTTGATCATTTTTTTGTTAATGAGACAGATACCTGGGAACAGGGGTCTGGCAGTCACACAGTTCGTGTTTTCAACACGAGAAATGATTGCCAGTTCCGTTATTTCAGGAACAGAGAAGGTTCTACCTTGGTTGCACGAAGTAACAAGATTGGCTTTGAATTTGGTGGAGATGCCCCTTTGCAAGGAAGGCTGGCTGTAACGGGAAAGTCTACTGAAATGAGAGTTATGTGGACTGCTGCTAAATGTAGGTTTCACTAATGAAAAATGTTGTCTTTCAAAGCTTAAACAGCATGCTAGTTAGGCAAGATAAAAGAATAAGATTTTCTGTAAAAGTTTGATTTATCTCCATGCATATTTTTGGTACCAGAGGCTTCCGGGGGTGCTGGTGAGATATATAGCCTATGAAGTTACAGTTACATAACTTCTTTACACTTTCATGCTAAATGATGGTGCGAAAAAGCAATATGAGGACAGGTACACTAAAGAATTGTTGACAGACTTTGATCAACAAATTTAATTAGTTAAAATAAATCTCAATATAAATTTATCAATTAACAAGGTCATGCACAACTGTCCTTTTGTGGTTTTTGCAAACGTATGAAATGTATGAAAGGTTGATGTTGACATTGGAACAACATCAAGAACACCTGAGCCTCAAGTTATAAAGCAAGTACAAACATTAAGTCTCATCGTAAACTACTTGGTTCATATACAGAAAAGTATTTGCCAACAAATACACGGTATTAGATAAGGCTGCAACTGTCAAATGTTTTATTTAAAGAAAAGGAAAACTTTAAACCTTCACTAACGTGAAATTCACCCTTAAATGTCTACAAGCTCTTGTTAGCTATTGCCACAATTGTCTAAGGGTGTAACAAAAGATGAAAACTAATGTTTATTATAATGAAAGGGGTCATTAACTCTTGAATTTCAATGTCCCTGCTTCCAGTATGGTTTGCTTATTTCAAGATTTTGTGTGTGTATAGTTTTGTTGCTAATAGGTTTATTGGCATGTTTATTGGCTAATAGGTTTATTGGTGTAACTAGCCCAAAAATTAGTGCTAGATTGAGATAGAGCTACCCGAATAGACCCTGAAATGCAATTAAATTTGGCCTTTGTTTCTTGGCTTTTGAATTTTATATGGTTCATTTATCAGCTGAGAGCCATGTGGTTAGGTATGGAACATCTCCAAAGAAGCTTGATATGAAAGCAAGTGGTAAATCATGGACATACAAAGCAAGTGATATGTGTGGGCCTGGTGCCAATTCAACTGGTTTCCGGGACCCTGGATACATGTATGATGTCCTGTTGGCAGATCTGAAGCCAATGACCAGATATTTTTATTCTTATGGAACAGAGGGAGTGAGTATCCTGTTTTGAAAACATTGCTACTTATATGTTATCCTGCCTCTTAGGGAGTTGCAGATTCCTCTTAGCATCTGCTCAAAAATATATTTCTCTCATTGAAATCAAGGTTTTCTTTGTTTCTATTTTTATTCATTTTTACAAATAGCTCAACTTAAAGTAGAGCCATCTACTGCTCCTCTGTTAAAATTCTTAGGACAAGGCTTGCTTTTGACCAAAGCTTGCTCTTTTGGTTTACTGAGACTTTGATGATTTCTTCCCATATTTTCATTAAATGTGTTATCCTGTGGCAAGTTCAGACGAAAGCTAATACATTTCAGGAGTATGTAAAAATGGGTCAACTTGCTAACTTTGTTACTTTAATTGTTTCTTTAAATTATCAGTAAGTCTGAAATGCAGCCTGCTTGATTTTTGTGATAATCCATCAACCAAAATTCACTGTGTTGTCCAAGGGGGATGGTGATCAAGTTGTGGGGGGGGGGGGTGACAAATGTTGTCACAAGACAAATGATTAAAGAAGCAAACAATTGGTTGCTGGTGTGAAAAGATACAACCTTTATGAGCTGAATAAGCAAGATACTAGATAACAAAATGTATGTTGTAACTGCCTAGATGGAGATGATTTCCAACAGCTTCATGTTTATACTGACAATTTTCTCTGAAATCAGCATCTCTGAAATCTTCAAAATGTTTCATAGTATTTAATAAACCCGACTGTGTTTCACGCATAATACCAAGACAGGGGCATTGTGGCTATTCTTTGTGAATAAATTCTTTGGTGAGAAAATCCCTCATTTATTTGCAAACTCAAGTTCAAATTTATGAGCTAGAGACCTGGAGATCAACTTAAACAAAAAGGGCCCCGTAGAACTTTAAGGAATGAAGGTCAAACAGATGACCCTCTAGAATGAGGCTTGGGCGGCCTGTTGGAAGGGTTTTTTTCGGTAATCTTTGGAGACTTTTGGAGACTCAGTAATTACACAGTGTTAATATTTTTTTGAGCCTGTACGAGAAGGTGCTTATAAAAGCAGAAGCGATTACCGAATTACCGACAGAGGAAAAGGCAAATACATCTATACCATCAACTCAAAAGACCCCCCCCCCCGCCATTAAACTGACCAAGTCTCATACATTTGGCATATGCTTCAAGCATTCGAGAAGGTTGAAAATATTGAGACTATGATAGAAACAATTATTTATACATGGATAGAACTAATTATTTGGACATGGATAAACTTGACAGGTATGTGAATGGGGCATATTGTTGTAAGTTATGCTGCTTGGATATGCTGCTTGAGAAAATGTTGTCATAATCAGGGGCGTCGGGAGGGGGTTAGGAGGGGCAAAAGTGTCCAGGGCCCGTGCTCCCATGAGACCCATAAAAATGTAGCAAGATCTATTCACAATGCAAAAAGCTACTTTTTCAGCTACTTATATAGAATCAATGCCTGTAAGTATATCGCAGAGAAATGTCCACATGTTAAATGTTTTTTAACATTCTTGTAAAAATCCTTAAAAGATTTTTGAACAATTGTAACTAAAAAGGGCGTTTCCCTAGTTCTCCGGGTGACCACAGGGAAATTTCGTGAGGGGGTCCAGTTTTGTGAATCGACCCTGAGCCCGAGCTGGCTCTCGATTGCCCTGGTCATAATCAGACAAGGGATAAAAAACGAAGAGAAAGTTTACTACTTTACCAAAAACCTTTCCTAAATACAAATAACTTTTAATTCCTCTTATGTTGAATAAAAAATAAGACTTTTGAAAGGCGTCTAAAGTAATATCCAGTTAAGTAAAGATGTTTTAGTTTCAGTTGTGCTTTTCTTATAATGCTTCTTTTCATTGCAGGCAATGAGCCCAGTGCTCAACTTTTCAACTCCGATACCAAGTGGGTCAGATAAACCATTCAAGTTCATTGTTTATGGTGACATGGGTGTTTCCACGTTTCCTAGGGCTGAAAGAACCGCCCAGCTTATGCTGCATGAGTACCATGACAACAATGCCCAGTTCATCTTTCATAATGGCGACATATCATATGCTGAAGGACAGGTATGCTCAATCAATACAACTATCAATCTGCTCATATTTTATTGTTTCCTTTCTAATATCTAGATCTAGACACTGGCTTCCAATTCTCGTATATTCACATCTTGCAAAGTCTTTCATGCAGTGGTTGCCATCTGTATCTTATTGCATCCTGGCAATTTTATGAAGAAGGGAGGTGTCAAGATTCGTATTTCACGTTGGTGTTAATTCTATCACTGATTCACACGTAAGCACATTTTTCGAACTGAAAAGACGTCACTGAGTAATAAGCTCTTTCTTGTAACATATCACTTGTTAGCACTTCAGATAATGCATGTGAATGTAGCAGACGGGTCTCCTGCCACAAAATATTTGAGTCAGCGGTGACCGTTGAATGAAGATGCAAAAGAATCTTTATGCAACGGACACCCGTTGGACCTGAGGCGTTGTCCGTTGTTTGGAGGCATTTGCTATCTGGCAGCCACTTGCACAGTACTTTAATCACCGGGAAGGAATTTTACAAGAGGATTTTTACACGTTCTTCGGCAGTATCAATCGATAGGGGTTTCACCTTAGGAACGGGGTAAACAGAAACAAGTTAATGCTTATGAGCATTCCGGTCATAATCCGGACACAACCCAAATGTAACCGAGTTTGAAATCCGGACACAACCCAAATGTAACCGAGCTCCCAATTTGGCCCCTTCATTCACTGCAAATAGCATTATTCTTAAATGTGGTGCTTTTGTCTAAAACACGAACCAGTAACTATTTGGTTAATATGTCTCACATTGATTTCAAACTAACTGATAGCAAACTGCATTAAATTTCCGTCAAGATTGAGTGTTACTTTGCACTGTTGAAATCCTAATAAAATGTGTCTGGTGCCCGCATTAGCATATTAAAACCATAGAGGGGGCCTATTATATGTTTGCGGCTTCACGACTTGGACCCTATTTCTACGTGCGGCCTCCGGATTTAAACATGGTTTATCTACAGACTGCGGTTTCAACAAAAGGTGCGTCTTGCGTCTTTCGGTATAAATTCGCAACGGTTTACGGCTTTTATAATACGGTTGCGGCTTTCAAATGAAATAACGGTCCGCGGCAAGGCTTTTCACTTTACACCAAAGGTTTTGAAAAGAGGTCCATGTCGAATAGGAGAAACGTAAGAATGGACCAGCTACTGCCAGTCATTGCTGTCAGTTAGGAGAGGGAATGTAAACAATAGTGCCCATACCAATGAGGTAGGATAATACAGTGATATAGTGTAACTGGCACCTCTATAGCCGTGTAAGCAGGGCCGTACTTCTCACTGGGCCAACAAACAAATAGGATCCCCAAGAAATATTCGGGAGTTTTATATGGTGTCATAGGGTTCTTTTACACTTGTCAAATGTTTTCGAAGAACATTGTCTCCGCAAGTCGGACAAAATATCTACGTACAGTTTTCAGAATGATTCATGGGATGGTCAGTCCCAATTAATTCATAATAATAGGGGTTGACGTAATATTCATGACTAGGGAATTTTCAGAAGATAATTTACAAAACTGTATAAAGATGTGGAACAATTAATATAGATAAAAACATTTGTATGATGCTATCTGGTATTTTCGTCTATTTTGTTGAGATAAAACAAGCCAAAACTATTTGCGGTAGATTCTATGCTATTGGCATTTTTACTAATCGCGAAGTATGAAAGCCGCCTCTTCTTTTAAGCGCCTCCTTTGAGAAAATGCCCTGAAAAAGTTTGAAAAATTTAAAAGAGCAACCCAGGCGTAGTATGGTATCTTAACAGCTCTACATATCAAAAGTCACTTGAGTCAATGCTGTTATCAATTAGATAATTCTAACACAATATAAAAAGATGTATTCAGTTATTTTGTTATTTCATATTGGGAACCATAGTTATTTCATATTTGAAAACCAAAAAATCTAAATAGTCATATTTTCTCCCCGAAAACTTTAATTATTTCATATTTCAATTACCCTTAATAGGGCCTTTTTTGCTATCGCGGCCGCGTCTTCGCGCTTAATTTCATTGCGGATTGCGGTATTTGGTTGATTTTTGCACGGTTCTGCGGCTTGTGGTCCCCCTTTAATATGTCCCCCATAGAGATAGGATAATATGGAGTTAATTAAATCCTTTTAAAATACAACTACTTGATATGAAATTGGACTGGGGCATTTACAAACATTGTTCAAATAACTCAGATAACAAACAAACACCCATAAACGACCAAACACAGGCTGTCCAATCGAAGCTTCTATTGTTGAGCACGACCAAATCACAAGGTACCAGATTTTGGGCACGACCAATATGAAAGCCTATAGATTTCTACTCCGCTCTGGAAATACCAATATAAAACCCTATGATTTCTATTCCGCTCTAGAAATTTCTGGCTTCGACAACCTCTGGTTTCGCCACTGCTTGTGATACCAAACAAAGGGAGAAGGCCAATTCCTTTTACTAATACAGTTGTTTAATTCAAATGTTTCGATATCCATAAACATCCCCTTTTATCCACAGGCATACATTTGGGAGCAATGGCATGCAGAAATCGAGTCATACTCTACCTTGATGCCTTACATGGTTAGCATCGGTAATCATGAGCAAGATCATACAAGTGGTGGGGAAAAGGACCCCAGCGGTGCCCCAGGTCAAGGATTCCATCCCTACTGGGGTAACTTCGGTGATGATTCAGGAGGAGAATGTGGTGTACCAATGTATAATAGGTTCCACATGCCTGACAACGGCAACCACGTTTGGTGGTATAGTTTCGACTATGGTATGGTTCACATGATTGTAATTAGCAGTGAGCATGACTATCAGCCGGGAACAAGGCAGTATGAATGGCTGGAAAAGGACCTGAAAAGTGTGAACCGTACCAAGACACCATGGGTCATGATTGGCGCTCACCGTGCAATGTATTCAAGTCAGAAAATCTCATCGGATCTCAGAACATCATTTGGTATGCAGATGGCGTTTGAAGACCTTCTTTACAAGTATCATGTCGATATCGCGTACTGGGCCCATTACCATAGCTACGAACGTACTTGCAAGGTTTACCGCCACGAATGCAGAAATGACGGCGTCCTTCATTTGATTGTTGGCTCCGCAGGTGCTGGTGTCGATACGGAGGACTACTATGGCATGCCATGGTCTGTGTATCATGAGAATGACTACGGATATGGTCGTGTCACAGTGGCTAATTCCACTTCACTTATGTTTGAGTGGATACGCAATAAAGACAACGTTGTCAGAGATCACGTGTGGCTGCATAAATGAAGTGAATTCTTGAAAATGCTTAAAGGCACCTTGACGATATTTATGCAGATTTCAAAATAATGCCTACAATAGCGATATCTTAACGTTTTTAAACTTTGCGCTGCTTTTAAAAAGTCTTGTTTGTTGAAAAATTAAACAAGTAGACGATTCTTAGTGATCTTATTTAATTACAAAGAGAGACATTCTACGAGACCACAAGACACTTTTCTTACCTTGCGAGATTTGGACCTCCGCTTTTTCGTTTGATATTAAACAAATGAAAACGAATGGGTCATATAATATGTGTATTTTGTTTCTGTGTTTCTGTTTCCTCTCTAGCAAATAACGGTAGTTCCAAGAACGGTCCAAGATTGACCAATACTGGATATAAACATTTGCATCCTTATAAATAATTGCCACGCAAAGCGGAATAATAACACGTGACACAAGATGCCGGATAATAGCAAAAAATTATGCAGAAATTTATTCTGATAGAAATGATATTGAAAGAAAGAAAGGTGTATTTGATTGGTTTGTTGGTTTTTGACCAATCAGCAACCGCTATTTCCTCGCATAGTTCAAGAGCCAGAGTAAGAAAACTCTTTTACATAAGTTGCTATTATAGTCTTGCTTGTGTAAAAGAGACTGTTACACAAACATCACTTGTGGATAAAGACACAACAAAAAGAGGGCTAAATATGTCCAGTCATTTTTTCCTTGTCGTCGCTTAATGATTTGGTGCAATCTCGATTCTCAGGTAAATGGTGAACTATGCACGTTACAGACTTGGGTGGCTATACTCACTTTCAAGTACCGATTTCTGTACGAGCTTAATAGCTGCACGAAAATCAATGATTGGTTTGATAGAATTTTATGCAAATGCAGTATGTTGGTGCAAGGCAATTGAAAGAGATTTTGACTTGAAAATTCAAATATTTACTTTCATTTTTTTCAAAAGGCCAGTTAAAATTTGTGTTCTTGTGGGGACGTATGCATACTACACTGAGAGGAACCCTTCTATCTGGTTGTCTGTTTTGCTTAGGAAATTTTTAAGTGATAATAACTAATGAAAATAACTAAAGATAAAGTCTCCTGTGTTTACCTCTTGCATAACATACGAAATTCGCAAGAGAAAGTTCAACAAAGATAACAAAAGATTCTGAAAAAAGCTCTACTATTTTGCAAAAAAGCGCGTGGGGGATTACCCCATTGCCCCCACTTTGTCGGAAGCCCTGATTTCCTGACATCTTGAAGAACAGATTTTCGTGAATGACTCTATCAAAAACATTGTTTGTCCCCTGAGAATCTTCCTACAAGTTTTCTGTTGCATTCGTAGATGACAAAGTGACTTACTTGTCTTCCAACTTGGTTTACTCATTCCGAAGTGCTCTCTGCAACCTGTAATCAACTGAAAGAATGTTTTTTCGATGTCCAAGGCGTAGCAGTCAGGACACCAACATTTATAGACAACAGAACAGAAGAGTGTATCAAATGAGTGCTTGAATGTGGTTAAGCTTAGGTTAAGGCTAGGCCTATCTGGTGATGCATTTTTTATCAAATTTAGACCTTTGAATTTGAAATAGGGTTCCAGGGCCGGCGAAACGTAATTGAAATTGGAGGGGCCAAAGATATTGAAAGGATTTGAAAGGGTTTAGGAATGGCCGCCGCGATGGATAGCGGCTAGAAAAATTTTTGAAAAAGGGTATCTAAGAGATGGCCAGAAACTTTATCTAAAATCTAAAATGGCTTTTGACTGAGAGAAAATCTAAGGCAATATTTTCAAGCTTTGTTTTACCACCATGTCCCAGAGTCTCGTCTAATATAGTGTTGACTTCAAATAGGAAAGTTTTTGCAAAATTCCAGAAGAACTATGAACTAAAAATGACAGGTTAAGCAATTTTGTACAGTTTGGATATTATTATGATGTAATTTTGTCAGGAATAAAGCGCTTTCAACAAAAAAGACCTTGGGTTTGAAAAAACTTCAAACTGTGCTGGTCAAAACGAGTTTTAATAGAATCCAAAATCACGTCTAGGTTTTCTTTTTCTTAGTATTTTCATTTTTCATTCATTTTAATTTCTTTAAGCACGGTAACCCCGTCAATCGATAGATTGCTTTTCAGGTGGCCGTGCATAAAACGTTACAAATTAAGTTAAAAATAAATACGAAGTAAAACCCTAATTTAATTACAATAATGAACAAATGATTAAATAAATAAATAAACTATTTTTTTAAAGCTCCTTTAAATGCTTTCAATGAGGATGCCTGCTTGACTTCACAACCCAAGAGGTTCCAAACTCCAGCACCACGATATGAGAAAGCTCGCTGACCATTACTTGTTCTCATTAGTGGGACTTGAAGATCAGTTGCGGTGTTTCTCAAATTTTTTCTACTGCATGTCGAATTTTTAATGAACATTTCTGACAGGTAATCAGGAGCAAGGTCATTTATCGATTTGTAAACCATGCAAGCTGTCTCGGTTTTTATCATATCTGCTACAGTAGGCCAATTCAAACTTCTAATCAAAGCACTAGCAGAAGAATCATAACTGCTGTTGGTCACAATTCTAGATGCGCGGTTTTGAAGTTTTTGCAGCACCTGCAACCCTGTCCCCCCACATGCCCCCCAGACCGAGCAGCAGTAGCGGAGATGCGGTTCAACGATACCACGATACATTTTAGAGAGAGTGTCTATTGGAAGTAACTTCTTGGCATATTTAAGAAATCCAATAGCCTGAGAAACCTTAGATCGTACAAAATGGATATGTTCATCCCAAACTAAATGTTTATCAATTTGCATCCCTAAATACTTGACCTTATCAACCATTTCAATTTCAGAGCCACCAATAGAAAATAATGGTGGTTCCACTGATTTTGTCGAAATCTTCTTCAGGTTAGGCCGAGATCCAATGACCATCGCCTGTGTCTTCAGGACATTCAATGATAACTTATTGCTATGGAGCCATTCCCTTAAAGAATCAAGTTCTTTGTTAAGCGTCACGTTCAGATCTCTGACGTTCCTTGCAGAAAAGGAGATACTGGTATCATCAGCATACATAGTCACCTGACAGTTGTCCAGACAAAACGGAAGGTCATTGATATAAAGTATAAAAAGAAGAGGCCCAAGACAAGATCCTTGTGGAACACCACAGTGTATTTCTTCTTTTCGTGACGAAACACCATTGACCTTGCATAACTGCCGTCTGTCTTGGAGATATGATGTAAACCATGCATGCTCGATACCAGAAATCCCATATTCCTGCATCTTTTTTAGCAGGATATCATGATCAACAGTATCAAACGCTTTCTTTAGGTCTATGAACACCAATGCAGTGTATTTCCCAGTATCCATATTCTTATACCAATCGTTAGTGCAGGACAGGAGACTTGTTACAACAGAGTACAGGCGTCTAAAACCGGATTGTTTAGAAAACAAGTGTTTGTTTGTATCCAAGTACTTATAGAGTTGGTTGAAGATCATTTTTTCAAAAATTCTCGAAAGAACAGGGAGAACAGATATAGGTCTGTAATTAGAACGAACATCAGTTTGACCACTTTTGAAAATAGGAGCAACCCTAGCAATTTTCCAAGAATCTGGAAAAACTCCTGTGGCAATAGACAGATTAAATATATCACAGAGGCAGTCTGAAATAACTGGGAGACCGATCTTCAAAAAATGATTTGCTATGCAGTCAGTGCCAAAACCCATAGATGTTTTGAATTTCCCCAAGACACTTGCGACCTGGTGTGAATTTACAGGTTGAAAGTGAAACCGTGTTCCTTCTGGATTTACGGAATATTTACCCTCAAAAAGGGGGTTTTGTGTGGCAGGAATTTTCTTAATAAGGTCTTCACCAACGTTACAAAAATAGGTGTTCATATGTTCTGCGATAGCTTCATGATTGAAAATCTTTTCCCCATCAACATCTAGAGTTGTAATCTGCGTGGTCTTTGAATTTTTGTTTAATACCAAATTAATAGTTTTCCACGTACTTTTAATGTCACCTTCGTTAGAAGCAATTTTGTTCGAGAAATAATCGCGCTTCATACCGATATTGACCTTATTTACTTTATTTCTCATTTGTTTATACGCATCAAATAAAACTTCAGATTTAGATTTAATAGCTTGCTTTCTCAGTTTGTCCCTTGATGCACATATAAGTTTGAACTCTTTGGTTATTCATGGACAGAATATTTCTGCGTAAGGAAGCATGTTTCTCAAGTATAAGGGAAAACATAGATGTCCATTGTTCCACTATGGTGTTAACATCATCCGTATGTCTTTCCAATCTATTTTTTGCAAATCGTCAAGAAATTCAGCTTTGCTAAAGTTTTTCATTTGCCTGGTACTGATATTTTTGTGCTGTTTTTTACCCCACCCCGAAATTTTCGAACACTGTAGACTAGATAATGATCACTGATACTAGTTTGATGTACGCCAGATAATACTATGTTTGACTTGTTAGTTGTGGCAATATGGTCAATCAAAGTAGAGGAGATCAGTGTTTCTCTCGTTGCTGTTTTAATTAATTGATGAAAGCCAAAACGTTCGTATATCTCTGTCAAGCGTTTTGAATGCGGTAAAAGGTCAGTATTCAGACAGTAGGAATGTATTATCGATACAATCAAACTTTGAAGCTTCCTTGATAATACTTTGAAAGAACAAATCTGCCGATTATTTATTTCTCATATTCTCGAAAGCTTTTTTCCAGCAGTTTCCTTTCTTCCAACCGCTGATTTCTCTCTATTGGTCACATTTTTGAATTGTTCTATTGGTCAAATTTCCCGTTTATAAAAAGACCTTGCGAGCCAATTTAAGACCAAAGAAAAACAAAACTCCGTTAAGGCCATGCTCCCCTCCCCCCCCCCCCCCACTTTTGCTGGCCCTGGTTCTGGAGAGTCTTTTTACAGCACTAGTTCCATTTTTGGGAACCTGCAACTTTATTCTGTGCCTGCAAGCTGAGGTCTCTCAGTCACGCGGGAATTATCTTCCGAATTCCGCCATTTTATTTGAATGGGTACCAGACCTCTACCTGCGAATTTGCCCACGTTCTTTTTCAGAATTGTAAGGAAGGGAAGAAAAGTTTCTTCGACTTCCAAGGTTGACCAACAACCGAGCTCAAGATGCCTGCCTATTTTCAGAAACCAGAAAATGCACTCAAAAGAGCAAATGGTAAGTTTTGTTATTTTGGCTCTAATACTACTCTAATCGTTTAGTTAGGATGTCTGGTTGCCTGATGTTTTTGTGATTTTGCGATCTTAGGCCTGTCATAATTTCCAACCTGCAGAAACGGATCATCTATTTTTTGTATGTTCTTTAGCTTACCGTCATCAGCAATAGCATCTGTGTAATCCACAATAGCTAATTTTTTTTGGTATGGAGTTTTGAAAAAATAAGATGCTTGATAACGTCGAATTTGGCCACACAATATATACTCTACTAGAAATTTTCATAATTCACCTGAAAAGATTTGTTGTATTTTTGAAGAGAAGTTTGCATCAGTGCAGCTCTGTAACATTCGCTATGTAACATTAGCAAAATCTTGAATTCAATTTTTGTTACACAGGTAGCTGACACAACTCCTGGATGTGATCATACATTTCATTCTGCTTATACATTTTTTCCTTATAAGAATGTTCAGGCTCAATCATCCAATATTAGGAATTTTAAAAGAATATTGCTCGCCCTAAACTTGCACATTTGTTGCTCGTTTCCAGAACTTAAAGCTGTTAACACAAGCTCCAAGAATAATTAAAGTTCGGCTACTTGTTTTGAAGAATTATAAAATACATAAAAAGCAGCATATAAAATTACTTATCTTATGACCACACCCATAAAGAGTGAGACACACCCTTTTGTCTGCAAAAACAATACTACACCCCTCCAGAAAACTTTTTGGCTTTGCCCCTTTTGCCCGCCCACCTTTTCAGTACTGGCTTCATGCCTGCCTTGAAAATGGCAAACCCGTAGACAATATCTTATGTATCACATTGTGATGAAAAACCATTTACATTGCCAAATAGTCACACCATAAATTTATTGTCTTTTGCGGTGAATGTCAAATCATAGAAAAAAATTTATGAAGGTCAAGGCTCTCATTGGAGGCACAAAAAAGCTGAATGACACAGTGTGACACAAAAAATTCAATTTAATAATTTGTTTCTTTTGACTACATAGCCTAAAGGAACAACATAAGCTTAAAATAGGAACAACATAATCAGTCAATTTTGTTGATTTGGTGATATTTCAAGTTAACTAACCAATTACTTTTACCATGACTTGGTTGATAAAGTTATGATGAGAGATCAAATGACAGTGATTTGATGTGAAAAGAGCCCATACTTGTGTGATCATATACGAATAGGGAACAGTGCAGAAATTTTAATGAAAAATTTGTTACTTCTCAAGTATATAGGCCTTAACTGGTTCCTGGGGATTATAGTGGTGCTGTGCTAAACTAGCCCCAATACATAAGTGACCACTTGCTTACCGAGTTTTGAAAGTAACCATAGGAAACATTACTTTAATGAATAATAGCATAAGTACTAAAAAAGTCTTTCAAATTAAACAGAGTAACATAATCTGTGCTGATAGTTTTTTAAGGTAAATTGCTGTTCTAGGTCTTTTTACCTTTGAACAGTTCTTTGAATTTTTTATGCTGGTTTCTTTTTCTACAATAGCTTGTTGTCCTTCTTCTGTAATGGGCGTTGTAATAGATTTTTATTTTGATAAATTGTTTTGATCTGATTTGTTTTGATAAATTATTTGTAGAGTATTAATAGTGGTCATGTTTTCTCTGCCAAATTTCTTGCTTTTCTTTCTTCCTTCTGTCTGTTAGAAGTCATTTTTAAATGCATCTCTTTTCTCAAACAGAATGACCTTACATTTTATATCTATAAATCTTTATTTACTCACAACATCGCTTTGCTTCCTAAGAAGATTTTGAATCCTGAAAGCAAATATAATACAATGCTTTGGAATGCTAATGATCCCTCTTACAGCACACTGGCCTTCAGCCTCATGCTGATTTTTCACTTCTTTTAACTTGAGAGACCTTGTAGTACTTGAATCATTGAGTTTACTGGCCATTGGCACCCCTTGATCTATAGTTTTCTAGTACCACCTCAATCCTTAAGAATGTAAGCTTTAACATTGAAAGCTCAAGGGCAGCTAAAATCTACTTCTGAACAAGATTTAATCCATTGATCTTACCTTACCTGCTTTTGATTTACTCAATATATATTGCTTTATCATCACATCTACTTGTGCAGTTAGATATATTATGCGGATTTTATAAAATGTGTAGGCTCTTTTTCATTTATTGTTCCTTTAATTCCTTTCAGAATTTGTTGAGGTTGGAACAAAGGAAGCTGCTCTTGATGTCCTCTATGAGGTCATAAAAAGCAAAAAGCATAGAAATTGGCAAAAGATTCATGAGCCAATCCTCAAGCTTTACCTAACCTTGTGTGTTCAGCTGAAGCGTAGTGTCAGTGCCAAAGAGGGCTTGTACCAATATAAATTGATCTGCCAGCAAGTTAACATTGCATCACTGGAAGATGTTGTCAGGTTCTTTTTGAAGCTTGCTGAAGATACAGCTGAAAATGCCAGGCAGCAGTCTAGAGAGCAAGTTATTGTTGATGACTTGGATCAAGTGCAAACACCAGAAGGGTAAGGTTTTGAAATTTCAAAAAAAGGAATACTTAGGAACATTTACTTTACATAGTGAGGAACTATGATATATCTGCATTTTATTTGTGTCTTTTCTTAGTGACATGTTAATCCAGGGCTGTCGAGAACCAGCTCTGGGGCTGCAGCTATAAACAACATGGGCCCTTCTGTAGGGGCCTGTGTGCAGGGGCAGAGGCAGGGATGCAGGGGCACAGCTTGAGACTCAGGACCCAGAAATTCACCTCAAAAACCCCTCCTCTCAACAGCACTGAATAAATCATAAACCTGAGGGTAGTAGCAGGAGGAAGTTTATGATTATGATTGTGTTTCTAGATTTGCTTAGTAATTAAGAAAGCCTCTTGTCTTATTCTTTTTTGTTTTAAAATAACTTTGAGTACAAGGAAACCTAGGTGATATAAATAGGATCACAAATGAAGTTTTGATCAATGAATTGAATGCAATGCCATTTGTTTTACTGCAATTCTCATACACATTTTAGGCTGCTTCTGAGTAGTGTCAGTGTTGAAGACACCCAAGACAGGACAGACAGAGTGCTGTTGACACCATGGGTCAAGTTTCTCTGGGAAGCTTACAGAAATGTATTGGATTTGCTGAGGAATAATAATCGTGTGGAAAGATTGTATCAAGATACTGCGCAGCAAGGTAGTTGTAACATCTATTGTCTAAGGTGAAAAACCCCCATCTCTGTTCTATACTTTGCTTCCATTTCACAACCAAGGGATCAGGACCTCCTTATAAACATATATAATTCAAAGTGCACACATTTCAAATTAATTTCAGTTCTATTGATAGGCTAACTTTCAATGAAATGTCAATACTGTTTCAAAATATATTGCTACAAAACTCCATTCCAGAAAAGTATATCTTGAAAATTTATAATAATACCAACATATGAATATATGTATATCCTTAAGAAACATCTAAGAAACATTTGAAACAAACGTTGTGTTTCAAATATTGAAGTTATTTATTTGAATCACTTTTAGCTAGCTGTATATTGTTAGAATTGTTGTTTATATTTATCTGAAACTGTTATATGTGGTGATTTTATTTTGAAAGGTACTGCTTTTAACTTCAAACTTCCAAGAATTCAAATAATTTTTGGCTCTATCTTTCTATACAGCATTTAAGTTTTGCCTAAGATACAACAGAAGAACTGAGTTCCGAAAGCTTTGTGATCATGTGAGTTAAAAACTCATTTAACTTTATTTTTTGAATTCCCAAAGTGTTTATTGATTCTAGTGCTGAGACACAGAAAGATGTCATCTTTTTAATGTTAAGTTCTTAATAATATTTTGATTCATAAAACATTACACAACTCTTGTCAAAATTATTTTGGATATGAAAAGTGACATTTATTTTTGAGTGCCATTCAAACATATCTGATAAACTGTCTATTACTTTTTCAGATTCGTAATCATTTGACACAAATCCAGAAGTACCAAGGACAGCCCAATGCCATTAACCTTAATAACACTGAAAGCTTACAAATGCATGTGGAGACAAGATTGTCACAGCTTGAAAGCGCCATCCAAATGGAACTTTGGCAGGTATGTAGCTGGAAGTTAATTTCCTGGAATCAATTCCTAACCATGATCAGTTCATAATATGCGATGATAAGCTAGGATATATAATTACAAATGCTAAAATAAAGGTATGATAGGCTGTTATTAGCCCAAGGCTTCTCTTTCAGCTTCACACACAACCTAGGGTTGCAATAAATAGTAGCATACAGGAGGATGCAGTCGCAGACATGTGTTAACCCTTTGTATCATATACTGATTTGCACACTTTCTTAGACAGAGGCACAAATCACTAAGTATCCTGAACAAGAATCAGACTCCCATTATTGACAAGACAGATGTCATAGTCATTGTATTTAGTTCCTTGTTCAAGCCTTAGTGAAATATCACTTTAGATCCAGGAATATCTGCAAGAGATACTGCTAAAGACTTTAAACATTAGACTGAACAGCTTTGCTTTAGACCCTTGTATTGTTATTTTTAATTTTTAACTATAAGTAGACATATTTGAATAATTTCAAACTTAAGGTATTATGTTCTTCTTGTGTGACAGTACTAATTCATACTATGAAATTTTAAAAAAAGCAAACATTTAGGATCCTAAAGCCTTTCGTCTGACACTCTTCAGAGTATAAAACATCAGAACATAGATCGAAAACTCTACACTAGGAAATATATTTGCTCAGATGTGGATCGAAATAGGCCAATCAGAAATGTGAGCACATGAATGTTGAGGTTGCCCAGTCAGTGCTACTTGCTACTGAGAATGCTACCACTGGAGTCCTAAGGTGGAAACGAATTCCTTCTGTCTACACAATAGTGGTTTTTCGTGTTTATGTAGAAAGATTCCAAAACTGATAGATTCTCCTATGTAATTATTGATCATATAAATTATCTTTGTATGTACAATAGTTCCGCTTGAATGGGTGAACTCTTGTGCCTAGATAAAGACAAAAAGTCCTATACTTATGGTGCGATGGTGGGAATGAGAAAGGGGAAAACATAAAAAAACTTACATTATTTTTCACTAAATTCCAAGCAATCATTGATGGCAAGTTTGATCCTTCTTATCACCGTTGTTCTTTTGGCATGAAGTTCACTTAATACTCACTGTCTAACATTGCGACAATTCTAAAGCTTTTAAATTATTTGAGCTTCATTTTTTCCTCCACACACCAATATAAAGAGCTAATGAAGGTTGGTGAAAGAGATTCAAAAAGTCACAGCGATAAAGATGATTTTGAAGATATTTTGGCTACACATTTCAAAATAATGTTTCGTTGCAGAGGTTAAAATAAAATTTTACGATAATTAAAGAGATGATTATAAGTGTTGAAAATGTCCACGCATGGGCGAAATCACGTATATGGAATTATGAGTTGAAGAATGCTGTGGAATAATCAGTCTTTACCCCAAAAGCCTAATCAAAACATGAGCAGTGCTGTGTTGCTAAACATCTACCTGTTTTCATAACAATTTCAGGAAGCCTTCAAAGCCATTGAAGACATTCATGGCTTAATGCAGTTGTCCAAGAAGCCACCAAAGCCCCACGTGCTTGCTAATTATTATGAAAAGATGGCATTGGTTTTCTGGAAAGCTGGAAATTGCCAATTCCATGCAGCAACTTTGCATCGATTGTATGTTCTGTACAAAGAACAGAAAAAGAGCATCAGCCAAGAGGAGACGCAGAAGTAAGTATTGTACAATGTTAAAATGCGGAATTGTGTAAATACTTATTGAATGGTGGAATAGCCTAGCAGAAAAGAATGGTGGAATAGCCTAGCAGAAAATAGGTGTTCCGTTGTAGAGTCCTTTTTTTATATAATTAAAAAAAATTGAGAAATTTTACTCGGCTTTGTTTTCCTATAAAATGTGGTTAAATGATATGTTTTTGCGTAAATTGTTTTTTTGATATTTTGTTTACTGGTTAGTGCCAATTAAAGCATGAGCTCCTTGTTGTACATCAAATCCCCGTGCTGTGGTTGCGAATTCCTGTCCTTGTTTACTGCTTTTCTTTTAGATAACATATCCTTTAGATGACATTTCCTTTTTTGCAGAATCAGCTCAAAGGTTCTCCTGGCGACCTTAGCAGTGCCGATCTCAGCTGGACGAAGTGAGCTAGAGGGGTATCTGAACCACGATGACACTGCCCATGAAAAGGCAAAGCGGCTTTCTGGTTTGCTGGGATTGCAGACAATCCCTTCAAGGCAATATCTTATCAAGGAAATGGTATTGCTTTTTCTTGAGCCTCTGATATCATGCGATTCTTTGATTCCAAACCTGCTTTTCTGTAGATAATTTCTTTTTGGTCGATATTTTTTTCTATTGGTAAAAAGCTCTTCAATTTCGAGGTACAACAGGAGTGCAACGGGTATGGGGTAAGGGGTAAGGGGTAAGGGGTGAGTGCCTATGCTAGAAAGATTGTGAGAAATATCTCACATAGGAACTCTTAACCAGGAGGGTGGGACCGAGTCAAGTATAGCAAACACATTTGCACTCCTTCCGGGAATAAAAGCCCACTTTCCATCATTTTAACTTCCCACTTTCTAGTCGCTAACTTTCCATACATGTTGCAGTTTTGTACCATGCCTTAGACTCTGAACATTTTCTTTTCATTTTTTCTTTGCTTTTCAGCTTAAAGTTAATGTCATTCCAAACGTGATTCCTGAAATTGCGAATTTGTACCAATGGATCGAGGTGGATTTCCAGCCTTTAAAGATTTGCCAAAAAGTGGACGGTGTCTTGAACACACTGAAAGACCTCGATGACTATCAGCAATATGTGAAACCTTTGATGGACATAGCTGCCACTAGAATGCTTAGACAGGTGAGAGGGGTGCTCCTGTTTTGAAATCTCATTTTGTTTTGATTGATTCAACCTTGCAGAACTCATTTATTCCAACTTATATTCCAGAAGGGAATTTATCAAATTTTCAGCTTAGTTGAGAAACAGCTAGCCTTAGCATAGAACGAGAGACAACTCTCTCTAGCCATGAATTTAAGAGACACATATCTGTTCATATTAGGATTTGAAGCTTATCCGTTGCCCCCCTCCCCATCCTCTCAAGAAAAACTCGTAAAGCCCATGGTACGATACTACTAATTTGCATACACATTAAAATCATTTTCATGGTTTCTCAGCCTCTTAAGCTTACAACGTTAACGACATTATTTAGCTAATGCCCTCTCTGATGCATCTATTCATTTAGGTTTCGCAAGTGTATGACAGAATGCAGTTTTCGAAGCTTGCTTCTTTGGTTCCGTTTTTCGATGAGCACAAGTTGGAGAGAATTATTGTTGATACAGTCAAAGAGAAAGAACTGCAGGTATTCAAAGCTTTGTTAGAATCTCCAAGAGACTAGTTGAAATATTATCTTTTTTTATCTGTACTGTCTCAGTTCAATGCGATGTGAAATATTTAAAGTCCCACATCCCCCCCTCCCTGAGAGATTTTCTAACGATGCATTGAAAGATTTAATGAACTTGACTAGTCAGATCAAAGTCATTTGAATCGTATGCATTTAAGCCAGCATTAATTGTTGTTTGTATTGATTGTAAACTGGAAATTCTGCGTTTAATCCTTGAGCCAGCCTTGCTTCCTGGTTTCATCTTGACAACTGGTAATTCGTCTAGATGGATGTTGTTAGTTAAAAAATAGCTGCACAATGTCAGTGGTCATAAATGAGAGTCGATATGAAGTGTAAAAGTGATATTCAATTCTACCGTAAAGAATTTATATTTTCCCCTAATCGTACATAAATATTGTGTGAATTGTGTAAACTTTGGAGTAAATGCCATGCCAGACTCTAGTGTGTGGGAAAGCTTAAAAGCAATAAAGTAGAAGTTGTCGTTTACTCAGGCCTAGTAGATTGTTTCCATGGTAACAGTATTTTACTACATATGCATTCCTGCGCCTGCGTACTTGCTGTTTTTCATAAATTTTTTCTACTAGTTGTCTATTGACCACCGTAAGCAGTATGTCAATTTTGGCTCAACAATGGTTGTCGCGATGAGAGAAGATGTCCCAGAGGGTCCATTTATCCAGGTAAGTACCACGGCTATTGCCAACGGCTTGCCTGGAAGTTAATTAATTGCTAAAGCCAGTAGAGCACCATTGTTTGTGCGCCAGAGAAAAGTCTCAGACCGCTTCCAAGCAAAAACAATGGCGGTTGCACGACCGATGTCGGATGAAGTCAGAAGTACAAAGGAATAGAAAGTGCACTGCGAAAATTCGCTTTTTCTCGTTATTTTTCTAAAGCCCTGTTCAGACGTACTTGATGTATCGACTTCAGAAATTTTTAGTTTAAGGTTCTATTTTGTTCATTAAAAAGAGTAAAGAAGCAGCTAATTTTAAGAACAAATAATACACTGCTGCATTCACGATTAATTGTAATACACCTAGAGTTATTTTTGTTTTTCTTTCGCATGTTTCAAGTTTTCTAATTTTTTAAATTTGGCCCGAGAAATAGCAGAATTTTTTATTCTAGCTCTCGATTTATTTTGTTTCAACATTCTATGACAACATTTTCCATGGGAAGAATCATCGACAGCCGTTTTCCACTCAAATCTTGACAGCCTAGGGACACCCAAGGCTTCTTACACATTAAAGGTGACACCAGCCTGTTGAAGAAATTTGTCTTTTAGTCTTTGCCTTCGGAGCTGACAAGAAGCCAATTGTTCCAGCTATCTCAAGGACTCCAGGACTGCTTCACATACATTTGCCCGGACATGATCAAGGTACAGTGTTTTACCTTGGTTAGAAATTAAGTGTGATTTTAAAAAAACCCTTTTTGTTATTTAATTTCTTTCATCAGTGAGTGAGTGAGTGAGTGAATGTAAAATAAGTAAGTTTGAAGTGGAATAATGTTCGGTAACAAATGATAATATGACCATATCTCGAAGGAATAGATGGATGATTGTTTATGTATATAAGTGCTATCAAGAAGAGAGTCCTATGGTTCCGAGCAAGCCGGGCTGTCTCTCCTGCATTATCATATAGTTTTGGACCGACTGTTTCGATCCTATATGGGGCTGTGACACCCCCTACATCCCAATTTGCCCCTGTCTTGAGATAAAAATCAGTCTTGGGTTTACTGCTGTGATATAATTTATCTTTGTATTGCGACATGTTTTTTCTTTGAGTATACCAGTATTTAGATCAAGTAGAACAACTTTCGTTTATTTGATAGAGAAATCGTCAGCAAGAGAGAGAGCATCTCATCCAACAGTATCTACGACAAGAAAGAAAAGAGCATGCACACATCTTGAGTCGTAAATTTGTCATCGAAGCAAGGAAAGAGATGATTGAAAACATTAGAACCAAACAGGTAAGAACCGGTAAAGCTAACTTCAAATAACCTTCTCGGTCATTTTCGTTGACTAAGACAGCTGTTGCCTGGACACGATTGTTTGACTGTTATACTAGTCAGATCCTGTAAGATTAAAAATAGTTTCAAAATTGTTGTATTTTTCATATTTATTAAATTATTTTAGAAGTTGTTATGAACTTTATGTTGACTTATTTTTGATTTCCATTGTTTCTAATTTGCCTTCTATCTTTCTTTAAATGCATTCTGTATTACAGTCTTTGAGGCAATTTTATTTTGTATGTGTTGACGGCATTTGATGCAAGCGTAGCCACAGTAAACTCCACAAGAACAATCTATTACTATTCTGTCTTTAAAGGAACGCAAAGAGCAAGCAAGGATTCAAGAGCAACAACAGAAGCTGAAGGCTGCAGAGGAACGTAGGCTTGAAGAAGAGAGAGCCAAACGTGAGGAGGAACGAATGAAACAGGAGTATGCAAAGGTTAAGAAACAGCAAGTGCTTGAAAGAGTCAAAACTCTGACTGAAAGTGATGTTGGAAAGAAGGCCTTCAAAGGTCTGACATCAGAGGTGGGCATCTTTCGTTTCAAATTTCTTTTGGTCAAATTATCCCCTAATTGTAGTGTAGATTATGTTTTTGTCTTGGCAGGCTGCATTTTCCAAACTTTCAATTCAAGGTTAAATTCAATATTACGATATGTTGTTCAACAGCCTCCCCTAATTTTCATGCCGTTCAGCCACACAATTTTGTATGTTCTGACATTAAGCACGATGAATTCTAATTTTATACTACACTGAAATTGTTTCAAGTCTTTGATTTTCCGCTTATGCTGCTTACTCCATTATAAGGTTTTTCAGCGACTGAAATTGTCTGTTCATTTCTTAAACAGCAAATTGAGGATATGAATGAAGATGACATCATACGTATCCAAGTCGAGCAGCTTGACAAAGAGAAACGAGAGCTGTCTTTGAAGATGAAGACCCAGGAAAAGAGGGTGAGTTTGTAATGCTCTATTCTCTTACTTGTGAATATTTTGATACAATTGCAACTCTACCCGCTAATGTTGGGAGACTTGTTGCTAAGGTCATCAGTGTTGTCATCATCAATCAAGGCATAATCACTACATCATAATCACTGCATCATAATCGCTACACCATAATCACTACATCATAATCGCTACACCATAATCACTACATCATAATCGCTACACCATAATCACTACATCATAGTCGCTACACCATAATCACTACATCATAATCGCTACACCATAATCACTACATCATAATTGCTACATCATAATCAGTCATGACAGATTTTCATCGGCGTCAATTTTTTTAGCAGTAAGCAAATCGATGCAAATGGCATAAAGCAAGTGTTACATAAGGTCTGGTAACCTGTAGTTGGAATTTGGAAATACTCTAATCTAGATCATTTTTAATGTTGTGTCTGACTATCTTGTGCATTTGACCAAGTGTATTTTTTTCGTAGATTGATTACATGGCACGTGCAATGAGAAGGGAAGAAATCCCTTTGCTGGAGAAGAAGTACGAGGAAGACTCCGTCAAGGATAAAATATTCTGGGAGCAGCAAGAGGAGGAAATGGTACTCCGTCATGCCTTTTTTAGTTTATTTGAAGTTATTTCAGGTTGAGATTAGAGTCAATATATGCATTTTTGGAGACGTCTTTTAACTGCATTGCCCTCAAAACAATCGACCTGATAGTCCTAAAGGTTTCCTAATATTTTGTAAGAAATAGACTGTAGAAGACTTTGATATCGACACTTGGTCAAAAATCATATGCAGTCATCATTTTTTAATGCTAAGCTATTTCTTTCGCTGAAATTCTGATTTCCTCTGTTTTTATTGCAATGGGGTGTCTAATTAGCTAAGTATATCTGTTTTGTTCCAGATTGCCACTGCTGAGAAAGAGCACGAGATTGCATTGAAGACTAAAAACAGGCTTGGAAGAATGATCAAAGACAAGGATGAATTCGTCAATGATCTTGAGAAGAAGAGGGCTGATGTTTTCGAGGTTTGTTATAAATTGATCGCTATTAACTTATTCAGGCCCATTGTGAACTGTGACCTATCTACAATGCCTGCCCAAAGTCTTGGAACACTGGCCGTTCGAGCCTTGACTAACCTAGGGCCAGTTTGAGCCTTGACTAACCTAGGGCCAGTTTGAGCCTTGACTAACCTAGGGCCAGTTTGAGCCTTGACTAACCTAGGGCCAGTTTGAGCCTTGACTAACCTTGGGCCAGTTTGAGCCTTGACTAACCTAGGGTCAGTTTGAGCCTTGACTAACCTAGGGTCAGTTTGAGCCTTGACTAACCTAGGGCCAGTTTGAGCCTTGACTAACCTAGGGTCAGTTTGAGTCTTTACTAACCGCGGGCCAGTTTGAGCCTTGACTAACCTAGGGTCAGTTTGAGTCTTGACTAACCTAGGGCCAGTTTGAGCCTTGACTAGCCTAGTGCCAGTTTGAGTCTTGACTAACCCAGGACCAGTTTGAGCCTTGACTAACCCAGGACCAGTTTGAGCCTTGACTAACCTAGGGCCAGTTTGAGCCTTGACTAACCTAGGACCAGTTTGAGCCTTGACTAACCTAGGGCAAGTTTGAGCCTTTACTAACCTAGGGTCAGTTTGAGCTTTGACTAACCTAGGGCCAGTTTGAGCCTTGACAAACCTAGGGTCAGTTTGAGTCTTGACTAACCTAGGGCCAGTTTGAGCCTTGACTAGCCTAGTGCCAGTTTGAGTCTTGACTAACCCAGGACCAGTTTGAGCCTTGACTAACCCAGGACCAGTTTGAGCCTTGACTAACCCAGGACCAGTTTGAGCCTTGACTAACCTAGGGCCAGTTTGAGCCTTGACTAACCTAGGACCAGTTTGAGCCTTGACTAACCTAGGGCCAATTTGAGCCTTTACTAACCTAGGGCCAGTTTGAGCTTTGACTAACCTAGGGCCAGTTTGAGCCTTGACTAACCTAGGGCCAGTTCGCGCCTTGACTAACCTAGCGCCAGTTTGAGCCTTTGCGGGCCCAGAGGTAGAAACTGACACCGAAAACAACCTAATACAGGAATATTTTGATCAATGTATTCTTTGAAATCCAAACCAGCTCTGTCTTACAGTTAATATATGCCTGAAGATGGACAACCAATATGTTGATGCAATGTCTCTTTAAAACAGGATAGTAACAAGATAGGTACTCAAAAAACTTAGGCACATAATGCGGATAATGCGGCACATTTGCGTTGTTAGTAGCATATACGGCTACTCATTTTCGTTTTCGTGTGCATTCTAATGACAAAAATTGATCCAAACCACTACGTAAAGGTTTGTGAATCATTGACATTGGAGAATAGTTCAGAACTACCAGAATCTGACAGCGATGTAGCCAATTGGCACAGCGTTTTTCACTAGACATATCTAAGTCAATTTCACTATTCATAACAGGTGTGGCTGATTTTCCGCATTCAATAAGGCTCTTTCGTTTTCAGTATATAAAAAGGCTACAATCTCAACCGTTTTCAATTCTAGATGAATATCTATGATGAAACTTATCTGAGCAGGAGCAGTACCTTGCAATTTTATAACCATGTGTTTTGTTTCCTATGAGTAATTTGTGTTTTCCGTCAGTACTTTAATGTTGAGGGATAGAGAGATAACTTTGTACCTCCTTTTCCTGAACCAACCCTCCTCCGCAACGATTCTGAACCCTAGGACTCTGAAGAGATTGGTTGGCAGTTGCTGAGCGTATTGCATAGAGTATCTCAAGTGAGATGAACCAATTCTGTTATGTTTCATTCAACGGGGGTAAAACTCTTCAAGTGAGCATTTCATTTTCACAAATCTACAGAATATCCACGATAATGCTTATAAAGGTCAGATTGCTTTTCTTGATTCCTTTAAAGTTCCCTCTGTAAGCATCCCATTGTATGGCATTTTTAATGATTCCGTGTTTTTTATAGGCAAGACTGAAAGACTTTGAGGATCGTCTTGAAACGCTGAGGAAAGAAAGACTTGAAGCTCGTCGAAAACAGCGAATCGAAGAGAGAAAAAGGAATTACATCGAGGAGAAGCGAGAGGCTGCCAGAAAGGCTGAGGAGGAGAGAATTTTGCGAGGTTTGTGAAACCATGTTTATACTTCGACTGATCTGGACGCTACCTTAAAGGTTTATCTTCTAAACGGTTGAGGCTAGTAGATCGTTAGATTGTCTGTCTAGCTCTTTTTTGGATGGTTTGTAATTCAAGGGATCGCTTCTTCAAATCAGCTATGCAATTAAACAGTAAAAGTAGAATAATCGGCGCTGTAGAGTGGATTTGGTTTCCGCAACTGATAGGTTTTTATTTGCAGAAAAAGAAGAAGAGAAAAAACGCCTTGCCATGGAGCTGGAGGCGAAGAGGAAAGAAGAAGAGGAAAGAGAAAGAAAACTTGCAGATATCGAGAGGAAAAAATTGGAGAAGGAAAGGGAGATTGAAGAGAAAATTCGCCGAATGGAACAAGAAGACAGGGAACCCCCTATACGTAATGTGGATGCAGCCAAAGTGGATCCAAGGGATGCAAGAGATGGACAACGTCGTCCACGGGATGGAGAGGACAGTGGAACATGGCGAAGACCTGAAGCAACTACACCCAGTAGAGATACGGGACGAGAAGCTCCTCCTGCAAGAGAGGCAAGCAGCGGAACTGGTCGAAAATACATACCTCCGAGTATGAGGGCTCGTATGAATGCTGGTGAAGCTGCGCCTGAAGGAGACATGTCACGTGATGGAGATCGTTCCCGCGACTTCCGTGACAGTGGACGTTCTAGGGATTTTGACAGAGACAGTGGTAGATCACGTGACTTTGATCGTGATGGTGGTCGGGCGCGTGATTTTGACCGTGATGGTGGACGGCCTCGTGAGTTTGACCGTGATGGTGGACGGCCTCGTGAGTTTGACCGTGATGGTGGACGGCCTCGTGACTTTGACCGTGATGGTGGACGGCCACGCGACTTTGATCGCGATGGTGGTAGGCCACGTGATTTCACACGGGATTCAGATAGAGGGGACAGTAGAAGGGAGCGAGGCTTTGGTGGCGGATGGCGAGGAGACGGAGATAGTAGTGGTTGGAGAAGAGATGAAGCCCCTAGAGACAAGACGGAAGGTCAGTATCTTATCACACCATGGTAGAAATAAAATTGATTAATGACCAACCAGGTCAACTTTGCAGAACCTATGAAACAATGTAAGCAATTTTTGCGTGTTGGGATATTTGTCCTAATAAAAGCGTTTTGTCCTAATTTTAGGAAAATTGAAGAAAATACTTTCATATTACCGGCTCACAAGAAAATTGCTTTTAAACTTTCTACTGTTACACACTTCACGGGTTTTTAAAGGTCTAAGATTCGGACTGAAGTGTTTTTAAGAAATTGATAAATCCGTCCCCTTCCATTGAAGACGTCATTTCTCTAGAGATCGTTGATAACAGTTAATGAGAGATCGATTTTCCTAGGTGATAAGGTGTAGATATGAACTGGGGACATGCCTTATCTCTCTTTTTGCACCAGGCCTGTGTACTATTTTATGCGCTTATCATTTCAAGCAAAACAGTTTTACAAAAGAATGGATGACAAGAGATCAATGGTCATCAGACGTTTTTGTCAAGGTTTTAGACATATTTTTATTTCATCGTGGAAGCTCGTCATTTGAAGAAAAAAGATTTTAGAAAACAACCATAATATCATCATAAGATAGCGAGTATAGATATTTAAGGCTTCCGTGACGTCATCAAATGGCGAATCTACTGGAACTAGAAGCCTGTTTTTTGTCTTAAGGGTTTTGACAAACGGGCAACATATCTTATACCAAGGAACTTTATATCAACATGATAGGAAATCTGTTTACATAGAATAAAAACTTACACATTTGAAAATATAAAAATACTGACAACTGTCAGTGTTCAAACAACAGAACTTATATTTCTCGTAAAGTGTGATAGTGACTATTTCAAGCAGTTATTAAGCTACACCAAAGAAGAACGGTTGTGAGTGAATTTCTGTGGAAATTATGGCCTGGATGCCTGAAGGTTCTTGTTCAAAAAAGGTATATATGATTACAGGTTACAAATTATCACTAGATGACAAAACTGAGACGTCCCATTCTCTTTTATTATCTGATTCACCAACAGTATTTGTACAGACGTCTTTACTGTCTCTTTTGGCATTCCAAGATCATTCTCAGCGTGAATTTTAACCTTTATGATCCAACTGTTTTGTTCCAGCTAGCTCCAAGTAGATAATTTATGCTCCTTGATCGATCATGTAAGAGGGTGCTTTCCTCTTCTTACAACTGCATTTTGGCTGAAGACTTGAAGAGTTTTTGTGATAGCAAGGCCAAACAGGTCTTACTAGCATGAGTTTTAGTGTGCTTTTTCACGAAGTTCAACCAATAAATATTAACTGGGGACGTGCTCGAGAAAGATATTGTATGGTCAAGATACGTTGGCAATGCCATGTGCTATATATACACAGAATAGAGATATAGCCTTTGTATTAAGATATCAATTGAGAGCTTTCTTTTCCCTCTATGCATGCCATTTTCCACAAAAACTGCAAAATTAAAGTTTCGGTAATTGGTTCTCTCTTCTCATCGTCGCATATTTGTTGTATCTGTCTAAACAGAACAATGCATTGTTTTTCTTGATGGACCTGATCTTAAAAAGCTCATTAGAGTTATATGAAATCAAGGGAAGGAAAAGTGCAAGGCCTTTCTGTAAAATAAAAGCCAGGCAACTAAAAAATAGTTTCTTCGTTTGAAATTAAGGATAAACAAGGGGTTTGTTTTGTCCCACAGATAAACAAGGGTTCAAGATTAGACTTTAACATCCCTTGGACGTCTAAACAACTTTTTGTGTAGCGTATTCTACTTTTTGGGTTAACAGCAGTTATCTGTTTGGAGAAGTGAATAAATATATTATGTTTTTTTGGTTTATCAAACGTTAGTCGTCAAACTTTTTCTAGTGAGGGTATCAGTCTAATTATCAATATACCTTACACTATTTTTCATTTCATTAAAGGGCGCTCATGGCAAGCGTCAAGGGTTGGATCTCGTCAAGATCGGGACCGACAAGGACATCAGGGTGATCAAGATTCAGATGGCTGGACAAGAGTTCGACGCTAAACTGCCTGTCATGTTCTAGAATTGACACTTAGATCAAATGCATTGATGTGCTTACCATTAATTGATTAAAACTAGAATGGTATATTGTTATTCAGATATTTTGTCATCTTAGTTTATGTGTTTGGTTTTCTACCACTGATCATTAGTGGACAGTTTAGCATGCTTTATGTTTTGACCACTAGCCTCAGCTTGGAACAGAATGACATTTGCAGTCATTAACACAATTGAAAGATGATACAATACAATTGACACAGTCAGAATTTTGAATGTGAGAGCTGCTTTGGATGCTAAGATGTAATACTCAGAAGTGAAAGGCTACCGACAACTAGTCCAGGGGCGTTGCCAAAGAGGGGTACTGAGGGAGTGTGGTACCCCCCCTCCCAATAATTTGTCTGTCAACATATAAAGGATTTTTTCCGGGCAAAAGAAACTAATTTTGTACTCACCCTGGACCCTTTTTGCAACAATTGTAACATATCAACATTTCTGTCAGCATAAAAGAGTATTATCTTTTGACTACACCCTTAAAAAGTGAGATGCGCCCCCTTTTTTGTCGACAAAAAGCACTTCTTTACCCCTCCAAAAAAAATTTTGGCATCACCCCTGAACTAGTCTAGTCTAGTGAAGACAACAGGATGTCTCAAATTTTGGTAACCTCAGTTAAATGTACTTTTGGTACATTGATAGCACCTTTAAGACAGGAATGTACTGCTGGAATGTTATCCCAAGTTTATTTTAGCATGGGGCACTGTGATGAACCGAAAGTAATGCTTTGATCATAGTTTGATCATAGGAGCCTATAGAAGTGGAGATGCAGCTAGCTGGATCTGTTTAATTGCATTTGATTGTCTTGGTTCAAATGAGACTTTATGTGTTCGTTTGAGACTAGGTCTGGTTCATCTGCCATTGGTGCAGTTCAATGAAGACTGGATGTGCTTCAATTGTGATTGGTTATGGTTACTTAGGAAGGGTGCGGTTCATTTGAGATCAAGTTTGGTTTGTTTGATATCAGGTTTGGTTCCTTTGAGATTGGGTGTGGTTCAACTGAGACTGAATGTGATTCATTTGAGAAAAAGTCTGGCTCAACTGTGATTTGTTGTGTACCATCTGATACTGGGTGTGGCCCATTTGGGACTAGATGTAGTTCAACTGTGATTTGTTGTGGTTTAATTGAGGCTGGATGTGCTTCATTTGAGATTGGATGTGCTTCATTTGAGACTGGATGTGCTTCATTTGAGACTGGATGTGCTTCATTTGAGACTGGATGTGCTTCATTTGAGACTGGATGGGCTTCATTTGGGACTGGATGTGCTTCATTTGAGACTGGATGGGCTTCATTTGGGACTGGATGTGCTTCATTTGAGACTGGATGGGCTTCATTTGGGACTGGATGTGCTTCATTTGAGACTGGATGGGCTTCATTTGGGACTGGATGTGCTTCATTTGAGACTGGATGGGCTTCATTTGGGACTGGATGTGCTTCATTTGAGACTGGATGTGCTTCATTTGAGACTGGGTGTGGTTCAACTTGACTGGGTGGGGTTCAACTGTGATTTGTTTTGATTCATTTGAGAATGGGTGTGGATCAAATGAGGCAGGGTGTTGATCAAATGAAGCTTGGAGCTGATTAGTTTTTACAGGAATTATTTTAATTATTATATAAGAATTATTGAAAGGTGGTGGTGACATGCAAGACAGGAAAATTACAATAAAGATGTAAAGCTTCAGCACATGTTCCTTTCTGTGAATGGTTTATCGGCACTTTTTCCTACCTATATATTCATTTTACTTCAACTCATTAAGTACAGTGATTTTTATTGTGTTTGTTACCAAATATCAAATCTAGTCTTAAAAATTTCTTTCTCAAATATTTGCAATATTTGTCAAGGCTACTAAGAGAGGGGCCAAGGAGGCAAATCATAGCAAAAGAATGCTTCAAAATATTAAAATGTTTTTAATGAAGGCAAGAAGTGACTATAAGAAATACTCATCAATGTATTTAAGGCCAATATAAAGGTCATGGTCACAAAAAACCGTTTGCATTGGCCTTGCCTTGCCCCAGGGCCTCGAAAACCTTCCAACAACCTTGATACTAGTTATATAAAGTTTATATAGGATAATAGTTTAGCTTCTATATAAAAGACATCAAATCATCTAGTTTTCTGCAAATCATGAATAATTTTAAGTCAAACTAAGTTTTTTTACTATTCAACCATGAATTTCATTTTGATTTGTTCACCTAGTCCAGCCTCGATAGTCTCACCAGATTTAACTGGGGACACTCCTGATGGTGTGCCTGTGAGAATCACATCACCAACATTTAGGGTCATAACACCACTGATATAATTGATGAGTTTTGGGATATGGAAAATCATATCCTTGGTATTCCCATCCTGCCTTATTTGATTCTCAACTTTTAGCCACAAATGGACATCTTGTGGGTTTGGCACTGCATCTGCTGGCAAAAACTTGCTGATTGGACAAAATGTGTCCCATGCTTTTGCAAGGGTCCATGGAATTCCTTTTTTCTTTGCATCATTTTGTAAGTTTCTAGCAGTCATATCCAAAGCTAGTGCATACCCTCCAACATGGTTCATTGCATTAGCCTCTTCAATGTTTTTGCCATCTTTACCAATAATGATTGCCAGCTCTACCTCATGATGTAACTCTGAGCAGCCTGGGGGTACCTGCAGGTTGTAAAAAATTAATGGTAGAGATTTTGAGACATCAGAAATTCAATCTGAAACCAATTTGAAAAAGAGGGATTACAAATAAGGTGAGGGTTACCAATAACAATCCTTATATTCTATTTAAGGACTAAACTGTATTATAATTTTGTAGATTTGAGAGAAGTCAAAAGCTTTTATGATTTAAAATGTTGCTTTCTTCAATGCCATTTTGAAAAGCATTAAATTTTTGCCATATCTGATAGGGTTGTCAATGAAATGAAAACCTTTCTCAATTATGCCACACATAAAATAGAAGCTTTTGATTTCAATTTCATATATAAAAACATTAAATAGAAGCTTGCAATTTCAATTTCAGAATGCAGTGCTACATCTCATCAGTAATACTTTAAGGAATAATCTCCATGAGTCAACCATTATATCGGAGCATGTCTTGATTCATTGCCAATATATAATTTTTCTCCGTTTGCTAGCATTGAGTTGCAGAAATACATATCCTTTCTCTTTCAGAACTGGCCTAAATGAGGTCTAGTTGCAGCTCAAAAGGACATATTGAAGATGATAACGAGAATTGGCCAACAGACCTTGATATTTCCTTGGCCTTCTTCTAAAAATGATGTTGTTGGTTTGAGAAATATGAGTGGCTTCTCTGGGACAGTGTTCCCAAGTTCTGCAACATGTTCTCTGTGGGACAAAACCATTAGCAAAGGTGGTCATATATTTAAAGTTTTCATTGAATAACTAGAGCAACATTTTCGATAATATTTCTGTCTTCTCAGAAAAATGGGTATGGATTACACCACTAGAGTCTCTAAAACGGTAGGTATTGGAGCTGGTACCATATATATTGATTTCAAAATACTTAATTCGATCATTGACAGTGTTTGGAATTAACGAAATGTCATTAAACTATCTAGGCCTATTCAGAGTCGTGCCACAGTTTACATATACACACAGAACGCCAATGGAGCATTGTAAACGAATGCACATTAATCTATTAAATTACCGAACAACTTACATGTAATTTCTACCAACACACACTATTTTCTTGCATATTCTGACAAAATTTCTTAATTCGGCTGCCGCACTTCCTGCCATCTTGCACTTTTTAATTTAGTTGCGTGCAACGAAATTCGAAAACCTCGCAGGCCAATTCACATGCATCCAATAGGGCAATACTTTATTTAGAGATTATAACATCTTTCTTTTGTATTTGCTGTCCCAGTGGAGGATTTGAGGGGGGGGGGGCAACTAGGGGCAGTTGCCTCTCCCTCAACGAGTTAAAGCAAGTCTGGCACCCCTTTTTTGGAAATTGTGCACCCCTTTTGAAGAATGAGAATCAGATGAAAAAGGTTCTTGGACCGATATGTTAATTTGCTTCAAGGATTACCTCAAAGTTATGTTGTTTATTCTGGAAAGGTATCTGAAATTGTTGTATACAGCATACACTCGTATCGTAATTAATTTTTGAAAATTTTTCAGCGCCCCCACTACCAACTTCCCCTCTTTCAAATTTGCTCTGGATCCGCCCCTGTGCTGTCCTACCTTTATTAAGCTTGTATCTAGGGTTATTAGGGCCGAATACAATATAAATCAACGCGGAATAGAGCCCCAAATATTTTCTCATCCATATCTCAGGCATTTTTTATATCAACGCTGTACTAGTAATATCAAGATAAAATGATATAACTTATTTTATTTTATCTTATAACAATATATCTCATAACAAATGAGCTTTTTTCTTTTCGTCCCCTGCCCCTCCGCCTCCCCCAATATGAAGAGTTCTTTTCAGTCCTCAGGCCTGTATAGTTCACTATGCGCTTTACAGTCCACCGTGAATACACGCCACGTCCCCCTACCCCAAAAGCACGTTGAAATACGTGAGTTATATATAGTTCGCTGACGATGGGGGTAGCAATGCCAAATGGGTGATTCTCAGTCTTTGTGTGCGGTCTTGACAGAATTTATAACTTAGAAGACAGAATTTAGAAACCGAAAGATCTGAGCAATAAAGCAATTTGCTACTTCTAGTTTAAGCCTACTTTTGTTACATTTGCTTAATTCCATTTTGAATTGGAATTAATTACTTTATGTGCCCCCTAGAGAAACCCAAAATCAAACGCAATTAATTAAGTACCAATCAATTAATTAATTATCTGGAACGCAATCGAAAAAGTGACGAGAATCGATGTCAGGTATGAATCTGAAAAGTAAGCATGAATGTCATAAATTCTCATTCTAATTCATAAATTCTTAGCCAGTAGAAGAATCAGTTCAGCCCATAGAGAACTGAAATTTCTTGGATGTAGATGCCGAAAGAGAAGAAAATGAAGGATATCTTGGTTCGTTTGAACTGGATATATTACGCTCTTTTTTATAAGAACTAATAAATTTAAGTTCGGGCTGACTGTTCTTAATTTTTTCGAAAATCTGAGGCTGGATTGTTCTTAATCTGTCTTAAATTAAGAGGGTGTAAGCAGTGCTATTGCTAGCTTTTTCGCTCTAAGGAGGTATTCAGGCCTCATTTTGTTACGGTACGAAGATCGAACTTCTATCACGTGCTGGTCCACGTGGGTATCAGCGTGAACATCGTTTTATCAACTTTAATGCTTTTTAACTATTGTTCTGTTCTAGTATCTAATTGGCTGTTATCATGTTCTGTTTTGTTATTGGCTAGCTGTATTTTAGAAAGGGTATAAAGGAGCTTGCCTGTTTTAGAGTAGGAGGCTTTTTACTGTGGGCGTTCCCGCCTTGCCAAAAGAATCGTGGCCGCCGTTTCCCGATGAAAGTCGAAGCGTGTGTCGCTTGAAAGACGTCGCTGTTGTCCTGTTGCCATTCGAAGTGTTTAGTTCAAAGACGCCACGAGTCGCCAACACTGAAGCAAGCAAGCTAAAGGTCGTGAGTGCTTTGTTATCATTGTTATTCTTAGCTTTTCTACATTCTTTATATTAAACATTTGAGACTGATGTCATATGAAGTTTTTCGTTGACTCACAAACTGTTAGACTTATAGGCGTAGTCTAATAATTTGCCAACAAATCGAGTGAGACCAGTGGCGTACCCAGGGCTGCAGTAGTGGGGGGGGTCTGGGGCAGACCCCAGAGAATTTTTTTGACCACGCCCTCCAGAAACTCGCAAATGCGGGGAAACGCCCTTTTTGCAAAATTTCCCCCCATTATTTGATTAGTGTTGGCTACGGTAAATAGCAAAGTGTTTTACAATAGTTATTGATACAAGCATACATTATACTGCACCACCCCCCCCCCCCATGAGTTTTACATCATTTTCGGACAAATTTCGAGGATCATATTTTAGAAAAGTGGGGGGTCCAGACCCCCCTATTCACCCCCTTGGGTACGCCACTGAGTGAGACAGCCTTAATTTGCTGACAAATTTGAATATTCACCGAAAAAGCACCCACACATCGCTAAAAATCCTCGATTTTGAGAAAAAACGTTGCTCAAAATTGCATTTTGCAGAAGCTCAGCCTCATCTTGTTCTTAATTTATTCTTAACTTTTGACCAGTTTTGAGGCTCGTGTTCTTATAAAATTGTTTTATAAAAAATTGTTGATGACAAAGAAAAACCAGAAACTGTAAATTGATGTATTGTAATGCTAAAAATATCAAGGATTTTTTTGTTTTTCTAAAACCCATCGATCTAAAACGAGACTTTTCTAGCGTTAAAAAAATTCATTTGCCCTGCTTCATCGAAAATAAATCCCACCGAAATTGTTGGCACTCAGGGGCGGACTGGCTGGTCGGGCTATTCGGGCAATCGCCCGAAGGGCCGGTCAGTTTAAGGGCCGGTCAATAAGAGTGCAAAAAAATAAATTGGTTTAAAAAGTGAATGCGAGGAGAAAAAAGTATACCCACGTGTTGATCTGTTTGCCTTGAATTTTCAGAGACTTTGTGAGAAAGAATAAATATACACGCGAGTACTTAAAACCATCAAAATTGTGAATTCATTATTGTCATGCTGTATTATCCAGTTGATGGATAAAACATACAACATATGTTGATGGAAACAAAACTGCCCCTCGTCTTCCAACCAACATAAGAAAGAGAACAGCCTATTTCGATCCACAACTGGGTATATATTTTTCATCGTGTTCTATCGGACCCTGATTCTGACGTTTTATGCTCTGAGGAGTGTCAGACAAAAAAGCTATTAGTATGTCGTAAAATGTTTGCTTTTTTCAAAGTCATTAACCATGTTCTGCTAGCCATGTTCTGTTAACCATGTTCTGGTAACCATGTTCTGTTAACCATGTTCTGTTAACCATGTTCTGCTAACCATGTTCTGTTAACCATGTTCTGTTAACCATGTTCTGTTAACCATGTTCTGTTAACCATGTTCTGTTAACCATGTTCTGTTAACCATGTTCTGTTAACCATGTTCTGTTAACCATGTTCTGTTAACCATGTTCTGCTAACCATGTTCTGTTAACCATGTTCTGTTAACCATGTTCTGTTAACCATGTTCTGTTAACCATGTTCTGTTAACCATGTTCTGTTAACCATGTTCTTTTAACCATGTTCTGTTAACCATGTTCTGTTAACCATGTTCTGTTAACCATGTTCTGTTAACCATGTTCTGTTAACCATGTTCTGTTAACCATGTTCTGTTAACCATGTTCTGTTAACCATGTTCTGTTAACCATGTTCTGTTAACCATGTTCTGTTAACCATGTTCTGTTAACCATTCATCCATGCACAAAATTACTGAATTCAAAAACTTGTTTTTCCGTACAGACTAATATTTACTAGCATTTTCCGAGGAATTTTTTATTTGCTATTATTATGGGCCGGTTTGATCAAAATGTGCCCGGGCCGAAAAAATTAGCCAGTCCGCCTCTGTTGGCACTTGATGTATTGCGCAAACCTTGCTTTCGTTTGTTTATTAGAGCCTATTCTGTGTAGACTTTCGAATAACTTCGTTCGCACACTCAAAGTGACAAAGGATTACAAACAAGTCTTTTTCCTGTTACACTAGCTATGTTACATTCGAGACCCTGGGGGAAAACCCGAAATTCCTTTGAAGTCAAGTCAATAAAAAGATTTACTGTATTATTCTTTTCTACTATTTATTTTCTTGATAAGAAACTTTTCTTTGGAATTAATGGGAGGGGGGAGGTGAAGCCTCTCTCCCTCTTTGACGTCGTCCATGGACCATGGGTCAAATCCCTTATAGAATTTTAAACTTCTTTCCTCATACTCGTCGCTGTAGCGTGAATTATAAAAATTTTGATTTTGAAAAATCTTTGATGCTAAATGAAAATTCGTCAGCATCATCATCTTCGTCATCATCAATCACTTGAGGGGAAAATGTTAGGAAATGACCTTGTCCCATTACGGTGACAGTATTCTTGACGTTATCAATGACGTCCACGCCCCCTGCTACTGGCGTATTGGTATTGTGATAAAACTCGTGTCCCAAGAAAAATGACATGTGATGATTTAAGCCAAAGCATTACGGGAATCCTGCAGTGCTGAAAACGCTTAAACTTTGCTGCCCCGAAACTGTTTGACCAAATTGGAAGGAGTATCCTTCGTGATATAAACAAAGTTTATCAAAGCTCGAATCGATTTGATTTCAGTATGGAAATCGGCATGCACGACGTGTCAAACATGGAGACTGAGTGCAGCAGCTGTGAAGATGCAATGAAGAGGGACAGGCACGATAGCTGCCTGTGCGAGGACTGCCTAATGCAGAGTATCAACTTTTTTGGACAGCAAGAAAGTGTGCTGGAGAGGCGTTTTAAACGAAGAAGTGTAACGTCCATGGACGACATTCATCAAAAAATAATCAAGGAACCCAAAATGGACATGGATATAGTGTCTCCCGTTTGGTGCCCCTCCTCGACAGTAGCAGAACAGCCGATGATGTTAGGGCCATCAAGAAATATGTACAGTGATGTTCTTTCCCGTTATCGAGAAGGTATGTTTGTTAATGTCTGGATAACTTTGCAACCATTTTCTGCCCTCACGTGATGTGGACACACACGGAAGTGAAGGATATCGATATCGGATATTCATGCAGCACTTAAATATAAACATTTATCAGCAGCACTTAAATATAAATATAAACAAATTGTTCCCTGTTAATCAATAGTCGTTGAAAATACCTTCGCTTTCAATTTCAATTCATTTTTAATACTTTTATTTCAATCCACACCTTTGCCAGACTGAAAAGTTTGGTCTCCGCGGGGAATGCGTTCCCCGCGCAATAATTTTTGCCCTTATTTCCGCCCCCGCATTATTAAGAATCTACCGTATTTGTTTATCTGGTCATGCTCCCCTCGAATATTCCACCATTTAAACTTTTGACTTCCGATAACAAGAAGAAACAACGAATACAAGGTCTCTTCGAAAGTCTTTGCTTCAAATTCCGCGCACGATTTCGCGGGAAGTGTTCGTTATCCGCAAATTTCGAAATTATTGTTCTGGCGTTCCCCGCGGAGAAAAAAATACTTTACAGTCTGGCACCTTTGTATAAATTAAAATATGTAATAGTTATTTATAACAAGCAGCACCAAATAGCTGTATTTTAAAAACCGCTACTTCCGTTTATAGCCTTACAGGCAGGGGTGTGGCTATCAGTGGGTGTGTGCGTGTGTGTGTGGGGGCGGGGTGTTACATAATCCTTAGTTTGTCGGTGAAATTATCTATCAGTAGGTGAAATAGCACCTATATTCTTCTTCATCTATGTCTTCGTCGGTAATTTTTTCTTTTGATGACCCTCCACCCCCTAGTCTGGAAGTCAAGTGACAACACTGCTTACAGGGAAGTCTAGCTTTTGATGAGTCTTGTGTTTAACTGACCTCTAATCTATAATATAGTTGCTGAGTCATAAACTTCCTATAATTTCTTCCTATGACTAAAGTGAAATGTATCCGGGTAGATGTTATCGTTTTTATGCTGCCACGTCTCTGTTCTGTGGCCACAACCCCAACTCCGCCTCCTTGTGAGGCCTGGGCACTGGTAGGTGTGTGCAGGTCGCAGCAGGCAATTCATGCTGTCGTGGTTTGTGGCAAGAGTAGTGTTTCCAGGTAGAGTGGCTGCATTGCTAAAAGCTTGTTAAACGTTGCATCGATTCTCACCCGATTTTCAAGTCACAAAGTCTTGAAGGAAAGAATTGATTCTGGTCAGGTTTTCACGGTAGGACATGTTTAAGTTTTAGGCGACGTGTCCAAGAAAAGTTTGTTGACTTTCCAACAAAATGGCAAACTTCATGCTGCACTGTTTGTAGTGTTTGAAACTTTGTGTTTTCAACCTTTGTACTCATAAGTGATTGCTTTTTAAACTGTTGAAAGCAATGAATTTTTTGCTTCGGAAATTACAGACGGTCCCTTGGAAACGTAATTTTGGATTGCATTGGGGTTGTTGCAGATAAAATTTGAGAACAAGTTGCACACAGAATGCCCAATGGGTGTTGGGACAATCTTCCGTACAAACACCATTTGATAGTATCAAAGTACGATCGATAATGGGACCATTCATGGAATTAACAGCGTGTGTTGTGTCTACATGGAAGAAAATTCTTTTCAATACGTTTTACGTTGACGTGGGGATGACATATGTTGAAAGCAGATTGATTTTTGAGAAAAGATGCTATTCATTCCATCTTGTTTATGGAAGTTTACAGACAATTCATATCAATATTCAAATGCTAAAATAATCTAGGTTTAAAGTGTCTTGATATCTATATAGATGCAAGTCATATTTTTTGTGATGATGAAAACTGAAAATCGATTTGCAAAGCAATTTGAATATAAAATTCTCGTTGATCATTTCTCTTTAACACTCATGATCATGCTGAATAGATTTTAATTTTCCAAAAACTTTGACTCACATATGTTCAATATATCAGTGCAGCGATTAAAGAAGTCTTTAGTTCAAGACGTTTTTTGAATCAAGAAGCTTTCATGCAGTATTCATATTTGATGCTTTTAACATCTGACTGGTGGATCATTTGTCCTAGTGGGCCCTTTTGTTGTTCCAGTGGGCCCTTTTGAATCCCCACTAGCTGGAAATCTTTAAAAAGTGTCAAGATGACTTGCCTTGAATTTGGCAAGCAGTGTAATGCACACACATTCCTATGGGCCAATACTGGAAGCTTCTTAAAGCCATAAGATTTTGAGTGATTTGAGTTTCTCATGAGAACCTTGGGAGCCCTGGTATAGGATTGGGTTCAACCTCCTTTGATGGTTTATGTTTAGTTGAAAGAAATTTCAAGAATGAAGTAGGACTGCAACCTTGATTCAAATCTAGGTAACCCCCTTTTGCTTTAGTCTTTAGTGCATAGCAATACAGTTTTTCTGCGGGCTAAGCCCCCAGTCCCCTGGCCATCTCTCCCTGGGCAGGGCCATTCCAACAACCAGGCTTCACCACTGGCTAAATGATGATTTTTAATTTGTTTTAACAACAAACCAGAAGACACCCCAAGATGCCTTTTCTATTGTTCCTGTCCCTGCCACATCATGATGCTTCTGGCACCTCTACAAAGCGTGCTCCTTAGGCAGGGCTGGACACTTGGTCAAATTTTGGGGAGGGCAAGCCTATTGTTTTAATAGGATGACATCACATTTCCCATTGTTTTAGAACAAAAGACAATTGTCCTCTAAAGTATTGGGGGCAGTCGCCCCCCTCACCCCCCAGTGCCAGTGTCCACCACTGTTCATAGGTATATTTTTGGAAACTTTTTTGGCATAGTAGGGGTGGGGGCAATGACCCTCGCATTCCTGGTAACCTTCCTTTGTTTCAAACAAGGTCAGGCAACATTTCACACTGGAGCACTGGGGGTCAAATTACAACATTTTGTAATATTGATAAATAAAACTAGCATAGATTAAAATGAAGCGTGAAGTTGATTTGATAACTTACCATAGATTTAAAATTAGGCCTAGCAGATTGGGAAGGAGGGTTTATCTTGATGTGAAGTGAGTTGTTTACAAGTGAGTTGTTATCTGGAGATGAAGTTCAAGCAAAGTGACAAGAAGGACACTTGTTTTTTGGTGATCAGTGAATGAAGTTATGCAGGATTAAGATAGAAGGCAACTGCTGCCCCACCTCATATTTAACTCTGAAAATATGCCTGCAGAAGCATTTTTAGTTTGTGCAAATAATATTATTCATTATGAGGTACCGATGGTAGACAAACTTAAAATGTAATTCTTTTTTATGTATCATGTACGAGTGTGTTGATGATCATGCTCTTCCAGGATTCTCTATCTTGACTTTTTTCAATGAGTTTATTTTCCAGGTATTCCATTCTTTTGTGGTACTCAAATACATATTTCTCTTTTTTCTTCTTGCTCTTTTACCTTCTACTTTCCCAATTAGTAATAGATTCTCTAGCATAGCAAGAAGTCCACAGTCCCCTTAATGCTATGTCTATACGATCAATAGTTAAAGAAATTTTCTTTCTCCCCAAACTACTAACCTAATATCAACTCAGAAGACAGTTAACAGTCTTATCTGTTGTAATGCTTTCAAACCTGTACCTTTAACATAGTTTTGTTGTGCAACCTTTTATGAACAGGAAGCCTTAGAATAGGGATTGCCTTTAAGTTTTAGTTACTTCAGCAAGAAAGACCTTCCTATTGATCCTTGTGCTTTACACTAATTTCTCTTTTCTTACAGGAGAAATGTTCTCAATGATTCCATACGTAGTAGATTTGTCAAAGAAGTTAATTCCAGGACTATGGGAGAAGGTAATGAATGTTTAAATGATAGCTTTCTCTTCTACCTTCTTATTAACACTAATGTAAAGTACTGTACCAGAGTAACTGGGAAGTGGCATTTTCTGTGAAATATTTAGAAATTGAACAATACACTTTGGGAATGTATCTATCAAGCTATTTTGCTTTTATTTGAGAGAAGTTTGAGACAAGAATTTTTCAGTACATTCTTTCGTTTTAGTTTCCAATGTAACTGTGGGAAAACATAAAGAATAGAAAAAACATCCCTTCTTTTAAATGTCTTCTTGAATAAATGCCCCCACTAAGCATAAAGGACTTTTTTGGGACAATAGGATTTGTGCTTTAATTGCTTGCTGATTTGGAAAATGGTTGTGATGTTGAAAATGACAGGCAGTTTTAATCCTTGAATTGACTATGGGTTAATTTTGAAAAATGCTTACATTTGAAGTTGACAACTCTGTATAAAAATATCTATGCTGCAGTTAATTAAATTACTTTTATGATTTTTAGGAAAAGCTGAAAGAGGTGCTCAACAAATTCATTCTGACCAAAGATACTCTAGAACAGGTCATTGCAGCCATGAATGAAGACTTTGACAATGGACTTTCGAATGATCCAGAAAGAAGTCACAAAAGTCCAATCAAAATGCTTGTGACATATGTTCGCTCAACTCCCAATGGTTCTGAAAAGGGTGATTTCTATGCACTTGATCTTGGTGGCACTAATTTCAGAGTTTTGCTTGTGGAAATTCATGATAAGAAAATTTCAATGTCACACAAGCAATATGCAATGGATGATGCTTTGATGAAAGGGTCTGGTAGCAATTTATTTGCGTATATAGCTGAATGTCTGGCTAAGTTTTCAAATGAGCACAAAGTTAACAAGCTCTGCTCAGTTGGGTTCACTTTTTCATTTCCAATTGATCAAAAAAGTTTAACCTCTGGGAATCTCATTAAATGGACAAAGGGATACAGTGCTGATGGAGTGGAAGGAAAAGATGTGGTTCAGTTATTACACAATGAGTTAGATAAAAGAGATGTGAGTTATCATAATTTTTTAAAGATTATTGTTATGTAATGCCATACTTTTTTATCCATATTTAACATGAGATCATAGGCCGTGGCTATTTTAGGACTACTTAGGGGCTAAGTGTTTACCTATTTTTATCTGACCTTGGCCTTTCTCTTCCAATCTCAAAATTTCATTTATGTTTGAAGTAATCAAGTACAAACTTTCAGCTTATCAGCTGGCATCATCTTAATAATTGCTCAGTATATAGATCAAAGTATTATTCACCTTTAAATCCACCTTTGTCAATTTTTTTCATTCAAGGACCTTAAAGTCCATAAAGTTGCACTTGTCAATGATACAACTGGCACGATGGTTGCATGTGCATTTGATGATCCTGATGTTGAAATAGGACTTATTCTTGGGACTGGAACAAATGCCTGTTACATGGAAAGAACTTCTAACATTCCTAAGTGGGATGGGGATGATGGACCTCCAAAACAAGTCATCATTAACACGGAGTGGGGTGCATTTGGTGAAAAAGGAGAACTAGATTTTGTCAAGACAGATTATGATATTAAAGTTGACCAAGAGTCGCTTTACCCTGGAGAACAAGTGTATGTGCTGCTTATTTTTTTGTTATTTTTTTCAATGTGCTATCTAAAGGGCATCCTTGTTTTTCTGTCTATAGGAGGCATTCATGTATTATGTATGCTCAGAAATTGGGAGCTCTTGGTTCCAACAGAGGATATGATCATTTGCAGGGTGCATAGGAGAGTCTAATTAAAATGTTCATAGGTCATTTCAGTCTTCTTTTTATTGCAAGCCCCAATAAAAAAAGATCTAGAAATCCGTCTACATGTTACAAGTACTTCTCTCATATCATTTCCCCTTGTTTTTGATATATATGTGTGTACCCAGTTGTACAGAAGGAGAAGGGGTATTAGAAAATCAAGCCTTTTGAGCATACATGCTTAACAGTTTCCCTAATAGTGGTCTTCTGGAACTGTATATCAAATTTAATCCCTTCAATAGAAATTTTGATCATTTTATACCACTATAGCTGCCCATTGCATTGAATCAAAATTAAGAGAGTCTTTATGCCTTAAAAGTAGAATCAGAATACGTTATATTCATATTTTTCAAACTGTCTTGTTGGGTTGGGATTATCTATTGTAAGTTGTTCTAAATTATATGATCTGATTTTTCCTGCACATAACAAAAGTTAATGAATGGTCTTTTACTAAATTTAAACAAGTTATTGGATATTATTGGATAATGAATAGAATATTAAGGAGTGTATCAAAATTTTATTTTCTTTGTTTCAAAACACTTGCAAATACACAGAAATTGCTGACAGTTTTTAGCGATTGTTTTTCAAAAATCTTATTGATGAATACGAAAGATATTCAGGAACAAAGCAATATGACGACAAGAATCCAATGTGACGAGATAAAATTTTCAAAATAAATTAAATTTAAGGAATAATATTATTGATGAATGCCACTCAAATTTGAAACTGTAGGAGCATTGACTGTAAGAGTTTCTTTTGATTTTCTTTCAAATTTCTCTTGTCTCTAGATATGAGAAAATGATATCAGGAATGTATCTTGGGGAAGTTGCAAGACAGGTACTGGTGGAGTTGATAAATGAAAAAGTAATATTCAATGGCCTTGTCACTCCACTGCTCCAGAAGACAGGCAGTTTTGAAACAAGATTCTTGTCTGATATTGCTAGGTGAGTGGGTTTTTGTTACTTAACATTATTTCTTATAAATTAATCAATAAAGGGTGTGGGTTATATTTTTTATTGCTCAATCAAGTTTATCTGGACTGTGGATTTAATCTATGCATACATACTCCCATGCACCTGGGACAACCAGTTTTTTATTTGCCGACAGCTGCTAATTGTTACACAGGGTAACTGTCAGGCAACCAAATTTCTACCAAAATTGTCTACCCCTGAGGTATATTCTAAGGAAGCAGCTCTTTTTATTGGCTGTATGTAGTGATGGACACTTGGTCAAATATTAGGGGTAAGCCCATTGTTTTTATAAGATAACATCATATTTGCCCATTGTTTTGGAACAAAAGAGCATTGTTTTAAAGAATATTGGAGGTAACTGCCCCCTTCACCCCCTCCCAGGTGTCAGCCACTGGCTGTATGTTACAGAGAGAATTTGTGTCACTTAAGTGCTAAAGAACTCTGAAAAGACTTTAATAGAGTACCATTTCTACATTATGTTGCCCCTAGATTTTAATTCCTTTCTCCCATCAAGTGAAGTTCTGATTTAACTGGTTTTCTATTTGTGATTTTGGTGTTAACCAGCTTTGCTCGTTTTTTTAACCCAGCGATGAAGCAAAGAAGATACTTGAGGTGCTGGAACACCTAGGCTACAAGCCAAATTTGAATGAGCTCCAGGTTGTCAAAGATGTCTGTGATATGATATCAATGAGATCAGCCAGACTGGCTGCAGCAGGATTGGCAACTATAATTAGAGTAAGTTGGGTGTTTTTTATTTGTTTAAGAGCCTGAAGGTATTGTGGAATTTTTAAAAGTATCTACAAAAATGTGGACGAAAATCATACAGAGGTTTCTAACAAAGTAGTCTAAATGAATGGAAACATCGCAATTCAAGCGTTAGGCTAGATTTGGTTCATAGGAATACTTGGGATGGATTGCTTCCTCGTTTGGTGCAATTTTTTAGCTAGCTTTTAATTAAGCTAGTTTAGCTGCTAGTTTCATGTTTGCTGTTCAACTGGGCAATGAATTGTTGCACCATTTCGGGTTTAAGATGACTTTGAGTTTTTGATATCAGTACTGTTCCCTACGGGGTATTTTTTTTTAAATTGCGAGATAAGAGAACCAACCGCGCAACAACATGGACGGCGCCAGACTGGGGGCTGTGGGGCTCCTGAAAGTGTTTTTAGTATTGCTTTATTTCAAAGGAATAAGCCGGGGTCTATGGTGCCCCATAAAGTAACGAATTTCCTTTTAAGACTGGAATTAATCAAACGTAAAAAACCATGCCTTAAAAATAGCAAAATGTTTGCAAAAAAGTACCGCAAGGAATATTTTGCAATGTATTTTTAGCTAGTCTGGAGGGCGTGGCTGCAAATGTTCTCCGCTCGCAAAAAAGCCTCCTCTTTGGATATACCTAAGGCCCCCGACAACCCCTAAGGCCGCCCCTTCCAATGATCCGCTAGCATAACGAGTGCCCCCATAAAATCATAGGCATAAAATATCGCGAAGCATTTCAGTGCATTTTTCAAAATGGATTTTTTAATCTAATAATGTTAGCAACTCGAGCACTTGGACTAAGGCAGATCGTGAAAGACACTAAATTCAATTTTGTGATTGAAGAATGTGAATCATAATTTTATCTTTTCTGTATCTACTACTGTGAACAGTGAACAGGAATCCGTCTGTTACATTATGTCATCTATCCAAGCTTTCCTTTCAAATGTGGTCCTTCATCTTAAATAGCGAGGTCATCTATTTTATGTGATGGATTCGACTTGAGTCAAAGCTTTGACATTACCCTCTTCAATTCAACGTATTTTGTTGACAATCCAATTTTCTTCTAGTATTTGACCATTGCTAAACGGAAATTGTCGGTTTTTCTGTTTGTTTTTCATGAGGAAATATTCCACTTTGATATCCCAAATTTTAGGTCATTATATATTGTTCTTTAACATGGTATTCGCAAAGGTACTGCCCAGTTTACTTAAAACGATATTTTGCGAAACGAATTATTCATATTCTACTGGTGTCTTTCAACATATTGACCCCGTCTTACCAGAACTATTTTTTAATTTTTAAACAAAGAGCAAACAAAATGTATCAGTTCAAACTAATGACTTTTTTGACATTTGCGTTGATTCGCTTGAAACATTAAACATGGTTAACTCGACGCATAGGCGTTAAATATTTATGTATCGCATATTTAAATATTTTGTTGCATGCACAAGCAGTGGATAAAAATAAGAACTGTGACGCAATTTCGAAAGAGATTTCCAAGTTTGTGAGTTGAATTTCAATGAAGGCGGCCTGATCTTGTTCTGTTTATCAATTGTGAATAATGATCATTTCTAGTTCAAAAGTTTTATTACCTGCCTTGGTTTTGAGCTTAAACAAAAACTTTAATTCGTTCAGTTTGGAATTTTTGTAACTGCACCCTACGGAGTGCCGGGGGCGACTATGTGTCTGACCATTGGGGGGGGGGGGCTATCACCGAAGAAAATGTATGGGTTTGGTCAAGAGGATGACGTTCAGTAGAACCTAATGCACAGCCTACATTTTCGAATTTTTAAGAGAACCTTGTTGCAAATGAATGAGAGTTGAAACGTCTGAGAGAGGTGATTTTCCATAACGCTTTTTTTCCGTTAAGCCCTAGCAAAAACAACTAAACATTTCACTCAACATTTCACTCAACTTTTGTTTAGTGACGTTGAGGGAAGTTTAACGAGGGTGGCAAAACGTGACTGAACTTTTCACTAAACTTCACTCAACTTTTTTTAACTGCGAGCTGTCTATGACGCTGTTGGGTTGTAGGGGATCTTGCAAAGGAATTTGCTTTTGGTTTATTTTGTTGCATGCACAAGCAGTGGATAAAAATAAGAATTGGATGAAGCAACGAGGAAAGAAAAGACTTTTTAGCACATTAACAACAAAGTTGACTGTTGAGGAAGACACAGTGGCATACAACGAGATATGCAGATGTCTCATGAAGGCTTTTTTTGGTCACGTAGAGACAGGAAAACCAACGAAAACTGACGAAGCCCTTTGGATTCCCACAGCGAGAGCGCCTGAGCGAACACAACAAATGTTTAATTGGTGGCAAAACGACTAAACATTTGCTAAACAACACTAAACAACGCTAAACATTTTTGACCAGGATCAAACTTTGCTCAACAACACTCAACACGACTAAACAACACTAAACAGGGTGGCAAAACGACTAAACTTTTCACTAAACTTTTGGCTAAATAAAAGTTGAATGAAATGTTTTGTGCCGAATGACGCCATAAGGAGTTTACAGCTGTTCGAGAAATAGATTCTGGACCTTGAGTGGGGAAAGACACTTAATTCGAATGTCTATTTCGGGATATTTTTGTCGGTTTAGACTAAAACTGGCGCGTTTGTGGTTTCAATAATTCGTTAATACACTGTTTATGGAAATTTCAAAAGCTTTTAGGGAAATTCCTTTCATGAAATGTCATGTAAATAATTACTTTGTTATAGGTGCAGACGATTTTGACATTTGTCTAGGAGAATTCATAGCGTGTTTTGGAAATATTAACTGAAAGATTTACTTTTTGAAGTATACAAGAAACCTTTATTGTAATTTCAGGCTTCAACTGATTGTAAGAATGTCGAATTCGCTGAATAATTCGCCTGCTGTATACCATTAACCTGTGCCTCGTCGTTCTTAAAGTTGCAAGCCTCATCATAATAAACGTTTTGTCTTGATTTCAGAGGTTGGACAAAAAGAAGTTGACTGTTGCGGTAGACGGCAGCTTGTTTAAGAAGCACCCCAAGTTCAAGAGCTACATGGCAGAGACGTTACTTGAGCTGGTTCCTGATGTAAAGTGAAGTTGATGTTATCTGAAGATGGTTCGGGCAAAGGGGCTGCACTGGTTGCGGCTGTTGCCTCCAGGTTAGAAGCAGAAAACCAGTAGACATTTTTATACATTAATTGTGTAATTTTATCGAGTATTTATGTATTATTGTCATTAAAGTGGATTTTATATACACGCAATAGTGGACATTGAATGGATTGTTTAACACGCACTTGAAACATTGCATTTTGGCTAAATATAAGAAAATTCTACTGTGCATCTTGCAACTTGACTATTTGTGAATTGATGATATGTTGCAAGTAAATTGGCCCGTATGTACTGTAGATGGCAACGCAACAGTGTAATTCGCTACACATTAACTATATATGTAATTTTTGTTAAAAAATGAGCAAGGAAACCATATGAGCTTCAAGCTCGGTTGTTACAAATCATGCTGATGCTGCCCTCTAAGCAAGAAACTGTTTGCAGCATCGACGTCTTGAAATAGTCGTGTAAAAGACTCGACCTTTTGTCTGGTCTTATTATCGACAGCCTCGATCGCAAGTATGCAGTTTCACAACGAAGTCAGCAGCTCATTATATTATTAAAAATTGTCAAGATTTAACTCTCTTAACAACAAAATAAGCACAAGATTTCCATACAAAATACCTCCAAAAAACAAAATTTCCAGCGCCTTTTATTGAAAAGTCTCTCATTAGAACTTAAAAAGGTTTTTGCAATTTTCTATGGTTTGGCCAATAAATAATGCAGAGTCCAGTTTATAAAGCCATTCCGCACAATTAACTTAATCAAGCTTTTTCAAAAGCTGCCGACTATTACAGCTCTCTTCGTACCGGTTGTTATCTGACCATTTTACACCAAGCGTATCTCCTTGCTAGTACCGAACCATGGATATCTTTAGATAATGTTATAGAAATTTTCTGTCATTTATATAAACTGTTATCACGGCGAGAGTACAATTATTTCGTCGATAAAGAATTAGACCAATGTACTGACGAGACTAGATATAGTCAATGTCAGATAGTTCATAATTCAAAGGGAAGCCAATTTTGCCGAGTTTTTTTAAACTTAAGCTATCAAACGTTTGTCTAACCACGATTATAATTATTATAACGAATGGAAATATTACCTGTCTTAGACATTTTACATTTTCCGGCTGTCAAATCGTTTGGTTTTAACAGTATTTCGTTTTGATTCTCGTCTGCAATTTAATAGCATGCGCTAGTCTGCCCTGAACATCCCCATTGTATTTTGTACTGATATAAGTAATATAGGCTGTTGTGGATCATAATCGTTTTTTGACTTTATAACTAATAAGGTAGGTAGTCTGGGCAGGGTCTCAGGAATAATTTTCACACACAAGAGTCTTGAAGTCGCTAGGCCATTATTTTTGTTTACAGAATTTCTCTCCTTGTTCACAATTAATGCCCGGTTCGAGGGGCAATAAACTCTTACAAATAGCGTACGAGTTTTCCATGAAAACAAAAATATTTCTAGGAATATTTTTCAGATAAAACAATAGGATTTTCACCAAAGGTGTACGAGATTTTGGACTTGTATGCCCCTCGGCTTGTTAAGATAATGTAAAGGGGGCAGATCTCCAATAAATTTTAATTATGCTATTTTGTGACCATTTTCTTGTCCTATATCACTGCACACAAGCAGTATGAAGCATTTTTACCTTTGGTAGACTTATGCATATTTGTTTGTTTACATATTTAATGTAATTGTAAACTGTGTTTGTGTAAATATTTGTCCAGTCTTTGATATTGCTGCATCTCTTTCCTGCTTTTCCTCGCAATGGCAATGGCGATAGCAGAAGTCCTATTGAGAATCAACAGATTAATCGTAAATCTGAAATTACCCCTCGTAGGACCGAAGTAGTATTAATATCTTAAGTTCTGGATAATGTAGCTTTTGAAATGCTTAAAATCGTAGGAGTTTTTGACAAATGAATCGCTGATCTGCGGAAGCCATCACAAGGAACAATACATTATTACCATTGTAAGCCGGTTGCAGAAATTTATCTAGTATTGAGAATTACTTTCAAAAGTAAGGGGTTAGAAAAGAGGCTTGTGAAAGCTTGTAGAGACTGGCAATGAGCTGTACCAGGCATTACCAAAACTGATATTATCGGTCATTAAGTATTTGGTCCTTTAAAATGCAATTGCATCCCAGATCACGATGCAGCAACTCCTCTCAAATGCTTTTTTAAAATACTTGCCAAGCTTATTATTTGCTAAAAGTATTGAAAAAATGAAAAGCAAGGTAGATGCCAAACCAATTTTTGGGATGAACAACTGAATGGATGTTTTCTTGAGGGTAATGAAATTCTCCATGAAGTTTTTCAAGACCACTGCTTGCCTAAATTCGAGGAGACGTCGTGAATTGTAAGTGAATGAACTTCTGACAACAGCTATCATGCATGTTAGCTTTGAAAATGGCGAAATACAGACTTTCTCGAAGCAGGTCTCCCCGTTGTTTTTTACTGGCGTGAAAGGTTTGCCTTTGGTATGCAGTAAATATTAAGGCATTGCAATATAGTATGTGGTGAGCTTACATACTCTAGAATACAAGGGAATGAATTAGTCGTGAAATATTAATGTACGCACTGTGATGTTTGGTTTTCTTTTCCATTGGCGGCATTTTACAAAAAAGATATTACAGTCAGTTTGATAAAACTAGCGATAAGCTAATTGGCAACGGAGCAGGTTTATCTTCGTGTTTAAATGTATTGATTTGTCCGTAAATCTAAACAGACTGTGACAGAATTCATTTGTGTGCTTGTCTTTTCCTTTTTGCTAACGGACTTCTGTGTTGTTAGCAACAAAATTAAAAGGGATCAGCTGTGGTAACTATAACCACTCACATAAATGTGCATTTCTCACCCAAATTCATGCACATAAACAGTCCAACCACGAACAGTACTGCGCGGGGGCAAAATTGCAATGTTTTCAAGCAAGGTTTTTGAAACATTCGTGGCATTTTTTGAAGAATTTGCTCCGAGAATGACTCAAGCCTAAAAGCTCTGCTGCATCGCAAAACCGGATAGTTTCGCCTCTCTCTGTTCAGTTCTGTCCACAATGCAATCATTTCATTCATTCACTAGTCAAAGCTTCAACGTTTTATGGATTGGAATAGAGATTGCAAAGTAAAGTCAGGGGTTACAATTAGTAACACGAGGGATTGCCACCAGAAAATTTGATGGTTGTTTGTAATCACAAAAAATATGGAACGTTTGTATCGATAGCGTGGATAGTTTTAGTAAAAGAATTAAAAGCGTGACGTAGAATTAGGCATAAAAAACCTACTTGCAGCTCACGGAGGTGCCACTTTTTGACATCGTACCCCCCCCCTCACTTTTGAAATTCTTCCTACGTCTATGTTGGTATTACTAATGCCCAAGTGGGGGTCTAAAAAGTAGGGGGGGGATAAAACCGAATAAAAGGTGGCTTGACTATTGATTCATTGGCAAATTATTTGCATTTTTTACAAGAAGTGGGGGGCTATAGCCCTCCATTTACCCCTTCTCTGCGGTGCCTGTTATAAAGTACTTCTCAAAATATTATAACGTGTATTCTACCGGGAATACAATACACCTCATTTTTAGAACAATTTTGTAAGAGCACCGCCCTCAAAATTGGTCAAAAATAAACTAATTAAGAACAAACTGAGGCTAAGGTACTGTAAAATGTTATTTTAAACATACCCGTGAAATTTTGCATCTCAAATGAGGAGTTTTTGCCTTCTTAGATAGTGTGCTTTGTCAGTTATGTTCAAATTTGTCGACAAAAAATGGATGGCCCACATTGACTTTGTAGGCAAATAGGGCCTGAAAACCCCTTCGAGCGATTGCACTGCTTACAACCAAATAACCCAAAATCAAATCAAGATCTGTCTTCCTGAACTTTAATTTACTGGTTCTATTAAAATAGAGTGTATTGAAAGAGACATGCAGAAGCATATAGCCTAATGATCTTATTGTTAACAGCTTTCGTAACTTATCTAGTTCTCAGTGTGGCGAAAAGAGAATTTGCCTATCATTAAGTTCTATCAATTAATGACGAGGAAGATTTCTAGGCCCACCCAAAGCAAAGCTTTCAAAGATCAATATGCCACCCTGCATTGTCATATGAGTCAGTTTAGGCAGCAACCCCCCCCCCACTCTTATTAGGACCCCCCTCCAATTGATTTTGGCACTTTTTTGTTAATTACTGTAGTGAAAAAATCAAAACTTTGCGATTTATACCGGAATATAACACAAATAATACAGCGAAGTTTGAGGATGTGTGTGGGGATATATCAATTTGTGTGATAAATCAATTTTCTTAGCTTCTAAACATTCTACATACTGTAATCATTTGTTCTGTTGATATAGTTTCTATAGAAAGACTGATTGTAAGTGCATTTTGAGTATTCAGCATAACTTCATAATTTAGAACCCCCGGTAATTGGACCCTCTGCCGCTTAATTTTGAACATAAAATCCAACCCCCTCCCCGTTAATTCTGACCCCTCCGGCAACCAGGCACCTACACTTCACTTTATAAGCCAATCACTGATCTAAAAAATCACTGATCTTTTTTTTAGATCAGTGAAGCCAATCGATCTTTTGCTACAAGTAAAGATGTTTGGAAAGAGGCTGCATGCAGTCGAGTCATGCCAGGCTTCCGGGTGATGGATATAAAATTTACTGAATTCAATCATTGTGAATTATACTGAAGTAAAGGTGGTGTGAGCGACAGAATCGCGCTGACAACTTATTTACTTTGTTTATTTTGTGATGTTTGAGCGACTTCATTTTCAGTAGCCTTGATTTGCTGTGTTTTATTAGCACAAACCGTCTGCGCCTGTTGAATGTAATGATGATTTCCTGGCTCAATGTTTTCATCGCAGTGATATTCGCACAAGATGGTGAGCATAATTTTTCAATTATCTTTAACTCTCTCATCTTTTATTTATTAGAAGAAAAAGACCTTTTAATACTTAACCGAGAAAGTACAAAATTGTGGCTGCTAGTAAGAATTACTACGCGTAAGACATATGGCGAGTCACGTTTGTATCAGATGCAGGGCTTGCCCGCAGATGTTAAATGTAAATCATTTTAGTTTATCATACATACTAACAGTGTCAACATCATATCCGGTATTTTTAAATATATGCATGTGAAAGAACCGATAAAAGGGCAGAGTAAAAAAGCGAACATTCTTTCTCCGATAAGGATATGTATAAAGCTAGAACTGGGCGTTTCAAACGTTAACCGGCATGTTCATTCCCGTTATTTTCGTTATTCCCGTTATATTCCCGTATAAAAGTTATTCATTACTTTTTACAATTGGAATGCGCAACTGCAATTTAACATCAATTAGAAATATTTTCGCTTGAATCTAGGCTGTGTTTATACTTCGTAAGTACTACTTGACGAGTTTTCTAACTGTACAGAATTGTAACTGCAAAGCGAAGCAAAGATGAAATGCACGTATCGCATCGCATTATAACTCCTTCTTGTAGCTGAATTTGAATTTGAAGGGTCATTTATCTTCTTCTTTTTTCTGATCACCAGTATCCGCTCGCATCATGCCGCTTAAATTCAGTGTCGTAAACCCAATCCACATTCATCCAAGCAGACATAGAAGAGATTTGTCAACTAAGGAACAGGTACGACTTTTTGTTCTTTTGCAAGAATTGAATAAATATTCAAATCCTTTCTCGAGTAAGCGGTAGATCTGTCACTTTTAATTGAAATTTTATTGAATAGTAGTCAGAAAACACCAGGAGGAAATGGACTCTCTTGAATTCGTATGCTTTGATTAGGCTTCTAAAAACCACTTTATGTTATCTTGCATGGACTCTGAACGATTTCATCATATGTTTAACAATTTACTTTAGAGAGTAAATGTCTAAGTATATATTTGCCAATATTTTTGATAAAAAAGACAACAAAATCTTTGTTTTAGTACAGAACCCATACCTGCCAGCACACCAGATATTCTTTATTTATTTTCACTGCAAGAACCTATGACTGTTTTAAAACGGACCTGGAATTAACTTTTTTGCATAGTTTTAAAAAGTCTCAACTCATGGACCAAAAACAAAATATCCTTCAAGACTTCACCACATATTCTACAACATAAAGTTTTCAGTAATGTTACATGGCATAACGTTCTGGATATTCCAGTTTTTAAAGGAATTCAAATATTTTTACAGTTAACACAATCCTAAACAAGTACCGTTGTTCTGTTAGACTAAGAGAACACTAGCATCATTGAAACAATCTAAATATGCTACTTTTCTAAGCACTAATGCTTAGGTTTAACATTTTTTATCTTTTCTTTTAATTTTGCATTTATGTAAACATTATAAAGGGCTTTGTGAATTATTATTCATCCTACAACACTATCAACACTGTTTTGCAGTATATTTCCAACTGCTCAGCTCCTCTTTACAAAGTACCTTACTTTCCCACCTTCCAGCTTTACTGAATTCTTGGATATGCTGTATAACTATATATAAAGGATTCTCTTCCTGAATCAGGAAAGTCACATTTTTCTTAATATGACCTCAGCTCACGGGGCCTTGATGACTTGATGGTTGCTATACCAATCTTTGCAGAAGCTAAAGGTTATCCTTTTTATTGTCACCATTGAAACAGATTTCACGAGTTACTGGTATTACAATTGAAAAGATTTCCAGTTCTTCAAATGTTTACAGGTTTTTCACCTGGTAACCAGTCTGGCAAAATTACTTGCTTGTTAGGGGGTAGTAGGTCTGGAGTCAGGGTCCTGGTGAGGCTGGACCTGCCTAAAATTGTTGCTGCCATTGAAGTATTAACAATCTAATGATATTTTGTTTGATGAAGATAACTGAATATTTAGATCATCAGTTAAGTTAATTTTTTCAAATAGTACTTTTTTCCTCAATTCTTATATTTTGGGCAAACTTGCAGATTTAGCTGGGATGTGATTAAATGGCCCCTTAAACAGCAATGTTGTGTCAAATATCTTTTACTGGAAATAGCTAGTCATGGCCCTTCTTGTGAATCACTTCAGTGGAAGTGCTGGCCTTTTCGTTGTCAGAGGTTTACATTAAATTGTCAAATAATTGAAGACAGGCCTTTCCTTGCTTTAAATCTAGATGACTTGCCTCTAATATATATTTAAAGCTCTTTTGCTTTTGTTAGCTTGGAAGTTTGCAGCTAAAAATTGAATATGTACAATTATTTGTTCAACAGTATTTGCAGTATGAGTTTTATTGAGGTAATCTTTAAACTAGAAAATATTTACAAACACATTTGTAAAGGAATATTTACAAGAGGTATAAAGAAAAAAGAGGGAAGGGCAATTGCAGGTTTTTGTATAATTCCTTTTCTTTGTTTTTTCATTCCCCTTTTTCTACATCTGATTAGGTTTGCCTTTTTTCGTTTTTAATTCAAGCTTTAAAAATTTATTCATTCATTCCTAGAATGGTCATATGTTGGGTACATCTTTTGCTTTTACTGCAAATAAAAGACAATACAAAATAGACATATACCTCAACAGGTAAGTCCAATTTCCTTTCTTTAGATCTATCAAGAATTTAGTGCATAAGCATTGAGGCTTAGTGCACACCATTAATTTGTCTAGGGATTCAACTCCAGTGCAGGTATATGCATTAAAGTTATCAAATAATTCTGATAGCCACAGGATAAATTAGCCTTTGATAACCTTGTGTCAATTGTAATTCATCAATTCATCATACACAATTTCTCTAAGAAAGGGATCTTCTGCATACAGTTTTTCATACACTATACAGATGGGATCTGAAATAACAAACTTTGCTTTGCACTTGAAACAATCAAGATTTTTTCTCAGTAAGTAGTGAAGGGGATTCGTTGGTACTAGCACACACAAGTAGGGAGGGGGTAAAACCATTATCCCCCCTCTGATGCCACCTTTGTCTATGACCAAATTCAACTCTCAAAATAGCTAATATGAAAAAAATGCTTTGCTGCTAGGCAAATGCTTAAACAGCATGTTCCTTGCAAACCCTTTCCAAACCACCTCAGTGCCTTGTTGTAGTTTTCCTAGTGGCAGCTCAAAATTTGCAATAAAGATATTGCTCTGAAAGGAATTTATGTAATTTGGAAGGTGTTCATTGTGTATCTTGATCCCAACAACTGTCAATAAGGGATTGTTAATTAGAAATCTGGACTCCAAACAGTACCTGATAAAATAATGTTTCCTGAAAGATAAACAAATGTTCTCTGAAAGTAGGTTCTACATAAAAAGGCTGCCAGTAGTGGCTGATCCCTAATGCCCCCACGTAGCTAGCACTTGTGCTTGTCAGCTAAGTTTTGCCACCAAAGCAAACAATTGTTGTTTATGGACATTTTTGTTTGTATAGAAAGAATGTTATTCTTCTAAAAATGCAAGTTGAAGTTATATTTTGTATACAATTCCCCTTATTTGAAAACGCTTGGGAAAGCAAGTTGTATATTTTCCTCCATGTTTTAATCCGATGAACAAAGTTTGCAAATTCTTTCTGCTGACCTATTCTATCTATGAAAAACAACCGGTTTGTTGTTTGTGTAAATAAATATGTTTCTTTATTTTGTTAATATCCACCAAACCGCTAGATTTGACCACAAATATTGTTTTCATCTATTTACTTACATTCTACTTTTGTACAGTCCCCGTAAATTTTCTCGCTTAACACAATATTAACCTCTGGCATGCTTTAAAGAACTTTAAAGAAAGTGAAGGACAATAGCAAGGGACATTTACCGACAGAGAAGAACTCATAAAAGTAGATGAATTTTTAACGTGAAATCAAACTGCATCCTTTGTTAACTTTTGATGACATGTCGCTAGCCTGTATAAAATTGACAATTATTTCAAGTTTACTGAAAAACCAACTTCGACCGGCACGCCAAAAAAATTACCGACGGTTTGTTAAGAAAGTTGGGGAATGGGTATCACACCCCAACAACTTTTCGTCGAAACACCCCTTGTGATCAAATGTATTTACCTTAAACAATAGATTCAGCCTTGGTGAAAGATCGGGGCTTGAACATTCGTTTGAGCATGAAGACAGAAAACGAAGCCTATATGCCGCCTTTATAGATGCTAGAACAAGCGACGAAAATATCAAGACAGACTGACTTATTCCTTGCTGTGTATACAATGCCTGTCTCCTAAATGTCTTGTACACTAACGTCAGTTTTCAAGGGCAAACTCAGCCATCTCCATCTCTCCTTTGAACAATATTGGTTTCCTACATAACGACGTAGGGGATTAGGAAGTACCCTTTTTCCTGCGAGTCGTGTTATATTTTTCTTAATTATCAACATTGTTTTGGGGGGAGGAAGGTGCGGAAATTGGGGTATTCGGTAAAAGAATTGAAAAGATATAAAACACAGCCCATACTGCTGGATGTTCCAAGTAATTTTGGCAATGATTGTACCTGTTTGCAAAACAGATAAAGTTGACTGCCGATTCCAATCTTTCTTCCCATTTTTGTATTAATCTGGCCCAATGAATGTCGTAAGGCCTCCTCGGTGGTAAGGCAGGCCTATTATTGCCACTGGGAAAATACCGGAATCTTCTTGATACTGAAAACCAGTCTTTAGATTCTTGGGAGAAACAAACCTTGCTTACTAAACTCTTGAGAATCTAGGTAGAAACAAACTTTGAGTAACCACATTTTCTGCAGTTAGGCATATTGAAAAAGTTGTGTGTGAGATATGTCATTTGTCGGACTGATGTTCTTCAAGGTAACGGTAGATAAGAGAGATGAATAGATAGACTTGAGATTTCAGTTCTTGTTTACGCGGAAAGCCATCCAAAAAGCTGCCTTCAGAATCTTCGTAGCACGGACATTTCAGAAAATTGTAATAAGCCTCTATGGGAGCAGAGCATGCGTAATAATGGTCAAGTCCTTTTTTACCTAACCTGAACCACAATTGTGCGAATAAGGCAAAGAGGAGCTGCTGAGCTTTATTGTGTAATTTCTGAATTAAACTAATCGAATGGAGGAACAACACAGTTTTGCACAAGAAATTAGAATAAATGTTTTCTTGAATTGATAATATTGTGTCATACATAATATGTTGATACTTCACAGGTAGGGCTAAAGCTGAAGCTATTTTCTTATGTAGTCAATGTTTTCAAAGATTCAATACCTGGGCAGCAGGCACCTGTAAACAATCAAATATTGCAATGCGAAGAATATCAAGCACAGTTTATTGCAAGGTTTTTTACATCACTATGTCCTTGCCATCCAAAAAGTTTCTCGCCTTGCCACGGAACAGTCATTTTCAAATATCTCCATGGCATGATGCCTAGGTGCGCGCTCCTTCTTAGTTACTTGCAACACCCAACAACTTGAGTCGTGTTTTTATTAATTTTTTTTCCCTGAATACTTCTCCTTGAGCTTCCTGTCCTAGAAGAATATTGTTGAGGTTAGGCAAATACAACAAAAGTCATACGAAAAATTAACTTCACAATGAATTGATTGAAAAATGTATCGCATATATCACAATATCAGTAATGCAGATTGACCAGGTATATGATGAGCATAAACTCGGAATATATTTGAAGATTGCACGAAATACCGGAAGCATAGCGTACTGAAGCACTTTTCGTTGTGTACCTATGCTATGTTTCTGGTATTTGTTGCAATCTTCAAATTTTGCATAACCAAAAACTTATTTAGGTAAATATATTATATGTCAGGGTCTTTTATAGAAATTATTGTCATGACATTCCTGTGGCAATAGCTTTGAGGATCAAAGTTACTTTAGAATCACCCAAAATTCTGACCAAAAGTTATCTTTTAAAGCCTTTATCTGTCATCACGGTACAGTGAGCCTGTATCTATAGGAAGAAATTCTATTTTAGATTCGAGTTTAAAAAGTTCTTTTATTGCTCAATGGTCAATTGATAGATCTTGTTGTGTTCGTAGAAAATATTTTTTATCTATTGTGAAAGTGTTCTTATAAAGTGCATATCTCCTGACCACGACATTGTTTCCTCAGAACGCGGAAAATCTAACACTAGGACCTTTCCGCTTTGACCAATATTGGTTTTGCAAGCGAAATCACTTCGTCTTAAATTTAGGAGAATCACAGTCTTACAGAAGGTAGTTCAACAAAATGCTCAGGAGGATATTTTATTTTTGTTGTTGCTATGGAAATGACCTGTAGGAGCATGTTTAATACATCTTTGATATTTCCGTCGATGATCTTTTAAGTTCTGGCAAAATCACACAGGCTTTTGCAGTATAGCCTGTTATCCATTTGAGAGCAGTAAGGCCTAAACGATGTTGCAACAGTGACTGCTTTGTTACAGTTGCCATGTTACATCTATTATCGTAGACATTTGCCACGCGGTGCTGTCCCGAAAACTGTCAAAGGGTCTGCTTTCAGAAGAAGTAACGATGATATGAACGAGATGGGCCGGTGAACTTAAAAAGTATGCAGAGACGAAATTTGAGAAGTGAGACCAAAAGTTTGGGCTGACTAAAATCGAGATCATTTTGATTATTTGATAACGATATTGAAAACAATATCATTTCATTTTCTTAGGCGATACAGTAAAAAAGCTCGTTAGATTGTTTGATCAGTGTTATATGTAATCTTAGCATGATATATTGGCAGTTTTTAATGGCAGCAAAAAGATAAACAAAAGGCTTAGGGTTGTCAAGTTGTCCAATGTCTTGTTGCGCCATCAAAAGGAGTAAATTTGTCAAATGACGATGTTTGACAGTTTACTAATCAAATTGTGTGTATTAATGAATCAAGATCAGCCATTTCGTAAATTTCGATTAAAGAAATGGGAGCTTGGCCAAAGATACTGAGTGAACTACAGTGCAACCTCCATATAACGGACACCAGTGGGACCAATGTTATTGTCCGTTGTAGAGAGGTGTCCGCTGTATGGAGGTGTCATCATTTTATAACTTTTGTTTTGGGACTCAAAAATATGTCCGTTGTTTGGAGGTGTCCGTTGTATAGAGGTGTCCGTTGTATAGAAAGATTGACAAAGGTGACGGATTTGTATAAGACTCATCTGATATTAAAAGGCCATACTTGAGATGGCCCTTTCAATCCATCGTCATTATCATCATTATTATTATTATTATTATCATCATTGCTGATTTTGCACGTTAGAAAAATACCAAGTGCATCGATCCATGATCTAACATGTTATCTTTTTTAATAAGCATAGAAAATTTTGAAGGTCATTTGTTCATAAAATATCTCAGAAATAGAAATATTCATAAGAATTTGAATTTTAAGATATTCCGATTATTTTGAAGTCTGAAGTTAATAACTCCAAATTGCTAACTTAATAAAACTTTTGAATTTAACGAGAAACCATGTTTATGTTAATATGTTAATCCACCCTTTGTAGGACTCAGACGTTGCTTTATCTCCCTAATTTTTTTTATCATTTTCTCTACGATCACTTGGCTACCCTAGTCCTTGACTGAGAATGCTGCAGTCCCTTCAGCGTGAAATCTTTAAACCAAGGTTTTTTTAAGGCTTAGAAAATTTGAAACAATGCTTTTTGAAAATTTTTCATCAAAACTGTTGTTAGAAAACTTTTCTTAATCCAGGGGATTGGAGTTACCTCCCCAAAAGTGAGCACCACATTTTACTCTCCGCGAAAGGAAATGTGGTTTCGATGGGATAAGTACATTTCTAACACAATAACCCTTTTACTAGGTACTGCCATGAAAATGTTTATGATATAAGCTTTACCAGAATTTTTTTTTCAAATAAATGTTTATACTATAAAAGGTAAGATGCACAGCCTTGCTTTGTAGTATATGAGTATTTTGTCAATTGAAAAGGACTCGCTATGTTTGCTTTCTTTTTTCAAATTGTTTTCAGAAGTCCCACTGTTGGTTGACTGAGGCCTGGTGTTTTGATTGCAACGGCCATTTTATCTTTGTTGTCAGCGTTAGGTTAAGTTTACACAGTGTTGAGGTTCCTTTTCTTTACCCGCTAAAACTTAGGTTTATCTATGAATTTTTCTGCGTCTTGTATTTTGTAACCAACAAAGAGTAAATATATTTTATAATCGTATTAGATTATACACCACTGGGGCCCATTGCTCTTTATATCATTCCCGCATTGTAAGCTTAAAAACAATGCGACTGTGATTATACATGTCTTGCAATCATGCGGTTCTTTAGTTCTTTACTATTGGAATGAATTTTGATTTATCCTTTCTTCTCAAAGCAAAGGCTTGAAATCAGAATATCTAGAAATTGTTTCTCTAGAAAACCACACTGCTGTTATTTTTGCAAATATTATTTCATTGATTTTCTTTTAACTTCTAAACACGATGTAGAGAGAGTTTCGGCAAGCATTTTTCACAAAGGCAATAAAATATTTTTTTATTATTAAATTAAAGTCTTTGGAGATCTAAGCCATAGTCAATTGCTGAGTTTTAAATCATAAATATATTTCTGGAGTTTTTGGTGCATCTTTTGAAGATGACAACAAAAGTTCGTATTTTTTAACATAATTACTTAAGATTTTTGTTCTTGATCAATACTAATCTAGGCACAGTCATCTTTTAAACAAAAAACTATATTCATTTGGATTCTTGTCCAAAAAAATTGCTTCTTCTTCTGAACGTTACTTCATGGCCAGAGGAAGGTTTTTGAAACAAAAGGAAATTAAGGAAGGTGACCAAAAATTTGGAAACTTGAGGAAGTTGAAGAAATCGTATTGCCTTCCAGTGTGGAATCCATGTAGCTTACGCCGGATATATCCGGCGTGGACTAACGATTTCCCATTGAATTTCTATTGTATCTATTTATTGAGTTTCCCATTGAATCCGGCGTGAGCTTTACATAGATTCCACCCTGGGTTGCCTTTCAGTTTTCAAAATACAGTGACATTAAAACAAATAATATTTATAAACCTCCTGTTTTTAATAGAAATGTGTTTGCAGAACTGCTTTGCACTGTAAAATTTAGGCATTCACTTTTTATAATTTATACATTTAAATTATGATGTGCTTTTTTTAATTAATCTAAATATGTAACTTTATATCCATCTCGAAAAATATCTATAATCAAAAACGAGCAATAATTTTTTAAATGTTTTGGGAAAACAGAGATGTAAGGAGAGGGCTCCTATTTAAAGACCACGCCCGTTTTAAACTCATTAAAAGTGAGGAAGTTTTCAACACAACATTTCTGGACTTCATCCTGCCCAAATTTTCTTACGATTTTGGAAGTATGATATTTTGTGGCCCACTTGGAGCTTGTGTTTTTGTTGCGAATGAACTAGTTTTGAAATGGCCCTTTTTGTCATAATTTACGAATTTGCTCTTTTCATTTCAAAGGGGTCTTATTGGCGAGAAGTTTTTGGTAGGATATCAGGTTAAAGATGGCAATATCACCATGGACAAGTCGGTAAGTTAAATGAGATTCATTCTGCCAGTTATACGCCTGGAACTGAAAATGTAATATAATACCCTGTGTGCCAGAGCCTCAGCGAAAGAGTGGGTCGACCACTGTTCTGCAATCTGATTCAAGTTTCTGCATATACTAACCAAAACCATAAAAATGAATGCTGTTACGTCACAATTCATCGATGTCTCGCCTTTAATCAAGTTTCTGCATGAGGCTCTGGTGACCAGGGTAATAACATAAAGACTCCCTAAGAATTAATGTTCATTTAGTACATATTTGTTTCAAAAGGTTATTTGCTAAAATTCTAAAATCACTGTTAAATACCTCGGAACACTGACATACATTTCCAATGTCCATCTTATTTGTTCCTCTTGAAGCCTTGTTTATTTCCTATAGAATGATGTATGAGATTAGGAAGAACGTTTTTCTTGTGACTTGTCTGGTATAACCTATACGTGTCGAAAATGTTCTTGGGGTAAGAGAGCTGAACTATCTGCATTCAAAAGAAAAGAATTTGAAAACTCAAACTGATATGACGGGAGTTCAAAGTAATTTCCCTCATACGTTGTAAACAATTCAATGGTTATTTTCTTACGACTCGTATTTCAAATTATCGGCATTTTCTTAGATTGCTTGCTTAGACTAACAGCTTGCGGTTACGAAGAAGCGCCATTTCCATTTCGTTATTTTATAAAATCAAGGAAGTCAGCAAGTTTAAGGTGAAGCAGAATCAGCTGTCTGGTTTAATCAATAACCACTTTGCCTTAATCCACGCAAGACAGTTTGCGTAACAAAGTGAGACACAGCAATAATCGTTCGTTTGTCTTACTAATGAAAACAGGCATTGGTTTATGTTGTGAATTTTTGTGGCTTTGGCGCTCTGTATTAAAATGTCTTTGGTTACTTACCATCTTTGAAAGATATGTTATCGCATTTTGTTTAATTTGTATTTTTTGGAAACTGAAATGCTTTTTGTCTATGGCGAATCTTTGTTAATCTTTCTGGGAAAACTTAACGTCGTAATTTATTTGTAATCATAAAATAGCAATTGTAAGAAAGTACATTCTTACCATTGGAGATAAGAAACTCATTTATACACACAGTTTATTACTATGATTTTATTTCATAAGCAGCATTTTACCAGCTCGAGCTCTAGTGCTTTTAGTCGTTTATGTTGTTCTGATTCGTTGACCGTAATATTATTCGACACCATACATACACCGCACCATAATATTTGAGCATGTAATCATGAAGCATCTGGGGTGTGTTAAAATCAAATGTTCATCTTTCTCAGTTTTTCTCACAAAATGAAAAAAAATGACATAATATGTAGTAATATCTTATATAAACGTCTTTTTACTGTCCTTCCCGTTGCTTTTTGTATCCTGGCCTTTTTTGTATCAGTTTTCAGAACACTGTTACTACCATGGCATGCTGTCTGGAAAACCCAATACGACAGTCGTTCTCAGCACATGTAACGGCTTGCGGTGAGTATTAAACTTTTATTGTATTGCCACCAGTATGCAATACCAATTTTACTTTTAAAATGTTCAACTTTTGACTATATAACCATAAAGAACACCAAGAAAAACTTCTAAATACAGAAAATCAGGTAAATTTGTTTATATTTGGGTGAGCTATGGCCAATGTAAGATTTCAAATTGCTTTTATTTTGGCTCTGTTCATAAAGTTGTGAAAAGAGACCAAGTTATAGCGATTTGATGTGGAAAGAGCATGTGGAAAGGGCCTATATTCATGTGGCCAAATCTCAGCAAATCCATAAAACATTAGATTGATCCTGCACATGTAGTGGCATTCATGCTCATCTTTCAGGTTATGTGATCCAAATAGAATTGTTTATGACGTCATCACTTTAAAACTCTTTAACTGCTATCAGTGGCATAATTTTAATCGAAGCATCAATGCAGATTGAAATTGGTTAGTTTGTGACCGTGGGATATAGACTGCAATCTTATTTCAATTTAATTCACTTTTTTTGTGAAAACAATGGTGTATATAATTTAAAGCATTGTTAGTATTTCCACTGATACTTAGATATTATTCAATATTGTTCATTGTTTTCGATTTATTAAATTAAAGTTATATTGTTCGGAAAACTTTTGATCGCTGCCGAGTTAAGAATTAAAAATAAAAACCAATTTTGGTGGTTTGTTTGTTGTTTTATACAATTTTGCATGTTTTGTTTTTTTGACGACTTTATTCAAATATAATTATTTACTGTTGCTATTGGTAAAATTTTGTCAAAGAAACTATATCAACACCATTTCTTTTGCTCTTTGGGAACCTCACATGTAGCTACTGTCTTTCTTTCACTTGGTGCTACCTGTTTTAAGCCCTTTGATTTTTAATTGCATTTCCATCAAATCCGCTTGTTGCTTGCCAGTAGTAAGACCTCGTTCAATCTGAAAGGATTATCAGAAATAAGGTCAATGATCCGCTTTAACAAACTTACGAATTACCATACATATGGCAACAGAATTATGATCTAAAGCTTTTCTTCCTTGGCAACATGATTCTCAATAATTCTCGTATTTTGGTATTCGCCGAGCCTTTGATGTTTTGTTCTTAGATGAAAGACAATTTGGGGGAAATTCCTGCTAATAAAATACCGTTAAGAGAGTTGCTAGGAATTCTTAAGGCTTGCTGGATAATGCTGTTGCAGCTAACCTAAGAAGGTCACCCTTTAGATTTCTAAGTTATTATAAACGAAACAAACTGAATAACTTGAGCTGCTCTTGAGTTTTACCTTATTTTTTTTAAAAAAAAACTCTGAAATAAAGAAAGCAAAATTTGTTTCCAACATAGAAGTGGCTTGTTTTAAATCCTTAGATATATCAGTTCACCGTAGTAAACTCTTATTTACTGCAGTTATTACATCAATATCTTTCCAGTTAATTTATAGTTTCAATAAAAGAAAGTATAAATTTTTCGTATAAATGCATCTATTTTTAAAAGAATGAGCTTTACTTTGGCATGAATGCCCTGCTTCGGGAGGGAGTTTTGCGAAGAGGGCTACTCAGTATCTTCATAGGAAAGAAGAATACTGATAGACGCTCAATTTGATCGTTATTTGATCACTTTTGGGGGTTTTCCTTTTGGATACGGTTTTGACTAGGTCCTCTGTCAATCAAGGCCCTCTTTCAAAGCCATCCTTGTGCCTCCATTTAGAGCACTTTTTCACCATTTTAACTTGAACCTTTCTGTTGAATTAGAGGGACTATTGAAGATGAAAACGGTAAAGTCTTTGGTATCGAGCCAGAAGATCTGTATAGTGAAGTCGCAAGTCAGGTGAATCAAGTTTTAATTCGATATAGTTCCTTTCTGTTATGAATCCTTTTTACAATGAAATCTCTATATAGCGGACTATCTGGGATCAGAGCAGAGCTCCTACTCGTTGAAAGTGGGGGGAGGGGGGCTGTACAAAATGTACAAAAAGCAAAACGAAGTTATTGGACAAAATTTGGTTGGACGAAACAGATTACAACGATAAAAGAGTACTTGGTGGAGCTTTACTCGAATTTACTATGAAATCGGTTTGTTTTGTTTTAAGTTGATGCAGGTACCAAAATTCGTTGGGTGAGCGATGCCTTCATCGCGACCAGTTTTCACATGTCCGTAATTTTCTTCTTCAACTTTTAAGGCTATTGAAACAGTAGATGAAAAATTGTCGAATCCCCGAAATATTCAAACATTCAATAACCCTTGCTTTGTGTTGCTGTTTCTTGACTAGTTTGCTGCTAGTCTCGACCGTTTATTTTCAGCCACAACACAGTATTCGTTGCGTTTCTTTGGCCAACACTTTTATTTTTGCTTTGACACTATTCATTATAAGGAACGATTTTTTGTTACCGAGTCTAGAGCAGAAAATGAACAATCGGTGACAGAATTGTGTTTTGAGATATTGACATGTTTACGACCCTTTTGCGGCCTAGACATTTTCAGTCCCCAGGCAACGTAATTAAGCAAATTTAGTCCATGCAACTGCTAATAAAGCCTGTTTCCATACCTTCGACATCTTGTTTGACAAGTTTTAGGGCGTGTTTGTCTCCAAAACAACAAGCTTGCGTAAAGCCCGAAAAGTTTATCTTCCAATCTAATCGACGATACAATATACTCGTTTGTTTTTGTCTTTCTTCCCATACAAAAAAACTAGAAGTGCTCAACTTTGTGTTAAGGTTCAGAAATTCTTCTCTTCAAAGTTAAGCCGAAAAAGTCATATTTATTGTATTTGTGAAATTTTGAGATAAAGCACTTTCTCGTGTTTTATTAAAACTTTACGATACCACGGTCCGTACCAAGGGGCTGTTTTAATTGTCTAAAAAAGCCTGAAAGATTGCTTTCGAATAATATTTTTTAAAGATTTATTTCCATTCTAGATTGTTTTGATGGGTTATTAAGCATTTTTTGCATTTTGTTTAATCGTTTGATTTAAAGTTAGAGAAGCCAAGGACTGTTCTTGAATTGTCGTCTTGTAGATGGACTTTTCCATATTCAGTCTTTTATTTTATTGGAATTATCAAAGGACCCGTAGCTATAAGCTTCTTGATTTCAGAAATTTTTATTGCACGTTTTTCTAGAAAACCAACTACTCTGTTTTTTATGTTTTTAGTCCCATTTTTAATCAAAATAATTTTGCTTGATTTGTCATTCAATTTTCTCCTAGAATCACATATTTTACAACTTAGAAGACTTACCTAAACGAGAGTCGAAATGCGGTATGTTGATTGTTTCGCTTACAAATTATTCTCTTGGACACTCACTCTTGACATTTCACGGACATTCACGTGAAATTTACCGTTGCTTTCCACGAGAATTAAATTTGCTGTCTCCTTACAGAATAAGCCAGAAAATTCAATTCCTTTTTTCCATTTTTGCACCATTGCCAACGAAAATAGCTTGAAACTGGTTTACTTTCGACTCCGTATTTTTTTGTAGAGTAAATTAAAATTTTTCATGCAGCACGTTGCCTTACACCTAGGTTGTCAAATGCTCCTGCCTGTCTAAGGGGTGTTTATAAAACAGGCTTATATCTTATTTCAATATGTGGGTTACTTTAACACTCAATCTTTTCCCAATCTATAAATGACCACACTGTGTTGCCCTTCTCTGCATTAAATTTCTATCTCATCTACAGGCTTAAGGCTAAAATTTTGCATTTCGTCCCAATGCAGAGCGTGATCAGGCGAAGCTCAGTATGATATTTTATTCATGTATGATGTACAGTGAATTGCTCTTGTATGATAAGTTAATATACGTAACTCGAACAAATTTTAATCCAGAATTTTCAACAGAAACGACTAGTCAGGTAGTTATTGTTTTCTTTCGTCATTTTAGGAGTTGATCATGAGCATTCACACGACTTTAATATGCATGATGTTTTCGATAAACACACAAGGGTAAGATTTGTTTCAGTTTTTTGTCCCATTCGTGTCTTTATGGAGTTGTGTTGCTGATAGTCTTACTACCACGAACAGAATGTGAAATATGCTACGCTGCAGCGTGACATTAAACCAATTTTAGATTTGTTTAGTTTATGTAAATTTATCCTCAAACAAATGAAAATGGTCTTTCAACAAAAAGTTTTATATTTACGCAATCTATTATCTTCTTTTCTTTGAATACTTCTAGCAATGCGGCATTTATAGTTCTATAGTTATAAGTAAGTTTAAACGCTTGTGAGCTTCGTTCCAGCAACAGCCTGGAGTTTCTAAGTAGGATCGAACGTGATTTGTTCCAGACTAGTTTGAGCCCAGAGACTAGGCCCAGAGTCTATTCTGTATTCGTTCTGTAACCATAGATAGGTTTCTATTAATGAAATATTAATAGAATATTGTTCATCTTAATAAAAAATATTCACCCGATAAATTCTGTAAAAATAGTTCTGTAAAAAGTGTGTTAGGAGAAAATTAGGAATTGGGAACAAGCCACGGAGAACCTTTTCTTAAATAAAACATTTTATACCTTCGTTTTTGTCTCAGTTAACAGACCAGTTTTCTATTACAGCTTCGCAGAAGTCTTCTCACAGAAACAAAATATGTATCTTTGGTTTTGGTGAATGACAAACGACAGGTAAGAGTGGAAGACCCTTCAATCAGTATTGTGTATCAACCATCTGTCCCACGATGCACTACTAATGGTAATTTTATTTAGGAGAGTTCCTAGAATAGTGAGCCTGATAAGTGAATGAATTGGATTGCTGGTAAATGGGCTGGAAGTTGTGTGTTGCAATGAAGTGAATTGTCAGTAGCTCTTATTGTTCTTGTTGCCAAGCAATTTTTTTCTCGAAATTCATTTGCCAACTGATATGTTGGATTACTCAGATTTTAATGCATAAAGATCATATGATATTGAGGCTGAAGTAGATTTAATGCGAAAAGTAATTCTCTTGTGGTTTTTATCAATCATGCCTGTTTCGATTACTAGTCCGATCTTTCCGACCTTTTTTGTTCTCAGTTATCTCCTGGGACTATTTTTTTCCAGATAGTCAATGACACTAACGCAATAAATCTCTGTCATTTTACGTCATTTTTATGCGCTAATGAATCTCCTTGAGATGTTGAAGTATAAACTTTCCCAGTTCGCTTGGCAACGAACTTTATCTTGGGTTTATGTTCGTTTGAAGGCAAACAACTTGATCAAGAATAATTTATCTGCGGTTTCATAGTTCTAGAATCTTGTTTATGTTCTTTTCAAGGCCTTCTTCGACAGTTTTAATAATATTTTTGATTGTCTCCTATCTGTTTTTAGTTGCTTTGTCATATCTTTCCAAGCAAAGAGCTTTTCGTTGAAATTACATTCTTTAAGGATCTGTTATCTAAAAAATATTGTTCTCATTTGACAGAATACTATTTTCGGCTTTTTGCGATTTTTTTGGGTTTTGGTTAAGCAGTTTGATTCGAGGGCGGGATTTTCGATAAATACTGTCTGCTCTGGGTAGCTTGATAAATCTGACATTCATTAATCTTAATTTATGCATGAATACGGGTCAAGAATTAACAAGCAGTAAATCTTTAAATCAACTAAAGACTGAGTTTGAAATCATTTCCAAAAGGCAGACAAACTGATCTCGAAGTATCAAGCTTTTTGGATGAAATGTTTTCATGACAGTTGCTATATTGTTAGGGCTTTGAATACTCAGTCTGAGGTCTGAAGCGTCAGATACGTCTTCCAGCCACGTTTGTTTCAAGCCTCTTGTTCAATTAATATCTCTGATCCTAGTCAACATGGCTGACATGGATTATTGACTTACGTTATGTCCAGCCCTCTCCTTTTATTATATATAATCCATTTTGGATGTGCACACTTGAATATTCCATTTAAAGATTGACAATGTATGACAGTTCTAAAAAGTTCTAAAGAAAGGAAGAGTTACGTTCGCATTTCAGAATTGTTTTTCGTGAAGATTTTTCAGTGTATGAAGGGTTTAATGGCATTTTAAATACACGGTTCGAAATAAGCCAATAGGAAAGAAGACGCCTCTGAGTAGCTTAATTCTAACCAATCACTGCGCTATAACTCATGACGTAGTTGAAGATTCCTAAAGATTAATGTGTATGCACACAATGTTAGTGATTCTTACCTATCCAAAATTTTCTTAGTTTTCTCAAGTAGCGTGAAAAAAAGAACATTTTACGCACTGTGCTAATATTGAAATAATAGGCCCAAAGTCTATTCTGTCTTCTTTCTGTAACCATGGATAGGTTCTTATTAATAAAATATTAATAAAATATTGTTCATATTGATAGAAAATATTAATGATAGTAATAATAATAATAATGGTGAAATAATTAGATGAAAATCTTTTCAATTTGAGCCTTCCCTTTCCAATCTACATTTGAATCGCTACATCTACAGGCTACTACCTTCATTCTATTTATCTTACTTAATTTTTCTTTCATGTTTTTCCATTTATTACATTCCCGAATCCATGCACTGCTCAGTGTGTTTATCATCAATCTTCAAATTACCTTAACCTTCGAATGAGCGCCCCCTAAACCAGTCAAAAATGTTATTAGAGGGTACACGGTACTCTTATTTTGCACTGTAAATTCTTCTTAAAATAAAGAATTTTATTTTATTTTATCCTAGTTCGTTCGATTAAAATCAAATCTCACAGAAGCCGTGCGAAGAGCACTGGAAATTGGGAACCACGTTGATTCGGTATGATAATTAAGTTCCTGGCACATTTTATCTTTTCATTTTGAAGTTGACGCTTGTATCTAGTACAGGCTCATCCTTCAACGTCACACGCGCTTCAAATAGATTACCATATACTATTTGCTTAATGGAAAGCACCTATCAATTATTTATGTCTACAGTTGAAATCCTATGTGTAAAAACAGATTAAAATATCCCCAAATTAGAGATGTTAATTCTTGGTATAGATTGAGGGATTTCGTGGCCTACGAAGCTTTATTTTCGATATCTGAGTAGATCAGTTTTGCCATGTCACTAAAGACCTGGTCTGTTATGCTCCAGGGTCGTAAATATCCATTTAAATGTTTTATTTTTCTTTAATATTAGACTTTTTGATTTATGTTAGAATGTACGTTTTTATCTTGGGATAATATTGATGATATCTTTTATATATGATATTTTAAATAGTATAATTGTGATTATTACGATATTATATCTTGAATGCTATTTTTCGAAGCTATCAATGAATGTTTTCAAACAGGAAACATTGGTCAAATCTTAAATTGAACATCTTTCTATACTGACCCTCTTCGTTGTTCGTTTGTATGAAACGACTTTTCAATTTCTCATTTGGAGTGGTTCCTTGCTACAGTAATTTCTTTTTTGTTAAATAAATTTTTATCATTTTTATCATGCCTATAGTCTCGACTTTTTACCACTTTTTATCTATCGTAGACACTTTACTTATCTCATATTTATTTATCTCATATCTACTAAATTATCTAACCGTTTAACTAGCTACCTAATGTTGAATTCTTAATCTTAGTTACATTATACTATTTACATAACTTACAAAACTACTTTTCTACGCTACCAAGACGATACCGCAAGGAGCACAAGGCTTTGTCTACCATACGACCATTCAACATAAAGTTTTGGCTACAAGTAACTGTAGAAAACAAAAACACGTAACAACTCTGCAACAAATACGCCGAAACTCAGTAAAGGTTTCAGGAACTAAGTTTGAATAGCATCATTTTATTCAAAACGCTTTGTTGCTTATATGTATCTTAAGGTCGCTTTAAGGATTTCGAAATTTGAATCAACGGACAACCTTACATACCTATGCAAAATCACTACATGTAATAGACCTTTTAAAAGATTTAGCAAACCATACGGCTACAAAGTTGAATCTACACTATCGAGAAGATCTCTCCTGTATGCGTCGTAAGAATGCAGCAAAAAGTGTTCTGTGTCCTCAACACCGTCGTTTTAGGGGCACAGTGGATTCAATCTTTATGTTGGCATTCGGTTAATAGCTTTGGGGGGTTAATTAGAATAAAATAGTTGTTAGTGACCTTGGCCTTGTCAGTACTTTATGAAATGACCGTTTTTAGCTTAGTGGTTGTCTTGGCGACATATGATTGCATTTGCGCATGCGGTAACTTCAAAAGTTTAAGAGAAAAAGTCAATGTAATTGGCAATCTGCTTTCAAGGATGTTCTAAGAGTATTTTGATACAATTTTGCTGCTTCGATGCGAATTTGCAACGTTTTAATTTGGAACAAGACTCCCCTGGGCCATATTATCGAGAGTGAATGATATAGACGATAGTGTGATCCTTTGGCACTCGATAATGTTTGTAATTGGGATCACTTGTAATTTGAACTGGGCGCGGATCGAACCAGTCGTGATATTAGTGGGACCTTTAGTAACGACCTGGGCATCGTCGGGAACTAGTGGCATTGGTTGTTATTGTAATTATACTCAGTTGAATTTTGCAATTGGACTATCTGTGATCAGGGCAGATTGTAATTTGAGCCGATTGCCAATGAACTACTTGCTATAAGGACCAGTTGCTATTAGGACCAGTCGCAAAAAGGACCAGTTGCCATCAGAACCATGGCAAGGATGTAGTGCCGAAAAGTAGCTTATTGCTACTTTTAACTATTGTTTTTTGCAACATTTTCTGCACGAGTCCCCCTTTTTGATAGCACTGCACCCCTGATTAGGACCAGCTCCTATTAGGACCAAAAGTAATTGGGATTAGTTGTATTTGGGAAATGTTAATAACTAAGGATAGAATGAGATGGGGTTAAGCAAGCTGACCGAGCAAGTGACTTGCTGCCTCTGGTATAAGAAAATTTGGGGTGCCGGGCAAAGGTCTCTTCAATGGCTTTTGACTACTTTTTTCTCTTTTCACAGATGTTAAAGACGGTCAAGACGAGGGCTGCCATTGTCTATGTTGAAACGTGGAACATCATGGATTTGATAAACGTGAAAGAACCAGCAGGCGAAACACTTACAGAGATGCGAAAGTACAACAAAGATGCCTTAGTGCATAATTTGCTAAAGAAGGGAATCAGAAGAGACAATGTGCAACTCATAACGTAAGCTCGTCCTTCATTCCATTAACAGTCCGTATGATTAGCAATAAAGAGTCAGAAAGATTTATACGTGTTCTCAATCCTATTACGAAATCAAGGACTCATTTACTGTCTTTTTCTTTATATGAAAAAGTCAGCTTCTCAAAATTCTACAGTGTCAACTCAGAGGTGGCGCCAGAAATCTTCCGACAGAGGGGTTGGAGCTTCCGATAGGGGGGCTAAAATAAGCAGTTTTCGTACGTTATTTTGTCAAATTTGCTCCGACAATAACTTAAAATTTCCTCCGATGGGGGGCTAGATGCTTCCGACGGAGGGGCTGTAGCCCCCCTAGCCCTCCCCTGGCGCCACCACTGTGTCAACTTTAGATTAATACAGCTTAATACAGGCCAACATAGATAAGAACAGTAATTCCCTCATCTTGCCTTTTTTTGGTGATTCTTTCCAACGAGAAACGATATTCAAAAAAACTATTTACCTGCTTTGCAAGGAATATCTTTAGCTTTTTTAACACATTAGCCTTATTAGCAGTAGAAATGAAATTATTTCAGCTTTTAATCCTACTTTAATAGCCTATAGGCAAGCGGCACTGATTGGTCAACCTTAACAGTCATGTGCTCGCATTTCTGATTGGCCTATTTCGATCCACATCTGGGTATATATATTTCCTAGTGTAGAGTTTTGATTTATGTTCTGACGTTCAAACTCTGAAGAGTGTCAGACGAAAAGTTTTAGTTTACTCAAATTTTTGCTTTTTTCAAAGCCATTTTCAAACGTTTGAATGCATGAATTGGGTGAAATAATCGTACTTTGTAGCAACTTTTGGCGAAAATTCTCAAAAAACTTTCTTAAGCCATAACAAAGTTAAAAATGCCCTAATTGTACAAAAATGTTTATTTTTGTACAAAATATTGACCATACCTATATTGTCAAATGAGAGACAAATTGCTTTAAAGTATTTACGGGAAAGTTGACTTTAATTTTCTAAGCAAGTTAGATGCAGCCACACAACAATTGTAAAAAATCAAAAAAGGTTTTCTCGCGGATGGTTCAGTGGCAGATAAACCGAGTAGTGAACAGGCGAAAAAATGATGTTAAAGGAGAGATAACTTTTCTGGGCACTTCACGGCATGTAAGATTAGAGACACTCGACTAGGGCATAAAACTCAGTGCTTTGCTAATTTTTGCAGCTAAAAATCTTTCGAAACAAATGATAATGAATGTTTTACACAAAAACAAAATGAAATGTTACCGAAGTAAACCATTTTTACAAAGATTTATTGCCAACAAGAAGAATTAAGGTTTTTCCATGGCTAGCATCAAGTACAGATTTGAGTATTGTTATAAATGTTTCGTTCCGCATGAAAAGCATTAAAAAACCTGGTTCCAATAGGTTTCAAAATAGTGCTCAAAGGATATGCACAGAAAGATGTAACAGTACTGAGACAATTTGCAAAATAACTACAATGAGACAATGGATTGAATGGTTTGAAACCCTGCTTGTTATGGGTTTTCACCATCTCAAAAAGAATTTTTTAATTACATGTATTTGGGTTTTTTAGCTCATAATAAGTGAATTTTCTGTTTTGTTTTAGTGGCATTGATTTCGAAGGGCTAGTTGTTGGCATGGCAGGTATCGGCACCATTTGTGGCCTCTCATCCACTGGTGTTAATATGGTAAGGAGGTTACAGAATCTTCAAATACCCTTTCTAAATGAAATAAGAAGACTGATACGTGTCTTTGTCTAAAAGGATACCCGATCTTGTGAGTCTGTTAGTTCATTCAACAAAGGGGAGCAACAACTACAGTAGAGATTAATTTACAGAATAAAAAAGACAGAGAGGAAATTTGGTGTTAATGAGGTAAAGGTTAAAGAATCATGCAAGGCAATGAAATCGGCTATCTGTGAAATGTAAAAATGTCACAGTATAAGACCCCGTTTACACTGTGCCGGATAAATTTTGTCCGCGTAAAACTTGTTCGGGTTGATTTGCGTTTACACTGTGCCGCACAAATTTTGTCCACTTTGCCCTCCCATTTACACTGTGCCGGATAACTATAATAATAATAATAATAATAAATAATTTGTTTAAAGTTGGCGTACTAAATGAACGGCTGATAGCTATAAAGAAGCTAATTATGCAACGACTGATATGGTATATGGCTAAAATGTCTATGCAGCGTTACAATATTAAAAATTTTTATGGTATAATGTTCTAAATAAAACCTAACCCAGCAATAAATTTTTTACACAATCTACAGACGCATTCTATAGGGTGTGCTCTTAATTCTTTTTTAAATGTTGCCAATGATTGGGACTCTCTTATACTGTGAGGTAGTGTTTGCCACAGTTTTTGACCTAAATATCTCACAGTTTCTATGCCATAAGAAGTTGTCCTGGCTTTTGGAATGCAAAGATTATTTTTAGTTCGCAAATCATAATGTACATTTCTTGTTTCAAAAATCTCACTCATGAAACTAGGGTTCAGGTTATGTTTGGTTTTGTATATTTCTATCATCAAGTACTGTAGATTACGTTGGTGAATTGATACTGCATTATCCAAAGTCAGCAATGCTTCGTAGTCAGCATGACTGTCTTTATAAACAATTCTGAGTGCTCTTTCGTGGATTTTATTCACTTTAGCATTCAGACATCTGTCGTGGAACATCTAAATTAGGGGGCAGTAGCTAAACTGAGCTTTTATGAAGCTGTTCATTAGGAGACGCAGTTTATCAGAACCCATAAATGGTGAAACTCTAGCAAGAGCATGCAGTTTTTGGCTGGCTCTTTTGCATAAATTTGAGACGTGACTTTTGAAATTAAGATTTTTATCTATTATCACCCCTAGCAGTTTTTTCTTCAGAGCTTAACTGAAGTCACGTGACCTAAATCATGCACATAACGCCCAAAACGAAGTCATCTCTGGGCAACACGAACGAAGTCAAAACAAAGTAACAACAAAATTCCCGCCTTCTCAAAAAGACTTTTAATTCACTCTTCAGAATCATCCGCTTCTCTTTCAGACGAAGTCCGAAGATTTTGTCAAAACAAATTAGGCAAAGTTAGTTTTAATAATTCATTCTTTGAAACAAAATGACACTGAACTAGCAAAGAAAGTAGGGAAAGCTGATAAGGATGCCAACTTTAAGTGGACTGGCAAGATACTGCACTTTTAACACGAGTATTTATCGACAACAAGGCTGTCAATATGGCGAAAGGTCTTGATTGGGAGACAGTGAAAACTAAATTGGATGAAATAGCCAACCGCTTTCGAGCAAGATACGATGTAGATAAAATTTATCCGGATAAAACCGTTTACACTTACCACATAGCTATCCGAACTAATTTAATCCATTTACCTAGGTTAACTAATTTTGTTAGGATAGCAGCTGTCAAGTTCGTGCAGATAGCGTGGGTCTAGTGTAAAACGCGACGCCTATCTGAACTAATCTTGATACGGATAAAATTTATCCGGCACAGTGTAAGGATTGCTTGACGGAAACAAACGAATTTGTGCGATGACGTAGATTTTTCAAAATCAGATATGGAACATCGCAATGCATCTGAAGAACAAAATGAAAGTATAAATGTATTACTAACGCTATGTGGAATACTTGAATTTTTAATCGTTATCTTTTAAAGTTTATACATTTTCTACCATGTGTTTTTGCAACCTGTGACAGGATAATCACGCAAATGCGAGAAAAACTGCTGGAACTGTAGCTCATGAGTTGGGACACAACCTGGGAATGGCACACGATAGTAAGTGAAGGTTTCGTTAAATATCACGTGTTGAAGTAAGAATTGCAATTAACTAAATATGCAAGATTCAACTGTTAGCTACATGATAAGTGAAGTAGGCCAATTCTTTGAAGTGTTGATAATACATTTAAATGAGATTATGCATAGGGCGATCGAGTCCGTTTTAAATGGTCATGAGGTTTGCTCTTTTTTAGCCCCTGGCTGCTCTTGTGGTGGATCTCCTTGTGTAATGGCTGCAACCGGAGGGTAAGAAATCTTCAATGATATGTAGGCGTACCGCATTTCCTGCCACCTAGTTATAAAACTTACCTTTTTATCAAATAAATGGAATACTGAAACTTTTTAATTATGAAATAAAACATTTACGACTCAATGAGTCGTTTGAGATTTTGAACAGTTTTCTGGTTTTGTGATCATCGGAACTTTAGAAAACTAAAGGTACCAATCTCAAGGTTTTGCTTTCAAATACTTTCTTGTACTGCAATTCACAAAAAGTACTGACCTTAATATATGACATCTTTAAGACAGAGAGCTATCACAACGTCAGTATATAAACGAACTTTGTTTCCTTTCAGTGGAATACCAATTGGTTTCACTGGGTGTAGCTTGACAGCCCTTGATAGACGCATCACGGACGGTCTGGCTTCTTGCCTTTTCGACATTCCTCCAAAGGTGTGTTTAGCTCAAACTGTTTATAAATTCTTGATATGTTAAAGGTTAAACGTCAATGGTTAAAGGTCACAAAGGTTTGGGTAGAGGTCATAAATCACCGTATGCGCATCAAGGTGATATGCTTAAGGCCTTGAAGTTCATCGACGAAATGATTAAGCTCAGTTTACGAAGTTCCAAATTTCATGAGCTTAAATTCAAAAAAGTAATCATAAAGGTTTCTGGTTGAAATTCATAAATTTTTGGAATTTAAGGTCATAGGTCATAAAGGTTTTTTGCTTATGGCCTTGAATTCCATTGGCCAGAGATCATAAAAGTTCCAGATTAAAAGCCATTATTTTTTTGAGGTTAAAGTCATAAAGGTCATTCAGTATAAGTATGTTTTCTTCGTGAATCAAATTTCCAAGAAAAATGTACGTTAATTTTCTAATGGAAGTTTGAATGAGTTCAGATGAATGAATGGGATTGCCATGTTATTTTCGTCCTATTACAATCTTCTTAACCGTGTGCAGATGCTATAAAATTATAATTTAACATAATTTAACCAAACATCAATTTGTCAATTTCAGCTTTTTGGTCCTCCTGTTTGTGGTAATGACTTTTTGGAGGAAGGCGAAGAGTGCGATTGTGGATCAGTTCTTGTATGTAGTCTATTTTGCTTGTAGAAATTTTAGTTATTTAAAACGAAACGTTACTGTTACAGTATGGTATAGATTTTATAAAAGAATCAGACTCAGAAGGTTTACAGAAGTAAGCGGGGATGTTTGCCTTATTAGCAACTTCATTCATAACAAAATGTTGTCTTCATATCTTGGGAAGCACAGTTTGATAATTAACAGAAAAGCCAGCACGGCAAAAAAGAGTCTTATGTCTCGACATAAGTCATTGTAACCAGCTTTAATCCAAATTTGACAAAATTAGTACGACAAATTCAGTACGGCATACATACGATAAATTCAGTACGTCTTAGTAACTGGTTATGTCTTTCTGATTACGCCGTACTGATTCTGTCGTACTAATTTTGTCGTGCTAATTTTGTCAACTTTGGATTAAAACTGGTTTCAATTATTTATATCGAAAGATGAATATGTATCTTTTTTTCGCCGTGCTGTTTAAAATGTTATCTTGATGTTAAAGGCAATTGGCAGAGAACTCATTTGTTGGAAGCTGGACAGATCAATGCCAAAATGCTGGCTGCTGGAAAATTGTTGACGATATTTTTGATAGCTGCCTTCGTAGCGACACTGCTGCAAATAGTTCGAAGCCTCATAAGATTATAAATTTTTGTTATTGTAATGATAAGATTAACTGTTATACAAGCGCCCTTTTTTGTAGGAATGTAATGCAACTGGAGCAGCAGCCTGTTGCAATGCAACTACTTGTAAATTGCATTCCAGCGCCGAGTGTGCCGTTGGATCGTGCTGCAAAGATTGTAAGGTGAGCTAATCTAGCTTTTAAATGTTTTGTTCATCCATGTTCGATGTCATGAGGAGGCTTTCAGTATTTTACTTGCTATGTGATACACGGTCAAAGATGTTAGATGGAGATAAGTCGTTCATGAAATAAACGGAAAGCTGTTTATCGTAGAAGGGTCTACTTGAAAGAAGAATATTTGATATTGGTCGACATTGATGATCCAACGATAAAACTTACACACATGGTTCTGCCATCGGTCAGCATTTTGAAGGAAACCCTTGTTATGCCAAAACTATAATGGCGGCATGTTTCAATTATTGGCAGAGCCCGATCGTCTTTCCATCTAACAGTGTGGGAATCTATCTACAGGTACTAAAAACCGCTACTGTGTAGACAGAAGGAGTTCGTTTGCACCTTTAGTCTTCATTAGTAATATTTTCAAAAGGGAAACGGCACTCATTGGGCAACCTCAACAGGCATGTGCTCACGCTTCTGGTTGGCCTGTTTCGACCCACAACCTAGTATATATTTTTCCTAGTTTACAATTTTCGATCATTATTCTGACCTTTTGTGCTTTGAAGCGTGCCAGACAAAAAGCTTAAGAATGTTTACAAAATCTTTGCTTTTTCAAAGCCATTTCAAAATGCTCTATCGCCAAAAATTGTTCGAAGCTTTCTTCCTGGCAACTGTGTTTTCTGCAGGAAATATTCTAGCATCTAATTTGAGGATGTTGGCTACCTAAAAATAGTTTAAAGTTAGGGTTTTGTTCCAATTTGCTATGTCTCATGAACGTATCATCTCAGATGCACTGGGTTTTCAGTTAGGCCAGGTTTTATGATCCTTGGAGTATTTTTCGGAGACAGCAGCAAAGTCTTTAAAATTATTTCAAATGATATCTCGTCAGAATGCTGCTTTGGCTTTAAAGCTTTCCTAGACTTCAACATAACCCTTTGCAAAAAGAAACTTGGATAGCCATACTTTTTTTACCAATATGTTTCTGTCGCTTTGGTTTATTTATTCGTTTATATTTGTAATCAAGATACTCTTGGCGTTGACAATTCTAACACTATGACCAATCAGTCATCCGTTCGGTCGCGAGTGAGCTCTATGTTGTCGCTTGAAAATCTTAACAATAGTTTATTATATTCTTCAACCAATGAGAAATTAAATGATCGTCATAATTCGCATGGATTGCCTTTGTCTGTTCGCTCAAATCAAGAAATGTTTTTCCCCAAGAATTGTTCTGGATTCTGAAGAGCTTTTTTTATTTATTGTCGTAGTTCTTGAAGCAAGGTACTATATGTAGGAAGAGAGAGACAGAATGTGATCTTGAAGAAGCTTGCAACGGAAAATCACATGAGGTTTGTAGAGCCTTAATTCTGCTGCCAAAGAAAGTAAATTTTTCTTAATTCAAGCAAGTTATGCTCTGGGAAATCATAAATCTCAAGCAAAAATTATTTGTTTCCAATAGTCACATAAACCACTAAAAATACTTACATTTTTCAACGATCTCGTAAGGTTTTGATAATAAGCTGGACACTCCTACCCATGAGGGATCATCGTTTATTACAGAAGATGGAGTTGTTTTGATCAAATACAGCTTCAGACATACATAACTTTGTCAGAGCTTTATTGTATGCATCTAAACAGAGTCATCTGTAGACAAAGTATACCGACCAACTTTTATTTACGTTGGAAGGACTAGTGACAACAGCAATTCTTTATCACAGCATCCTTTCAAGAAATTGTTACAATAATTAATTCATATGTTGATGCCTTTTGACAAATCCAATTTGCAATTGTCCAATGTCAGATCTTCAATAGACTTCCCAAGGATATTAGGGACGAAGAATCATTAGTGCGTTTTAAACAAAAATCATCTCTTACAATACATTTTTATGGAACAATTCTTAAAACATATTAACCATCGTGTAATATTTATATATCTTTTTAGCATTTTTCGTTCAACAGGTCCTTGAATGATAACAGGATACTTATCCTGACCAAGTATTATTATTTTGCAAAAACAAGTATATATATATAATATATATATATATCTATATAAAGTATATATAAATATTTTTTGTTATTATTATTATTATTATTTTGAATCCTAGTGTCCTGGCAATTTTTACTTGGAAGATGGTGTGGCATGCAAAAATGACACCGTAAGTTTTTTCAAGCTCGTCTCTAATTTGTCCAAAGCTAACTAGAATATGAATTTATTGCGTTTAATTAATTTTGATACACCTATCTGATAAATATTTTTCTCAAGTAACATTTTATCTTACTTTGCCAACAGGCTTATTGTTTTGAGGGTGGCTGTCGAACTCATAATGAACAATGTGAAATACTTTGGGGAAAAGGTATTTATTGTGTTTTCAACGTTCTCGATTGTTTTTTGAGATAAATATTTTAAATTAATTCATTTTTACCAAACTTTTATTCGTATGTCATTCTTGAAAACCGTTAAGTTACAAATTATTGTAAATTGAGCTGAGCCTTTATCCTTATCAAGCATAACGGAAATCTTATTTTTGTCAGAAGAAGTTAGGCACATCAACCCTACCTTCAGGATCTTATTTCACCAGAAACAGCAAATTTTCTTAACATAATAGAATCTTCAACTAATTAAAGTTTTAGACTGAGAGAAATATTTTCTAAATTTGCAACATGGAAACATTTGTTGTTTGTCTAAGCTTATGTAAGCTTCTCGTCAAGTGCTTTAATTTATTGGGTTTATCGCGCAGGAGCAAAGAAGGCGCATGACTACTGTTTCAGAGAGAACATGGACGGAACCAAATGGTCGAGCTGCGGTGAAAATTCTTTAAAACAGATGATCAAATGCGCCGAGAAGTAAGGTTTTTCTCATTGTGACGTCATAAGTTCAATTCCTTTTGGCTAATCCCAGGGAGACCAAATTGCTTAGATGTTGAATTAAACTTGCGAGGAACGATCCAATATGAATGAAAGATGATTTCAAAACGACAAGGTTGCAGCAAAGTTTACCAATATTATTGCTCTGGTGTAAGGGGCTTCATCATAGCGTATTATGATTGACATTTTTATTGTTAAATCTCATTTCATTCAAAATTGGGCCAATCTTCGTCATTGTGCGTTGTTCCTGTCAAATGTTCTTTGTTTTTTATCAACCACAAGATTCAGAGTATCTAGCGGACTGCTTATCTTTCTTCATCTGACATGCCATGTCTCCTTTATTATTATTTTGATTGTAATGGTTTGTAATGTCAGCATTAGTTTGAATGCTTATTTCTAATTCAGATTGCAGTCTAATACGGTGTTGTATCTTCAGAGAAGAACCCATGTGCATATATGTTAAACTAGTCATGTGTATCGTTGATACCAGGCAGTCCAATCGATGTCATTTCTACTGAGCAAATTATATTATTACAAAAAGTAACACTGCTGCCTGTCAGTACTTTTGATGTTCAATACTGTCGTATTACATTGTGCTTGGTATAAAATTATATGGTATTACACCACTGCAGTATGGTCTTACAGATGTTTGATATTATCTACTGCATTATATTGTTTATTTAGTGTTGCATGATGTAAAATGTATCAATATCCTGCTTTTTCATATTTTAATGTCTGCTGTATTGCAATGATACGTATTATTCAAATAGTAGTATTCAATATCTGATATTATACTTGTTTGATATTATTTAATGTAGTATTATATAGTATTGTGATGTAGTGTGATATGTTGTTAATGTAGTTAGATTGTTATGCCCATAACTTTTCTTCGAGATGATGGTGTATGATAATGAAATGATATACCATATTGTTCAGCACTATATTTGTTTAGTAATATCTTTTTTGCAATATCACAATGTAACTGTTACGTACCGCGCTATATCGTTTTGCAGTAGTGTTCCGCAGTATTCGGTATTAAAGATTTTTACAGTACCAGGCATTAGTATCAGGAGCCTAGTAGTTTGCAGTTGTGTTGATTACTAAGTAGTTTTCGCTATCTTTCAATATTTGTTGCTTTCAGGGACATTTTTTGTGGTACGGTTCAGTGCAAGGACACGCCACACTCTTTTCCCATTCTTGGAACTGGTGATGCGGCCAGATACAAAGGTGTTACTGTTATTGTGAATGGCGTTTCTACTTCCATATCTTGCAAGTAAGATTGCTTCCGTAATATTCAATGTTTTATAGCGCTTTATTGGCTTGTTGAAACGATCCCGGTAAACGGTTATGTTGGTAGTCAATGTTTGTTTTTTGTTGGTAACATGTTGTAGAAAGCACTTCATTTTTTCTTATTTGTTGCTCTTCCATTCTGCACTAAATCGTTGCTTACTGTCATGTTCCCTTTCAATTAGAGATGAGTTCTATACAGGTGACAGGATAAAATGCATCAAAGACCTTAATGACACGATCAAATACATCAATGACTTTTCATTGGTTCTGGAATGTTCATTCTGAAACAGAAATGGAAATGACAATTCAACCCACCGACTTCGCATCATTCATGGCCTAAATACACTCTCCTCTTCTTTAATTCCATAGACTGCTTTTTTCCATAATTTGTCCTGAAGATCGTTGTTTATAATTTTATTAAGGGCTATAAAAATAGTGCTTCTGACCTCAAATTCGTCGTGCTTTCTTATGAAATCCTTGCTTATATTTATTTTTATATTATCTGCAGACATACTCTGCTAATATGAAATCCTTTTTGCTCTGATTATTCAAATATGGAATTCATTTCAATTGAATAAAGCTTGAATTATTTTTTCAATCCATGGTCTTTTTAGGCAGGGAGTAACTAGCCTCGGTCCAGATCTTGACAACCCAACCTTAGCGCAACAGGGAACCAAGTGTGGAGATGGAAAAGTAAGAGATCTTCTCTACATAACCTAAGCGTGCCCGGCTTGTTTCATTCGTTAGTTTAATGATTTAAATTTCACATCTTACAAATTGATTTCTAACTAAACTACAAGAGTAATACAAATGCAAGGACAAAATTAAAAGCCGTTAACCTCGAAATGCAATGAAATTTCTTTCTTTATACTTGAAGCTTTCCTCGCCCATTGCCTATGATGATAAATCTGTCAAACCTGCTTTTTATAACGTGTTAAACTTTACATACATAAACATTAATATTGTTTATCATTTTCTAGCTTTTTATTTTAACTTTCTATATTCATTTTCATTCATTATTTCGATATTTCATATTGCAAGGGATCTTATAGTTATTGGAAATGACTTGCTAAATAACAGTAACACGAGACATAACGTTTCCAGGATTGGTTAGCTTGTTACGTAGGGATATGTCATGCATTGTTTACCAACAGAAATTTATTACGCACAATTTAACTTATTTTCATCTTTTCATTTCAATGTTATTGATATTTCCATTTTTTGATCTCCGTTTCTCATGCATTGTTTATCAACAGAAATTTATTACGCACAATTTAACTTATTTTCATCTTTTCATTTCAATGTTATTGATATTTATATTTTTTGATCTCCGTTTCTCATGCATTGTTTATCAACAGAAATTTATTACTTAAATTATTACTTTTTCCATAATTTCATTTCTTTGTTATCGATTTTTATATTTTTAGATCTGCATTTCTCACAAATGCGTTAATATGTCTTCTCTTGACTTCATCAAACCATGTCCGAATGGAACTTGCTTCAATGGAGGGGTAGGTGCCAAATCAGTATTTAAATTCACTGTCCTCTCTTAGAGTTGCTATGTATTTTCCTTACTTCAACACCTTTGATAAACAACTTAATTTTTTCATCACCTAATTTTACCATAAGCTTCGACATTTTCACGTGGAAAAAGTAGTCATAGCAAAGATTAAACTGATGCTATTATGATAAATAGCTTAAGTTTTAATGTTGCTGCCAGTTTGTAATCTTTGCTTTTTTAGCATCTACAACGATGATAGTTTTGTAGTGACCATTATTCATATCTAATCTTGTGCTCCATTGTATTACTGTCATTTACACCTTACAGTCTCTTCGTATCCACAGTTACATGATCAATAACACATTCATAGCGTCGTCTCGTTTTCTGAGTATACGCCAAGTTTTGTATTTATTCAGTAAAAAATTCAAATTGCAACGGGCATACAACAGCGTCTCTTACTGGCTCCCTGCTATCTGCACGTTAAGTAATATCATAGCTTCAAGTTTAATATAGAAATGCGCAAGCGCTCCTAGAGTTTTATTGAAGTATGTAAAGTTATGGCTAGCTACGCCAAAAGGTTGTAACAAAGAAATCAAACTGGCAGCATCATTTACAATACTGGATTTGAAGGAAATTCGTCGATTTAAGAAGTTTTTCGTTAGTGTTAGCTGTTTACATATCGTCTACGATGAATGATCATCCTATTTGCATACTAAAGTCAAGTGGTCTAGGCAGAGCGCTCATAATTTCGAATGCCTCTGCAGGCCTTGTTGACTTGTTGCAAGTTTATCGTGTCTAGCTCATTATTAGACAGTACACAGAATGAAGAAATGTTGCCAGTGTGCGGTTGAATAATGCGAAGTGTACTATTTTGTACTATTCCCGGTATCAGGGCTTTATTTTGTTGTTTTTGCAGGTCTGTAATAACCTCGGACATTGCCATTGTCCCCTTGGCTTTGCCTGTCCAGACTGTAAGCATCCTGGTGAAGGAGGTAGTGTTGATTCCGGTCACAAATGTTACACACCGGCTACAAAACCGCAGTCAGGTAACAAACGACAATCTAATAACATGTATTTGTATTCATGGCTGCTTCGCCTGTGCTACAATTAAACACTCTTTTACTTGCAAAGTTAATGAGACCTTCCTTTGGCTGATAGGATCGATTTAAGTTGATTTGAATACGCTATAAAATCATGTTATATCACTGGCAGTTTTCATAAAGCCAAAGACTTCATTTATGAGTTTTTTAATTGTCTAGTCACTATATTAAGAAACTCGATTTTTCCTCACTTAGCACAAAATCCTAAACACTTCCCTTGAGCACAATAGCTAGTGATTGCACTGCTTACACCCTAATAATTTAAGAACAAATTAAGGACAATCCAGCCTCAGATTTTCTAAGAAATTAAGAATAACCAGTCTGGACTTCGGTTTTACCGCTTCTTACCAAATAAGTGTAGTAGAATGTATTTTTGGTCTAAAATACACTTAGCGCTATACGCAATGTATTTTGATATCATTATTTCTCTGTTCAAGGCTTAACTACTTTAGCAAAAAGTCTGCTGATTCTGTTCCTTGGAGTCGTTCCAGTTTGCATCATAGCCATTATTTTGCTGTACAAGTTCAGATCCTCGTTGCCATGCAGGCCTTCATCTGGCTCAAATGCTTCTGCGCAGCAATCCAGGTCAACTGCAGCCAGGTATCTATTCACCAAATACCTGCTACGTCTCCTCCATCTTGAATTACCATGTTGATTCTTAAATTAATTTTACTCTTTTATGTGTGCACTGCTTTATAGTTTTAAAATGTAGCACATGTTGGAACTTACTTTTATCATAATTTTCGCTCCACTTGGCGTTTTAAAATGTAGCCAAAAGGCCAAGCTGTTGTATTTAAACGTTAAAAGTAAGATTTTTTCTGTTGTTGTTCTTGCAGGGAGAATAACACACCCGACGTTGCTTTCAAGCCCCAATCAAAGTCACCTGTCAGTATGAGCCAAGGGACGCATCATATGTCAGTCAACAAAGGCTTTTCTTCTTCGCCAAAACCTGCCAACCCACCTCCAAGAAATCCTCCGGCAGTACCGCAGTCTAAGCCTGTTCAGCCGTCAGCCCCAAGACTCAATCCTGTCTCCCCACCCGCCAGGGCTTCGCCTTTGCCGCCGACACGACCTGCTGGTCACCCACCGCCAAAGCCTGGAAAACTCCCGCCTTTGGTCCCACAGAAGCCACGTTGATGTATTTTATGGCCTGATGGTGATGCAAACTCTACTGCACATATGTTATTAGAATAAAATTTCTTATTATTTAAGGATGCAAAATCCAGGAAATTTACCAATTATCGTTGCCGGCTTTGGATTGGAGAATAAAATCAAGGTTTTTCTAAAACCTTTTTCACAAGACGAGATAACTGAAAACTTACTTTTTGGTCCGCTTTAGACCAAAAAGCGATTCAATCGGATGTTAATTGTTTGTATTATAGGGTTTAACTTTGCAAGAAATATTTTTGTAGTAAGTAAAAATCAAGCAATATTTTGTAATAAACGTAATTAAAGAGCCTTGCATTATGAAGTGTTGGGTAATGTTTGTCACGAAAGATCAAAGTCATGAAGCAGAATGAGTCGTAGTTGACCTTGAAAAGATTCCATTGCGTCAAAGGCCAGGGGGGGGGTACTCCCATTATGGTCTGACAGGGGGTCCGGTCAGGGTCAAAGAGGGTCAACGCTAAAATTTTAGAAAATTACCCTCAAATGGTAGTACTTTTTGAAAAAAAACCTCTCAAACGGTAGCATAAAAACCGAAAATATTTCCTTGCTAGCATCCATTTCTTTGTGTTCTCTTCGTCCTTTTTTGAAAAATTTCTTCATAATTGATTGTTATTGTTTCGGGAAAGGTAAATCTTGTTCATTATCTATAACAAATCGCAAGTTAAACTGAGCAGTTCAGTTATTATCGAAAATGGGCCATTTGGAAGCCATTTGGTAAGACCCTCAAACGGACTGGACCCCCCTGTCAGGCCTTAATGGGAGTACCCCCCCCCCCGGGGGTCAAAAGTAGAGGCATTTTAGGACCCCAAGCCCGTCACCTACTAAAACGCATTTTTCTGTGATAAGGTGTTGTTTGTGAACCAAACAAGTATCAAGCCAGCAAGTAAATCGAATGCCACTGAACTCTTGCCCTCCTTCCTCTCACATCTAATGCCTATTTATGTTGCCACGAATGTTTCATTTGATAGAGCTCACCTTTTGACGCTTAATTCAATGATTCTGTTTTCTATACATTATATTTCCTTATCTAATCGAGCTCAAAGATACGTACAACCTTATCGAATCTCTTGTTTCTGAGCATGTTTGCGAGTGACGTCACAGATTCAGACGTCCATTAGTAATTACAAATTCCTCTACACTATATCGCACCATTTCACTTAGATAATGTAATTTTTCATTGATAAAATAAAATTGGTTTAGCTATATGAATGCTAAATGTATGTTGCATAAAATGACTTAAATTCTTAATTTGAATGTATGCTAATTTTTTACTTTTTTCATACTGCGTGAAAATATTTTAGCACTTGTGTGAAGCACAACCAGACTCTTGTGAATTCATTTACTGAATCTGTTGGATAAACCGTCAAGGAATCTATCCCTAATATTAGAGAGTTTCCATGAGAATACCTGAAGTACAGTGTCTCTTTCAATATTTTTGTCAAATCTTATATCTGTTAAATCTATTTAATAGGTAGCCTGTCCGATGATTACTGTAAGAATGTTTTGGGTGCAAACATTTCCAGTTAAACTTTTTATATTATTATACCAGGGCCCACGCCACGAATTTCAAGATGGAGGGGCCAAGTTCCATTGGAAATGTTTTTGCTTACCAAAAAAGTGAGAGAGCCGTGGCCGCTCCCCACCCTCCCCCCCCCTCTCCCGGTGGCCTGGGCCCTGTATATATTCTTGCCCAAAGCAGTAACATTTGCTGTAAATAGTCCTATACTTTCGATCTCGTAGTTGCTGCAAGACAGTTATCTTACGCTTCAGATAATTTCACAAAGCCGGACCCATTTACCTTTGTATTGTAATATTCAGGCTATGTTTTGGTGAATTGTAATTGCTTTACGTAAATAAAAACAAAATGTAGTTAGTTTTGAATTGTTGATATTATTGTTTTCATGTAAAGTTGAAAGAGGGATATGTGCTTGAAGGTTCTTGAATAAATAGTCCCTTTGCGTAAGTAATGGTCTGAAAATAATTCTAAAGTAACAATTATCAGGCACTTTCTCTGAAAATAATACAATTTTTTAAACCATGCTCTAACGCATAGAATTATCTACGCCACTAATCATTCTTCATTGGTCAAAGCTTACTTCTATATAATAGAATTATTCCCTGTCCTCCATTTTTCTCAGTGCCTTCACTCAACTTTCAAAGGTTTTTATTTTGCGTCACAATCATCGTAAGTATGTCTGACATGGGGCACGAGGGAAACTTATAAAAACTAGTAATGATAAAAATTAAATTATAAATTATATTTATAAAGAAATGTTCCAAACATTTTGAAAGCACTTTGTGTGTCATTCTGGCATTAAAATTTTTTATATAGCCATTAAATTTAGGCTCAGACCGGCTGTTTTTTATTTATCCAAGAAATTTTATGGCTGGGTTGGGTTGTTCTTATTTTCTTCTTAAATTATTCGAGGTTAAGTTGAAGAAATTTTTACACGAGACAGAAGTTACTGCAGAACAACATTAGATGCGTATAGTGTATATGGTGACATTGGCCCTGACTACAATGTGAATGTGAGGGTGAAATTATTTCTTCAAAATGAATTTTCGATTGTGGTTGTTTCTTTGCCCTCGATTTTTTCCCAGTTGACCAATTTGACATAATTATCTATGACCACATCTGCATTTTAAGACCTGAGGTTAATGCAGACGAGAGGCCTGGGGCGAACTGGTTGCTTGCAACTTCCCTGCGTTGAGTTTACTTGGAGACGAAGAAGGCGGATTAAAGCTGCATGGTAATACCATAGGACGGTTTCATTTGCAAGCTTTTATTCGATCTGTAAATCGTTTTCCAGCTTGAAGAGCTTGTTAATAGAAGCAAGGCGTATTAAGTGTTACAGAAGAACACTCATTGGAGTTTGCTTAGCTGCATCATCGGTGCATAAAACTCAGTCTACCTAATTGCAATTGCACTTGTTGTTAAAAGGGAACATTAAAAATGGTAAGTTTATATTGAGACAAATAGTTTATCTTCTGATTTTATATTGTATGCTGTTGAATAATGCTTGATATCATTTTAAAGAGTAAGACGTAAACAACGTAATATATGAAAGCATTCCCTTTAACAAGCAATCTATCAATTTGTTACCATGTTCGAGTTGCATTCTATATAGGCCTATTTACAGAGAAACACGAGCATTGCTGTTTGCAACCTACCTATACTGAAATGATTATCTAACTTATTTCTGCATATAGCCAATTGCAAACCTTAATTAACTAGGACCACTAGGAGCATTCATGTCTGCTTGATTGTTTGAGATTCTTGTACGTTATCAAATCATGATGATAATCTTTTTTCTTGTATTTGATAAAAAATGACGTATGTGAATATTTGTAAATTAAAATGAGCTTTTTTGATAAAATATAAAAAACACCAAGAATGCAAAATGCAGAATGCTTTGAAATATCTTGTGCAAAATGCTTTGAGAGATCAAGAAAAGGTGTTAACGGGGCTGTTGTATTTGTGAAAGATGTGTTGTACGTACATGATGCCTTTTGTCAATGATTTTTCTGTGGTAGAAATGGTTGGTATTTGGGGGGTTTGGTGGTTAGGAGGGAATTCAGTTTGATTCAGAAAATTTAAATCAGAAATCAGACATTTTGAGATAAGGAAAGAAAAAGTTATCTTCTAAGAGGCTATACCCTTCAAGCTTTTAGAAACTTTCATCTAATCATTTATTTTCAGAAAAGGCGAAAACTGTAATATAATTTTAAAAGAATAGAAAAATTGTAAGAGCTTTTCTTATGTTGTTATTGTAAAATAATTTGCAAAAAATGATTGTGAAAATGTCAAAAACATGTTATCAAAAAGTAAAACAATTTGCTATTTCTATTGACTCTAGTATACTGTTCAATTTTGTTTTCCCAAATTATATTGTTATTAGGTTGATCCTCACCATTTTTCCTGCCTATTGCTATCTATGTGCATATCTGTTGGTGCTTATGGTTTCTAATCCAGTCTCAAATTTGCAATATTTCTCTTCCAAAATGATATGCATCCTGATTATTTTTGACAAATATGTTGGGTATGTTTACAAGTAGTCAACTGAACTATCTTTTCTAAAAGGATTGTTTTAACTCAATTTATGTGAAATATGTGTGAAAACGTTTCAGTAAATTTGCAAATTGGATGGCTCATCAACAGCAACTGTGTCATTAGAAATATGCCAGGGCCTGCCTGTTTCCCTGAAATCTTGGTACAGGATATCAATATACCAGCCAATTGGCACCCCAGGAATTTCATAATGTACGATGCCCACTAACTAGGCAATGACAAGTCTTTTGATATGTCAAAGATCCTGAATCTCTAACAGCGTTATCTTGCTAATATTTTGCTTTAATGTATCTTGCTATGCTTGCTATTAATGTATTAGCCAATTGTTTTGATTTTAGGGTTTACTGTCACTTCTAAGGAAGCTTAAAAGTAGAGATATACAAGATATGAGAATATTGTTGCTTGGATTAGACAATGCTGGAAAGACTACTATATTGAAAGCATTAGCATCTGAAGATATAAGTCACATCCAGCCAACCCAGGTAAGCCAAAACCAACCAACCTAGGTAACAAGTCTTTCTTATGTTATTTAAGAATGAATTGCACAGTATTGTGCCACCAAGACCAGCGCAAAAAATGATTACCATTTTTGATGAACAACATATTAAACTCTAAAAGTTCTTAACCATTGTTTCCTAATGTCAACATTAAAGTGAATTCTTGCTCTTGTCAAACCAGCTAGATTGTTAAATACACAGTTGCCAACTTTTTAACTTCTTCAAGCAATTGAAAATCCTGATTACTCCAGGGAGGACATTAAAACTGAATATCATAACACCCACAGAAAGAGAGTAGTTTAACAGGGGCCTGATGATCATTAAGGAAGGGCAAAACTTTGATTTTCAACTTAGATCCATCCTGTTTATATGCCAAAGCCTGTACATCTCTGCCTATGTGGCACCTAGCACTATAAGACTGACCTGTAAGACAGCACTTTTTATTACTCAAACTTTTTGTGTGAACTTTAAGCTAATTGGGCTACCTTTACAATCATGTGCTCACATTTAAGATTGGCCTATCTTGATCCATAGCTTGGTATATATATAAATATTTTGTAAATTTAGAATTGTTGAAGCATGGTGTTTTAAACTCTTAGAGTGTTCGATGAAAAGCTGAAATATTTTGCAAAATGTTTGCTTTTTTCAAAGCCATTTTTGGTTTCTGTACCACCCAAATTGTAAAGATTACCCTATTAATTATAAAAGGGGTTGTCATGAAAGTTACTGATAACCAGTCTGTGATTCTACAGAAAAGAATCAAAGCATAGAACAAGTTGTCAAGTAGCTAATCAAAATCAATGCCAGTTGAATTGATGTCAAATTGGTGTTGAATTAGTAAGAAAAAAACAGGAAAATACTGGGGTGCTGTCTTAAAAAAGGATAATAAGGCTTAAAATGTAATCTCATAAGAAGTATTTGGCTCCAAGAAACATGTGGATTAGTTTATAATTTTTAGGATGAGGAAGTACCACAGGTAATGCTAAAAAATCAGACATCCAATTCTTGTTGTAGGTGTAAGTTTTGATGTCATCTGCTAATAATCCATTCATTCTGTTTTATTTGTTTGTTTCATATGAAAAGCCTGACTTATGACAAGTAATTTCTTATGAGGATAAAGAAATCCTTGTTTGTTTACATATCACAAAATAATTCTGGTTGAAAAATAGAACTGCTTTGTCAAATGGAAATACGAACAATAACACTATCATTTGTACTGGCTATTTTAAAACATATCTTTTTATCAAACATATTATTTTGCCCCATAATATTACTGCCCTTATTCTGTAGAGCCATTAGGAAACTCTTAACAAAACATCTTCTCTTGCAAAGTTATTAGTTTTTACCCTTATGAATCCTGAATTTTAAAATTTGATGTTTCAGGGTTTCAACATAAAATCTGTGCAGTCTGCAGGAATTCGATTGAATGTATGGGATATTGGAGGTTTGTGATTTGTTTTTGTTAACAATTCATAACTGTCAGCTATTCAAAGTGCGAGATACTCTTGTGTGTTTTTGTAGGAGAGGAAGGTACAGTAGATTCTTATAATAGTCATACAAAATATGCTATAAGCAGAGTGTGATTGTATATGGAGCTCAACTGAACAGTTTTGTATATTTAGGTCTTTAATTTTTTTTTTATTGTGCAGGACTTTTACTTGGGTAGCAGTTATGTATGGCTTTATTGTCATTTCACATGTTTTGCAACAACAATTTTATCTTGGGTGTCTAGGGGCAGAGCCCCTGCTGTTAATGTCAGAGGGTAAGACATTATTCTTGTGACCCCCTTTTCCTTTCTGTAGAGCTACAACTCTGCTGGTAAACTTAGCAATATTACCTCATTATGTCCTGATATTTAGGCATTCAAAGGATATTTTTGTGATGACAAGGCAAGAATTATGAATCATTGAATTACGGTTTCTTTATTCAATTATCTAAAGTGAATTTAACAATAAGTATGACTTTTTATAGGCCAAAGACGGATACGTCCATATTGGAAAAACTACTTTGACAATACAGATGTTCTGGTAAGTTGGTAGTTTTGCTTGACTGTATAAACTAGGTTTGATCCATGATAAAGGAATATGATTTTGCCCTCACAATATGTTCTTGACTTAAAATTAAGGTAAAAATACCTTTGCTTATTGGTGTGTAATTTAGATTTGAAGGTATATTCTTATTTTCAAAATATCTCTTTAAAGGCAATCACTTTTTGATAGAAGAAAGGAATGCCTCACTTGATATCAGTTGTTATATTAATTGTATTCTTTGCAAATGTTGTCAGCAGTTGAACACTTTTAATAAGAGGTTTCTACAGCTATTTTGTACTTTGAAATATTTTGAAAATTTTTACTAACAAGAACCAATCAAGTTTGAAACCAACTTTTAAATAATTGATTTTTTATTAGATTTATGTCATAGACAGTGCTGACAGAGCAAGATTTGAGGAAACTGGCCTTGTAAGTTCCTTTTCTATAAATCTCTATTGATTCATATATTTTTATGAAAAAACTGCTTGAAGAAACAACTGTATGGAACCGTATTATCAGCTTTTGTAAACATATGCCTGTTTATGAATTATTCATCTTTGGCAATGTTTTATGAGATCTATTTAAGCGTTTTTTTGCCAAAATCATATTGGCACAAGAAAAACAGGAAAGCAGAAGTAGTTTTGAAATAGACACATCTGTTAAAAAGTTCTTAGATAACAAAAACTATTTGTTCAACTTCCAAGTTCATGACTTCAAATTCTAATTAGAATATCACAATACAGAATTGAATATTCTAAGTGTTGCTGATGTTCATGAAAACATTACAAATTTACACTCAAAATGAAACAGTTCAGTAGAGAAGCTGAACACTGAATTTTCCACTAGATCAGAGAGTATTTCATTTAAGATGCACAACATTTATAAGTGTCTTGTGCTAGAGGTCAGAGCAAGCTAAAAATAGAAAAGCAATGGTGACCAGATGTGAGATTTTGCCTGTGGTCAATTGATTCAAATCTGCTTCAAACTATTGTAATATGTGCAAGTAAAAATTACTCCTTACGTAAGCGAACACAATTTGCCATCTTGATATTTAATTTTTTTCTTTAGAGCCCGATAAGCCTTTTTTGATGTTGTTTGTTCCAATTGAAGCTTAGAACACTATTTTGTGAATTCATTATGAGTTTGATGGATTATTTGTTATTTGTTTAGTGAAAAACATGCAGATTTAATCTTATTGGATTTTTTAAAAAAATTTCAGGAACTTCAAGAATTGCTGGAAGAACCAAAATTAGCTGGCGTTCCTGTTCTTATATTTGCAAACAAACAAGATTTATTGTCCGCTGCTAGGCCCTCTGATGTATGAACTTTTTAATTTTTAAATTGCATTTCATCTTTTTCATTGTCAGATGTTTTTATGATTTTAGGATCCTTCAGATATAATCCTATTCTCTAATTGTTTGTTCACAGAATCTTCATACATATCTTCTTATCGGAATTAAGGTTAAGATTCTTGTCGATTGTGTTTATTAGATTAAGAAAAATAAGGAAATGCTTGAAAATATTTATTTCCTTTTCAAGGAAAAACAACATCACATACCTTAGCATAGAATGAATATTTTCTATTTTATAGAACTGATGGCAAAACCCCCGAATGACTGAAAGTTATATAAACATGTTTCAGATTTGCTCCCTACTCTAGCAGCTTTGAGAAAGAAAATTTGCAGTTTACCTATAAATATCGTAATTTTCCCACTGCCAGAAATATTTTATTTGAGTGTAAAAGAGTTGCAAAATTCACTAAAGCTAGCCGTTTATTGAAAAAGAAGGCAAATTTGATGCTTAGTGCAGAAAAAGCTTGGAGAAACTTTCAGAAGTCTACACATTTCAAAGACCTAAAAGGCCCTTAATATTGAAGAATTGCATGAGCCTCAAGTTTATATGATATTAGAGGACCAACCAATTACCTTAAAGTCTTTTAGTTCGATAATCCAAAAATGTTGCAGTTTTGTTTGTTAGAACCTGGCTTGAGGCAATGGTGATTTAGTTCTTTGATCTGTTTGCTAATTTCGAATATCGTTTTCATTTTACTTCGATTTTATGAATGCATTGTAAATAATAGGTGGATAGATATGATGCTTTAGAAACCTTTAGAGTAAAATTCTGCTACTTGCCCCGCTACCTGTCGCATGCTGGTTAACTTCGATATGTTTTTGCCTTTTAGATCGTAGATGGCTTGAGCCTGACATCGATAAAAGACCGAGCGTGGCAAATTCAACCTTGTTCCGCTACCACAAAGGAAGGCTTAGAGGTGACTACAGTGTATCTACTTTTGACTACCGTAAATTATCTAATCCCCCCCTCCTCGTGTAAGCGCTCCTTTGAATAAGCCCCCACCCTGAATACGTGCCCACCTTTACATGTCAGTTTCTGCGTTTTAACAAGCCTGGTAGGGATTTAGTGACCCTGGTGGGGCGTGTATGCATTGTTTTTCCTTTCTCATTCATCGATCATACCATTACCTTGACATGCTCTTATGTCATTCAAGGCAACGCATATAACAGGATACCCCCTTTTACAATGTTTACAAGTCTAGATCTTTCCTTCTCAATTACATCACATTACATCATCATTACTTCATCCCAACCCTTCCTTACTCAGCCCATTTATTTTTAACACTTCCATTTGTATATAATTACGAATATAAACGTTGTATAAAAGAGACTTAATCAAGAAACAACCGAAAGATACACCATTAAAGTCCATGACGGATAACACATTCAGCGGCGAATGAAAAACTTGAATGAAAAGAAATGAAAATATGATTTTCTGAACTGAGACATTTTTGTGTGCTTTGGTTTATAGTTTGCTATGATATCTTAGATGGAGTTATTTAATATAATTGCAAATGAAGTGAACATGAAAATCGTGAAAATGCTACGAAACGAGCTATTCTCATTAAAAACCTTTAGATGAATTTTATAGGGCCACCTCGAAATCGTCCCCATCTAAAAAGTCCCTAAATTAATCAGCCCCTAATGGGAGGGGGGAATCGAGGATTTACTGTACTTCTTTGCGTTGTTGTTGGAGCACAGTTATTTTACAGCAGATGCTACAGCAGAACCTATGTTTTTGTCAGTAGAAGCTATTTCGAAGCCTTTTAACTTGATTCATATGGTTTCCATAAAATTGTGAAAAAGGCATAAAATATTTAAGCCAAATTAAAATGTGAATTAAAAGTTTCTGGTTGAAAAGATCATTTGCAGGTGCAGTTGTGAAGTTTATCTAGTAGCCACGGTTTTAAATGTAGGTTTATTTGTAAATTCCATAGAATCATAATTTTGTTTTTTTCAACAGCATGGTCTCGACTGGATTCGAAAGAACGTCAAATAGAGGTCATTTTACAAGAAAGGCTCTTCCGCATTGAAAACAGTAGCTCTACAATTAACCTTTGGACAGCGATGAAAAAAATTGCTTGAGTGTTCCTAACGCCTCATTTTAGTTATAAAATATTGTATGAAGTATGCAAAGCATTAATGATTTGGGTCAAGTTGTTCATACATCCATAAAAGCAATGGGTTGCTTTTCATCGTTATTTTGGGGGTAGCAATCTAAGCGTATAATATTCTGTTTAAACAGTAAGTACAATTAGCTCTGGATCATGTTCTTTTGTGCTTGAAGTATTTCAGGCTAGAGACTAGATATTATTTTCAGGTCCATTTGTGGCTTAATCGTGTACCTGGCTTAGTATTTAAGTCAGTATCTCTTTTTGTCACCACGATAGAACTTATCTTCCGACTTGAATGTTAGCGCACATGACTTATCTTTATAATAATATTTTTACTTGAAAACATATTTCAAGGTGGATTTTTTCTCTCTTGTACGAACTTTGATCATTTTAGAAGTTACTTTCCTTCTTATAGTATTTCTTGTCTCCAATTTTAAGCAATATTTTGCACTTTCCTGGAAAACAAGTCAAGATGTTTCGGAATTTTCTTCGGAATTTATTTTTCGTTATTTTTTTTGACAAAAAATCATTCTCTTAAAATATATTAATTTTCTGATTTCGACATATTAGTTTCGAAAGAATCATTTTTTAATTAGACGTTTTTTGAGCTGCCTTACTTGTTACATTTTCTAAAAGTTCAATTGGCACTGATTTACCTGCACTGATTTTTATATTATGTCTCTCAAAATGTGCTGCTTTTGTCAATGCACCGCGAACTGTGCTAACCTTCTCCCTGCGATAATATAAAAATCTTATTTCACAAAACTATTCAATTGGAAATCAACAAAATTGTTAAATCTATAATGGCTTGATTAAGTGAAATTGGGGTGCGCCTTTTCGGTGCCCCTTGGGATTTTGTTTTTGGCACAGATTACACCATTGTAGAGTTTGTGTTCATTGTAGCAGTGCTCGAGTAAGCATTGTATTGGCCAAAGCAACCAGCGTGCAAGTGTGTATTAGCCTTGCGTATATAAACTTTATGTTGGCATTGTTTCTTCTTCACACGTTACAAGACAACCTGAAGTTGGACTGTGGGAAGCGAAGTTTATTCTTGCGATACAAATGACTAAATTGGCTATCTACCTATCTACAACGCTGAAGTTGGTGAGATCATTTTCAGTTCTTTCTCTCGAGTCACATTTTATTTGCTCGAATACGTATTCTTAAACAGTGATTGAAAATGTTATCTCAAAAGAAATGCTGAGCAACCAAACGTGACGGTTAGAAGTCATTTAGCTTCTTTGCAAATATTTGGTGGTGAATTTTCACTTAACTCCCAGTCCCATTTTCACTTAACTCCCATTTTCGAAGTGTGACAAAAGTTCGGAGTAGCAAAATTTTTGCATTACATTTGGCTTGCTACTTTGTTTTTTTTCTTTTCTCCAGTTATTCTTCTCAAACACTGACGGAGAGTATCTCACTAACAAACTTGAGTAGTCATGCTATAAAAATCCTACTTGCTTGAATTTAGCGCAACATTCATTTCTAACTAACAAATTTGTTTTCCAACACCTTGTACGAGCTTAAACCAATTACTGGGCTCAGGCCTGGGTAGCTATGTAAGCTAAGTAGCACAGTATCGTTTATGAGTTTGAAACTAAACATATGGTGGTTTGTGTCTATTAGTGTGTATTAGCTTTTTCATGAACAAGCAAGGCTATAGGCTTATCAAATTAACCATTTTTTCTAGAATATTTTTTTGGTAAAAACCCCTTTTTTATACTTAATAGCAACGATAAAAAGACTTCAACAACTTGTTGCTTTATTTACATCCATTTATTGGGATAAAAATCAGGCTTCTTAGATCATCAGTTTTTCATAAAAAAGCAAGGCTATAGGCTTATCAAATTCACAATTTTTTCTAAAATATTTTTTTGGTAAAAACCCCTTTTTTATACTTAATAGCAACGATAAAAAGACTTCAACAACTTGTTGCTTTATTAACATCCATTTATTGGGATAAAAATCAGGCTTCTTAGATCATCAGTTTTTCATAAAAAAGCAAGGCTATAGGCTTATCAAATTGACCATTTTTTCTAAAATATTTTTTTGGTAAAACCCCTTTTTTATACTTAATAGCAACGATAAAAAGACTTCAACAACTTGTTGTTTTATTTACATCCATTTATTGGGATAAAAATCAGACTTCTTAGATCATCAGTTTTTCATAAAAAAGCAAGCTATATCGGCTTATCAAATTGATCATTTTTTTTAAAATATTGTTTTGGTAAAAACCCCTTTTTTATGCTTAATAGCAACTATAAGAAGACTTCATAAACTTGTTGCTTTAATTACATCCATTTACTGGGATCAAAATCAGGCTTCGTAGATCATCAGTTTTTCATAAAAAAGCAAGGCTATAGGCTTATCAAATTGACCATTTTTTCTAAAATATTTTTTGGTAAAAAGCCCTTTTTTATACTTAATAGCAATTATAGGAAGACTTCAACAACTTGTTGCTTTAATTACATCCATTTATTGGGACAAAAATCAGACTTCTTAGATCATCAGTTTTTCATAAAAAAGCAAGGTTATATCGGCTTATCAAATTGACCATTTTTTCTAAAATATTGTTTTGGTAAAAACCCCTTTTTTATACTTAATAGCAAGTATAAAAAGACTTCAACAACTTGTTGCTTTATTTACATCCATTTATTGGGATAAAAATCAGGCTTCTTAGATCATCAGTTTTTCATAAAAAAGCAAGGCTATAGGCTTATCAAATTCACCATTTTTTCTAAAATATTTTTTTGGTAAAAACCCCTTTTTTATACTTATTAGCAACGATAAAAAGACTTCAACAACTTGTTGTTTTATTTACATCCATTTATTGCGATAAAAATCAGACTTCTTAGATCATCAGTTTTTCATAAAAAAGCAAGGCTATATCGGCTTATCAAATTGATCATTTTTTCTAAAATATTGTTTTGGTAAAAACCCCTTTTTTATGCTTAATAGCAACTATAAGAAGACTTCATAAACTTGTTGCTTTAATTACATCCATTTACTGGGATCAAAATCAGGCTTCGTAGATCATCAGTTTTTCATAAAAAAGCAAGGCTATAGGCTTATCAAATTCACCATTTTTTCTAAAATATTTTTTTGGTAAAAAGCCCTTTTTTATACTTAATAGCAATTATAGGAAGACTTCAACAACTTGTTGCTTCAATTACATCCATTTATTGGGATAAAAAGCAGACTTCTTAGATCATCAGTTTTTCATAAAAAAGCAAGGCTATAGGCTTATCAAATTCACCTTTTTTTCTAAAATATTTTTTTGGTAAAAACCCCTTTTTTATACTTAATAGCAATTATAAAAAGACTTCAACAACTTGTTGCTTTATTTACATCCATTTATTGGGATAAAAATCAGGCTTCTTAGATCATCAGTTTTTCATAAAAAAGCAAGGCTATATCCGCTTATCAGATTGACCATTTTTTCTAAAATATTAATTTGGTAAAAACCCCTTTTTTATACTTAATAGCAAGTATAAAAAGACTTCAACAACTTGTTGCTTTATTTACATCCATTTATTGGGATAAAAATCAGGCTTCTTAGATCATCAGTTTTTCATAAAAAAGCAAGGCTATAGGCTTATCAAATTCACCATTTTTTCTAAAATATTTTTTTGGTAAAAAGCCCTTTTTTATACTTAATAGCAATTATAGGAAGACTTCAACAACTTGTTGCTTTAATTACATCCATTTATTGGGATAAAAAGCAGACTTCTTAGATCATCAGTTTTTCATAAAAAAGCAAGGCTATAGGCTTATCAAATTCACCTTTTTTTCTAAAATATTTTTTTGGTAAAAACCCCTTTTTTATACTTAATAGCAATTATAAAAAGACTTCAACAACTTGTTGCTTTATTTACATCCATTTATTGGGATAAAAATCAGGCTTCTTAGATCATCAGTTTTTCATAAAAAAGCAAGGCTATATCCGCTTATCAGATTGACCATTTTTTCTAAAATATTAATTTGGTAAAAACCCCTTTTTTATACTTAATAGCAAGTATAAAAAGACTTCAACAACTTGTTGCTTTATTTACATCCATTTATTGGGATAAAAATCAGGCTTCTTAGATCATCAGTTTTTCATAAAAAAGCAAGGCTATAGGCTTATCAAATTGACCATTTTTTCTAAAATATTTTTTTGGTAAAAACCCCTTTTTTATACTTAATAGCAAGTATAAAAAGACTTCAACAACTTGTTGCTTTATTTACATCCATTTATTGGGATAAAAACTCAGACTTCTTAGATCATCAGTTTTTCATAAAAAAGCAAGGCTATAGGCTTATCAAATTGACCAATTTTTCTAAAATATTTTTTTGGTAAAACCCCTTTTTTATACTTAATAGCAACGATAAAAAGACTTCAACAACTTGTTGCTTTATTTACATCCATTTATTGGGATAAAAATCAGACTTCTTAGATCATCTGTTTTTATAAAAAAGCAAAGCTATATCGGCTTATCAAATTGATCATTTTTTCTAAAATATTGTTTTGGTAAAAACCCCTTTTTTATGCTTAATAGCAACTATAAGAAGACTTCATAAACTTGTTGCTTTAATTACATCCATTTACTGGGATCAAAATCAGGCTTCGTAGATCATCAGTTTTTCATAAAAAAGCAAGGCTATAGGCTTATCAAATTGACCATTTTTTCTAAAATATTTTTTTGGTAAAAAGCCCTTTTTTATACTTAATAGCAATTATAGGAAGACTTCAACAAATTGTTGCTTTAATTACATCCATTTATTGGGATAAAAAGCAGACTTCTTAGATCATCAGTTTTTCATAAAAAAGCAAGGCTTTAGGCTTATCAAATTCACCTTTTTTTCTAAAATATTTTTTTGGTAAAAACCCCTTTTTTATACTTAATAGCAATTATAAAAAGACTTCAACAACTTGTTGCTTTATTTACATCCATTTATTGGGATAAAAATCAGGCTTCTTAGATCATCAGTTTTTCATAAAAAAGCAAGGCTATATCGGCTTATCAAATTCACCATTTTTTCTAAAATATTTTTTTGGTAAAAACCCCTTTTTTATACTTAATAGCAACGATAAAAAGACTTCAACAACTTGTTGCTTTATTTACATCCATTTATTGGGATAAAAATCAGGCTTCTTAGATCATCAGTTTTTCATAAAAAAGCAAGGCTATATCGGCTTATCAAATTGACCATTTTTTCTAAAATATTGTTTTGGTAAAAACCCCTTTTTTATACTTAATAGCAATTATAAAAAGACTTCAACAACTTGTTGCTTTATTTACATCCATTTATTGGGAAAAAAATCAGGCTTCTTAGATCATCAGTTTTTCATAAAAAAGCAAGGCTATATCGGCTTATCAGATTGACCATTTTTTCTAAAATATTGTTTTGGTAAAAACCCCTTTTTTATACTTAATAGCAAGTATAAAAAGACTTCAACAACTTGTTGCTTTATTTACATCCATTTATTGGGATAAAAATCAGGCTTCTTAGATCATCAGTTTTTCATAAAAAAGCAAGGCTATAGGCTTATCAAATTCACCATTTTTTCTAAAATATTTTTTTGGTAAAAACCCCTTTTTTATACTTATTAGCAACGATAAAAAGACTTCAACAACTTGTTGCTTTATTTACATCCATTTATTGGGATAAAAATCAGGCTTCTTAGATCATCAGTTTTTCATAAAAAAGCAAGGCTATATCGGCTTATCAAATTGACCATTTTTTCTAAAATATTGTTTTGGTAAAAACCCCTTTTTTATACTTAATAGCAATTATAAAAAGACTTCAACAACTTGTTGCTTTATTTACATCCATTTATTGGGAAAAAAATCAGGCTTCTTAGATCATCAGTTTTTCATAAAAAAGGAAGGTTATATCGGCTTATCAAATTGACCATTTTTTCTAAAATATTGTTTTGGTAAAAACCCCTTTTTTATACTTAATAGCAACGATAAAAAGACTTCAACAACTTGTTGCTTTATTTACAACCATTTATTGGGAGAAAAACCAGGCTTCAAAAAGTAAGAATTAGTTTGCCATTGTCACTATAGGCTTCAAAAAGGTTATTTTGAGAATTGTTTTCTTGTTTGAAAACATTCTTTCTATAATTTATATCCAACGTAAAGAGATATAATACACCTCTTCCTTTTTAAGAAAAATTTAATCTTCTGCTTGCGTTTTATCTCGCAGATTTTGATGGAAAATTTTCATCAAATCCAATGATTTTTGAGAGCCTTTTCTGCATAAAATATGTCTAGAACAATGTTTTGTATAAGAAAGGCCACTAATTTTAGTTCAACTCTTTTAATCGACTTTGTTTTATGTCAAAAAAAATTATTGTTATTAATGTGGATCAGAAAATGAACATTAGACATAAAGGCAGGCAGTAACTTAGTTTAACGCTTTTTATCTACGATTTTCTCAAATATTCAATCGTCTTTGGAAAGGAAAAGTTTCCATCATAAAGTAAGCCTTAAGCCTTGGCAAAGAGTCTTTTTTGGAATCTTTTCCCTTCTAATTGTGTTTTAAAAAGGAATCTTTCGACACAAGGCAAGCCAGTAATTCTAGTTTTTATTATTCATATTTACCATTTCCCAAATTTTCGATTGTATTTGAAAGGAAAATCTCCATGAAAAAGTAAATCTACAGCTTTGGTAAAAACGGCCAATTCTTATGCGGTCTTTTTTTTGCTCTCAAAGTAGAATTTAGATGTTTCGAAAAATGTTTTGAAAATATGGGACAAGCCAGTAACTTAACTTCGCCTTTTTTTGTCGAAAATTGTCCCAGCAAAAAATCTGTAACTTCAGTTGAAATTTTATACGTATAATCTTTAGGGGGAGCATTTACACAAATTTTAATAGAAACTTTGTAGGCTTCTTGTTTTAAGTATTTTCAGAGCTTGGAGAAGATTTTGCGCATCATAGGCTAGATTAGCCTGATAACCAGCCCATTATTCTAAAGGAATGGGCTGGTTATCAGGCTAAGACTAGACAGGCTTGACTGTCATAGGGAAATTTTTTTCTTGAAATTTTGGTGGGAAAATGTTTTTGTGGAACACTGTTTTTTTGTGGAGAACAAAAATACGACTTTTTCAGCAACGCGAAATAGTGTCATAAGAAAAATTTGTGTCAAGACATCCGGATTCTACTATGATGGACAGAAAAATGCCTTCAGTCAATATATGTTTTTGGAATGAATAACAAGCATATCACGGCAAAGATTTGATGAAAATGGAGGGAACTGTTTAGTAATACTGTAGATTCAACAAAAAGCTGGGTTGCAACAAACTGGGATGGACATCTGCTGAGAGGCACGTTCACACACCCGATTGACGATGTTCTAAATCTAAACAACGAGCACGAGTGGACAGGTAAAATCTTTCTTGTTTACAAAAATTCAATAAAGAAAAGTAAGTGACTCAAAAACAACAATGGAAATTTAGAATATTGCGAACCTCTTCAATTTTATAGAATAATATTTACAGAAAAATAAAAAAGGAAATTAAACTTACTTTAAGCTTCGAACAATAACACGCACCTTTGAAATTTTTTTGCTCACTACTGTTAAATATGAATTTCAATTTTTAGAACCGATTTGTTTAGTCAACTTATTTTAAATTTCCAATGACCGTTTTGATAAAATCTGATGTTCCTGAGCTACCGCCAATATCCAAGGTAAGATTCTGAAAAAAAAACAGATTCGATTGAGCAAAAATTCTCGCTTTAATATAACACAGATTAAGTACACCCATATTTTACATACTTTAGATCATCTAAAGTCTTTATGGGTGAAGGTTATCGATAATTATAAAAGGAAATCCTGAAACCTGGATTGCTAGCAAAATTGTAAAAAACAATACAGAGTGAAATATGCTTTTAATTTAATTAGTATTGTTGGTAAATTCTTTGTCGCATCAACAGACCTCAACAGGTGTGATGAGCATAAAAGAGTTACGGGTTTCTGTCCTTTGGCTGTATTAAAAGATTAATCATTCTTTCTATATAACAAGGGCGAGGGGGCGTTCCCCCAATATTTTGGAGGACAATCGCCTTTTGTTCTAAAACAATAGGGGAAATGTGACGTCATCTTATTAAAACAATAGGCTCCCCCCAATATTTGACCAAGTGTCTGCCCCTGATTACAAGACACTTCTAGGATCAATAGTTGTTCCCAAATTATGAAACCTACAACAAATTTTAGAGCAATGTCTCTTTTGAAGACCAGTGTAGAGCTAACCTTATCTGTTAGTGGGCCATAGGCAAAGGTAATTCAAAAATGTCATTGCTCATTTAACATTGTTTGGTACATAACTGAAAAAGATTTTGAAAAAAATCATGCAAATTGAGCATTGACTGTTATAAGTATACTATGGATTGCAAAATCAGTTTATCAATCCTGTACCGATATCCTCAAAAATTGTAAAAGTCAGGGACAAAATTTGATTATTCAAAAGTGTGAGATTTCGATTATGGATTAAAAATAAATCTGATCACATAAACTTCATTTCTGATTCAGAATAACTAGTAGAGCAACTTGGTATTGAAACTTTATTAAAAGAAATTGCAACATAAACACTGAATACCTTTCCTTTCGAAAGCGTCTCGAGAACTGCATTTCTCACCATTCGACCATGTTTGAAAAGGCTACAAAAAGAAGGAAAAGATCAAAGCGTTTTGATGGGAAAAAACATCTTGCTGCAATGAGCATTCGGTAGGTAGACACTAAAAAGCACAAATTAGATTTTAAAAGCTTAAATCTATGATGCCTTACTTTTACAAATATTCATAAACCTGCTGGCAACAGGGGAGGGGGATTAAACGGGGGACGACGAAAGGGACTGACAACCCTATCCCATCATGCTGTTGGCTCAGAACAAATTTCCTCTCCAACAGGCAGCTCGTTGCTTATGAATCGTATATGGAATTATCAGATCCTTACCAAATTAATTCGCGATTTGTAAACAATAGCTTAGAATATTTTTGGAAATGTCGAAATAAAATCCTTAGTGGTTTAAATATATCTAAAGGTAAGTAACGAATAGAACCATGCCCCCAGTGACCTTAAAAGGCCCGATTTGCTTATTCTCCTATTTCTTTCTCCAAACCGTTGCCCTAAGGGCCTCAGTTGCTGTACTTACTGTAAATGCTCGAGCATATCGCTAGCACAAAGCAGCATTGCCACGGGGTTAGCAACATTGCGACCAGCCATCTGTGCAAATGTGTGCCTTGCTCCCTGAAAGCAAATGGTTTCATAGCATTCATTATTATTATTATGTGAATAAATAAGTGCAACACAACGCGATGAGAATGAACAACAACAAACACACGTACATCAGTTATGGCTAATACTTATTATCATAGCTACATAGTCGAAGAAGGACTTTGTTTCGTGTTGATTAACAAAAATAAATTTCAACATAGTTTTAAGTAAAGTCAAATAAATAATGGGAAAACGCGAGGTTATTGCTTTCCTTGTTGGGAAAATCAAAAGTTCTTCAAATTTCACAAGCAGAAAACCACGTGATGGGAAGAAAAAATCCACCAAAAATTCCCTCTTCTTTGAAGCAGATCTATTAGATCTAGCGGATCAGAAGTCCAAGCTTTCTTGACTAGGGAATGTTTAGTTACGTCTTTCTTGCGTCTTTTGATTTTGAAGAATAGAGAGTAGAATGTTTTCTCGAAAACATAAGGCCAAAATTGAGTCAAATGAACAGCGGGAAAATAAGAGCAGAAAAAATATAAATACAATAAAAATATGGCTTTAACTATTCATGAAATCTAAGAAATATTGGGAAATGAAAATGGTCACAATATTTTAAATTATGCACAGTTAACATAAGCTGGTTCAAACAATTGAAAAGCATATTCGTTGAAGTTATCGAAGTTGGTTTAAACAGTGATATTTAAAGTGCAAGGAACTTTGGTTTGAATCGAGAGAATTTCGAATAATCAGACGGTTAAATTAACGAAGTCTTTGTAACTTACTGGTTCGAAAATAGCGAATCGCTGCCCAAAACTCTTGCCTGGCACCACCCCAGCACCACCAACTAAACCTGCACCAACATTGTCCACAATACTTCCGTAAAGATTGGGTAGAACCATGACATCGAACTGGCCTGGGTTCGAAACAAGCTACAAAGAAAAAATTTAATTTTATTAAAATTATTACATTTCTTTATGACACTTATCCAGCGGATTTTTTGGTATACAAAATATTCTAGCCAGTTTGTTAGCGTTTCTTGGCAGTTCTGTTGACGACAAAAAGTGCGATTTGCACGAACGGCATGGAACAAAACGCACACAAAAATTTTCTGATTCACTTAAGCCATCCTGGTTCATACTTCAGCCTGCCCACCGCCCTTTCTCTACATTACTTACAACAACTTTAGCATTGCATACTTAACCAAACATTTTTTCATACATCATGTTTTGTAAATTTTAAGTAAATGAAAGGTTATTCCTAATATCTATCACTGTAAACCTTAACTTGATATTTTCCAATTAAAATCTTGTACAAACAGCTAAAATCTTGTTTGCGAAAAATTGTAAAACTCCATCACCATTTCCTATCATTATTTTGAATGTAAGAACTAAAGTATGAAAAATATTAATCTTTTAGACCTATAAATCATTCCCAATTCATGGCCACAACATCACGACTGCAATATATTTTCCTATAAAAAGACAAAGCAATCGGTCTATCAAGCTTTTGCCAAGAAAGAGGCAGACCATATTTGTAAATCTTATTTCCGATTCTTTCAAAATAGTAAAGAACAATCTCAAACACGCACCTGCATACACGCATTATCCACGATCATTCCTTCGAATTTTATTTTTGGATACAATTTGGAGATTTCACTGCAGGATTCCAAAAATAAGCCGTCGCTCTGTTTCCTAAACAAAACAAACACAACTTTGAATACATGAAAACAAGTAAGGGCAAATAGATAGATTCGGTTGTCAAATATTCACGAAAGGAAAGGCCAATAAGTTCGCAAAAGAAAGCCATGCGAGGTGTTGGTAAAGCATCTGAATGGGAGAAGAATTCGGTTCATGAAATAATTATGTATATCAAAAAATGGAACAGGCCTTGAGTGAAATTACCAACAGGGTAATAATTAAAACAGAATAAAATATGGAAATAAAGGTAATTACATGATATTAGCTTTGTGTACTGCAGTGACCTTTTTTCTGTTGTTCTTCATTGCATAGTCGAAAGCAAATTTAGCAATTCTTTGAGACTTCTTCTTCGTGACAACCTTGATCATTTCCACAACGCCAGCAACACTCTGAAAGTAAAACAGAGTAGACTGATACACCAAGAGTGCATTAGAACACAAGGAAGAGTTTCGGGATATACTTATTTTTAATGACAGGGAAAAAGAAATAGGAAATGTATAAAGAGTTGAGATACCAAGAAGCCTAATAAATAAGCAAAACTTCTCGGCACAAACTTAAAAGCTTGCAAATTTTTATGTTTTCAAAGGAAGTGTAAAATTTCAACACAAGACTAAAGTCGAATTTACACAATGTCTGCCTATATCTACTGAGATTTGAATTATTCCTAGCAATTAGTCATCTTATAGTACACCTCGAAATTATCAAACTATATGTCTGCAAACCTTCCATAATCCCGTCATAAACCCATCAACATGCAAGATGTTAAAAAATTGGAAAGTTAGATATTTCAAAAATAAGGTTGAAATATTTGAGAGAATGTTTGTTGAGAAGGTTCATTTATTTCAATGTTGGAGGCATTACCCTATTGAAGAGCGTTCTATACAAAAAGCGATCTGAAAAAGCCAATAATGAAATTAAATTGGATGAAATGACCATATTAAAATTTGAAAATCTAGGGTGTTTAAAAGTCACGTAATGAGCAAAAGAAACATTTGAGAGTGTTCTCCATAGACAAAGCACCAAATAACGTTCTAAATATATTCATATTTCAAAACAAGGAAACTTCGAAATATGGGCAATCCTAATTATAAAAACAGAAACAGTTAATATTACTGTCTACTGGTCTGTGATTAAATGCTGGATGTCTTATAGACAGAGCTGTAGACAATTGGTACATTGCATTAGCAATAAAACTCTGAGTTGCAACTTAGAAATCACTTGTTCAATACAGCAAAGGATTAAGCAGAAAAAATGTTTAATTCAAATACACACATACTAATTGGAAAATAGAAAACTTTAAACTTAGTTTTCATACCTCATGCTCTAAACTAGTATATTCCCCTTCTGTTTGTTCTCGAACAATAATAATATCAACACCTAAATGTCTTTAAAAAATAAAAAAACAGTATCAGATACTTTGCTATTAAAAGATTTGTCTAACCAAGACTGGCTATTGGTGATGATGCAACATGTTTATTCTAATGGGTATTAAGAAAATGAACTAACTGCTCATTTCAAAAGGGGTGTGTTACTTTAATTATCATTTGAATATCAGCTAAATATTAAATCCTTGATTAAATTCACATAGCTTATCATTCAGATCTTTTTGAGAATAAAATTGACAAACGTTCAGTCTTTGAAGCCACAATGACTAAAAAGCACTGTTTCTTAACTGGGTAGCTTAGAATCCATTAAAACTTGCACAATTTTTTATAAAATGAAGCTAATATAAACAGGTTATGCTAAAATTTTCATAGATACACTGCTTGTGAAAAGCCAATAACCATTAACAAATGCATTTGAGGGGAAAACACATTTGGAAACGGAAAACAGGAATATAAGTAAACATACCTTGTCTTAACACCAGGAAGTGTTTTACAGTGTACAACATTGGCAAACAGATCAAGTTCAGTTCTAGGAAAAAATTTATATCTTATTGCTTTATACATGGTAGATTTAAATAGTAAACAGTCTTCCCTAATAATAATGATCCATATAAAGTAGCTGGTTAGGAACATCAAAACTACATCTTCTTGGAGAAAGTACAATAAGCTGGCACCACATTTATAACAAACCAATGAAAAAAGGTGAAACAGTCATTATGAACAATATAAACTCTTCAATTCCTTCAATTTGGCACCAGTTCTTTTTACGTTTTACACTAAATTTTTGACTTATTCATGTCACTTTTGCAAGCATATCTCACTCTTTAATGCAAATAATTATTAACCACTGGTAGATCTGAAAAGATAAAGTAAGATGGATACACTAACTTTTATACAAAATTTTTAAATTTGAAAATTTCAATGGGTGATTAGAATTTTTCTTGATGTTTTAGGGTAAACCAAAGGTTTAGTTTCAAGTGTCATTTCTAAAACATTTTCTTCATTGAATAAAGTTTCTTTTAGCAAGATTATTATTGAAAGATGAAAAGGCTTTACTTCCTTAACCAAAGAAAAATGAAAATAATTATATACTTCAGCTTCTGTGTTAATGAAAGATGATCTTGTCCACTAATGCTTGATGGAGTAGTTAAAGCACCTAGAGGAATTTCATGATGATTAAATGAAATTCAATCAGAGTTAATATCATGAGGAACTTTTGAGCTTTAACTAAATCGCTTGAGATATAAGAATATAATGTTATTAATTAATTGCCTATTCATAATGGTCTGTTGTGCCATGCTTCATCATGTTTGTCTTGAATCCACTCTACTAGTTAATTGGCAATGCAGGGAGTCTTTCGGCCTCCTGCAGATTTGATTTGTAACCTAGGGTGAGCAGGCCTTGCCCGGAAAGGCGCTCGATCGAGCGCGCGCGCCTAGAGCGCACCCAAAAAAAGCCTTGGAGAGCGATTTATAGAGCCCCTCAAAACGTAAAAACAATATTAACACGGAGCAAAATGAATTTTTGGAATTTGTTGAATCAACTTGATCAAGCATAAACAATCTTCCCAACAGACCGCAATATCATGATTTGAGTAAGATTACCCCTTGAGAAAAACTTCAGCAAAATCAACGTTGGGTTTTCGATATCATTTTTAATCTAATAACCCTCTAATAACCATCAAGGACACAGGCCACCAAGCGTATTCTCCGGCAGATTTATTTGTTTTTCGAGCAAGCGTTAATCTTCTATTGAAGTATATATTATTTTCTGTTTTTTAACTAACTTAAAATCGCCTGTGAAAATCAGCGATCACGTTTCCGTCCAAATTATCGCATTGCTTTTCATTTTTAATTTGCTTTTGCGAGTAGTAGATGTTCTAGCATTTCTATAGAATGGATAACATGAAAAAAGGAAACAAAGTTAAATGTTCGATTTAAAGCCATGCGTATTGATGAAGCAATATGTGAAGCTAAACATAACAGTAGTGATACTGACACTGATAAAAGCTCATCGCATGATGGCAAGTTACATATCTAGAGAAATCTGAACAATTTTGCGACTTTGTTTTATTATATTTCTATATTTATATTAACATAGTGTTTGTTGCATGTTTTGTTATTTCATATTATGGTGCTTTCTGGTATCACCGTTGAATTTCATATTTAACATTCTTTCGAAGCTTTCGATATGAAGCTCTCGATCTCCTAAAGCTCTCGAAGGATGCTCTCAAGGACATTTACTTAGAGGTGCGAAATAGAGCGCCTAGAGTTTCTAAGGGGCTCTTTTTATGGAGCACCTTCATTTTACTTAGAGCAAGGCCTGGGTGAGGTGTGTGTTTTGTGGGGTTTTCATTCCCTTGGTTAATCTAGGGGTATTTAAGGTTTTGGCATAGCGTGGGTCTCACCTTGCTTTGTGAAGCCTCAATATAACTATGCTGTTTATTAACCCAGCCCTCCCTCCCTCATTTTGTTTCTTTATGTACTATGCCTTTTCTGTATATCTTTGCACTTTGAGTTTCTTTTACTACATCTTTAAAACCTCTCATACCTTTAGGTATCTTTTATGCTGTTTAACGTTATTTGATGCCATTAGCTAGGATTTAGTGGGGAAAAGAGGCTTTTCCTGTCCATTTTCTCCCAATTATCAACAATATTTGAGGGGTATTGTTTAACTTCCCTTATTTTCCCCTTCGTGTTAGAGATTTATGGTAGGTTGAGTGATTTGCACTGATGCACCAACAGCACAACTCGCTCTTTATGATGTGGGAACATAGCCTCGTGACTGACCTTCTGATGTCTACGGCATGATTTTCTGAGGGAGTTTTATGCTCTTCATTTGGTATTTTATTCCCAAGTTAGAAAATTAATATCTTCTAGAAATTGCTTTTCAAACTTTAAAAAACATAAACTTCAAAACCAACAAAAGATGCTGCTACCTTTCAGACCCACACCAGTTTGTTCCATAGATCTTTGAACATCTTCTATTGAGAATTTGCTACCATAGGGGCCAATGTCACTAGAATAGATAAAAAATAGTATTGCTAAAAATTTGTATTGTTTCATGGCATTATCATAAGGCGACAGTTATGGTATGGAAAAGGTGGAAACATTGCATTTATACAAACTTGTCTAGCCTACATTAAAACACAGAAAAAATTGTCATTAAATTATCTCCCTGTTTCTTATTATTGTCACCACAGGGTATCATCATACTTAACAAGTATACTGCACTAATAATCATGTTTAGGAAATATCTTCCATCAGAAAAAAAGAAACTATTATTGATGCATTAACAATAGGGCTATACAAAGTATTGTTTGAAACAACTGGGGAGCTAGAGCCCCAAGCCCACATAATCAAAGAAACAATGCCATTCTATGAAACATACAGACGCAGCACTTTTGGCAGCTCTGAGAGTATGATATGTGACTGCAACATGTGACAATTAAAAAAATGACTTTCTATCACATATTTTAAAAATCTATTCAATAAGGATTGAAATAACTATACAAAATTTCTAAGCAACAAAAATAAAAACACGGTCCTCAATTTTTCTGACTGTGTAAGAAATTATAAAAAATAATTATTTTTTTCTCCACCAAAGAAACAAAATCAAACCTTATTGGAACTTCATCCCAATCAACAGGAACACCAGCTGAGCTATTAAATGAAAATTTTCAATAATTATTTCGCAAAACAATGGTAAAGATTTCTAAGAACACTAATGCTTTGTGTGGTTATTTACAAACTTTTAGTTGACCACGTTTGTATCCTGATAATGATTCACAAATTAGCAAGCATCAAAAGTTATAAAACAACAAAATAAAGGTTACCAATGATCTCCCTGGAGGGCAAATCTTTGCTTTATCAAGGTTGCAAATTAAATATTGGCTTTAGAATTAAATATTTGTGGTTAATATCTGTCTCTCGAATTGTTATCAAATAAGTTTTGATGGAATAGAGTTCTTAAGTGTGACGTTACCAAAACCCTATTTTTACCACATAACATAAAAGATCACCATGAAATACTTCCAAATATGCAAAATTGGCCAAATATGTCTAAAATCGGTTGAGAATTCCCAAATGAAAGATTTGAAGTTTGCTTACAAATCATTGTCATTTTGGCTCTGTTCATAGAGCTATGAACAGAGACCAAAATACAGAGGTTTGATGGGGAAAAAGCCAAAACACATGTGGCCATATCTCTGCCAATTGGTAACACATTTGACTTGTTTTGTACATTTAGAGGTATTTTGTGATGTTCTTTCAGGTTATTGGATCAAAATTCAAAAATTCAAGAAATAGATTTTTATGATTGTCATCACTTCGGTACTCTATGAACCTCTGGCTCTGCAAAATTTCAAAAGGGCATGAAAATGTGGAAACATAGCATGCTATAGTACTTTCTTTGACAGAGTATAATGCATTAGGTAATAGCCAAAAAGTTATGCCAAATTCATAAAAGATTTGAAAACGTTTATGAACAGGGAAATCAACCATCAGCATTGACAGAAAAGGTATTATTTTGGTAAACCAAGAAGTTTACAATTACCTGAATACTGTTTTGACAGTGGCCACCAATTCAGGACCAACACCATCACCTGGAATCAAAGTGACCAACTTCCTCTCAGCTCCTTCAATCTAAAACATCAAAGCACAGATATAAGAAAAAAATTCCCAACAGTTTGTAATATGAGAAACTAAATCTTTGAATTGAGAAATAAAAATTATCATAAAGAAATAGAGCTTAACGAACAGATTCAACCCGCAAAAACATTTCAGTTGTAAAAGCACACTGGAAATTTAGTCTGATGATTTGAAACTTGACAATACAGGAATCTAATAACCTATTTATTGATTATAAATGACTGTTAGAAATATTAAATAATAAATAGATAAGGCTCACAGGGTCATCCATGTGCTCTACTGTTCCAGTGGTGTAACATCTTGACCAGTTAAAAATGGATCTTTGCCATCCCTGCAAATTGAAAACAAGTGGTTTTAGTAGTACATAATGAAATCTATAATACATACTTTGAAACTCCGGATAATAACAGTCAAACATTAGTACATAATTTATATTCTTATATTCTAGAAAGAAAGATGCTTCAAGTATATGCAGTTGTCTACCCTAAGTACCATTTTACAACTCAAATCTTATTTTAACAACAAAACAAAAATTCCAAATTTCTACTTTCAATGTTTCTTTTTCAAATTTTTGGTCTCAGCTTGTAAATCTACTTTTAAAGTGGGCCTTTACAGTAAAGAACTTTCTCATTGAAAAAACATTGCATTAGCAAGCCAATTTTACATCATTCTCATTTTGCCATGTAAAGGAACAAGTCCAAGTTTGCTTACCATATAAAGCTTAATGAATATAATTTGCAGTGCTAACTTTCAGGTTCAGATGGATATTCACTTGCAAAATAGAAGCAGGCCTTGCTCTAAGCAAAATGAAGGTGCTCCATAAAAAGAGCCCCTTAGAAACTCTGGGCGCTCTATTTCGCACCTTTAAATATAATATCCTTGAGAGCATCCTTCAAGAGCTTTGGAAGATCGGGAGCTTTATATCGAAAGCTTTGGAAGAGTGTTAAATAAGAAATTCAATGGTGATACCAAAAAGCACCATAATATGAAATAGAAACACATGCAGCAAACACTATGTTAATACAAATATAGAAATATAGGAAAACGCATGGCTTTAAGTCGAACATTAGCTTTGTTTCCCTTTTTATGCTATTCATTTTATAAGACACACTAGAACATCTACTACTCGCGAAAACAAATGAAAACTGAAAAGCAATGCGGTAATTTGGATGGAAATGTGATCTCTGATTTGCAAAGGTGATTTTAAATTATTAAGAAAAACAGAAAATAATACTTCAACAGAAGATTAACGCTTGCTCGAAAATCAAATAGATCTGCCGGAGAATACGCTTGATGGCCTGTGTCCTTGGTGGTTATTAGAGGGTTATTAGATTAAAAATGGTATCAAAAACCCAACATTGAATTTGCTGAATTTTTTCTCAATGGGTAATCTTACGCAAATCATAATATTGCGGTCTATTAGGAAGATTGGTTATGCTTGATCGAGTTTATTAGACAAAGGCCAAGAAATTATTTTGCTCCGTGGTAATATTGCTTTTACGTTTTGAGGGGCTCTATAAATCGCTCTCCAAGGCTTCTTTTGGGTGCGCTCTAGGCGCGCACGCTCGATCGAGTGCCTTTCCGGGCAAGGCCTGATAGAAGGTTAATACAACATGGATTGGCAAGCACTGTACTGGCCACAAACTGGTCTTTGGGGCCATACTAGCTAAAATGGATGTGGCATAGCAGTTTTTACTATATAGGTGTCGCCTAGGGCCAGGAAATGCTCCTCTGCTAACATGACATCCAATAGAACATGCTGTTGAATTTGCTATGTTGGCCCTATACTTGCCTTTGCTACATTTTTGGGCCATCTGGAAGGGCACTAGCATTTTACTTGCCCTCAATCAGTTGTCTATGGAGGCAATTCTTAGGGTTAGCACTTCTTTAGGATTTCAGTTTTAAAATGCGCTCAAACGAGACAAGTCTAGAAATTTTCTGGAGGTATCTAATTAGAAACGCACACAGTTCCACTTGCTTTAGGGTAATTTCCATGTTAATGCGTCATAGAGATGACAAAGAAGTTAATTGGCACATGTTTACAAAATGTTCTAATGCAATTTTTGTCAACTGCTGATGCTATGAAAAATATAGGCTTTATCCAAATAATGATAACTGTTTGACCTTTCTTTTGAAATATTTAGAAATTAGTACCCACAAAAATTTTGAAATTTTTATATACGAACCCAGCTACATATTATAAGAAAGGTGTTTTTCACTTTTAGGAAGTTTCTGGACGACAAGCCCACAAGCAGCTGTATGGCCTGGCCTAGCCCGCGCTTGCCCGTCAATACACTGTTTCTTCTATGCAGATATTCGAAAATTTCATACTTTGCAAGCTGAAACTCAAAGGCTTTCTGAATAGACAGCTTCTTTCTCTGATAAGTATGGTTAGTAGGGTTCAACATACTATTCATAAGGTGCACAGCCAGACATAAAATTTTCCTTTTTTATACCTAAGAAGAGTGCAGAATCTAGGCCTCCGATTTCTCCAGAATTGACCGAGCTTGAATGTAAACAAACTTACGTTTTCATTAAAAACATTTCAATCTTGGATTAGAAAACTCTTTTTAAATGAAAACCAAAATAACTTACAGAGGGGAGCAAAATCTTATTCGCTTTCTTGAGAGCGTCAAAAGCTAGCGTTGCTCGCAAGGTCGCCATCTTCAGGTTGAGAACGAGGTCGAGAAGGCCGTTACAGAAATGATCTGTTTCCTGTGTGCTGCGGGGAGGTTCTATGAGTGGAGTGATTCAAAAAAATTTTCAGCATATCAAGCTAATTACAAGTTAAGTCATTCTAAAGTTGTTTAATTAAATCAGTAATGTAAATTTGAAAAGAAAGTAATACAAAAAGGTAGGCGCGATTTTGCTTTTTATCACGTGACCCTATGACGTACATTGTGATAACTCGCAATTTTCCTGTCATTATTAGAGAGTCTACAAAACACGACGCGACAGGTCCAGACGAACTAAATTCATTTAGAAGCGTGTTGTAAACATTAATATTGCACTGTATACCAGTAGCAGCAAGAGCAAATTATCACAATCTACGTCACGGTGTCACGTGATTCATTTCCCGCCATAATTTTAAAAGGGTTTTTAAGTAGGAAAATGAAATCAGAAAGGAAAAATATTTCAACAACACTCTCATACAGCATTTTACTTTAAGTTAAAAGAAAAAAAAAATTTGGCGCCAAAAGCGTGTCACTTGTCCTTTAATTAGCTGATGGACAAATGGAAAGAACTCAAGACCGAGCTATCAAAGCCATGTGCCCAGATAACGTGATTGGACAATATAGTGATTGGACGATATATATATATTACAAATTTTTTAGCTTGAACAGTGACAGTAAGAATCAGTAAAGATTAAATACCAGATTGAGTTTTAAGTGTTAAAGTAACTCAAAAGCAAATTAAAATAAAATAAGATAAAGTAGAGTGAAAAAGGGTTTAAAGCGCGTACGATTATTTGTATCAAACTCAATTAGGTTGTGACTCTAAGAAATGGAATCTAAAAGATAATATTTCATCTTACTTTTGAAGGATATTTTATTTTTAGCTTTTTTCAGATCTAGTGGCAGAGAGTTCCAAAATTTGATACCATCAAATGTAAGAAAATTTCTCTTAAGATTTGTAATCAAGTGATCACTGAAACCCATGAGTAATTAATGAGCACCAAATAGGTTATGACATTTAGCGCCCACCGTGAGTTTGCTGCATTCATATCTTCAGTGGTTAAATCTTGAATCTTGAATTTTGTGGAGCCCTTTTTACCGAATGACCAGTAAGCACGTACAATCACCATGGCCAAGATAAAATTAGACCCGATTCAATGGTTTTCTACTTTGCATCCTTTTCTTCTTTTCTGCCTTCCCTTCTTTTATATATGTTTATTTCAATAACTAGGTCATTTGCTATTTTCCTTGTTCTTTCTCTTTTGTTTATGTTCTCCTTTCTCTATTCGTTTTGTTCACCTTTCTCTATTCGTATCTCACCTTTGCTCTATATATTTCTCAATCCACTCTGTCACCTTGTCGATCTTTCTTTTGTCCCTCGTTTCTTCTAGGCACGCCCTGCTAATCCTCTCTCTCATTCTTTCATTTACTTCTTTGCTCTTCTTCCCAAATTACTTCCAATGTCCATTATATCCAAACTCCATCTCACTATCTTGCTAGTTTTCTGCACTCCATTTCGCCGATATACTTCTCAGGGACGAAGCCAAAAAATATTTTGTAGGGGTACAGAAATGATTTTTGCCGAAAGAAAGGGCTTCCCGCTCTTTAAGGGTGTGGTCATAAGATAAATACGTTTGCGGGATGAGACAAAATTTATTCTTTTGCCCGGGAAAAATCCTTTATGTGCCGATGGCCACAAGGCCTCTTCCTACTTGCAAACCTCTGGTCTTTTTGGTGTCTGTCTCATCTTCTTTAATTCTTCCCCCTTTTCTAGTGCTTCCTCTTCTGTCTTACTTCTATGTTTCTCCTTTATCATGTTTTTTCATTTGCTCTTTTTCATATGCACCATCTCTTCGATGTCAATCCTACATAAGTTTCCAATCTTCTCCTTTTCCTTATATCACCCCATGTTCTACTGCTTTTATGCCTGTATCATTATTTATCCAAATCTTTTTCTGATTGAGCTCATTATGTTCTGAAGAAGCATCAACTGTTGATAAATCACATGGTTTCTTGTTGGCCATATCCCTGTCTCCTTTAATACATGTGTTACTATCAGGAAGCCCACTAGTTTTTTCAGCATCTCCTGGATCCATTCTATTCATCTATTCAGCATCTTCCCACTGCTTGGTTCGTCTTGCTAATTCAATACTCCATGGTAGGTCTCAGCATAGAAATAGTAGAGCTTTTATTTCTATGGGCTCAGTCTTGCATTATTAAGATCTAATTACGTTAGACGGTTGAAGTATTTGAACACAGAATTAGAATTTTTTGTATTGAAGAAAGATGGACAATGAGCCGGGATTAAGTGAGCCAGGAATGGTTAGAAAGTAAAAGATAGTTAGAACTATTCACTATTATGCCACTTACGCATTATGCACACTTTCAGACATTTTCCATCTAAAAATCAAAGATTCATAGGGAGGAAAAACCCCTACTCTCCCCCATACAGCTGTTCACCCTTCACCCCCCTCCAAACTCGGAATCTGTCGTTTACCTGCCCTCATCCATCTGATTTCTATGGCCTGCATTGACGGTAATACTTCTTTTCTAAGTGCTAATCAAATCTGTTTCTAAGTGCAGAATTGAAGGGATTTATTGATAATTGGTAATTCAACAAGATTTCGATTGTACAACAGCAAAATAACGATTGTTTCCACAGCACGGTCAATAAAGAACCCCTTGGAGTATCTGAAAGCCGCATGTTTGGCTTTCAATCAGGGATAAGCAGACCTAATTTTGAAGGTAGTTCCAGCATGGTAACATTGGAGATCACATATGCAGTTTCAACAGTTTTTTATACCGTTGGAGTGTTAGTAATTTTATGCAACTTGCTCGTTATCATTCCTGTGCTACGAGAGAAAAGGTTACGAAAACTTAAGTATATGCCACTATTTAGCTTCGCAGTTGCGGAGATAATTTGCGGAATCGCTGCCATATTTTCTGTGTTTGTAGCCAGATCGGCATCGAGCGACTGGTCACAACGAGCAATACCTTTGTTTATGTTTGGCCATTGTGCGTGTGTCCTGAACATAACAGTTGTTTTCATGGAAAGATGGGTAGCTATATTCCATCCATTGAAATACCATCATATACTGAAAAAGAGAAGGTTGGTCGCTTTGATATGCATTGCCTGGCTACTCGCCCTTGTGCTAACAACGCCGATTGCAGTTTTTCATGAGATATCGCAAACGGGACAAACTGTCCATATCAATGATTTTGGATCGATATACTTGATCACAGTTGATTCTGTGTTTCTTGTATTGACCCTAGTTATAGGCTGCATGCAAGTTCGCACTTTGTGTGTAGTTCGAAGACATCTGCGCCGGACAGTGCCAGTCCTAGACATACGTGTTCAACCACTCGCAACCAAACTTGCCTCTACTGACGCACCCTGCTCAGAGTTTCCAAGAAGCTCTCTCCAAAACGTTTGCCATGAGCGTCCAAGATTTAATTTCCGGATGATGGATTACAAACATGTTTGGGCTGTGAATGCAGTGTACCTTGTAATGATAATAACCTGGTCTCCGATAATCATATCAACATTGATAATGATGGCTGGTGACTCAACAAGTGTATGTAGACTTGCAATTGAACTGTCAATGGTACTTCTGTTACTAAACTGTGTAATAAATCCAATAATTTTTTCTTTGCGAATGACCTGTTTTCGTAGAAGTATTAAGGAAATGTTATTTAATTGTAAGTTCTGTAGTAAACGATATTAATTTTTTTTCTTCAAAAAAAGACAATTCTTAAAAATGTTTTTAGTTTATCAAAGAGATCGTCAAACTGCCCTTTATGTTGTTGCAAAAGCAGGGCCTCCGACGAAGGGGTACCGGGGGGCCATGCCCCCACTTTGGCAAAACAAAAGAGCTTTTTCGAAATCTTTTCTTAAGATTGTTATTCTCGTGGTCTCCTCACTTTTCAACCCATATCGGAGCCCATGAAAAGAGTAGATACATCAGCATTTAACAAAATTATAATAATTTTCTCTTGAGTAAGAGTAAGAAAAACAACGTTTTGACAACTTGTGTGGTCTGATAATTTTAAGAAAGGACAATTGAAAGAGAATGTCCAGTAGACCAAGAAAAATTGCGCATCCAGGGGGGAATGACTTGCTCCAAGTCTACTTCGTGCTTGAGAGAGGAGCATTTGTTTCTTTCTCCTGGACTTCTGCGAAGGCTAAGGGGGGACAGTGCGGGCATCACACTAGAGATAAAATATCTACGTACTATGCAAGAATTTATGGTGGAGTAAAAAAAGCACAGCGTTTGACAACTGGCTCGTAACCTTAGGAATAAGCAGTTCAACTTCAGTTTTATTATTCAGCTATAAAATTAAAGAAGAGTTGGAACAATATGTAATGATAGGAAAGATTCAAGGCAGAGACAAATGATGTTACCATCCATGGCAGAAGATTATATGACGACAACAAATGACAAGCTTCAAGCTACATGCTGCAAAAGATCGAAGTGGAAGGCCATGACCACCTACGCCCATTATGGGCATGGTACCTAGTGAGAGAGAGCCTAAAATCCCATTATGACTTTTGTTGCTAAATTCAACGTGTAATTTACCTCTTACTTCACAGCGTATGGTAAATTTCAATTCTGTTGATTTCAATTGGAAAAGCAAACCAGCGATGAGAATGATATTATTTTTTACATTGTTTGGCTGGGTAATCAAATGTAGATATACTCCATGAGCCTCTGTTTCGCTACTGCCTCACTTAATGGACGCTACAACCGAACAGTACCAAACAACGTCGAATATTTCAGTGAAACCTCTGCCTGGATCAAAAGAAAGCTTAATTTTTGTTTACTCAGAACTGCAGTAATTTGCATTAGAGGTTCTAGGTCCCGCCAACATGTTGTCCCTATCGGTGAAATGGATGACCTTGACACTAGAAACAATTTGTCTAGCATCGCTAATTAAAAACATTATGTTTTAGTACTTTCTTTGTTCTTTTCATTTTGTAAACCGGCAGCCTATCGGTTACCCTGGGTACCAGACTCACTATATAAAATAATAGAGAGTCTGGCACTCTATTTTATTTTATATATAGTGAGTCTGGTACCCAGGGTACCTATCGGTATATAAACAGTGCTGAAACTTAATCAATTTTGATGGTGATCATTGCAAAAAAATGAACAATAGATGATGAAATCGATACTGCAAAAAAAAAGGAGGCTGCAGAAAAAACAACGTCAAATATCGCCAAACGCTTGTAATGTTTGTTGCGTTTGACCAAGGCATAAGGTTTTAAAAAAATTGCTACTTTATGAGGGCTTGAAGATTGCTACCTCATGCTAATCACTGTGTGAAGGGGATCAATACCCGGCTTTCTGTGAGGTTTCTCTAACTTAAAATAGTGTTTAGCGTAGGATATTTTTCAAGAACGAGATAATGTTTCTCTTACTTAAACACTGCTTAGCGCAGGATTATACCGATAATGTAGTGATAACCAATTTGTTCAGTAAAAACCATTTGTGAAGAACTCCATTAAAAAGGTTGTAAGTTTGATTGACATTGAGTTTCGTGATTAAAAGCGTCATCAATGACCTTTCAGCCAATTTGTCTCTAAATCGTCAGGAAAAAACTTACAATTTTGTGTTACAATTATTTTGTTTCATTCATCGGTCACCCTTCAAATCAAGTTACTTTTCCTGACGAACTTCCAATAGCATGACTAATCTCAAATCTATAAAGGACAATATAGTGTCTTTAGATCGCTCCTGATTTTATAGAAACATTAAAATTGACATTCAAAAGTAAACGATCTTGTTTTGGCTTATTGCACTTTTGCTTTTTCTTAAAATCCTTGAAATCCCTCGATAGTGTAAAGCATTATACTGTAACCCAAATGTGAACTTTAATATGCACGAAAAGACTTTATTCAATGGTTTAAAGCAGAAATCATGAAAACAGAAGTTAGGTTCTTTCTAAAAGGGAAGAAAGCTTTAAAAACAAAAATACCAGCGGTGTTCCTTAAGGTTCTGCATTGGGTCCTTTACTATTCCTGATAAGTCAATAACACGCCTAACATATTAACAAAGTCACACTTTGTTTATCTCTTTGAAAACTTTTCAACTTGTATTGTGGATGAAATATTAAAATAGACTAAAATTTAGACAAATATTTAAACTTTAAACTAAAATTTCTTATAAAAAAAATAATATCCAAAGATTTTAGTGAGCCTTTGTCATGAACCTCTATCGGCTGTTTTGCTTGAAACAAGTGGGTTCTTTCAAAACCAGAACATGTTACGTTTAATTTTATCTACTGGACTGCTGGTGATAGTGATAAATAATGCCATTTTTATTGAGACGAGGGACATTCAGAGAGAACTGTTAGAGGTGAACTGAGAGAGATTATCAAGCATATTCATTACAAACATAAGATTCATTACAGTTAATTACTATAAACAAAATATTGATAAATTAACAAGAATGCTCTGTGCGTATAAAATTTTAGCAAAATTTTCAAGAAAATTTAATTAAAACAGAGTTGTTGATCCTATTGTTTCTTAATTTTCACCACTTCCTAAAAAATTATTGAGTTGACCTTTGCAGTATCGGTGAAACTGACCAGGGAACCAATCTTATCCTGGAAAATTCTCCGTTTCGAAATAACTCAGCCAACAATATGCTGAAATCATCTAATGAATATGATTTAAGATATGCTGAAATCATCTATTGGTTCATCCTGATACTAAAGCAAATGATTTAAATTTATATCTACCTAGAATAATTGCTAAATTCATTCGTTACAGGTGCTCTGCATAAGAGTTCATACGTTCTAGAATCACAGATACCGTTTACTTGCAGTTCATCATCTGCACTGATGTACTGGCCACATGATTTCTGAAAGAGCTGCACACTATGACGTGTACCCATTGCGTAAACCCCATCAACAGGTAATAAGCAGCTGTACATATTGCAGTGCCGAAGTCGAGTCTATGAAAAAAGATAGTGGACTTGGTATAAGACAAGGAAGGGTTGGATAGGATTAGACTGAGCTAGGTTTGGGTGGCTTTGGTTGGGTTTTGTAGGACTTAGGCTGGACTGAGTTGTGTTGGGCTGAGTTTGGTTAGATTGAATTTGGCTTGTTTGGCTGAATTAACTAGGGGTCAGTTGGATCGAGGTTGGGTTGGATTGCAGCTGAGTTAAACTGCCCCCCCCCCAAGTTAAGCATATATGGGATGAATAAATGTTATTGTGAAATTGGGTTACAACATTTCAAGTAAGCTGGGAACATAATGTTTAATCTAGTTTTAGCTAAAATGCGGTCTTCGTAAAGTAGGTAGTTTTCCTAACCAGAAGAAACGTACGCAAACTACCAATAAAAGGCTTCTTTAGGAACCCGTAACCCATGGACAAACCAAGTTGGCCAACCTTTGTGGCTTTCTTTCTTAATATTTTTGAAAACTTAATTCACAGCTTTCAGCTTCTCGTTCTTGTAAGACCCCTCGTTATAGAATTCTTGAGGATGTTAAAGTAGCCTGTCAATCACAAATGAAAAAAATTGTTCACGTTAATTTTTGATTGGACTAAAATAGACGTTGATGCACAACAAAAAATATTTACAACAAATGTGGGGCTTTAGCAGTCCCCAAATAATTCCACACGTGTACTCTCAAAGATCCAATTGATTCTTGTTGGCTGATGAGCACACTGAACATTGTCTAGTCTTTCCTATTTTGGATCGCGATTATTGATTTCATCCCTCCCATAAATAATGAGAGCGCGAAAAAGAGTAAAAGTAACATGACAAACATCGAGGTTTACCTGGATATCTTTAACCTTTTCAGTAATAATGTCGTCTAAATTTTCCTGGATTTCATGTCCTTTAAAAAACAAGAGCTTTGCAGCTTTCACTCGACCTTCCATTTCATCTATATTCAGCTGATCAACTTCAAGGCTGGCCTCTTCAGCTTTATTTTTGATATATCCTAGATTTTCGAGACTCAAATACCTCTGGAACAGTGTCCTAAAATCTTCATATTTACCATTTGGGATTTCAATGTATCTTTTCAATCCGGATGATGATGATGTATTTAGAGTATCGTCCCTACATTCACCAAATAAAGCTTTCGCCCTGAAAGGGATAATCAAACCATCCACAACTTTCCCGCGCACATCATCAGATACCTTATTAAACTGAGACTCAATCCATTTCTTTGCTAACTTTCTCTTGGCTTCATTACTACATCGCATCAAAGTGCCATAGACGTGATGCTTGTGACTTTGTACAAGGTAGGTCGTGATGAGTCTGTAACAACAAAAAGCTTGATATTAGGACTTGAAATTCAGTACAGTAACTACCCTGAATATTTATCTATACAATTTGATATTTTAGTGATACTGAAATGTTTGCTGATACTGTATATTGTCTATATGTCATTTTTTTAACTATCGAATAAGTTGCTCAGAAAAGTTGAAATTGTTACCAAAATATGTTACGGAATAACGAAAATCAACGTGGGCGATGATGTTCCTCTGAAACAACTAGAGATTTGAAAAAACACAAGAATACTTTAAGAAAATATTCAGGCTCAACACGAAAATTCCTTACAATATGTAAAACCGAACCAACCGAACCACAATGTTAAGATTGTCGAATTCGATTTTACAACTTCGAATGGAAAAGGATTGAAATTTTTCCTTACAAATGTTTATGCTTCATATGTAGTTCATTTGATATAAACCGTAATTACTACCAATTACTGTCTGCCTTCTATAGAGAAGATCATGATAACAAACGGATTACTCAAGACAATGACGCAATTATGCTGTTTGTAGCCATATCCTTTTGTTATTTTGCCAAAATAATGATAAATTTGCTAGTTATCAAGATTTATGAAATACGTAAAGTAAACAAAAGATATTTTGCTTTATGATTAGCCAATAATTTAACTCCTTGGATATGACCATTATGTCAGTTAATAATTCAGTGATTATTAAAAAAAATATAATTATTCAAAGAAATTCAGTGGCTTTTAGGTATAACAAAGAAATATAGAAAGCAAAAATTTTGGTGCAAGTTGATGTTGATGAACATTAAGAGACAGCTCTAAAAACTTGACGAAAACCGCTTCACAAATGCTAGGGTGGATAGGCTAAAGCGTGTGATTACAGAGGTTTAATCAAAACATTGTAGGTGTCCCTAGCCTGGTCCTAGAAATGACAGCAGTAGGTGCAACTCAAAAATAAAAAAGGTTTTGCTATTTATTTCATTTACTTTCAAAGAAGAGTTTACCAACCTTCCGGTCTCCAACTGCAGGTCCAAGTCAGCAATAAGAGTGTAGCCTTCCAAACAAAACTCATTTTGCACTACCTCGAAAAGACTGTCACAATTTTCTACGAATTTCAGGCACCTTCCAGTTTCCGGTATGAAGAAGACCTCCGCGGACTCATCATTGGAAAGGGTTGATTTAATGAGAGAGAGGTTCCCTTGCTGCATCAAGATGTATTCCCCGGCAAGCTCGAAGCTGGCTAAATAGTATCCAAACTCAGAGAGTCCAATACGGGGGTTACTGTAGCTCCGAAGTAGTGAGACCGTGGAGAAGAATTTTGGCAGTCGTGCCTTCAACAAAACATACACCCAAACATCCATAAACTCGTCTAGAGAAAAGCAATTCGGTTTACACTGAATGCTCGCATATGAGATGCTATTACTCTTCTCTACTCTTCGCCTTGAAAGATATTTGAATCATAATTTTTTTCACTTTGCTTTTTACATAGAATAAACACCATCATTGATTTATCACGACATGCTGCGAATTTACCCAGATTTCTTTTAAACGCACCCTTTTCGCCGTCCAAGAGAATAGATAAAGTGAATATTTGAGTTTCATTAAAAACTTCTTATATCATGTATTTTGAATTCACTTGGATTCCCCATATTCTGAATGTTTATACTCATCTTCATAGATTTCAAGTTAATATTAATAGTTAATAGTTAAGAGGCCGTGGTTCATTACTGAGAAAAGCGTTATGTATTGCAAACACATAAAAGGTATATTTTTACGTTACTACAGCACTCTTTGGCATATTCACTAACACACTGGTGACCTGGAAGAAAACGTCCCCCTATAGAACTTCTCAGGTTCCAAAATCAGGAGGAAAACATCGTGTTAAAAATAAATTAAGCTTTTAGAACACAAATCGGCGAGTGAGCGAGACAAATGAGTTCAAACCTGATACATACTGAAACCAAAGGATCTGTAAGGCGACGAGGCAATCAAAACCTATTTTATGAATCGTTTTATTTGGACCATGCAATCAAACTGAACATTACGAATTATTACATATACAGCATTTGGATCATTTCAAAACAAGCTGTGATACAGACATGTTCACAGCTTCATGTTCAGACATGTTCAAGACATGTTCATGTTCAGACATGTTCAGCACAGGTTCAGACATGGCCAAGGCTCATTCTCTTATTCAAATTTCGTCCTTCTTTCAACAACAGCCGTTTAAAAAACCACAGGTCGCTCACAGGCCAAAACTGAGCCAACTTTAACTCATGTTGCATATTTTGGCCTAAAAGTAGACTTTTCGACGTCATCTTAAGAACTCACCTGCTCCTGGGACCATTTTTTCGCCACACAGAGAACTCATAAATTGATTTGTTTCATGCGCAGCGGCTAGGATACACCTCAGCTTCTGAGATGGAGTGCTGACCATGTTCATCTTCATTATATTGGTGATCGCTTGGCAATGTGGGTAAAGTCTTGTATCTATGTAGGCTTCCTTTATTCCTAGCTCCCACTGGCCTAGGTCTGAGAGACGTTCATATTTCTCGTTTAGCTGGAGGTCCTTCTCCGTACAACCATCAAGAAAAGGCTGAATGAATTGTTCAATGTGCGGAAAGAGAATTCCTTCAACCAGTGTCTTAAATGGAGAAATAGTCGGTGGGAATGATGTACAAAATATGACAAATTTTTGAAATGCTAAATCAAAATAACAATTTACAAATCATAGATGACAGGACATGGCTGCCCCCTGTCGTCTATCTTCTGTATCTTAGCCCATAAGGGGTTGGAAAATCCTACTTATAATAAAAACCTTTATCTATAAAGAAAACTTGGTAAGCTTGCACAGAAGCAGCTAACATCCAAGGTCACTAACACATTGATTAAGGCCATCAGCAAACCTGTCAGTAGCCTTGTGAACATGCTACCAATTACCTAATTTTCTTCTCAATGTTATAGGTCTAAAGATACAATATATATATATGTTATATTTTTGAAGCTTTTAGTATGGTGTTACTTCTTATTAGTGCCTGGCTCTTACTAACTTCACCCCACATAAAAATATACCTATTAGAGCAGCACATTGCAGTAGAGGTATAGTTTCTCCAAAATTATAACGTTATCTTGCAAAAAATTGGCTCAAATAAAGACTTTCTCTTGACTGACTTTTCAACTGAAGCCAATTTCTATTTAGCACCACAACTTTGGTGAAAAGATTTTCATTAGAATTTTGGCAGTAATACACGTCTTTCTAGATAGATACCACAACTGCACAAAATTAAATATTCTTTCAATGAGCTTACATAAGTTTGATCAAGCCTGACAGATGGATCAACTGAACAATCTTCCACCCCAAACTTGTCCAAGATATACTGTGACAAAGCGCATATGAAACTTTGGTAGTTCTTTGGACTGGCATATGATTCTCCAGACTCATCAATTCCTGTACGACATTGGTCAATATATTCTTTTAACTTTACAGATTCAAAGTTGAAACCATTAATGTCTAACAGTTGATCTACATAATCAGCAAATGCCTTGTCAACAGAAAACTGTGCATCTATTTGTGCATAATCTCTTTGTCTCAGTTTCCGAAATCTTTTTCTTGGGTCAACATGGCATAACCTAGCATTTTCATCCATAACTTCATTTTCTTCCACTTTTGCAGATTCTTGAGTTAGCCTAGAAAAATTCACACAAGGCAAATATATAGTTAAAGCTATATCTCAGATAGAAAGCAGTTGTGCGTTCATAAAATAAAAAGCCTAGAGTAACATTGATCGATAGACAAAAATAGCACTTGGGGGTGTCTGAGTGTTTATTTGATTACAAAGTTAAGGCCACCTGTTTGTTTGTGAATTGGCAGTAATCACCTATTTACAAAACTGAAGGTTTGATAATTGGGGACAGATAACACCCTCTTGCCCTTCAGCCCCTGAAGGACTTCAGTTTAAAACTATTGCTGACAGTGATTGCCCTTTTAAGCACCTCCCTACAGGAAGTTCATCACTCTTGCAAAACTTCTTGACAAAAAGGCAAAGAAATTTGGGACTATCTAGGGCTGTATGACTGTCCTGTCAACTCCATTTTTATTTAAAAATGTAGCAATTGAAAGGAAGTGCCCCCAGCAGGGCTTTTGAACATCACATATAATATTGGTCTCCAGTTCATAAGAATCCCCAAATAAGTTATCTTTAGCAAAAATCTACACAGATAATTAGAAAATATGAAGTTTGAAAAAGGTTGTTTACAAGTTGATTGCAACATTTTCAAAGTGACACACCTTACTTTTTTAGACATCAATTCAAGAATTTGTGACTGGAATGCAATCATTTGTGCATTTTTCGACATCTGCTGTTTTACATTTTCAACATTGTACTCCAATAGACAAATTTGGTGTGGATTCTTACTATAAATAGCTTTAAGTTTGTTTGAGACAGTGGATATTCTCTCTAGCTGCAATGTTGAGAGCTTTTCATAAACATCCACAATCGAAAGATCAACCTGGTTCTTTTCTCTCTTCCACTTTGCAAGATCTTCCTCTCTCCTAAGAAAACAAAATCTCTTGGTAGATGTTCCATGACGATTAAATTTCGAAGTATTTGTTGTTATTAGGCATAACAGGTCAAACTTTTTTTATTAGCAAAAGAGAAAACATTACAGTTTCTTTGTTGCATTTAAACATTCGCCTTATTTTAAGACCCGTATGTCTGAATTAATAAGTAACATCATATGAAATTAGAGCATTTTGAATTATTGAATTTTTTATTTCATCTTTTCCGCTGGCAAATATTTAAAATATGAACTGTTATATTAATACCTGGATAGTGCATCTGCTGCACTCCAGCTATTCATCATCCACACGGTAACCATTTCCCCCTCAGTTTGTGCATTTAACAGTTCTCGTTTTGCTCGCAAGTCTTCCAGTCTTTGTTTAAGATCGAGTTCAATCGTCCTAAATTCATCCAAGGCTTCTTGTACAAGCACAGGCTGTCTAGTAGGTGTCTGTACATCCATCCCTATGTACTGCTAGTCACAGAATAGAAAATACGAAATTTTCTGTTCTGTGGTACTGTTTGTTGTTTTGTCACATTACTGCCTAGGCCTGCAGCCTCGGATTGAAATTTGCACCCTTCGGCGTCGGTCAAGGTACCAAACCAAAAGAGTGACAAGAGGGGATGGGTAGACTCGACTGGTTTTTCCCAAAGATGAATTTAGTTGATTGAAAACCTTAATGATAATAATACATTATTTTTGCAGGATAATTCAGTCAGCTAAAATGCATGCTGGTATCAATAGAAGCCCTGTCTAAAATTAAAAAAACATAAAAGGGGAAGTTACAACTAAGTAATAAAAAGGCGTTAAAATATATACAATGTCCTGTATAAGTTATACAATTATTATACAATTTTAATCGTTAAAATGTTCTTTCAAAGCGTTCTTGAATTTAATAGAAAAGTTTTCTGTTTTGATACAAAGTGGCAGAGCGTTGAATATTTTTACTCCACTGTAGAAGATCCCTCTTTCTGAACTTTCCGTTTTGACATCCACAGGTCTATATCATTTCGTCTTGTTGCGTTGCCGTGTTTCAGTTTCGTAAAATATTTAAGGAAGGCATCAGGAGCAGTTCAATTTATGCATTTGAAAAATCTGCACATTGAATTGGTCTCATGGAAGTCAATGATCGCCAAGCACGGAGGTTATTATGCTGTTCTCCAGAAACAATAAATCTCGCTCTTAGGGGACGATACCCCACTTTCACCGCCTGGTCTATTTGTCTCATGGAAGCGAATGGTCTTCAAGCGCGGTGGCTATTATGCTGTTCCCCAATAACGATCTTAAGTGCTCTCTGCTCAATCTTCTTGTCCCTCGATTCATTCGTCTCTGAAAAAGTCATAAACTCAGTTTTACCTTGTTTTGGATTCAAGATAAAGCCATTTTTGCACAGCCAATTATGTAACAATTTAACGTCATGATTTATAGCCTTTTCTTTTTCTGTTTCATTCTTGTCTGAAAAAAATTCAGTATCATCTGCATACATCATGATATTTGATTTCTCGATCTGCTGATGGAGAGCGTTTACATAAATCAGAAAGAGCAGGGGACCCAAAACTGACCCCTGTTGCACACCAAACCAAACTTTTTCTTTTCTTGACTTTTCTCCTTCAAAGCTGACAATTTGAGACCGATTTGAGAGATAATCTTAATCCAATTTAATTTAGTGTTCTCAATGCCATAACGGGATATTTTTTAGGTCAAGGATTTATGGTCTACAGTCTGAATTTTCCATTCAACTAGATTCATCTCTGGAAAACCAGTCGAATCTGCGCGCCCGTTTCAAGTTACAAAAGCCTAGATTTGAAACCAGTTGAGTCTGGCATTCAAGTCGCAAAAGCCTAGATTTTACAGGACGATCAGAAATTACCTAGAAACTACAGTACTCAAAGCAAAATTTGAAGAAATTTTGATATGAAGTTTTATACACATGATCAGCTGCTGAATTTTTTTATGATTTTTCGCGAATTCGTGACCTACGGTTCGTAGAAAGATTATAATGCGAGAGAATATCAATAATGTCAGTTTGGAATGACTTGAATGCAGTCTAGATTTTTTCTTCATGGGCTCCGACACATGTTGGAAAGTGGGGGGGGGGGGGCAAGGTCAAAATGAACTGCAACAACAAAAGATTCTGAAAAAAACTCTATATTTTTGCCCCCCCCCCCCCCCCCCCCCCCCCCCCCCTGAAACCATGCTCTTATACCGATTGACAACCAATTTATTCAAAAATGCCTTTAGATATCAAACAGGCACCCTTCTTAGCATTTTTAAAAGTAGGCTGAAGAGCAATTTGCTGTTGTCAGTCCAACTATATTAGTTGTTTCTTGTTCTGCATTTTAAACATCAGTGTAATTTTAGTTAATTCTTTCGGCTTGTAATAATGTAAAGTTTTGATAGTGTCCCCTGAAAAGCAGTCATCTGGACTGATCGGGCTACCCTTATGAATAAAGATGAAAGGAAAAAGAGGAACCTTGCTTGGCAACTATTCTAGCCCCCTCAGATGCAAAGCCCTTTGCGATTATCTCAAAGTCTCTCAATGCACAAAGTTTAAACGTTTCGTTTCGTTAAACGTTTGCTGGGCTTGAAATTCGCTCATTTCTCATCAAACTTTTGTGTCCATCCAGGTAGTTCATGGCTTGGCTTGTTTCAATTGTCATATAAACAAACACTATATGAATTCATATGCATGAATTAGTATTTAATCATTTGAACTGTTCAGGTCTGATTTTATTTTGCAATAAGGATTCTTGAAAAGCAATGAAGCTTATTTCATGCTAATTTTATTGAGATGTAATCTACTTGTCAAAAGTAGCAGGTCCAATAATGAAAAACCATCATTTCTACAAATCGATTAAAAAGCCAATCGTTAAAGATTTAATTATTCAAAGAAAGCTTAGCAAACGGTTAATGTCTGAAATCAGGTTTTCATTATTAAGACTTAACATCAAGCTTTGATGCACTTCTATAAAAGATAGACGACAGTAGGGTCTGAAATGTGAAAGTGCCTTCTTTATTTCAGGGCATTTTTAAGGACTTTTGAGTGGTGAGCATTTTTTCTAAAGGGCCAATGCTCACCTAAAAAAATTGTACGGGGTTTAATAGCAGATAATATGCTTCTGCTTATGCTAAGAAACTACGATTTGTTGCAAGGGTTAGATGGGTTGTTTCACACATATAAAATAGATAAAACAACTATTTAGTTTAGATATGTTCCTTCTAAAGACATTATCTAAGAGCATTTAGCAATTTTGCTCTGGGTGCGGAATTCAAATCTTTGCCATGTTTGCAATTTATTGGATACCGTAAATCCTCAAATTGCTCCCCCCTCGAAAAAGTCACCCTCCTATGAATAAGCCCCACACTAGAATTACAAATAGTCAATAAGCCCTCCCTCGAATAGGCCCCCAATGCTACCGTAAATCCTCGACTTGCCCCCTCGATTTGTCGATTTTTGCAATCTGAGGTTTCCTTCGGCGTTTCATTAAATTACCACAAAAATTCATACTTTTGGTGATAATCAATTGAATGTTCATAAATAAATTCCTACTAAGATAGACGAGGTCATTTATTAATGTCTTCTTGATGTCTACTATAATTTTATAAGCCCCTCCTTGTATAAGGCCCCCTCGAATAACCCCCATCTAAAAATATTTAAAATAAATAAGCCCCAAGAAGGCTAATTTGGGGACTTACAATATTTGCAATTTCTTTAGCTTTTGATATGTTCCTACTAAAGACATTATCTTGGAAAAATAAGCAATTTTGCCGATTCAAATCTTTCTCATGTTTGCAGTTTATTACATCTAGCTACCCTGGATACCAAAGCCTCAAGAAACCAGGAGTAAAGTTTTGTAGACCAGCTCAAATAAATATTCTGTGACTTGTTTTGAACTATATTTTTTCTAAGACTAAATTATGGAAACTCTTACCATGATCATTACATTTACCACCTACACTTATCATGATTATTACCATGATACCGCAAAATTACTATGGCATTATGATCACGCTGTTTGCATACCAAATTTTCTTTTAAAATTGAGTCTTTAGATTTCAAGATTTGACACTTATTACAATTACAAAGTCTATCTAAAACCTTCTAACATATTTTTTACAATGCTGATAATCAGGAACCATACTAGCAATGATATTTCAGTGAAAAGTTTTCAATGAAAAATCTGAATGTCTTCCAAACTGAACCATAGCTTGTTCTATAGCTTGCACTGGCGGCAGTGGAGCAATTTCACCAAAGCATCATGGTGATAGAAAAGATGCCTGTTTCTATTTACCAGCGTTTACATAAGGTTTTTTCTTTTGAAAGGGTCCCATAGTGGCTTGGCATCTGGGGTTGGGTTTAAGGAGAATTTTCTTCTTCAGTGGTTGGGGAACTCTTAGGCCTGGTGGGGCAATTCCCCCATCAGAGTATGTTAAAAATGCCCTGCTTTTATAATCTAAGATCATGTTTTCTATCAATGCTGCCACGAGCGAAAACTACAACCTAGCGAACAAATTTATTGGCCTTTAGTGGTAGCATTTTCTGGAACAGCCTACCTGACACTATAAAAGCTCAATATAAGCTAGAGGCTTCAAAATGCTGATAAAAAGTTGGAAGGGTGAAAACTGCACGTGCAAAAATTGTTTATAGAATAGGCATTGTAAGTGCATTAAAATTTGTAAATGTGAATAAATTAAATTTTCTTTTGATATAATTGTAATTTTCTTTGGTCTGAACATGTATATTTGACTCATAAGCCAAAAAGACAATAAATATATTAAGGCTTTTGAAAAGCTCCTAAGGCAATCCTTTAAATCAAGAGAATGAAAGTGCAGAAACGAAACGAAAAATTCACAGCTGGTTTGATTCTTTGTTAGATGTTAAGGAAACTTTTAATCAAAACGTTGATTAGTTTATATAAACGCTGTAACTCAGCCTTGTTTTGCAATCAGTTTTGTATATAATTTCCAGTTTTTTTAGGTTTAGGTTTTGCATATAATTATCATAGCTCAATTAGTAGAAACAAATTGTAGTTAGATTAAATTAAAGGCCATCTAGGCCTGTGTACCTATATTATAAAAAAGTAAAAAAAATCAACCATAAAGAATTTAAAAATAACAACTGTCAAGCATTCAACGAAAGCCCGAAATTTTAGACAAGAACTTGGTAAGAGAGCCCGAGCCTCCATGTCCTCCCCTACTTCCGCCCCGGCGGGCTTTGCCAGTTGGTTAAATGTAAATAATTTGAGATCCAAAAATTTTGAGAAAGGGGGCTTGAAAGCCAGAAATCTGAGCTTGAAACCACTAAGAACTAAAAACTAACAATTTAAAAAAAAAATGAAGAGAGCCCACCCCCCTCCCCCCGTAAAAAACAAAGAACCAAAATTTTTTTAAAAACAAGATAAGCAGTTGTGCAGACAACTGTACTAATATGTGCCAGGAAGTAAGCGATGTTGAGTCCTTGGTCGTATCAGTCAGGTGGGAAAAATGTCGATGAAAATGCTATTATCAAAACAGTTAAGAGAATATTGCAATGATTTTCAGAAAGTTGATTTTTCTTGCTCCATAGATGCGTTGAGGAATACTTATTTGCATAAATTGGTTATATGCAAAGCTTTTTATTTCCATTCCGCTTCTTATGATCAGGAAAACGCAAAAACTAAGAACAGTCGAGGACCAAATTTGTCTCAAAAACAGTCGCAATGTGCCACATTGTACACAACCATGAGGTAAATGTACGAGCAGCCAATCAGTGTGTGTGGAAGGGTGCTGAAAATCCATTGAAGCAAAGAGATTTTGTGACAGTTATATGAGGTAATCCGAGGTGCCTTGCGAAAAGTAGCTCTTACAAGTTACCTTTTGAAATTTCTGTTAAGTTTCTCTTGAATGAAGAGGTTGTTGATATTGTCCTCTTTCCTTTACACGCAGGGTTATCCAGAAAAAATTACCACGGGTGATTGCAAATTGCACTTTGACACAACACAATTTCAAATTACTCAGGGTTCTTGGTCAATTTGTAGTCGTTATCCTGTTTTTTCATTAAAAAAGAATGCCAGTGTATGTAGAAATTTAGTTGGACACTTACTTTGACCCCATAAAAGGAAAGATCACTTTGACCCCATTTATTTATTTTTTGAATAATTTCCGACCTCCCTAACTATCAAGACCCCCTTCTATTAAGGACCTTACAGTGTTTGCCCCAGTGAAAATGACTGGTTGAAGAAAAAATGAAGCATATCTTTGGAAAAATTACAGTATTAATGTTAAAAATTAGCAGTACAATAACTGATTCCAAGACCTGATACATTGCTGCATGCAACAAAACATAATCTTAAAAACTTAACAAAATGCCTATAACCGTGTTGTCTTATTGAAAAAAGGAAAGTCACCAGCACCAGGGAACACAAACTTCTGGATGGATTTGAAACAGACAAATGTTTCCAGTGGTGCTAGAGATTTGCCTTTTTACTATCTTCTTTCATGGCTGCTAAAATCTTGGTACAATGAAGTCTTTCTCCTAAATCAATACTTCTACAATTGCACTTAGAGTCTTTTATAGAGTCACGGATGAGTGATCAGGCACTGGCTTCCAAACTGTATATATATTTTCCTTCTTTCAACAGCTTTACTTAAAGTTTGGATTTAGTGTCTATATATACATGACAGCTTTAAACTTTGTTAGAGCAAAAATCTACTTCTTTCTATCTATAGTGCATCTTCCTCTCTGTAGTCACCATTTTCATCATCTCGGGGAGAGCCATCTTTTTCACTTGCAGGTGACTGAGACCTTGATCGTGAGGGTGTACGTGATCGAGACCTTGACTTTGACCGGGATTTTGACCTGGAGCGTGATGGTGACTGTGAGCCTTTTCTTTCAGAATCATTTCGTCTCCTAGGAGAAGAGCGAGTTCTCTCTCTAGATCTGCTTCGAGACCTGGACTGAGATCTGCTTCTGTACCGCTGCCTCCGTGAATTGGACTGTGATCGAGATCTGGATCTTCGACGCCGCCTGGAAAAGGGGTAACTAAAGATTTAAACAAAATACAGGCTTTTAGTATGCACAAAGACATCTGAAAAGACATCTGAAGAAGAGAAAAAGGGGATACAACTGCAAAAACTTTTAGAAATGCTTGGGTCTTTAGTTCAATGTACAAGACTGCTATATACACTCTCAACCTTCTCATTCACATGACTGGAAATTCTGGTTTAAGGAAAATAAGAAAACATTTCATCACTTTCATATCCAAACACTCTGCCAAACCTTTTCAATTTAGCCTTAAGCTATTATTCTTGGAACCTACATGGGAATACCCCTTAGTGTTTCCTTCAATTAGCCAAGGAGTGCTTTGTCAAACACATATGATGGAGAAGGTGAATCCATGACACCAAGGCAAACCTGTCCAATTTGTTTGTCATGAAAGGCCATTTAACTGAGATGCATGAAACTCAGAGTAGAAACTTAGTGCCCTCTTGTTCTAATTATTGTCCACATAGCCACTATGTGAAACACTGTGAAAAGTAGGCATTTTCAAGTCAAATAACAAAACACAACAGAGCACTAACATTTGTTAAAACGGAATGATGGATAAATGGACAATGATAAAATCTAGAGCAAATAAGAACATTACCTTGGGCTTCTGCTTCTTGATCTTCGGCTAGAGACAATAAAGAGCAACACATCAAGAATACACTTCAGGTTAAATGTGATCAGATTAAAGGCGTAATTAATTCATTGCTACCAAAAGTTTACCCTTTAGGAAAATAAATTTGTATATATAATATATACAAATATATAATATATAGTAAATATATATATATATACAGGTGAATGGGTAAACAGGCTTATTCTCTAAACTGAACAAAATGTCAAGGATGACAAAGACACGTGGATGAGGAAAAGAAAAAATATGAAGCGTTTGATATTCTTTAGACTTTTGGCATGACTTAAAACTAGCCAAATATATAATTTCAATGGTAGCAGATAAATAGCTTGTGCAGAAAGGAACTGTCATTTTAAAAATATGTTAAATTATATTTACCGGCCATAGTGGCCCCTTTCTTGATGTGGTCTTCCATAATATCCTCTTTTTTCCTTTGAACTCATTTGGGATGCATCTACAATAAAGTAGAGGTTCAACATTGTGTCATAGTGCAATAAAGGTGCAGTATTGTCTGCTTGTACCACACATCACAAATAGCAGTGGATATCAAGAGCCACTTCCACTAGGTGTACAACTTGGATATGAAGTAATTTCATCAACAAATGTAGCTGCAATAGTAGTGGCAATTAAATAATTGTTAAAAAGGTTAATAAAAAAGCTTTGCATCCTTTTTCATGTACATAGCTATAAACCCAAGGGCCAATATAGGGCCCAAGAACCAAATCCACCTCAACAAAAGGGAAAACTGAAGGACTTAGCACAGAGAACTTGTAACCAGAATTACAGAAACAGAAGCAACTAAAAATATTACAATGTTAGACAGTTTGTTTCAGTCCAAGGCAGGACAAGCTAACTGATAAGAGGATAGCTGCAAAAGATACTGATAAGCAGAGTTAGAATTACTTTAAAATTTGAAAAGTCAGAAAATAAGATGTTACACCTGACAGTTTCATGACTTGAAGAAAGTGTTAGGCCAAAATAACACCTAATGGAGGGAAAGTTCTCAAAATTCATAAAAACTTAAACAGTTAAAGATTAGGACACTAAAGCAAAAAGTTTTGGGAACAATCTGACCGACACTAATCTGCCCTGAATCAACTTACTCTTTCTATCTCCTTCTGCATATTGAACTTCCAGTTCTCGCCCAAGGCACCTAGCCCTGTCTTCATAATACAGGGCATCTTCAGCATCACGAATATCCTCAAATGTGAATCTTAGTTAAAGGTAAAATAAGTATGCACAAATACAATAACTACCTGTTTCTTGCGATTAGGCTGGTCCACCTTGCTTGCTCAAGATGACCTTTAACCTTGAATTCTTTACAACTTTAACCCTTGGCTTTAGACCTTGTTTCTTTATGACCTTTAACTTGGCCTTTACTTTAACTTGACCATTACAAGTCACTTTACTTGGTCTCTATGTGGATCTTTAAAACGACTTTTGTGAATCCATGCCAAGCATGCTTAGTTTGGAGCAACCATTCGACCCTTTGATTGAACTTGCCTTTGTTCTTCACTTTAAATATCAATTTTTGGGTACTAATGGTGTATCTGTCTGCTTCATACTGTTTTAGAAATTGAAATAACCTGGCCAACATCCATTCTGATAGGCAACAAAACCTTTAAAATCAAACTTATCAAATCTTAAACGAATGTCAGAAGACATTCAATCTGGTTCAACCTAATTGCTTAATTGCTTAAATGTATGCAACAAAGAATTGCATACACAAATAAATAAACAGGGATAAAAACATTGTTTTGCCTCACTTGCTTATCAGAAATGGATGGAGGTCAGGTACATTTCAAGAGAAAAACTTGAGAGCTTGAGAGACTATTTGTCATGCTTTGGCACTTGAATTTAGCTTGGACTTTTGTCTTGCTTATCTGAAGAAAAAATTTCATAAACAAATTTTAAAGTTGGCACAGTATAGTTCTTTTTTTCAATATGATATTTTTCCAAATGTCAAATGCTTACAACAATAAACTTATAAAGTATATTTGTTTATGAATATTTGACATTGCTCCAAAAATCAACATTCTATAAGATCCAGTTAGCCCACTCTAAAATGAAACTATCTGAAGCAACATTAATTTTCTTTCAGAATATGTAATTTAAGAATGGTTTCAAACACACTGAAGTATAATAGAAAATTTCTATATAATATATGATATCTTAACTATTGAAAAATCTGGGGAAAATAAAATGGTCTTGTTCAGTACAAAATTAACCTTTTTAAATAAAATTTGGAAGTATTATTCTCATAAAAGGAGAGGTTGTGTACCAACAACATTCTTTTCTCCTTATATACTGTTAAGAGCAACTGAAGACAGAATCAAATCAAGTTAATAAACTTTATATTTTGTAATTTTTACCATACTAAGTATATCATTTCCATGCAAACACATTTATCATTGACTTCAGAAAAGATATTGGACATATGCAAAGCCCCTTGGCTCTCTTGTGTAGTAATCCAACGGAACGTAGATATCACGAACTGGGCCATACTTTCCAAATATGCGCCTTAGATCTTCAGGCCTATAAAAATTTAAAAGTAGCTAGGATATAAAAACAGGTTCTTGTAGCTCCTGGGAGTTTTCAACATTTGGAACAAAACTGAAAACAAAGAGGGCATTATTCAAATGTGATATTGAAACAAATTATAGGACTTTATCTCTTATAGTCGAACTCCACCAGTTTAAATATGTTGGGATCGGTTTTAATTTTACATTTAAGATTCATTTCATGACACGCCTCTGTTCAAAGTCTAACAACAGACAAACATTTGACAGCTAGCCCAAAATTCAGACACTGTTGACAAAAAGCAACAAGGGGCTTATAGGGAAAAACGCACGTAAACTTTAACGATAAAATACGCCATTTGCCTAAGTATCATACCATCCAGTCGGTAGCTATTACTCAAACCTTTTCTAAGATATTTTCGAAGTTTTAAATAATAACAACTTCGGAGGCTTAGCAGAAGCTTCCGAATTGCAGATCAAATGAAGCAGTCAAAGAAACAACGTAACCCCTTTTTAACCGATATATTTACCTCGTATCTGGATGGACATTCCGAATAAAAAGTGATGTATTTGGCGGCCTCGAGTAGCGAGACATCTTCACTACTTTCACTACGTTTCACCAATGGCGGGGAATGATGAAAGGAAGCATGGTCTGGTGCCAATGCATTCTGGGAGATTGGATTTGGGTTCCGGTGGTCTCTGGGATACAAAGACATTTTTTTGCGGGAAGGGTGGAGTTCAATAATGTTTACTTGAAAATCCAAAAATATACAAAAATATAAAAACTCAACTTTATGTCCAAAAATGTGAAAATGTTGATTTTTGTCAAATAGAAGGAGCTGAGCTATAGAAGTTTCAACTGAACAACAGTAAAAAGTTTCAAAAATGTCGTGAACTTGAGCGAATTTTGATTTAACCAAGTATTTCAATAGGAGAAAACCAATACGAGCAGCATTAAAGGGTCATAAGCTATAAGAGACCCATATATTTTGCTGGCCGAAACCCTGCACCAATTTGTTACTGTAAGTATACAAGAGATCAAAGCACAGACAAGGGGTGCTCGAATTTTACAATACTACCCTAGTGACATCACTACTACTGAGGGAATGCAATCAGTGCCCCTCAAAAAATATCAAAAATTATCCACAGATAAGAGACAACTATTTACACTTGTTAATTAGAACTTAATGAGGAAAATAAAGGAAGCTACCAGCACAGTGGTTTCAGATTGTCCAGAATGTTGTTCACACCACGCCAAGACACACAGGTCAAAGTGAACAATTTTCTCAATAGAAACTGTGGTTCCCCAATCAAAATAATTCCCATTAGTCATAAGTCAAATAAAAGTTATGCCTAGTCATTAATCTTGAGTTTTGTACATAATTAGTCCTTAGTCAGTTGAAAAAACACGCTGTTATTCAGCTAGTCAAAACCTCTTCTACACCCTCAAAAGGGGGCCCTTGCGCAAAATGCTTTAAAAACAATAGTAAAAGTAAAAGATTGTCAACTCTTGGGCTTTAACGAGGAGGGACTGGCCCCTTTGATGTTTTTTAAGTGCATTTTAATTGACCCTCAAATTCATTGTTTTATTATTATAATTTATCAAGAGGTTTTGTAAATGACACGAAAAAGGACCCTTGGCAATTTGTTTCCTTTCAGCTTTCAGCATAGTCAATACAATTTTCAGCCTCTCTTATGCCAACTGATTGGGAGAGAGGTTGCAATTTTCAATTTTGATTGGTTAACTATGAAAAATAGCGCCAAAATCTTTCCGCCTTTCGTTCAGTATCCGCCTGCTGTTGCCGCGTTTCGAAGTATAGGCGCTGAAAATAGTGTTCATCGAAGTCACAAACATGGATCAAAGGTACTTTCATTTTCTTCTGATTTGAAATTTCGATTTATATACATCTCGTCCACAGTCAGGACTGTAATGTGAATAGATTTATTTCAGTCTGGTTCAATTGACACCGATATAGCCGGGGAGTCCCGTGGCCTAAAAGTTTGTGTTACATATGCAAGTGGACACGTCGTTTATAGTTTGTGCAATCCCATTTTACATATCTGGAATTTTAAAATCGGTGATAAGTTTTGTAAAGAAGGTTTTGTTGGGATTTAGGAAGTATTTTGTACTGTTTTTAAATCTAAGTGGTTGCAAATTTGTTGACCTTTTTTCCCTTTGGCGCGAAAATGTCACGCTGAAAGAAAGTTATGTACCGTTAAAAGCGTGTGACAGGTGTCGCGAATTTCGACATTATTTTCAAAGTTTATGCAATATTTGTATCGTGTGATGCAGTCTACTTATTGTGTAGGATTTCATTTGGCCATATTTAAAAGTACGAGAAACTTTGAAGTTTAAAGGGACCCAACCAACTTCAATTGTCCGTAATGGCGGGAACGTTCCGCGCAGAATGAGAAGAATTTAGCTGCGGGTTGAACATAATACCACCATAATCACTTGCAAGCATTTTGAATCAGTAAACAAATTTTTAGATTAATTTTCTTTTAAACACGTTTTTGAATCAGAAATTACAATGTATATTTTGTTATAGTTCTCCAAAATTCAGCTCCCCAATTGCCTCGCAAAAAAGATGGACGAAGAGAAACAAAAGGAAATGCTCATTTGGAAGCATCGAAAAGAGAGACAGACGACAATTAAACCAGGAAAAAAACCGTGCGCAGGAAAATCGTCTAGCAGCAGATTTTGAAAACTCGTAAGTTTTGTTTGTTGGTCAACCTTTTCCGCACATGTATATCCAGTCAACGTTATATTATTCGATTTTGGACTGTCTTATAACTTCATTTTTTCTTTTTCTATCATGAATTACCCCAAATTAACTATATATCCTAAACAAATTATATTATTCTGATTGCAAAAACTTTCCTTACATGTGGGTTTAACTGTGCCCTGGATCACAGCCTTTTGATTTTGAAGTATTGCCCCCTGTATTGTTGTATAGTAGTTTTTGTAACAGGGGTAGCCTCCAGTATATATTGTAGTGACATTAAAAATCTATGAAAATTATCCCTATATATTTTTACTCCTGTACCTGTAAGCTTTGATGAATAGGAACTATAAATTATTTGAATGATCTTTATTTCCAAGAAGGGCCTGAATTAATTGATGCTAGCAAGCATGCTTTACATGTTATCCCAAGTAAGAGTACTGGCAACTTGTACCTGATGTGGACCTGCCACTTGGGCTTGCTGATTGATATTCTAGAACATGATTGCTCATTTTCACTGACCCCAAAAGGACAGACAGATAAAGTTTCATTTTTCTAACTATAGATTTGATATAGAATGTGACTTCAGTTCACCAATCAATTGGGCAGATGCAGTTGAAAATGAGGAAAAGGTGATTTATACTGAAAATGCCAGAAGAAAATACAGCTCTAGCCAAAGGTAATTATTTAAGAAATCTTTGCATTCTAAAGATGAATTATGCATTTCCAGTTGTGAGGATAGTTCAGTGGTTAGGTTGGCATACAACAGATCTAAGGGTCTAGGGCTGCAGTGCCAGACATGACCAAATATTCACCCAGAATGGGTGGAGTCATCAACTCTCTGCAATTTCAAGAATAGAAATCACAAAGTCAGGTAACATCAAGAGGAAAGATAAGGGCAATGCTTGATAAGCATAGCTTCTCAGTGTCCTGAAATCTACCCTCAGAGAAACATTTATGTATGTTAATGTTTATTCTAGCAATCAAAGAGTGAAACCATTTTGTATGGACTGATGTGGATTCTATGTATTTAGATGTCTTTTTGGAACTTTGTTTGAATTACAGCGATGTTTCGAAACTGTGTTTATCAGTTAGAATTAAATTCCCCATTTTGATGAAAATTCTCAGAGTTGAAATTCCTCACAGCTAATTGATCAAATGCTCATAGAGTTAAATTATTTAAGTTGGTGTCTTTTTTTCTAGACCAAAGAAGCATTTAGAAATGAAGCGAGAAAGAAGTATTGAAAAACCAATGCCAAGGAAAAATTTACCACCTGGTACAAGAAGCGCTTTGCAACCTGTCCTCACAGATCCTCATAGAATAAGTCAACGCCAAAAGCAAATTGATATGGGAAAAAATACACTTGGCTATGAAATGTTTACAAAATATGTTTCCAGGTAAGCTCACTCCTGATAAATAGCAGAAACATCATTGCATACTGAAGCACTTTTCATCTAACACTCTTCAGAGTATAAATGATGGATAATGACCAAAAGTAAGCAGAAAATGATGTAAAACGAAGAAAGACGTGTTTGATTGGTTCAAATCTTTGGGTACAAAAACTTCTTGAATTGAAAATATTATATATTGGAATTTATTCTGCTCCTAGAGAGGAAAGAATAAAAGATGATCCACAGACACCAGATAAATACCAGCAGTGCAGCACCAGGTCATGGCAAGGTCAAGTCAAAATTTGGAGACGGCAACTGCACATGTGGGATCCCCAAGATGCAAGTGATGCTAGTGCAGATCCATTTTCTGTGTCAACAAGGTGAGGCCTTATTGTGAAATATGTTGAAAAGTTTTGCCAACCTCTGGTTTTCATCAGTATTGAGTCTTTTAGGCAGCCATATGACTAAATTCCAACTTGGCATGTAAAAAAAATTGTTTCTACTTTTTTTATAATGTTATTTAATATTAAAATTAACTTTCTTGCAGTTTCCAGAGTGACTGCAATGATATTGGTGTGGTTCCACTGCCAATCTCATCAGAGTCAAGTCAAGCTAGTGATTGCAACTCAGCACCAACAGATGACATTTTTGATAATGATGTGTTTGGATATTTCAGCTCAGGAAGACCCATCCAGCTCTTTGATCCAGAAGATATGTAACTGAACTGATTTTGCATTGTATTTTGTGTGTAAATATGGTACATATGATATATTTTAATAATTAAAGTAGAAACAGAAAAGATCTAAAAATTTCCACAACTGCATTTACCAACAAATAAGCCCCCCCCTCCTTGGACAGGACTTTCTTCTAACAAACAAGTTGTGCTAACACTTGAAGCGCAAGCTTATAAATAACTTTTCATTGATATCTAGTGAAATTTTTTCATAACGTTTATAAATTTCTTTCAGGGCCCTATAAATAGAAAACGTCCTAAAAATTAGACTTAGTTTGAAAGCTCCAAGAAAGTTGTTTTAATTCCCACAAACAGAAACATGCCATTATGTTGATTAATGTTTTTATTGCAAATGGTTTCTCACGTTTTTCAAGTTTTTATTGTAGTGTCTTTCTCCTGTATATCATATACTTTCAAAATAAAATAAAGTTTTTACTATCTTTTTATTTTCTCCCAGTTGGACAATTTTGCTTGCATTATATTCACATTGTGTTATAAATGTGTCTTTGCATGCATGTTTAGAGACAAAATTGGCATTTTTGGTTCTTGACGTTTTTCCTTGCTCTCAATATGAATATGCAAGTTTGATTGACAAGTGTTTGTTGGCCTAGGATGGTTTTTTGATGGTAAAAACTATCAAATCGGCTCTTCAATTTTTATCACTAAAATAAACAAAGCCACCAAATGTTTCAAACAGTTTGTTTTCAAACTCAACAATGAAAGACTGTTCAATGCAAGTTAAAATTGGGGTAAATATTTAAAGAACATTGTGATAAAAGTTATCCTTTACCAAGAAACATAACTCAAAATGTAGAATTGAAATAAACCGTTTTACCTGTGCTATACCAAAACAGAAAGTATTCAAATATAGACCTCAATATTATACCTTTCAAATTTCTCAAACATTGAGTTTCAATATACACAATCAGATAATTCAAATTTTTAAATTTCACATCATTATGGATTTGAACATCAAAAGTTGGTACAAAAAGCATTTATTTAATCTGCATTCGAGTTGCCTCTGCATAGGCTGCATCCCTAACACAATGCTTCCTAAACAGAGAAAAGCTGCCATCTTTTTTCAAAAATGTTGTGTAACATACACTGAGGCTATGATTGTGTCACAGAGCAAAAAGTATAGGTCAATTATTAAGTGCCTGCAAAAAGTCAGCCATGTGCCAAGTTTCAACAAACAAAAAATGAAAGAATATCCTGTTTAAATGCAGGCATATCAATTCATAAAAAGTTTCATTGGATACTGAATATAAGTCCAACATCAAACAAAGTTTTAAACTTAACCTTTTTGCATCTACAAGCTAGTTTGAATCACTTGAATAATCTTCATTAACTTTAATGTTACAAAATCTGTTTAAAAAATTAAGAATTTTTTAAACAGAAATTGAAATGAACAGATGATACCCCTTCCTTAACCATGTTAACTTTCGGTACACCTTGTCTTTTCCACTAACTTTTGCTGTCAATCGAGAATGCTCCCTATGATATGCTATTTGGCTGAATTCTTTTGAGGAAGAGTTTTTTTTCGCCACATTTATAGAGGAGAGAACAATATATGTGTTTATCAACTATGCTTCGCAGTGGCGGACACCTAGGGGGTGGGGGCAAATGGTATTTTGTTCTGAAACAATGGGGGCAATTTGACATCATCTTGTTTAAACAATAGGCTTGTCCCCCAATATTTGACAAAATGTCCGCCCCTGATGGTTCACAAAAGCTTTACATAATCTAAAAGAAGCAGCAAAAATAATCTCTAGCATTGTTCTTGTGTTTAGTTAACTATTTAAAAAATAAACAAAAACAGCCAGGTAAGACTGTGTTGTTCTTTACATTGAACTTAAAGTGCAATGATTTCGGCAGTTATGCAATTCTTGCTTCCTCTGTTGTTATACCCTTCTTCTTTGGCATTTTCTTTGCAGATGAGTCTTCTAATTCACGATCTTTGTAGTAATGTGGAGCAACTTCAAGTAGCCAGCTGCTATCAATCTCAATAACTTGCCTCATAAATTCCTTGGTTGTGAAAACAAGCTCAAAATAGACAAGCCACCTTGACTGCTCTTCAAATAAGCAACTATTTGGATGTACCATTACTGTTTGCTGGTGCTTGACAGTCTTATAATGGCCTCCTTTGCTAAACTTTGCAGTGTGGTAAAAGTAGCCTGAAGTGATGGCTTTCCTTACACCCACAGTATCACTGGGATTATTTGTAAGTTCTATTTCAACCCTTTCCATCAAGCCATCAAGCTGGTCTCTGATATCTCTTGCACGTCTCATCGATCTGTACTGGATGAAATTCTCATAACACCACTGTGTGCTGTATCCAGATTCAACCCACGCATCATAAACATTCATCAATGTTAAATGGTCTCCCCCATATCTGAAGAAGTTCTTTCGAGCATTATCAGCATGAACAATCTTATCTTTTGGTCTGTAAAATATAGATGCATTCACTGACAGCATGGCTGCAATTGTAAGTATCTGCTCTGTGCATTTATACTTTTCTGAAGCAATTATCATCTTGGACATCATTGGATCGACTGGCAACTCTGCCATTCGGCGTCCAAGTTTTGTAAGCTCCCCTTTATGATTCAGAGCACCTAAGGCATAAAGTTGTTCCAATGCCAAAATCAATGTTTCTGCAGGTGGTGGGTCCATAAAGTCAAAATGAATCAAATCATTGATTCCAAGTGACTTCAATAGCAAAACTACATTCCCTAGGTTTGTGCGCTGAATTTCTGGGATGGTATTATCCTCAAGCTCATTCTTGTAAGCCCAAGCTGTGTATAGCCTAAAGCATTTTCCAGCTGCCACTCTTCCAGCTCTACCAGCTCTTTGATTAGCTGATGCTTTTGAAACTGGTGTGACAACAAGGGACTCCATCCCAGTTCGGGGGTTGTAGCTTTTCTGTTTGCAGAAGCCAGGATCAATAACATATATAATGCCATCAATAGTCAATGATGTTTCAGCAATGTTTGTTGCAAGAACCACTTTTCTAGCACCCGGTGGTGTTGGCTCAAATATTTTTGCTTGAAGATCTGAAGGCAGGTTTGCATAAATTGGGAGGATTACCAACTCTTTCATCTTTGTCCCCAGTTTACGTGTTCTTTCGGTTAACTGTTCTTGACATACTTCAATTTCTTCTTGACCAGTTAGAAAAACAAGTATATCTCCTAATGGCTGGGTGAGATGAATCTGTAGGACAGTAACAACACAAGCATCAAGATAATCTGCTTCTGGTGCTTTTGTATAGAAAATGTCAACTGGGAACCTACGGCCAGGTATACGGAAGATCGGAGCATCATCAAAAAATGCTGAGAATTTCTCTGCATCAAGGGTAGCACTTGAAATCAGTAATTTTATGTCCTTCCTGAACCTGGCTATATCTTTCACCAAGCCAAACAATATGTCTGTATGCAATGTTCTTTCATGAGCCTCATCAATGATTATAACACTGTAGCTAGCAAGATCTGGTTCTCTAAGAAACTCCCGTAAAAGCATGCCATCTGTCATGTACTTGATAACTGTCTTGTCACTGCTACAATCTTCAAAACGTATGCTGTATCCAACTTCATTTCCCAGCTTCACACTCATTTCTTCTGCAACACGAGCAGCAACACTCATAGCAGCAACACGCCTTGGTTGAGTACAACCAACTTTCATATTAGCATCTGTAAAGCCTGCTTCATGCAAATATTGAGGAATTTGGGTAGTTTTACCTGATCCAGTCTCTCCTTCAATAATAAGTACTTGGTGACTTTCTACAGCCTCTAACAAACTTTCTCTGTATGGAAAAATAGGTAGGCTTTCTCTTGTTTCCTTCATAGATAGCTTTTTCAGTTCCTTTTCAGACAATGCTGCAGATGTACTATCCTCAGCAGAATGATTTTTACTTCCAGCCATTGTCCCTGCCATAACAAAATCAATCTGTGTCTCTTCTACTAGCAGATCATAATCAGACTCCTTCCCTTTACCTTTTGCTTTGGCATCCTTAGACCCAAAGTGCATCACTGCATCACCAAGTTTATGCTCCTCCCAGCGCTTTTGCTCTGACATGCTACCTGGCTCATTTACACCGGCTTCATCCTCAAAGTTGTCAATAATTGTTCCATCATCCTTTGGCATTACATACCTGTTCTCTCTTTGAGCTTCATTAATCTGCTCATATTCACTTGCAAACTTATATATCTTCTTTTTATATTCACGCTCAAGCCGCTCTCTTGCAGTCAACTCTCTGGATTCAAAAAGCCTTTCATCATCCTCTATGTCCTCCTTCAGTTCTTCAAGCTTTTCAACTTTTCTTTTCTTGACATAATCTCTTCTGGCCTTCTTTCTTAAATCTTTCATCATCTTTTCATATTCTTCCTTACTCATATCTTCTGCCATCTTATCTGTATTTTCTGCACTCTCAGATTCATCTCCTTTCAGTTTTTTTGTCTTCTTCTCATCTTTTTTTCTAAGCCTTTCAGCAAATTCATCCCTTTCTCTTAAATCTTTTTCTGTTTCATCTTCGCTTACTTCTGACTCATCACTACCTTTCTGCTTTCTAGCAGACTTTGATTTCTTTTTGACTTTCTTTTGCTTCATCACATTATTTTCATCTTCTGAAGATTCATCACCACTTGACTTTCTTTTCCTGATGTTCTTTTTATGCTTTTTCTTTACATCTGTATTCGATCTTCTAGAACCTGAAACTTCATCTTCACTTTCATTTTCATCAGACAACATTTTATAACTTGAATACTTCTTTTGCAAAGCAAGAGCCTCCCGTTCCTTCACTCTATTGGCATTTTCTGTCTTCTCCTTTCTTGGTATTCTCAACCATACTTCCTCCGCTACAGTTTTTACTCTCGGGTCACCTCCAACAAAATCTTCAATATTCCTTAAGAATTTCGATTTATCAGCAGTTTTGCCGGCAAGTGTTACAAGATATTCCACAACGCAATTGTCGGAAAGTCCAAGGGTGTCATGCAGCCTATCTGAGGCCCAGTTGTACAGTTCTTTTTCTGATGCCATTGTTTCTTGTAGTTCTCGCCGCAGAAACGTAGAAAGTTAAATTTGCATATCAAACTGCTTCTGTTTTCGATACAATCCAAATATTTTCTTAGTGTTAATCTGAGAGTTCACGCCACGAGTAGACAGGAATAAACGCATTGACAACAACGCCATATTAGAAAGCAGTACGAGGCGAGCCTCTTGGTCAATCACGAACTCGTGGGAAACTAAGGCCCATTGAAACTTCAAATTTTAAGCTGCAAATATCCCAAGAAGCAAAAGTCAGTTGGGAGATTAACAGAAAGTTCACTATAGAAAGATGCAGCACGATACTGTAAGTATGGCTACGTATGAAGCAATTTGTCATTTTAAGGCATATGGCCTAAAAGGCTTTGCGAAACGAAACAGCAAAACACGTGAATCAAACTCGAATTCCCAGCAGCATTAGCAAGTTAATTACAATATATTTGAATATAACATAAACCTAAAATTATTTCAAAATAGTTATAAGAAGTTAGTCATAATGTATCTTGCAAGGCTGATGGATACATGGAAGAAATGAAAATGTTTCCAGTTTGTGTTTTTTCCATGCACCTAACTTTGAATGTTAAACAGCAAAAAATTGCCACTTATAAACTAGGATCAGAACAAAACATCAAAGAGATGAAAAAAGACTAAAAATGTAGCAATGTAGAAAGATAATGAAATGATTAGTAAAATCTCACTTTTTCAAAACCAGAAAATGTTCCCAGGCAGATTCAGATTCAGTATGTTTTGAACTCCATGATGTGTTACAGCAGTTATGTTATAAAAAGCAACAAAATTCAGGTTGAGAATACATTGTGGAGGAAAAAAACAACAATAAAGAAGCACAAGTTTCCATACACTGAGGTCTAGTGCTATGAAGAAAACAAATGAGGCCCTGAAAAATTTCAACCCACCTGAGCACCAGCTTAACACCATTTGTGGGATATGCCTGTTTGGAGAATAATTTAAAGCAGTCTCACTCAATTGTAAGGGGAATCACAGAGAAGGGCACACTTTGACAATGACAGTCTGTCCTAAAGATAAAGGATGCTTTGCAGTACAAAATGAGTTTAAGGCATATTTCAACAAGGTCTCTAGTATAGTGATGATGCTGAGCAAGTTGGGAAAAAATCTGGCAAATTTTTTTTGAGACTGCTATTTTTGTTTCCTTTTATAATGTGTCAAATAAAAATCTGTTCATACCCTGGCTGCTTTTTAAAAGATATGCACTGTCTAATTTATTTTGCTATATCATAAGAAGCCTTCACAAGTTCTTCATTAATGCCCTGCAAACTCTATATGAATTGAATCCAAAAAGAAGAATCTATGCATTTCTTTTTGCAGTTTAGCACCTTTCCATTATATTTCATTGTGACGCAAGGATGATTAATTTTTGGGGCCCCTGAACCCTACAGTATTGCAAATTTGAAAACATGATTTATATAGATTTGCTACTAAAAGTGTGGTCAATACTGTGATGAAGTTGACATGAACCTAACATGCCAACTACAGAAGATTATTTTCCCTATTTGTCTCTATTGGCTAAATCACACAACAGAGGAAAGTATCAACTGGTCTTTTTGGACTTTTGAATAAAGCATGGCTGATGACACGGTTTAAGTGTCCATGATAAATCTCACAGAAAACCTCAAGTGTAGCTTTTCATGCATAAGATAAACATCAACAATCTTCTTTTTTCATGCTCTAGGTCATTTGGCAGCTGATTGACAAGGGATTTTGCTCTTTCAAAACAAAGTATGGTTTCTCATTTTCATTGCTATTTGATGAAATTAAAAATTGAGCAAAGTATCTAGAAAAAGTGCCAACTCCCAACCTACAAAAAAGGAAAACGAATTCCCAACTACCAAACTCTGAACAATGTTTTATATTTTTCTAACCATGCCAAGGTTTTGAAAATTAGGGTTTATCAGCCTGGCACTTTGGTTTACTTTTGGCAGAACGTTTGATATTTTTCAAGGCTTCAAAAACCTGAGTTTTTAGGAAATGTTTTTTGCACCATGATAAAAATCTTTCCCAAGCTTATTGGCTAATGCCAATTATAGATATTGATATCAATAAATAAAGAATTAGTTTTGCATAATTTTTGACGAATGATTAGATTACATCTATAATTTTTATTTTTCTCAATGAAAAATTGCTTATTTTAATAATTGCTGATTCTATGGTATATAATTAATAGAAATCTGGCATGTTTCATTTCAGAACTGAAACAAAGACATTTTGTCGAAATGAATACAGCCTTACAGGGCTCTGTAACAAGAGTTCGTGTCCTCTTGCAAATAGCAGATACGCAACAGTCAGAGAGCATGATGGTATGTTAATCTGTGAGCATTTGAAGGGCTTTATTATTTGAAAACACAAAGGGGAATTTATTCATCTATTTTTATTTACCAAAGCTTGTTCCATTGAGCATCAAATCAAGCTTATAATCTCTCACATTTATTTTCTGATTGAAAAAAGTTAACTGTGCTGCTTTTTTCTTTGTTTAAAAACCATTTTATTGCACTCAGATGGAAACAGTTGTAGCACTGAAGTAATACTATTCCTGCTCTAGTTTTGTTTCTAGATAGGAGAAAATAAAAAATCCAAGAAGATTTTAAGAATAAATTTTAGAAATACCTTCATTAAAGTAGAAAGATGTAATCTGTTAAGTAGCAAAAAGCAAGGTCATTTTATTTGGACAAGTGACATTGACAAACTGCTTTTTTACTTTATTATTATTGTATTCTACTATATTTTAACAGGTGTCTGCTATTTATATATGAAAACAATCGAGAGAGCACATTCACCAGCAAAACTTTGGGAAAAGGTGAAACTATCAAAAAACTACGAAAAAGCACTTGAGCAGATAGACAAAAATCTCATATATTGGCCAAACTATATAATACATAGATGTAAACAGAGGTTGACAAGAATAAAACAGGTGAATACAAACTTTATGTTTTGTGCTTAGACAGCTCTTCCTTCTCAGAATTTAATGGTGGAAATATAACATCTGTTTTTTGTTTTTGTTTGTGTAGATGTCTGTTACATGTTGAATGTTAAAAGGTTAAAGCAACCAATGCATTTTCTACATCCAGCTTTCCACTTATTCTCTAGAATTAAAACCTAAAATTTATTTTAAAATGTATACTTTATCGTTAGAAACAGTGGTGGGCACATGTAAGAAAAGGTGAGGGCATTCTCAAAGTTGGAAAACAACCTGTTACCCTTGAATTGATCTGCTTTTTAAAAAAAGATGTTCCCCTTACGTTATTTTTCTACCCATAATAATTGAACTATGTTCAGTGGCTGTAAACTATTCATTTATTTTTTAGTATCTAATTCGAATGAGAAAGCTGAAGCTTAAAACACAGTGAGTATAAAACATTTTGCAGAAATAACGTTCCCTGTGGTCAAAAGTTGTTCATTGTCAGAAACTAAATACCTCTGACAAATCACATGATCTATTGTTTCTGTGAATGGAATATTATCGCAGCAAAGGTCACATGATCTATTATTTCAGTCAATTCACAAGGGCAAAATCTTTCAACCAGGGGTGGACACTTGGTCAAATATTGGGGGGGGCAAGCCTATTGTTTTAATAAGATGACGTCACATTTCCCATTGTTTTAGAACAAAAGACCATTGTTCTCTAAAGTATTGGGAAGCGATCGCCCCCCCTCGCCCCCCCCAAGTGTCCGCCACTGCTTTCAACACTCAAGAATGTGCAGGGTGAAGATTCTGCCAAAATAAGTATTAAACTTTTCGATCAGGACAATGAGTCCTTTATTTTGGCGCTTTTTGTTAACATTGATCAAGTTCGTGGAAAGTCTTTCTTTGAAGGATTGACATTCTTAAAATCCAGCCTTATTTACTTAGAAGGCTTATGCCTATAATGCAAGGCTCAATTAATTTTGCAGCTTTCAAATAAATTTTTTTTAAAGTTTATAACAAAGTATTTTACATGTGTTGTTGTTTGTTAATTTTAATTTGATATAAAGAATCATTTTGATCAGAGAATAAGGAACTATTAAGCTAAAAACATTAAAAGAAGGAAACGTAAAAGCAATGATGAACAGTAAAGGATCCAAACGGACTTGTATAAAAAGTTAGGAAAGCCTAGATGAAATACGTATCAAAATTTAACAGCAAAACGGAAGTTGAGAATCGCTGTTCTCATGTTATCAAACGTTTTTGTATATGAGAGGATGAAACAGACGCATGTAAGGTATCAGCAAGTACTATCTCGAAAATCATTCTATCTTTTCAGGAAGAAACTTGTCCCAATAAGCAAGAAGATTGAGAGAAGGGAAGCAAGGAGAGAGGTTTGTCATAATTTTGTTTATAGACTGCTGCTGCTTGCGTCAAGGGACATGTAAGGCCTAAGCTGAGAGAGACAAAACTTTTATTAATTCAAGCATGATCTTAACCGTTCAACGCCAACTCACAAGCACTGATTGATGCCAACAACACAATCACACATATACGCTGAAACCACATTGTCAATATACAAACACATTATGCTCACCTGCTAAATGGTGAATTTCATAATCAGGTGAAAAACCGAACAAATTACAGTTTTCCCCAGTGAATATAATATACACCCCAAATGGCGTCAGTTAGGTTCATTTGTTATTAGTTCAGTGTAGCGTTGCTTTTTAAGCATGTTATATTGAGGAAATGCTCTATTCCTATTGTGTTTAACCCTTGGTGCATACAACAGCACTTTGTCTCTCCGTGTATTACCAGAGTTTGGTACATGCTGGAAGTTGTAACCTACCATTTGATAATTGATCATTGATACTGAACCCTTAAGACCAATTATACCCTAAACAAAAGTACCACAATAGTGCTCTCGACCTATTTTGCCCTTATCAAAAGGTGTCGTATCTTCTGCCCTCTTCAAAGGTTGATAAAGTTGCCTTCAAGGCTCTTCACTTGCAACTTTTCATCCTTGAGTTGGAGTTCATACCACCCTTGGAGATCTTTGCTGTCTTAGGTCAATAACTTTTCTCACTTTGCTTTATTCTAGACAAAGGCTCTTTCAGCTGCACAAATTGAGAAATCAATTGAGAAGGAACTTTTGGAAAGACTAAAGAAGGGAACAGTAAGTAACAATCTGTTTTGTCTCTCAAAATTTGTGTTTCACTGTTTGGAATTCCAGGGCAAGGGCACTACGGTTTTAACTCGACAAGTTTGGTTTAAGATATTCTATTTATTATCCTCATTGTGTTTATTTGTAATGTTCACTTAATAAGCGCATACAAATTTGAAATATGCACGAAAAAGAAAATCATATTAAAATTTAAACACAGTACACTTTTATATGCCCTATCTATAAAGCTAGAAGACCTGAACCAGTAAATATACGAAAACTGCTTTATAGTCACACAATTGATTATATAACACGATTTGAAGATAAATTGCTTTAATCCATCAGATTTATAGACTTCTTATTTGACAAATACATGCAGATATATCATGACAATGTATTATTTTCTTTCCATTAAATCATACTTTATCTTGCAGTATGGTGACATCTACAATTTCCCCTCAACTGCGTTCGATAAAGCTCTAGATGAAGAAGAACTTGAGTCCGATCACGGGGAAGCTGAGGTTAGGCCAAAAAATACTTATTCAATGCCACTCTGCTTAGCTGTTACATATCTAAGCATAACCTAACCACTTTTTGGTCAACAATTTAGTCAAATCTTGATAGAAAACCAATCATGTACTGTAATATTTCCCTAACTAAGGATTTCTGTTGCATCAACATTTTCTTAAGTGGCTGAGAAAGTACCCGTTTACAAGTCAACAATTATTTCTTTTTTGTGTTTAGCTTCGAGACAGTATGATTGCAGTTTTGTTAGCTTTTCTTTTTTCTTTTTGTGCTACCTCAGTTTGTTGTTAAATAATTAATGTATAATTCACACCTTGTGTTATTTTAACAGTATGAAGACTTGGAAGTTGAAGAAGAAGAGGTTAGTTTGCTAAATTATTGAACTTAATTAATTATGTAATTTTCGAGATCTCAATGCTTTGTAGCTTGTAATTTATTTTGCAAAGGTGGCCGGAATAGTTGCAATGTGTACCAGTGTAAATGTATTGTCTTTAGGTAAAGGGTTAGCAACAAAAGTCGATAGCATGAATCAAAGAGTAGGTGGGGCAAATAGTTATGCGTGTAATGTTTAGGGAATATTTCAGCGTTGCCGTTTAAAATGTCTTTATCATTTATATTTTCGTTGCGTTGTGTTTTATGATATGTTTATCGAATCACACATCAGCCGGTAGTTAGGAGCACATTTTGATTTTAAGCACTAAGCACTATATGATACAAGATTTTGTTTCGCGTGTGACACAAGTTGCATTGTTTCATTTTGTCTCATAGAAAATAGATTCTATAATAGAATACCGAAAATGTCGTGTTGATGCTCTTTCGTATGAGCATCTTAAACAGTTGAAAATTAAATAAGCCCTTTGAAAAACATTAGGGGATCATTTCATTTATAATTTATATGACATCATGGAATTGGAAGCAATGCCTTCGGTATTTGACACTAGTGTTGAGGGTCATTTGACATTGGATTCAGAATCTGAAAGCGTTTTATAAAATCTATTTTCAATTTTCTATTTTCTTTATGTAATCGTGGCGGAAATAGCCCGGACTGTATTTCAGATTCCTACTCTCAAACTCTATGTGTTAGTCAAAATATTTTAGAAATAAACGAAATGCGACGCTAACACAATCTGATTTTTATCACTGTTTGTAAAAATTTGATATGGTTGCATGTTAATTGCAGTTGGATTTTATTTTCTCGTGTTTGTTTATTAACAGGAAGATGATGAACTGCCAGAATTTGTTGATGGTGAAGAAATTGAAGAAAGTGATATTAGTGATATTGAGGTAGTTGCTCTTTTCATAGTTTTAATTGAAAATTTATAAACAGCTGCAATTGTTTTTCTGTTGCTGTTTTTGTTTCAGTTTTTGGTGCAGTTTTTGATATTTTGAAAATTTTACCAAAGGAGGGTTAAATTAGCGAGAACATCTTTCACAAAGACTTGCTTAAACCTTCACAACTTTTTCAATATTTGCATTTCAAATATTCAATACATTTTCCCTGCTAATTAGTATTCCCTTTCTTTATTGAATATGTTCTTTTCTTTTTTAAAGGATATCTCAGGGTCTAGCGAAGATGAGCTGGAAGAAGATGTGAAACAGAAATCAATGAGAAAGAGACCAAAGATTGAAATTGAATATGAGCGAGAAACAGAAGGAAAAAGGAAGGCAAAAGTCAGACACTAAACAATTTTAGCTTTATTCTATTTTATGTATTATTGCCTCGAGTCTTTGGTATTGTATTTACTACCTCTTATATGATAATAAAACTAGTGCTATTCTTATATGATCCACAACATTATAGCTTTTTAAAATATTGTTTGAAAAATGATCTTTCCCTCTAGACTAGGATAAAAAATGAATGTCAAATGTAGTGAACCTGAACAGAGGAAAATAGTATCAGCAAAGGTTGTTTGGCGTATTCTCATTGTTAAACCGTTTCTCAGTAACCCAAAGCAGACGTCTTGCCGTGCCGTTGTTTTATCTGGCTGGCAACGTATGTTTGCTTGTCAGCTAGGGGGATTGATGATTTCCTGCCTAGGTAGAGGGACTTTTTAACAGCGTAAATTTAAGTAAACTGCAAGCAATGCTTTAGTTATTGCCTGAGACCCTTGAACAAAGCATCCGATGTAGGGTGTTTTTAGATAGAGTTTAGAATGACTTTGAAAAAACCAACATTTTATAAATTATTGGCTAAAAGCTTTTTCGTCTGACACTCCTCAGAGCATAAAAAGTCAGAATAAAGGTCCGAAGGAAAACGATGAAATCGCTATAAAATGTTTGCTTTTGTCAAAGCTATTTTCAAGTTCTGTACCGCAAAAAGAGTACAGTTTCAAGTTTAAATGTTTTCTAGCCATAAGGTTTGCAGTAGATGTGCAAAACAAGTCAATCTGATGTACTTCATATCTTATCTCACATAGTCAGCCCACTTGCGTTTGATCTGTCATTCTTAAGGATAGGTGTTAACTATATCTCTGATCATCATTGTCACTATCATAACTGCATAAAGTCTGTTTAATGGATGAAGACAAAAAGATTCTTATTCATGCGCAAAATCTGCGATGAGCAGTATAACAAAGTACCTACTCTGCAAAATAATTATGTTGTCAAAATAGGCCATAAATCAGGATATCTTTCGTATATTTGAATGTTTTCAATTTCGATAAGAACATTTATAACGTAACTGATCGAGTAGCAACTTGTTTTTGTTTCTTGTTGTTTAGTTGTGTATCCTTCTATTTTGCTATTTCTCTTTGTATAGTTTTACAAATAAGACTTGCAGAGCAACTACACCGAATAGGGCTGAGTACTGTCTTTATCAATTAGATGTGATGCCATGAAAGTTCAGGAGTGTTTAGAAAAGTAGATATATTTTGCCCGCCCGCTTTTATTTACTGAACAGAATGCCACAAAGCTCTTTTTTTAAACCAGCTGTCATTTCATTATGAAAAACATAACACTTACAAACCTCACTATTACAAGGTAGTTTGTATGTGGCACACTTACATTGAGAAGAAAAGAAACAGTTGTACACAGCATAAATATAAGCCTGATGATGTAATGATGGCGACGATGTTGATAATGCTGATGAGGATGACAAAAGTGATGTTGATGTTGATAATGGCAATAAAGATTGTAGTGATGGTGTTGGTAATTGGTATAGGTGGAGATAGAAGACTAGATGGAAAGAAGCTCTGGGTTTGGCAAAGGTTTGTTTCTACGGCAAAATATAAAGTAGGTGCACCGAATTATGACCTTTGATAAACCAAGATAGATGTGATGACGATGGGAATTTTCAACAGCAGGATTGTCCAGCATATCTGTAAAAGTAGAACATGATTGCCCAAAGATGCCAAGAGAACAAATTGAGAGATAAATAATAAAAATAATGATAGTAATAGTAAAAGCACTTATATTGTGTCATATATTTACATGGCTCATAGTCGCATTATAATTGAAAACACTAAGTGCAATTTAAAAGGGCGAAAGTTTAAAGGTTTTGATTCATTAAAATCAAAGTTAAGACAATTTATTTAATAAAATAATATTTAAATAAATTTCTCTTCAAACATGATTAAATGGTTTATAAATTATCACATGCTCTAATTGAGTAGGGGAGTCTGTTCCTAAAGAGAAGGGACAACATTCATGAACGCACGATCACCAGCCGTAACTAAATTGGTATTTCCTACCTCTAATAGTAATACACTCATTTTTTTATAAGAAACAAAGGTCGATTTTGAGTACTCTAGTTTCTTAACGTTCTGGAAACTTTTTTTAACGTCAAGAGATTCGCTTCCGTTCTGATGCTGTATTTAGATGTGGGAAGTTTATTTTTATCCATCCCTTGTGTCTTAAATTCTAGGCCAACATGTTCTTGGATTTTACAAAATTTCGTTGTTCTCAGTTTTATCACGATTTAATAGTTTCTTAATTTTTTTTGCTCGAGTACTGAAGTTTCTTAATTTTTTCTGACTGTCCAGAACTCGTTTCTTATAGCCAATTTCCTATAAAAAAATGAGTGTAGTTCATCACCAGCAGATCTAGTCCAACGAGAAGCCTTGCGTAATTTTAATAATTCTTTAATAATTTACATAAGATAGTTCACCGCTAGATTATTCAAACACTTTAAGGTTAAGACGAGTATTTTGTACTGTATCCTGCTTGTCAACGAAGTCTCTCCAATACTGGTGACAAGGTCTGTGTTCACCTGCTTGGCTTTAATTTGCTTATCTTTCAGCTACTACTGTAAACAACGCCTACTGGAAATAAATGAATAATTATTTTATTATACTGTTAAGAATCTTGCAGCAGTATTCTGGATCTGTAGCTTTTGTAATTCACATGATAGTAAGCCATATAACAGAGAATTGTTACTGTGTTTAAATCCCCATTGTTCATATTTTTGTGTTTCAACCCATGCGGTTTTTCTCGTTAGTCAACCGTAAAGACCCTATTGGTAAACAAAAATGGAGAGTGGGGTGTCCTCGATTTTCGTTTTCATACAGCATAACCTTGGATTTAGTCAAGAAATGTATACCCAAGTATAAAATATTAAATTACCATTTCTTGACTCATTGCCTTGTTTTGGTTTTCTTATTTGTTTTGGGAATAAGCTACGAGATAAAAGTTCAATCTACCATTTTTTTAGAAAAGTTTTAAATTTTTTATGAATTTTAGATATTTTATCACTTAATCAGCAAAATTATATGCGAAATACTGAAGCAGGAAAAGTACACAGATTACATTAAGCTTTCTTTTTGCAACCCCCACCCCCCCAAATCCCCTATTCAGAGTGGAGTTTCTTATAAAATAGGTCTCAATTATCCTATGTATTTACCAAAAACCTGCCCCTTGTAAAAGCTCCCTTGAATTACCTCCTCCCCCTTTACATAAGCCAACTTACATACCAATTTTTGTATTTTAATAAGCCCGCTCAACTGAGAGTGAACAAACTGTAACAGCGATTTAACAGCGATTCATTGTCGAAGAAATATCAATATTCAATAAAAATATCAATATTCTAGGCTTAGATATCTTCCTGTGCTGTGATAAATACTTCGGTTTGGTGATTTACAAAATCTTAATAAGTAGCTGGGGGTTTCATCAAGGATTTGCGGCATTTCCATAGAGATCTATGGGAATTTCGCTCATTTTCCAAAGTGAGGCTGTGATTTGCAATGTATTGTTTTCAAATTCCAAATCGAGATTGAATGGTGTTGGCTGATGCGTGACATGGTGACATGATTAATTTCAAACAAAATCCCATTAAAAATTGATAAATCCAAAAGAGTTTGATTGACAGGAAGAACACAAGAAAAAGCCGTGAAATACTTTTTGACAGCCAGCAATTTTCTGTTATGAAAAGTGGCTGTAAAGAAATAAATACAGCTGTCAAAGAATTTTAGGTGAGCGTTTTGATACAATGCCTTAAATTATGTCCACTTTGTAGCTGTAAAATTATGCGGAGAAAGACGAAGACGATAGGATGGTATCTGAGCTAGTTCTGTCCGTGAAATTTGAGACAAATTGCTAATGTATTTCGAAAAGCATACTACTTTAGCACAGTTTTCAGGTTTTTGACTTCATCAAGCGCTTTGTACTCCACAAAGACTTTTATTTCTAGAGAAATGTTACCGGTATATATTATTTTTCTTCGTGTGCTTATGCAATCACCGCAAAATGTGTATTGGCAGCTGATATGTATCCATGCCCAGGATACTCCCAGATATTCGATTCCTAATTCAGAAGATTAACATCTCTTATATTAATTGATATGTCACGAATGCTTTAAAGTCCTGATGGCTCTGTCGCACTCTCTTTCAAAGTAAATTCCCAATGTGTTCAGTAGAACTGTAATTTGAATTAGATTTTATTTGGTCATTATTTGTTGCAAACGGAGTAAATAGAGAAATGCTACATTTTAAATCTCTGTTTTGCCATAGCTAAGTGTGCTTCTATTCCAAGTTTACCTTAAGATTCATGTTTGAAAAGTTTATGTGTAGTGGATGACTAAAATAGACATTTGAGCACTAAAGTATAATACACAGATTCTGTTAGAACTTAGGTATATAACTTTGCCAAGGTATATAAACTTTCAATGAAAACTCTATTCCAAGTATGATATCAATATATCTATCTTTCAATAGTGTACAAAGGGGTTTGTCATCTTCCAAAAACTTTTTTCAAGTATTATTTTTTTCTAGAAATCAATATTTCAAATATGGAGACAAAAATAAAGTTAACTGAATTGGTAGAATTTTTATCTTGTGGAATTTGCAATGGATACCTTATTGATGCAACTGCTATCACTGAGTGTTTACATACTTGTAAGTTGTCTTATTTGCTGTATTTCATTCTGGTGGTATAGAATTTTCTTCTCCTAATTGATTTGCTTTAAATACTTTTTGTTTGTAGTTCATTAAAAGCACTCAAAGAAATGTTGGGAAAGCCATTATGTAAAATAAATATTGAATTACCCATAGTGTGCATGATTTGTCATGTTTAAACATCTAACCATAGTACATTTAACTTGCTGGAATCAGCTTTTGCCTTAATTTAATTCCAAATCATTTAACATGTACTCAGCAGTACCTTTCATCAGCACTCAACATGAAATTGTTTCCCTTAATGAAGCTTTGGTAAATTTTTCACTGTTTATGCTAAATCTATGAATAAGGGCCAAAATTCAAAAGATGCTACTGCCATATATGACTATCAAAAAAATTCTCTTGAATCTTTTCCTAGTGTTAGTGTTTGCTGACACTTTTTGTGTATTTAAGTAATTAACAAAGTAATTTTCAGTATCCATGCTATTCATTTGCTTTTTCTTGCAGTTTGCAAGGGCTGCATTGTTAAATATCTGAAAGGAAAAAATACTTGCCCAACTTGTGACTTGCTAATTTCTCAAAGTTGTGCTCTCAACTTTATCAGGTAAACTACTTATAAACTGGTTTCTCTTTCTACATGTTACTTGTACCAATAAATGATAACTATGCTCATTGTATTTATTTAATGTCAAAAATTTAGTTTAGTGGAAATTGGAAAGAACCTATTAGAACTGCACAGTTTACTGCACAACTTATTAATTCCAAACTAAACAATATGGGTTTATTTTTTATTTCATCGCAGAGTCCTCTGAAATGTTTCTTATTTAAAAATGATAATTCAGAGCTTGTAAAATTATTTTGCTAAGAATGACTAATTGATGCTGGTTGAATCCTTCTAGAAGTTGTCTTTGCCTTCAAACATTGCTTCATCCTTCTTTGTATTGATTGTTGTTTGTACACTGCATTGTATTAGGTAAATATCGTTTTTGCTGTTACACTGGAGTTATTATCTGATGTGGAAATGTTCATTGTTATTTGTAAGCAAATTATATTTACAGATTATACAATTTTTTGACATATTCACAGACATTTATCAGGGATGCCAAAACCCAATTTAGACTAGGGTCTCTTGACAAGTTGGCTAGTTTACCAACTGGCTTACAACTCCCACCAAAGTTTGCCACTATTATCTTTGTTGCCACAACTTGTTAGTAACAAAGTGTGGAGGCTACAGTCCCAACACCACTTTAAGGTTGTTGGGCTTGCAGAATATAAATAAAGATTCTGTTTACTCTATGTTGGCTTTTCATTTTTGAATGATGGAAATAAGTTATAGACATTCTTGAATGATGATCATGACAAATTTTGTTGCACCTTTTATTCTTGCCCTGTTGTTACTGATGGGGTCTCATTTCTCATCTTATGCCTAGCTCCTTCTTTTATAGGCAAGATAGAACTAAGCAAGATCTAGTTTATAAACTAGTTCCTGGTTTAAAAGAAAGTAAGAGCATTCATCATTTAACTTTTTTAATTATGTGTTGTTTTCAAGATTTATGAAAAACATTTTTTGTGTTTGATGCTCAAGGGCTGAGATAGTGGTGGGACTAAGGGACTTGAGCCTGCCCCCCCCCGGATTTCTAGAGATCCACTAATTTTCAAAGGTCATTTTGTGAACCTTTATGCTCTACAAAATAGCAGTATCAAAGCCCCTTCCCACATTTTGAAACCAATCTCTGCCCTTCCAGATTCTTATTTTAAAATCTAACAAAATTTGTCTTAACTGCTTCCTCTTTGCTTTTGAGAGCACATCAAACTTTAGGGCAGCAATGGCCTTGCCATGAACTTCAAGAAGGAGAGGCCATGGAGACCAAACAAGTACAAGCCCATAAAACATTTAGCACTGCCTGAGAGTTTTTTTTACCAACATTCAACATTATATGTTTGATTATGGGGTGATAATACTTTTTATAACCTGCTATTTTGCTTTTTCAGGATGCCTTGATATATATAAATGTTTTTTGACTGTATTCCTAGGGGAAGCTTTAGAAGAATCAAAATTTTATGCTGATCTTGGTCTACCAGTGCCAGAAAGAAACAGTCCAGGTTTGTATATCAAGTAGTTTTTTAGAACATCAACATTTCTGAAATCAATTTATGAATATTGTGTTTAGGCAATGATATGTTTTTTAACATATATAAACAGCTTTTTAAGCCTTACATTTGGTAGAATGTGCCAATTGTCTGTGGTACTTAATCCAAAGTGTGACAATGTAATGAGAAAATAACTTAGTTACAAAAATGAAATTGACTGTTAAAAACAATATGTTTCGAGCATGTACTTGCTCTGCCTTCAAAGGAAACAAGCCTAGCAAGAGAAGACAAGGTTCGACAAGTAGGAAATAATGTTTCTCCAACCTTGTTTCTCAGCTAACCACTAAGCTAACCACAGCCCCTTATTCCCTAATACTTATTTTGGCTACATCCCAACTCACATTCTTTCCTGTTTGTTGAACCTCGTCTTCTCTTTGCTTGGCTTGAAATAAAGAGTACATGCTTGACACCTCATGTTGTTAAAAGTCTATTTCATTTTGATACTTATTGAATTGTTTCTCATTTTATTGTTGTGAGCTTACATTTAGTAGCTTGGTATGTGAGCTGTCAAAACCAATGGTTAATGTATGAGCTTGATGATGCTGTTTATATGAGCGGCAAGGCTGAGCAAGCCAAAAGGATGTATTATTGATTACAGCAGATTCGAATCATAGACCCATCAAATGTTTTATTTTTAAAGCTGTAAACAGAATGTGACTGTAACAAGTAGTGTGACTTTTGCCAGAGTGACTCTAAGAGGAGTTTACAATACTTCTTAATAAAATGACAAGCTACGTCCCTGTTAGTGTTACAGTGTGTGAACAGAATGTGACTGTAACAAGTAGTGTGACTTTTGCCAGAGTGACTCTAAGAGGAGTTTACAATACTTCTTAATAAAATGACAAGCTACGTCCCTGTTAGTGTTACAGTTCTTGTCAAGGCCCTGATAAGGTTTCGAAACACCTTTTTATCGGAAAACCGTATCTATTTCAACCACAAGCAATAGATTGATTCGAAAGGTTATGTGACACATTGTAATGTTTGGTTACTAACTCCAGTATTGGTTTCCAACTACTTAAAGAAATTCAATAGCTGTGAAAACAACAATGAAGCTGGTTTTTACACAATTACCTTTATAAATTCTTATGGGGAAAATTTACTCTCAAGTTTCCAATAATTCTTAATTGTTATTCTTGTTCTTTAATGTAAACAAGTGTAACTTTAAGTGAACTGACTGTACTCGGAGTGTGCTATAATTCTATTAGAAAACGAGTATCTCAGGAGTGTAGCATTTATGTTTTGATTTGGAGGGGAGGGACAAATACCTTTTTAAGTATATGTAATTCCAAGTGAATCTTGGTATAGCTGCTTGCGTTGTCATATTGTTGGATCTTATTGACTCCTATTCTATATGCTACACCCCTTCTTTTTACCCCCATGATTTATGTTGAACGATGAGAATTTTGTTTGTTATTGACTTTCTTTGGCATGTCAAATAATTCTTAAGTGTGATATAAAAAGGAGAAGAAAATTTACCAAGATAAAGTTCATTGTGGCATGTGTGCTAGAACAACTTAGAAATATGCAAGGAATTATCACTAAAAGTACATGTTTGCGAATAATCTTCCCTTGTTTTAGTGTATTTTATGTGGATATTTTGTAGATAAAGAAATTTGTGAGACAAGTGAATGCAAAACTGAAGACACCTTGCCGAAAAGACAGGAACCAATAGTGCATGAAGTTCAGAAACAAGAGGAGCATATTGCTCTGTGCTTAGAATATGATAGGTATTTCAATCATTTGTTTTAGATTGATTTTTAGTGATTTTTATTCAAACGCAGATGTAGCCGCCACCAACCAGAATCATTATATGCATTATATGTAGTTAAGAGAGTGGAAGATCATGAGAACTATAAAACCGTGTTATGCTCTGTCACATGGCTAAATCTAAATGTACAAAAATCTGTCTACATATTTAACTCAATCATATGCTCATTCAAATTGTTGCACAATCGAACTGTTGATGACTTCACTTGACAAAATTTTCCAGTTACCAATAATGCATTATCTGCAAAATGGTTTTACAAACATTTAATTTGCATCTTTTCACAAACAGTTTTTGTTTGTGACCTATTTACATAATTGTTTTGCTTCAATTCGAAGACCAGGGAGGGACCATTGTCCATAAACCCATTTAATGGTTATATCATTATATTGAAGACTCTATCTGATTTTTTGTAGACCTAAAGATCCAAAACGAAAACTCAAGGTATGCTTGCTTAGTATGCATGATATTTTAGGATTTGCTCGCTGTATTTCTAATCTCTGCCCATATTGATAATTAAATGTTGAGAGTTATGTTGTTAAGACTATATCAGTGTGATAAACTGTAAATCTCTCTGATCTAGGATCTTTATGAAGAAGTGAAACCAACCTGATCTAATTATATATTTACTTGCCAAAAAGTATTGACTTGCATCAGAATCATCAGAATAAAATACATTTTCGTATAATTTTCCTGGGTATTCAAAGATAATTTCTTTTTGTCAACCGTTCGATGAACATTTTTACCCAACCAACTGCCTTTCCAAATACACTTAATTTATAAAAATGATTTAAAGTCATGAACCGACGTCTAAACTTTAAGGAGTGTCTGACGAAAAGTACTTTATAGGTTTTTGTCCCTTCATGTTTTTTCAAAATTTAGTAGTACCAAAGGCTTATTTGGTTATAATTATTACCATATTATCATGGATAATAATTATTTATTATCATAGATGTTAGTATATTAAATATGATTATTTCTAGCCTCTTAAAAGAAAGTATTTGAAATGCTCATCATATGCAACCGTTGGTCATATCAAAAAGTTTATATCAGGGAAGCTAAATCTAGAAAGTTGTAAAGAGGTACGTATTTTAATTACGATATTGTTCATCATATTGGCTTAGACATTGTATTCGATAACTTAATTATTAATGTTATTAATGATTATTAATGTACGCTGTGCTATAAACGATACTAGCTACTGAAACCTGCTCAAGATTTGGAAATATTGTCCTACTTTTTGTATAACACGATATATGTAGAGAGAAAACATCGCGTTTAAAAATCAACAATAAACTATTTCAATCTGTTCAGAAAAGAAAACATAACTTCAGAGCTGATGTTATCAAACTGCTTCAAATAAGTAGAAAAATAAGTAGTCTTCTCATTATCACATTTTTCGTTTTGATTAACATTTTCTCCGCCCATATTGCTAAATTTCGTCCGTGTTGGGACAAATCAAGTAGACAGAAACCGATATAGCTGTCACTTCTGCAAAAATTGAGTTGTCGTTTTCTTTATCAACGAGAATAAGATTGTGTGTAAATCTACTGAATAATTTAAGTTTCATAAGTAAGGTCTTCTTGTGTGAATTCCTCACAAACCTGCCATGAAAGTCTAGCTCTATCAACCTTTTTTTCTCTGACCTATGCCAGTTTGAAATGAAAAAGGTATGTAGGCGTAAAATCCGTTGTTTTTGATGGTTGCAAAGGAACCTTTTCTTGTCAGTTTGCACGTCAATATTCCATATCCTGTTCTTGTTAGACTGCTTTCTTGAAAGTCGTGGTACATTATCCAAAACTGTCTACCTTTGCTAATGAAAAGACAAGGGAATACCGAAAAATCCAATACTTGCTTTTGATTTGTAAAAATATATTTATAGATGTATACCTCAAAACACTTACCTCTCTCTGTTTAGTTATAAGCTTATAATGTACCACCGCAAAACGTCAATTATGCTTTATGTACTGTTTCGCTGCTTTTAGTGTTATTTTATCTTCTAACGGTTGCTCCTCTTTATTGAATCATTCTGCCTTTCAAAGTGTACGTTTTTTCAAAAAAATCTGATTTTTGAAAGTATCTCTATAAAGTAGCCAACTGTTTCAGGTTGATGTTCTTTGTAATGATGAAATTCTCGGTAAAGACCATACACTTAAGTTTCTAAGTGCAACGAGATGGAAGTTAAAAGTAAGTTTGTTTTTTCCCTTTTTCAATATTTTAGCCAAAATACACTCACTACTTTGGCACTGTACACGCTAACATCGATAACAAGCCGTCTATAGTTTTTGTGTTGTATAGTTTTTAGGTTTTTTAGAGTTCTCTAAGAATGGGTTCTTAACCTCTTAAAGGAGCAATAAACTGAGAATGTTTATTTCATTTATGCAAGAATACCTACAAGAATACCAGAATAACGAAGGAACTGCTTTTGAATTCTTGATATGACGTTTCGTTTTTGTGCTATTAGACATTCCAATTGATGATGATGACGGCAATTTGTTTGGAAAAAGTTCTTGACACTAAAGATAATAACAAGAAGATTTTCAACAAAGAGGTTATTTATACCGACATGTAGAATGACATCCAGCAACAGCTGTTGCTGTCACCAACTGTATTGAATTATTTTTGGAAATAAAACGAATGTTGTTAGTTTTTAAACTTTGCTAATACTTCCGATTACAAACGAGATGGCGTCATCGCGAAAAAACCTTAAATATTTACAAACACTTAAACAGAAAGTTATACAACAATTTTTTTAAGACTTTCTTCATTGCCACTGAAGACCTTCAGTTTCATTGCATAAGAATCCTCAATTCATTGCTCCTTTAAAAAGTTTAAAAACATTGCCTGATCGATTCCTTGATTCCGTTTTTTTGAATTGCAATATTAAATTGCTATTCCTTAATATCACATTGCATTGAATATATGAAACTTGTCTGCAACAGGCTTTTCAGAACAATAAGCACCTCCCTGTAAAGAACACTTCCCCCTCAAACAACATACACTCCCTTGTAATGGACTTCTCTTTAACCCTCTTTAACGCACATCTCCTAATAAGGGTCAACACCAAACATTGAACAATTTGTTTTGCATATAATAATTTAATGAATGGACACCTCACAGTTGCAGTTACCCTTAGAATTTCTTTCCTGTGATTAAAGCCTGGGAGCAGTCGCCATGGATACCTCCCTACCATGTAGGCTAACTTTGCCCCCCTTCTGGGATTTCACTTCACATTAGGATTTACGTTTGTTTTTGTCATAAATCATTAACTTATGCATTTCCTTTTATTTCAGACAAAACCGTTATTGCTACATTACCGACCGCGGCTTGATCTGTATCAATGACTGAAACTGTTATATATTCATAGGGAACAATAGTCTAGAGTATGCAATTGTTTTATCTTGATAGTTACACTCTAATCATTCGTAACCTTGTATAATTTTGCACAAAAGGCGCCATGTATCAATTTTATGCATTCTTGTATCAAACAGTATTGTAAAACGTAAATTAATTTGTCGATTTTTGAATACTCCTAATTTATTTCTTATATTTGTTCCCTCCCCAAAAACGGTTTAACAGTATCTTCACATGCTCATCTGACTGTAACAACGGGGACCATCCAACCGTCAGGGATGGTCCCAGACCATCGGGGATGCTATGCTCCGGAGATCATCGCCGACGAATAACGTTATATGAAAACCAGGCTTTAGAGAGTTAAAGGCAGAGATAGGCAGACAAACAGAGGCAAATAGCAGAGTGAACGCGAGACATATAGACAGAAGCTAAAAGGTAAAGATATTGTACAGCCTTGTTTGTGCTATGTGTGAGATATTAGTGGTTTAGGTTTATGAGGGCAGCATAATATAATCGTTTGAAAGAAAAACATTCGCCTAATATCCTTGGAACTTTTTAAGAGTGCTTATCAATTGTTAAGTAAACCCCTTAAGATAGAATGTCACCTTTATGTTAAACTAATCATCAGTGAACACGAATCGAATGAAATATGTCTATCAATGTAAGTTGTAAATTATTTTCGTCGGCATCCTTCTTTCTAGTAAAACAAATGTCGTTTTAATTTTTTATCAATGTAAATACACCGATTATGTATAAATTTTCTTCATATTTTAGCGAAAGGTTGTCCTGGACTAGCTCTCAAATTTCTCGTATTTATTAAATTCGTTTGTAATGTGTGGCTTCAGTGTGGTAAAGTATATAGAAGTGTATTGCTAACCTTTTTAACTGTTTTAAAATTTGATTAAAGTCTCACCTTTCGATTATAATTATTTGGCTCTTGATTCACACTTTTCAGAATCTGCTCGGTAAGTCAACGATAACTGACGTATGGGCGTGTTGAAAGTCAAGTCCTAGACAATAGATGTCTTTCTGTTAAAGGTTTGATCTTCTGAAAGCTAGAAGGTCGTTTGGGATATATACAAAGTATGGCTGTTTCTACTGAGATATGTAGAAATCAAGCTGTTCATCTAAAAAGCAGGATTTGATTCATCAGCCCCTTCTAGGGAAAGATACAAGTTCATAACCACTACAAGCAGCGTTTTCTAGAAATGATGGAAATTTTTTTCCCTTTTCATGTAACCTGTTATAATAATAATAAAACGAATATTTATACAGGATAAACACTTCAACAATAAGAACATCGCTGTTATCACTGTGTGTCCTGTAAAAATACTATTGCTTTTATGAAAACAGTATATGATATTCTTACATTGACGATCTAGTTTGGCTAGATAGGAGTAAGCCAATGTATTTCTGCTGCACGCTACGCTGATTCACAGAGCTTCAATCAAGGGGAGGGGGGGGGCAATTCACGAAGATTAGAAGATTAAAGGAATTATGATGGCTACAAAAGGCAACTGGGCTTGATACATAGGATAGCAGGGCCGTGCTGTTTGTTTTTGCAGAGTTATGTTTTCCTATTCAGTTTTATGAATGGGTAAAAGAAGGGCAGCTGTGATGCATTTCTCATGCTAGCATGCGTCATAGACCAAAAAACTTCCGTGAAGTACACTTCTGTGACGCAGGATGAAATATTCTTCATCGCCTCCTCTCCGCATCGAGGCTCGCTGTGCATGCACAGCTCATTACGTATATTCTGTTACGTTTATTCGACCATTATTAAGTGAATCTTGTCTTCTGTCTCAAATTAAAATCTCTACGTTTTTTATAAGAACGCTTGGCTCTAGCTTCAGCCTGGCATTTCTTTTTCCAAAAATTTTAGCCTAACATGGATCTTGTTTTGATTTTCTTATTTCAAACTGAAATCGATAGTGTTTAACTGATTTTATTGTAATAAGCTTGTTTAATTGTTACTTCGTTGTTATTTTCCTTATCTATTTCTGTTGTTTTGTTGCTATTGCTTTATTTTTCAATTTTTGCTGGTTTTTTATTTCTTGATTTTTGTTGAATCTCAGCTTGCCTTGTTTCTTATGTTGTTTTTATGTTTGAGCAAATCTCAGCCTGATGTTTCCTATAAGGGTTGTTCTTATAAAAACCTGTACACTCTTGTATAAAAAGGGTTAACATCATTAAGTATTTTCAACATCATTAACAAGGGCATAAATCAAGATTTTTTAACGAACAGGAAATGCATCTTGCAATGTTTGTTATCAAATATCTAAACTATTTTGAACTGTAACCAAAATTGACGTTGCATCCCATCAAGGATTCATTACGTTACCTTGGAGGTAAGGGAAATGTACCCTTTTTAATGGCAGCTAATACAGAATGTCTTGTTTTGATAAGATTTACCAGAGGGAGTGTAACTGCTACAGGTTATAAACGGATTACCCAAAAAATCAGGACTGCATAATCCTTTCGAAGGGAATATAGCTGCAGGCAAGCCTTTATTTATAAAAATAACAGGACACTGGCCTGTTGTTTAAAAAATGGGAAATCACTGAGGCTGGAGGAACAATTTTTCATGGTAAGAATGTTAAAAAGAGGCCCTGCGGTAGATAAGCTGAATATTGCAATTGTAAACTTTAGCGTACTTAAAACATGTAAAAAGATCCTTTTTTTAATATCTTTACTTTTTCCTAATTTTACTTGGACATATCGTTATTGATGTTACCTTTTGGGGGTCCTAGGTGTAGCCTTTCAGGCCCACTATAAGGTTTCGCTTAATCTTCTGATCTGATATTTATAATAAGAATTGAATGCTAATTTTAACAATTATTATTTATTTACTTTTATTGCAATGATTATAATTAAAGGTTTGGTATAATTAGAATTTTCCTTTTTTTTAAATTTGTCTTTTACTTATCATTCAAAGTTTTAACAACCTCCCATCCACAAATAAGTGCCTCCTTGAATGAGCACCTCCTCCTAACATGTGTTCGAATTAATAAAAGCCCTGGGCGTTTAGTCGAGGTAAGCAGCAGGGTACCTAATTGAAATTTTTGCAATACAGTCACATGTTTTCATGACCCTGCCTTGCAAGCACCTGATACGAGTATATTTGTCTTTGGTTCCCTGTGAGTTGCAGTGGCATTGAGATTGCAAGTTGCAAGCGTTTTAACTTGATAGTAGTTTCATTAATGTGGAATCGTATCATTTTGCAGCTTCCTCACGTTCTTGCTGAACACTTTGATAAAGTCAGGTGCTTGAGAAGTAAAGAATCTTTTGTTTTGTGTGACCCTAATGACAACAATGGTGCTTGCACGACAAAAGAATAACAATCAATGACACGGACGAAATCGAAGCTGGCAAGGTGATATTAAGAGGTTTGTGCTCAAGATATCTTCATTAGTTCAGTATTTAACTTAAGTATTATTATTGGAAGTCTTGATGCTATAAAGACTTGATTAAAAGATGCTTTCTATTCGCCTTTACGCCATCAAGACCAATTGTCCTAACATAATTTAGGGAACGACAAGTGCAGGTGCCTTAATTTCCCTAGTGAGAAATCGTTGTTATTGCCAGCAACAGTCATAGGTTACTTCAAAAATATATCAGTGTAATTTACCTTTAGAACAGTGACAGTCTAGGTTGTCTTGGTAAACATGGTATTAAAGTTTACATAGGCGAATGCCTTTTTAATCAACAAACGTTTTAGTGCTGATACACAAATGCGCAGTTTTCTTCCTTGTCGCTAACGGGATTGTTATCTGCAGTATGTATTGCTGTAGGATTTTAAGGAAAGTGCAATAGCTCTAAATTTTCAATTAAACTTTTATGTCTTGATAAGGTATAACTGATAAGTCATTTGCACATTTTCAAATAGCTTGTACGCGCTTGATATCATATAAAGACAAATTGATTCACTAGAGGTGTCCGCACTACTGTTAAAGAAGCAAAAACTCTGTATTTCAAACCAGCCTTACTTAAATTATTTCACTGAATGCCCTCAAACTAAGCTTAGATTTGTTATACATTCGAGGTAGATATTATACATTCAAGCTTCACACAAGGTTAAAGATCTCCAAGATATCAAGATAACTCCCAAAATTCTTACTTTTTGGGCAAAATTTACCCTGATGTTTCTTATATGGGTTATTCTCAACAAAAGCATGAATGGTCCTCTGTTATAACAAATAATTATGTTGTGAAACTTCTGAAAAGCATTTTGGAACTTTTAACCAAATTAATGTCTATATATCCTGTTTGCTTATATTAGGAAAATTTCACTGTTCATTTTGTGGTAATGTTTCTGTAAATAAACCATACTTAAGATGATGCTTAGTAGGCATCAGGAAGGGCCCTAATAAGGTAACTTAATGGGTTTTGCTTATGATTATTTCAATAGGTTTGGAAATTTGGGTTTTGAGGTCCTGTCAGACATTAATGGATTCTGGTGTGCCTATTCTTGTTGCAGGTAATTTTGACTAACAAAAAAGACTTGCCTTGATGTAGTGATAAAAGAAACCTATTGACCTGATTTATCACGACATTGGCATTTAACATGTATTTGAATTCTTGCTATCGTTCACACTTTCTGGGAATTTGAAAGCCACATACTGTATTTTTTGAACTCTTAAAATGGTTGCTGCTTGAACTCCAAACATGGGTAAAAATCAATAGTGTTTGGTAGTTTTTTAAGGCTACCTTCTGATAAAAAACCTTTTCATAGATAACAATGAAAATATTGTGGGTACAGTATTTGTTGATCGTTATAGAGAGATAGAAGGCTCACATGTGACCTAGTAGAGTATGAGTTTGTTTACAGGAATTGCTGTATTTCAATTGCCAGTGCCAACAGGTTATGTTGTTTTAAGCTTATGTCAATCAATAGGCTGAATTTTAGTCTTAACTAGTGAATTTTAAATTATTCTGACCAATATGGATAATTTTAAACAAATATTATAACAGTCAAACCAAACATCTTAATCTTTTCAAATAGATTTGCTCTGGTCATACTTGTTTTCCTACCAAACTTATTTATGATAGTATCAATAGTTGTGGTGACCTGACAGATAAAGCTGCCATAATTTGCTGAATGGTTAAGAATGCCATAAATTAACTTTGCATCAGCAAAAAGCACAACATCCATATAGGTGTATAGGAATAATTATTAGTTATAATATTGATGTTACTGAATGGCTTAGGAGAATGACTTTGATAATCTCAAAAGAATCTAATGTTTACAACTGTTGCCAATTCTGTATACTAGGCTAAAGACCCATCACAGTTTATTGCAAATAGAGAATAATTTTGTAAGAAGATGTCTTCAGTATGTGTGAGCAGGGCTGTTGTAGGATCAATATTCATGGATCAGCAAAAAGTTTTGAATTTTCTGATCTAAATTCTTTGAAACCTGGAAAGAACATAGTTTATGTCTATTTGATGATGAGCTTCTCAAATTCCCAAAATTAAGATAAGTCCCCATGTCCCCTTGGCCACTGGCCCCCTCTGAATGATTTAATCAAAAGGGCAATTTGTTTCATCATCATTATGGTAGTTATGTAGTTTGCTAGAGCAAGGATAGAATGTGACAACTTGGGGAGTTTTAATTCACAGTCATTATGCTAATTAATTTTTAAGAGCAAGGTTTTGTGTGTTGGAGATTTGTGATAAGGCTCATTACCAAAGTGATAAAGATGCTTCCCAATAGTAATTTGTCAGCTATTGGAATATGTCCTTAAATTGTATCTCTTTAAAAGATAATAGATTCGATGTATAGACTGCATTTAAGAAAGTTATTTCAGGACAAAAAATCATGTGACTATATATATATTTCATAGCTTTAAAGACATATTGAATTCATATATAATTGGCTATAACTATGTTGTATATCACAGTGAGAACAAGTTGCCACCTGGAACCATCTTGCTCTCTTCTAGCCACCAAACCCAATACTCTGTATATATGGCATCTATTTAGCACTCTCTGATTGGTAAACAGTGATCATCATTGATTATGTCATAAAATATTTTTCTCATTGGTGATGCTTCAGCAGATACACACTCCTTTTTTGTGAAAAGGAGCCGCCATATATAAAACTTTATTTCCAATCGTCCCAGGTCATCCAAATTTAAGGTATTCCGTTCTCTTAACGCTTTTTACTTATTTAACCTGCTCAGATATTTCCTGGAGATAACTCAGACTTTCACTAAATCTTTCTGATTTTCAGTTGCGAATAGATTTTGCTTATTCAAGAAAAAATTCGTACTATGGATAAGTCGGACAATCTCTAAGCTAGGTCATTTCCTTTTTCCTCATTAAGGTCCGGCTTAACGGGTTTCAACTTTTATCGTATTTTGGCAAACAAGAGCATTTTGGCATACAAGAGATTTTGGCATTCAAGAGCATTTTGGAACATTATAACATTTTATATTTATGTTTTAGTTACACTTCGAAAATTGGGCTGATTTTAATTATCTTGGGGATGAAGTACCATTTAGATAACTACGATCTCAAAAGTAGGACGTTTGGAACCAAAAGTAGGGGGTTCTTGCAGAATTTGAAGCTAAAGATCAATATATTGCTTTAGTATGAAGACGATGAATAGGTTATCTTTTTAAACAACGGAAGTCAAATATCTGATCATTTCGATTTAAGTGTTAGACTTGTGATGAAATAGACAGCGAAGGCTTTAATTGATTTAAGCTACATTTGCGTAGTTCCTTCGTACTTCAATCTGTTTCTATCGACCCCGAGGTGGTATGCATTAAATTAAACTCTGCATTCGGATAAGTGCCAGGTCGGGTGGCTGGATTTTTGAATTAAACGCCAGGTCATGCAATTGAATCAATAAAGCAGGTGGGATAACCGATTTTTCTTTCTAATCGACTTGAGTTCACGATTCGTATGGTCTGGCCATTCCAATAACAGCCTGCGAAAGTAGCAAGACTGTATTTTTGTTTCTTCTGAAAGAGTTTCTCACATAAATGATGAACTCAAACTGTTTCTTTTTCTTTCATTTTTCATTGGCAGCTGTAAGGCGCTTGAAATGACACCAGATCGTCTTTACCAGAGTTTATAATTCAGGAAACTAACACCCATCTTCAAATGCTTTCCAAAATTCTCGCGGCCTTTCTATGTATTGTGTACGTCCAATGGTGTCATGAAAAATTCATATTTGTGTATAAAATGGCTTCAAAGAGAAGAGATCCACAATAGATGAAAACCAATTCACCATTTGTTTACTTCAATGCTTTGTAAACCTTGAGCATATGGCTAATGGAAATCATTCATGTGCTTTTCACGTTCTGAGCTACGTGACGTACAGCTTACTGGTCGTGGCTTTGTAAACCCAAAATTCAAGAGGACCAACTGTGGAAATTTTATGCTCATTTAATTTGATGAAGAAAGGCAAAATGCACAGAGGAAGAGCATATGCAACAGACATAATCAAACTGGACTTATTTGAGTTTGGAACGGATTCACTGAAAGTTACTTGAAAAAGAGAGTCACGAAAGAAATAAATATGCATATGGACGGACAGAATATTTTTGGTGGAAACATGACGGGGCCATAATCTCTTGCTGATTACATTGTTCAACGATAGACCCAGCATGCAGGCACACAGAAATGCCTTTTCAGTTTTCTCGTTAAGTTCGAATATCCTCTGGTTTAAGGTTGCATTCCATAAAAAGTGGCGTGGCAAACTCCTTAAAATCACTGGCAAAATATATGAGTGATGAAGAAAAGAAGATGATTATAGACGCTTTCATTCTTTCCCATGCCCGCGATATGGGTGCAGCGAAACAAACTTGTAAGAATACACGAAAGAGCTTTACAATTAGCATACTGGCATTGCACATGGTCTTACGAAGAAGGGAACTGCTCGCTCAACCCAAAAAACTACCGTCCACGTTCCATCTATTAGGTTCTTAGCTCTTGAAGGCTTTAGGGCTGTTTAGCCAAATTTCACTTTACACTAAAACGGCTAAGCAGCAACCTAAGAATTACAAACCCTCTCGAATTTGTCAATGGCGATAACTACCAATAATGGCATCAATGCGCTAAGTTTCCAAGCGACCGAAATTTGCCATTCCCTTTCCTCTGAAATGAAACTGCCCTCAAGTATCAAACTTTCAATTATTTGATCAAGAAGTCTTTTCTTGAAGGTGAATGTATTTCTTCATTCTGCAGCAATTAAGATTCTTGTGCAAGTTGCTTAATGTTGTTCTTGACTACCATGATCACCGTTGTCAGAACTAAGAGTAAAGATATCATTGTTCTTATACTTATTCGTATTGACAAGTGTCCTCAACTTCTCTCTTGCATCTTTTCTAGGATTTCTAGATTTGCTTTTCTAGAAAGAATGTTGCATATCCCTTTAGGTGCTTTCAAAATTATGATTTTGTTATGTAAATCGCATGAGTTTTACTAGTATGACGTCAGCCATACAGTCACAATTTTTTCAATTTCCGATTCATCTACAGCCATAATAGCTTGCTCTGGCAATCTATCTGTCTTACCCTCATTTCGTTTGCAGATATGTTCTTACAGACGGCCAGGTCATATTTCGAGATTGTACAGTTTGCAGATTGTAAACTTTTAAAACGACTGACTATCGTCACAATCACATCAACTTGTTAATTCTGATTTCGGTCAGACCCTCGGTTCTACACAAAAGCTCATCGAAGGCTGGAGTGTGCTATTAGCAAATTTTGTTCTCTTGTCTACCAGGAATGCAGCAGCACTCGTGTTGCTAGACGATATATAAAATGCGGCAGCATGTCATTGATTAAGACTTTCAAACTGCGAAGTAATCATTCTTGTGCCTCAGTGCTGTGTCATTGGTACTTTTCGTTTTATGTTCCTTTATTCGTTATGTTCCTCTGGCAGCCTCCTTCAAGAAGTGTGTCAAGTTCTTTTAATATTTTGGAATGAAGTGTGAAGGGCTTGTTTTGTTGATGGGGTTGGTGACTGAGGATGCATAGAAGGCTTTAATGTATGGAGTGCGGGTGTGGGGGTCTGTAAAGGAGTTTTATGAATAAGACATGTGAGTAGGGCTTGGCTACTCCATCGTGACGTTGTTCACATCCTTCTAATTTTCATGGAATGTTCGAAAATGCGCCTTAAATGTTGATAAGAACTACAGTGAACTTTTAGCCCGTATTCCCTTTCACCTAGACATCAGAAAACTATTTGTAAGCAGGCTATATAGATGATTAATTCAGCCTCAAGTCGCACTTCGCGAGATCACCCTCCTTGCTACAACTTGCTTCTATTATCTTATTATCTGGTATAATAATCATTTGTTATGAGATAAAACCATAGCTTTTGCGGTCACATGTTTCTAAAACAAAAAAACCATAGAACTCTGACATGCACAACAATTCAATAACGTTCAGGGTTTTGTTGAAAGTTTGTGACTTTTTAAATCTTTTTTATTGCTGAGGCTTGGCTCTATGCAATAGCTTTCAGAATTCCAGCTGTCAATATTTTTATTGATAAACAGCCACATTCGAAAATAAACTTTTGATGCTCTACAAATTGCTTAAGTTAATTACTATTGTTTTTTAATTTGTGATTGTTATTTCTATAAATTTGCTTTTTTGTGAAACAGCAAGAACAAAGCCAGATATTAGACAAAAACGTAAAAGGACTATTCTTGCCTCGATAACCGGCTCATCATAGGGTCCGTAGCTTCTGTGAAACAACCTGATTTGACAACAATTCGCGCATTAACGGGAACTTTTGATGTCCATGTGAATCCCAAAATCCCTTCAATTTTCCAGCTTAAAAGCCCTTGCCCAATCGGTGTTCTTTGCAATTTTCAAAGCCGGCCTAAAATCGCAGTGCATCAAAATAAAAGGTAAATCATAACTTGGGAGTTTCGTTTAGATAGCACTAACTATTGATTGGCATTCAAATTACATTGAAAAATATCGATAATTTTTAGGATAAAGGCATTGAGAAAAAGTATCTTAGTCTTTGTCTTGTTGGAGGAGAAGAAACAGTATTTGTTCGAAGGTCCGTTAGCTTTCAAAATTTTGCATGGATACACATAAATGCATGAATCAATGACGTTATTTTCTCATCGCAAATGTATTCTGTGGTAGAACAGCCGTGGCACTTATTTTAATAATCCAGTCTCAAACCAAAAGACAAAGAAAATGTAAGACAGGAGGGTTTCTTGAGAAGAATGAGAATGCAAAATCTGGTTTATATGATGCAATTATGATGTTAAATTGTTTTCATTATCGTTTCCACTAAATGCTGTGGAGCACTATGAGAAGGAAATTTCTTCTGCAAGCCTTCGCCGTAATGCGCATGTGCAATTTTCTCCTCGGTTCGGATAAATAGATAGAAAAATAGCCCTGAGTAATTGAAATTAGACTCGTCTCTCTAACATTTTTATGGTTTTGATTTGACTTGAAATTTCTCGGAAGCATTCAGGATTGGGATGAAATGGTTTCTATTGCGTAAAACCTAGAGCACATTCGCATATTTTCATAGGCGATGCCTGCAATTTCTCGTCTTGGGAGAATGTCGAGCGTACCGGATCTAATTTTCTACAATTAATTTTGTTTTAGCTGCAGATTTATGGCACTCGGAATATATTACGTATAGGAATACTGATAATTTAACCATTCTTTAGAAGAAGAAATGGGGACCTGCGAGGAAAGAATCCTCATAGGATAAAAAGTTTAAGGTACGTTTGTGGAATCAAATTAGAATGCAGCAAGGTACCCATAGCAATCTAGTTCAAGAACCGAACGCAGGGGCGTACATTTGATCAAATATTGGGGGGGGGGCAAGCCTATTGTTTTAATAAGATGATGTCACATTTCCCATTGTTTTAGAACAAAAGACCATTGTCCTCTAAAGTATTGGGGGCGTTTGCCCCCCTCGCCCCCCCCCCCCAAGTGTCCGCCACTGACCGAACGCAACATATACACAGGATTTTTCCTGCCATATTTTTAACAGCAGATCATATATTTTTTTCCTGAACCTCAGCCATCTCAATCAGGAAAATAATTGGTCTTTCTTGCTTTTTTGCGTCGTGCTGTTTTTTAGCCTCTAAAATTTCGAGGTCGCTGCCTTTTGCTGGTCAGCTCTTACAAAAAATCTCCGACGATCATGAAGATTCATTTCTTAGATCTTTAACGACGGAAACATCCCACATGTTTGAACTAAGAATCTGTTATTCATGACGAAAATGTTTGGTATTTTTTTACCGCACAAAGAAAATTTTAAAGCTCAATGTTAAATACGCTAGTATCACCGATAAAAAATCAGCAGTACGCGTTATGCATAATGCAATGCGTCATCTCTCCATCATATTGATTTTTCAAGAAAGCTGATTCTTTTGGTCGGTTTTGAGAAATGATCGGTTCGAAAAGCAGGGCTTCCATGTTATCTTAAGCTTATAATCTTGGATGTTGCAGCCTACCTTGCGTGGACGAAATTTAGAGCTTCATGAACCACTCTGCGGTGGCGGTCTTGTAGCGGTTCTGAATACTATGCCGCGGTTTAATTATTGACAGAATAATCAAGAGGGGCGGGTAGCAGCAGAGGTGAAACCCTAGGTCCTGGACCCCATGAAAAGTTTAATATCCGGATATAACAATTCATATCTGATAGTTGTTTCAAATTTTACCACTTTTGCTTAAAGGCAATCTGTCTCGTTGTGGATTGGTTAATGAGAACAATAGCTGGAACAATAGCCTAAACACGATTCCAGCGCTCCGCCATATTTTTTACAATGCGATAAATTAAAGGGGGACTGGAAACAATAAAAATCTCTTTGTTCTTATAACCAATCAACGTCGTGACAGATTGCCTTTAACTTGCTATTGACGGCCCTGAGCGTTTATGGTTATCACTCCAAAAGGCATGTTAAAAATTCCTTTTTTCTCATGTTTTGAAGAGCTTCCACGAACAGTTTGATTGTTCGTTTGAAGCTAACGTTTGTTTGTGAGCACTGCTCTTCCATCTTTTCTTTCTTCCCTACTATTTGCATACCTTTTTGAGAAAGACAGCTTTGCTTAGCGAAAACCTGTTTTGTGCCGCCCATAGATTGCTCACAGTATTTTCCTATCCTTTTTTGTTACACGCTACCCACTAAGTTGAAATTATTTCTACCGTTAGGTTATGCAATCTGCTTTACTTTTACCTTTGTTAGCCTGGTTAAACGAGTTCTTCTTCATTTAAACCAATTTCCAAAGGCGCGTTTGTTCGCATAGATTCTACTCGAAAAAATACTTCAACTTCTCCAAGATTAGGATATAAAGCTCTAACAAAACGATGACAGCAAATAAATCCCCCTTCCTCTAGAATTCAATCAACTTATCTTGCTCTCGCAATCTTTTCGTCCTTTTCGTCCTAGCTTCTTTTCGAACTCCTTCCCACTTCTTTCCACCCTCTCTCTGTCGGGGGTTCTGCCTAAATTACATGAAAATACTAATAATAGAATAAAAGTTGAGGGGGTTTCTAAGGGAGCTCTCACACCTCAATCCATCTGAAGTGTGGAGACTCCAACCCCGATTTTGCGGTCACTAGGGCCGAGTCCCCTTAGGTCCAAGACTTCGAACACGAGGAGCTAAGATGGCGATCTCCAATCAATGATACTAAGTTTCCAGTCTACTTGAGACATTAAGCCATTGTACGTGGATAATTCTTTATTTGGAAGCACACGTGTTTCGATCAGATAGAATACATTCGGGTTCGTTTGATATTCAATACAAACAGTGACTTAAGGTCACAGTTGCATAATCACGTGCTGCTTGCGTAACATATTATTCCTGCAAACTTAAATTCTATGAAAATATACACCACAGCAGTTTTCTAGCCTCCTTTTCCGCTGTTACCTTAGCCCTAGCGCACACCCATTTTCTCATTTTCATCGCTGTTACGCATTTATGCACTATATTACCAAGGGACGAACCACGCATTCCATAAGGACCCACCATCGACTGCTGTGCACACATTTCTGCATGCAGAATTGTAACCTCAAGTTGAATTCGGCATTGTTTATTATCTCGTTCCTTCACTTTGCTTGTTGTTTACTCGCATTCATAGATTTTACTAAGCATGGTACCCAGCTCAAATGGCAGTGTTTCTCCAAATCATCTGCGTTTAGTAGCTGACTTAATGTAACAGGTAATGAAAAAAGCATTGCAGGTGCTATATAAGTTGGTGTATCAGGGGGGTCACTCACCTGTTTCATGTCTCTCGACAACAAATAATCAATCATGTATTATTATCAACGGAAAATCGCAGTAAGGCACCAATTTTTGAGCGGAAGATGTCTTCATAAACGGTAATGTAATGGATTTGTTTACTGGCTATTCTTTGTTTGTTTGCTTTCCTCCTGATGACCTATGCTTGAAATATTGGGATTCCAGCCTCGTGTTTTAGGTTTAGGTGTATATTCAGGTCTTTTGAATCTCTGCATTATTTATCTGCCTTGATTTCCTTTTTCCCTTTAAAAAGAATTTCCTTCACAGATATAGTTCTTAGTAGCTTGCTGCTCGACTTTTATAAATGTCAATTACAGCAAATGATAACTGGAATGTTGGTTACAATGTTCGCCACTTTGAAAATGTCTTAAATCTCAGTTAATACCAAGACGACCGTTGTGTATCTGTCTCCTACCTTCTTCTTTGGGTGTAAGAAGATCTTAATGAACGCTAATGTTGCTACAGTAATGCCACGATATCAATCAAAAGATCTGCTTATGCTCGATCAAGCATCCTTGCATGTTAGATTAAACTACTTTCTCAGCAGCGACATCTTCGGGATTTTTAATCCTACAAGACTATGTTTGTAAGAAGATTTTGTGAGATGGATTTTTCAGATTTTCAAGCATTTTATCAACAACCCGCAATTACGATCGTATTAGAAAAAGTTGGTTTAAAAGTGCATTTTATCCTTTTTATGGCATGTCCACGATGATATACTAAGGAATCTTTGAACATAGCTTTCTAATGCCAAAACAAGCATATTTTTGTCAGTTATTTGAATCCAGCTCTATAAGGCTGGTGCCCTATCTATAACTTGTTTAGGTTGCTAGAATTTCATACGACATCTGTACTTTTATTATCGAGCAGCCTCGGCATATGATTTTGCGGCGTTTTTCGCAATAGTCCTTTTTCCTTTATCTAATAAATGCGGTGCGCAATTTTAGCGTTGATTTAAATTATGATTTGCAAGGAACCCACGAATATTCTCAAGGGTTTAGAGCATATAAAGAACAGCGTTCTTGCGAAAATTGCAGTAGGAATTGGTTGCACGAAGAAGAAGTAGGAGCTGAGCCCCCGCTAACCCCAAGTATTCACCCCTGGTGGCTCCTGATCTAATCTCGGAGCAAGTCAGCTCCGGTTGGCAAATGTGACGTAGTTATTTAACAGGTACTATTGAATAGCGTGCTTGATGGTTATTCTGTTCCCAATAGGTAACGTAGAATATCCCCAGGGACCATTGTTATCCCAAGTCTGTTTATCGTTTTGGATCTGAATTTTTAATACAGAAAAAGATCGCAACAACAGTATCCTTTACTTTATGTTTTGCTGTTTCTGATTGTAATCACAGATTTTTTGTGAAATTCCGTTGTCGGGTGTTGATAAAATGATTCAATATGATTAAGCTTAAAAATCATCGGGTGATTAGGAGTTGGTCAGGTCAAAACCAAACCAGGAGCTGTCAGATACTCAATCAAGTATTTTGTATTTTGTATTTGCTACGTAGCATCTGAAGGTAGTCATTAGGACACTGAAAAGCTGTGCTTATCGAGCAGTGTCCTGGTCCTTCCTCTCAATGTGACCATACCTCGTGATTCCTACACCTGGACTTACAGAGAGCTGGCGATTTTCCTCGCTGCAGCTGCAAGTTTGGTCATGCCAGAGGTTCGAGCCATGGACCCTAGGATCTGTAGTCAGCACCTCAAGCCACTGAGCTGTTCTCGCACCTCAAGTAGCAAAGTGATGACATCATGAAAATATATTTTCAGAATTTCAGATTTTGACCGAATAAGCAAAGTAGCAAGGTGAACTGTCTCAAAATGTGCAAAATCTGTTCATTCTATTACAGATTTCCTGAGGTTATGGCCAACGAAGGGCCCAATTTTTACTATTACAGTTGTTTAGACCTGGTTCATCAGGGCCTGATTATACAGTCGAGTCCCGCTATCCTGCTACACAAAAACGAAACTATTGTAGGACATCTACCAAAAGGAAGGACAGGCAGATCTGCAAAGACAATCTTATTTCTCAGGGCTGATAAATTTAGTTCCTGCGTGGCTGTGGTGAATGGCAATCGTGTAAACTTTTAAGATGGCAAAGGTATGCGAGTCCCTTGCAAGTTAATCATTGTCGGACAACCTGAGTTCATTTCAATTTTAAAAAATGAATTATCATTGCCATAATAATTGATAGCTGAAAATTTCCGTTACTTTTTTGAGATAACCGAGCTTCCTCTTTCATGGGTAAAAAGCTTCGTTCGAGATAGCGAATAGTTCGAGATAAGCGAGTTCGAGATAATGAGTTTTATTTCTATACCAATCCCTATAGGAAATCGATATAGAGAGTTTTTTGAGATAGCGGAGTTCGAGAGAGCGGCACACAGAGATATACTGGCTCTGTAAGCGGGTAAACTCACTTCCATCGTCTATAATATATCCGTTGTCAGTCGCTATTTCATTGAAGTGAGCCAGCCCGCTAAGCTAGATGAGCTAGCTCGCGAAACAGGCTGGCTTTTTATATACAAAAATAACAATAAATCTAGCCATTCGACTGGAACGGCTAAAGCAACCCAAATGCTTGGCATCTTGAAAAAATTCAAGACGAGCATTTGTTATTTTCTCAAAGATGATGCCACGCAATTCTCGATTCACCATTCCCATCTCGTTGCATGCAATGCACAGACCTGTGATGCAAAAACGCTTACATCTGACATGGTCCGCTTGCCGAGACAGCTCTTTTCACATAGAATATAAGCCTGAATTCTACCTCGGCAAACGAGCCAGCCTGTCTACCAGGCCAGCCTGCTTCCATGTAACCAAATAACTATAGTTGAATGGCAAACGGGTTTGGGCTCGTGGCTCTGACAATACCTCGTGCAATCTGTGACAGATGTAACCGGTTTTGCACGTTTAGGGGTATTTCATGGTATGATTGCAGGCTATAGAGACAAAATTGACAGGTTTTTACGACATCATCACTTTCATTTAACTCGAAACTGAAACTTAAGCAATTAAAAGTTTTGAATAGCCCCGATCTGCAAAGTTGTGTTTTTTTGACAAACAATACCAGCACAATGTCGATATTGAAGTTGCTAGTCAAGACAAGTTGGTCGCCTTTCGATTAGACAATATTTGGATGAGATGAATATATTTTGTAAATGTTCTACTCAATATTAAGAAAAGCTGGCTATCACACGACTTTCGATCGTAAATGAAGTTATGAAAAGTACAAGCTAAATTCAGCTATTGCACCCTGACCTCGCCTTCATTGCATTATTTATTTAGAAATGTTTTTGAATCTTGCCTGATTGGCTAGACGAATATAAACATTTTTCTTGACTCTGGTTTAGAAGTAAAAGCTGCATGCAACAGATTTATTGCCGAGCAGATTTCATAACTCAATTACATTTTTTGCGCTTTCAATTTTAACCACACAAGCATTTTTCGCTTTTAATGAAATCTTCACAGAGCACATTATCCGAATTAACGTTGGATTCGCCACATTGAAGCCACGACACCAAAATCGCAAGCCCTTTTATTTAATTTGCGATATCTTATGAATCCTCGATCTTCTTTTAATTTCTGACAATTCCTCTAAACTTGCTAAAGGACTATTCTCTTCTTATTCTTTCACCTCAAAACTCCTCTTTTGCTTTGCTCAAGCTTGAATTATTATGACTTGATTGTACTTTCCTTTTTTTGGAGGTTTGGTCCTATGTAACTAAACGAAATCCTTTTTCCTACTTGTATCCTCATCAATCTGTTTCATTATAGACCGGATCCGGGCATCCTACGGCCCGCGGGCCACACCCTACGCGTACCTATCCGGCCCGCGCAAGTGTATGTCAATCAGAACGTGAACTTTTCTAGGAGTATTTCTCACTTGATCTACACCACAATTTCATATATTTACATACCTATCTACGTAATATCTAGATCTTTCAGATAACAGGTACCAGCTAAACAAAGGTATAACTTGTTGCGCTTTACATTGGGAGAAAACGAATATGGTGCAGAAGAAAGTTATCGTTAGTTCGGTCCCTTAGAAAAATTTATTACCCACTCCTGTTATAGACCATATGAAAATTCGCGACACAATGATGGAATTCTATTGTTCTATAGCTGGTTCGAGTCCCTCAGTTGGGGCAAACCAGCAGCCAGTTTCTGGAAGCCAGTTTCTGGAAGCCAGTTTCTCATATTTGTTTTCCAGCCGATAGCGATTGATTGTTACACCCCTGTTCTTAGTGCAAATTGCATTGTTACTAGATGCACAGATGGAAACGTAATAAACTGATTTGTTTTTTTCAGGTGAAATTACATAGTGAATAAAGGTTTGCCATTATGACAGCGGGGAGGAAAGCTTCTTGCGAATCAGACTGTTTGTCGATTGGCGAATTCGATCACGATTCAATAATTTACCCGGATGACAATACGAAATGCGGCTGGAACAAATGCAAACCAGACTCACTGCAGAAGCTTAACACGCCGAAATGGTTTTTATTCTTTCTAGTCTGTTATTCTGCTGCTCAAGGTACGATGAAGCCTTAATACGATAGACTTACAAGTATATTTGTCAAGTGAATTTTTTTTAAACAACAGTAGATTGCGGCCGTCGGCGACCAGTGTTCCCATTAAAGTTTCCATTGAACGGGAGAATTGTAGGAATCGGGAAAGTTGAACTCAAATCAACTCTCTCGACCCTTGCGATTCACAGTCGGCGCAGTCGTAAAGATCACAAGAAACGTGTTCCTATTAAAGTCGGGAAACCAACACAAACTGTCGCAGACCTTATAGGAACCAAGCTTAAAGAAGGCTCCGGTGACACGTTCCTAACGATTTTATGCGGGCCAGCCTTAAACTACATCTAACTTCCTTTCGGGTTATGATTCTCTGTAATTTTCTTAATGCACTGAGAGCCCCTTACCTAATACACTGATTTAATAAACTGACGATATTTTGTTTTGGAAGTTCCAATCAAGATTATTTTCTCTGTGATTACATTTCTTGAGGTAAAGTGTTGCTTCACTCTAGATTTGATTATAGTAACACAGTCAGCTGCATTTATTTTGTGATTGCGATTAGTTCTTTGGCATCTAGTTTCGATTACGAGTTTTGGCATAAGTTATGTAATCGAAAGTAAAACTTAATTATGGCTACATAACAAATATTTTGCCTGTATGGCTTATTTTGCCTCTAAGGTCGTTTGCGACTGAAATAAGTTGTTGGGCTTTGTTAATGATGGTTGTTGTCCCTGCTGCATCTAATCCCATGCCATTTGCTGCCATGCAGATATTGTTTACATACATTCAGGAAATAGGTGATGTTAAAATGATGTAAACATTAAGCAATTCACATAACCTCGGCTGTGTAGAATATCTTCTTACTCCTAACGCCTACCTTTTTAAGAAGTGTATTTGAAACGCCATAATATGCAACTATGTAATCCAATTATTTCGAAGACCTCGTGTTCATTGGCTTGTTGTGACTACAGGCATTACATAGGCAGCATCAAAACACGGCTATACGCGCATTTTGAATATCTAGAAATCATAACAGATTATAATTGTTTATTGCAAGACTCAATCTTATAATATTCTCTGCCTACGCGGAGCAAATAATTTTCTTTTATAAACGAATTTCAACCGATCAGCCAGCGCAAACTTAACTGATTCAATATCAAACCGAATAATCATTTACTAGAGAGGACAGATTACATAAATAATTCAATCACGTTTGGCCTAAATTATTCTATCAGCCGCGCTGTTAAAACAATTTCAATGTCTATGCTGTACCCCCTGGCATTTGCTCTGCTGCCAATCTTGACCAAATAGCTCACGATATCTTGTATCTCTGACCTCTGGAGAATATTTGCCATTATGCAGGCATATGGCACATAAACACATGCAAAAACAATCTAAAATCCAAATTCAAATTTTCAAGGGTGCGTTATGGAGTCCTGGTCCATTATTACAGCTCAAAACCTTCTAACAATAAACAAAAGCAAAATTATTCATTGTTTTATTTTGTTTTATTGCCATTTATGGACGTAATAGAACGTTTCTTATAATCGCCAAGATATCTGTCCTTACTTACTAATCTACACATCCTCAAGTCCGTGTTTCTTACCTTATCTTTTGTATTTCAGGCATGATTGTACAAGGCTTCACAAATGTAGGTCTATCTACATTGGAGAAGCAGTTTAAACTGAGTAGCAAAGAGTCCGGTACAATTGTAGCAGCAAAGGAGATATCATCCCTATTGTTAATAGCTTTTTTGAGTTATTATGGAAGTTTCGGACACAAGCCGAAGTATTTGGCTGTCGGTGCTCTTGTTACGGCTTTGGGTAGCTTGTTGTACGTACTTCCCCATTTGCTTATAGGAAAGTACATTCCAGATAAAGACATTAGTATTTTTAAGAACAGGGACGTTTGTCTTGCATTATCATCAGTAAACAGCACATTAGAAACGGCACGATGCCATGTTTTGGGACAATCAGAATGGTACTATATGTTTACGTTCATTTCTGCTAAACTGCTTCTAGGAGCCGGCACTGCTCCACTTTTTACACTAGGTGCCGCGTACATCGATGAAAATGTCAAGCCAAAGGTTGCCCCGATATATCTTGGTATTTGGTATGCTACGATATTTTTCGGACCAGGAATTGGGTTTGTAGCTGGAGGATCCTTGCTGGACGTTTACGTGGACCTCATTCAGGTAAGTGGTATTGGTTGATATTTTAATATAGATTAAAGTCACTGATATCATAAATCTCTCTGAAAATTGGCAGTCAAGTATAGTTATCAATGACAAAATGCCTACAGTTGTCATTAAGTAACGAAGCTTTTGACAATGCTTCACAGTATGCGCTAAACCTTTGTTTTCGGGATATAAAAGTCCAGTGATTGGTCAAATGAAAACCAACCAGGAGTCCTTTTTTCGATTATCCCATTTTGATCACCATGTTGGTAGCTAATTTAGATCCCTAAGGTCGTCTTCCAATGTTTTTTGCCGGGGTTGCACCGAAAATTGGATGTGGAACTCTCAAAAAATACAGCATTATTAGTCATATCGTTAATATTGTTAAGTGTTGGGAAGGAGGAATCAAAGTATATCTTTTAAGCAAGTTCTAGCGTTGTCAAAAGACTTTTTAGCTCTCTCTTAAAAAAAGAGCATTTAATTTATTAGAAGCATTTCTTTTTTCTTTTCTCAACAGCCTGTGGGTCTCAATCTTAGTCCGGACGACCCTAGATGGATCGGCGCCTGGTGGTTGGGTCATTTTTGTGGAGGCCTGTTGATTTTTGTCACCTCTTGCGCCCTGTTTGCTTATCCTCGGCATATGCCTGGAGCCAGGGCCTTGCGAGAAAGAGCTATTCGTGAAGGGAAAATCCGACCAGAAGATGCAAGGATCCGCGGAAAGCTGAGAGAAATGGCACCCGCAACCTTGAGTTTGTTGAGGAACCCGACCTACATGTTTAACACCCTGGCAATGGCTTGCTGCACTAACATTGCGACCGGACTCGGACCTTTCATTGTTAAGTACTTGCAGTCGCATTTCGGTGCTTCCAACTCGAAAGCTGGTATTTCAGTTGGCATAACATTGATACCGGGTACTGCAGGTGGCATTTTTATTGGAAGTGTTCTTATGAAGCGGCTAGAAGGCCGAGACTCGTGTCAGATCGCTGCCAAATATTGCTTTGTTTTCCAGTTATTTGCCGTCGGGAGCGTTGCTTCATTTTTGATTCCTGGATGTGAACCGCCAAGACTTGCAGGGATTCACCAGCCCTACTTTGGAAGGTAAGTCGAGGAAGGGTTTGAACCACATTTAGATAGAGGCTAGCCTCAATCTCTCCACTCTCCACTCTCCACTCTCCGCTCTCCGCTCTTTGCTGAAACACCCATGCTAAAACATTTCAGGGAGCCTTTGCTTGCCTTAGCAAAGATCCCAAAATATTTCAGACTTGACAGTTGCGAAGAGAAAAAGAAGCACAAGGGGTTCAAAAGGGTTGCTGCCTATAAATGGCCCTGAACAAGGAGGGCAGACACTCTTTTGACATTGCATAGATTTTTAGGAACATATGCCATTTTTACACTTCCACCCTTGGTTTTGGTGCCTTCGAGAACCGACCAATTCAAATTTACACGAAACAAAAGTTTCATTAGAAATGCTATCATGATGTTTGAAGCATCTGATGCCGACCCAGATCAAATTGCTTGTTTTTGACCGAGACTGTAACTGTCAAGAGTGGAATTATGTGATTAAATCCTGTGATGTGCAATACGGGAGGCGAATTCATCGTAAAACGCTTGTTTCTTTATTCGAGGCAGGTGAAAATATTGTCAGTAGCCTTGTTCTATGTTTAATTCAATCAGTAGCTTCCCATGTCATCATGTTATTAATTTTCCAACATAACCGAAATTATAACGATTCTGGTGAACTGCATAGTTAACACCAGTAGAAAATTGACTTTCTTGCAATCAGATTTCAAAGTCTCATGCATTTATCAGCGTTTTGTTAACTGACAGCGACGTTTCAGCCAAATTTTATTAAACAAATCTCTCTTCTATATTACACATTTTCAGCCACCTTGGGAAATTGATATTTTATTCGTTTCGACCATGTTATCTATTATACAATATGTACTTTAAGGGAAAGTTTCATCTATTCTGTTTCATATCATTAGTTGTAATTTAAATTGTTTGTACTTATTAAGATGCATTATATATAATTAATGCTTTTCTGCTTGAAAGATTTCCAAGCAAAACCAACATAAAATGAAACAAGTTATCAAGGTTGAGAAATGTCACAGAAAAGCACTTTGGAAGTTTTTCTGATTAAGTCGACTTTTATCAAATTCATATTCTCAACACGCAATTGAGTCTTTTTGAGCAATGATGAAACTTTAATGACTGTAGAGAAATATTAAATTGACGTTGATAGATTTATTTCTCAGCAAAATGGTTTAATTTTTGACCGTTTTAGTGATCAGATTGGAAACCTGACGTCATCATGCAATGCCAGATGCTCTTGTGATGCGGTGCAGTTTTCACCTGTTTGTGGAGTCGACAAACTGTCTTACTTTGCACCATGCCACGCTGGCTGCCACGCGAAACGGGACATTCATGTGAGTTTAAAATTATCTATGATATAATAATATAATATAATATAATATAATATAACATATAACATAACATAACATAACATAACATAACATAACATAACATAACATAACATAACATAACATAACATAACATAACATAACATAACATAACATAACATAACATACATAACATACATAACATAACATAACATAACATAACATAACATAACATAACATAACATAACATAACATAACATAACATAACATAACATAACATAACATAACATAACAAACATAATGTCCTGAAAGCACGAAACACTTCTACACATTCATCAGATCTTAATTGCTTTAACTTGTTTCTGTCAAGTTATATTTTCAAAATTGCCGATAAAAGCCAGATAAATTGAAAAATGTTTTCTTTAAAAACAAATAAGATTAAGTCAGATAACAGTAAAATTGTTTGAAACGATTGAAACCACTCTGTGTTTAGTGGAAAAAATTATGGTTAGAGTAGTTGTTTAAATTTTGCGTTAGAATCGATTCGGCTAGTAAGAAACTAAAATTGAATACATTAGATGAAAAATAAGCACATGGCTTTTGTCACTATTAGCAAACTTAAAACGTCAGTAATTTTGACGTGGCACAGCTTAATTCTCGCTTCTAGTAAACAATTTTTTCTATGCGATCTTCAATGCAACTCGTAATTGAATGATATCCGTACTCTATTCCTGAGTGTATCTAAGTGCATTGGAAAGTATTTTGGACAAAGAAAGTTCTGGGAAGAAAATAACTTTATAATCTCTCGTAGAACCATGTTAGCATTCTTTATGAAAGGAGAACGCTAGTTGAATGCAAACGTTTAAAGCATGGATGTGGTGGTTGAGTTAAAATGTAACTTTTGTCTCTGTGATGCATTGCCGGCTAAGTTTTCTTTGGGAGAGCTTTTCCCCTCCCAGCATCTTGTAGGAGTCAAGAGAAAAATTTACGTTTCACAAAATCACTGGTTGTGGGTAAATTTGTTTCCGAAATTATGAATGGGTATTTGTCTTGACAGTCAAAAGTTGATTGAAATAGAGAAAAGTTATATTGAAAGTATACATTTCACTGTTAGTGTTGTTTTCCCTGAATAAGTCATCCTGTTTCTAAACCCTCTGTTTCTGATATATCAACTGTGATAAATTTTTGCTGTATTCTATCGTCTTATGTCTTTGAAAAAAAGTTGGTAATTTGTTTGTTTGCTTGCAGGGTTACACTGATTGCGACTGCATAAATCCAAAACTGAATGCAACACGAATTTCTGTCAATGAGCAAGCGACGTCAAAAATGCCCCAAATTAGCGTCCAAGTTGTTCCCGGTTTGTGTGACAGAGAGTGCAGAAGCATGATTCCGTTTCTGGTTGGCGCCCTTCTGATATTACTGTTGAGCTTCATTAGTGCTATACCGAGCAAAATGGTTGTAATGAGGTGAGAGAATTTGGACCCTTGTATGTTACGAACAAACATATGTAGAGTAAAGCATGGAATGCTTTGGATTTTAAACTACCACATGGGGCTTTCCTGGTGAATGATGAAATTACAAGATTTATTATTCGAATGTTGATAAATTTTCAGTTTTCAGGAATGAGCTTTCTTTTCTGAAAGTGAAAAAACAGTATTTATTTGAAACCAAATGCAAAAAGGTACCTTCAAGTTTTTTAAACTTTCAACTTTTTTAGTCTTTCTGGTCTTTAGTTGGAGTCTTCAAGGGATTTTGGCTCTCGCGTTGTGTCCGATAGCCCAAATACCGTAAATCCTCGAATTACCAAGAGAGGGGGGGGGGCTTAAAAAATTATTACGAGGGGGGGGCTTATAAAATTATTGTAGACAATAAGAAGACAATATAGAAATACCTTGTTTATTTTGGTAGGAATTTCTTTATGAGCATTTAATTAATTACTACCAAAAGTACGAATTTGTCGTGGTAATTCAATAAAACGCCATAGGCAACCTCAGATGGCAAAAACCGTCAAATTGAGGGGTCCAATTCGAGAATATACGGTAGCAGTGGGGGCTTATTCGAGGGGGAGGGCTTATTGACAGTTTGTAGTTTTAGAGTGGGGGCTTATTCGAGGGGGGGCTTTTTCGAGGGGGGGGGGCAATTCGAGGATTTACGGTAATGGAATGCCTATGTCTAAAAAAATTCACAAAACTGACTTTGAATTAGTGCCAAACTGTGCCATTCTTTCCGCAGATGTGTTCCTGATAATGAGAGAGCCTACGCCCTTGGGCTACAGTGGATATTTCTGAGTCTGCTTGGCTCACTGCCTGGGCCCGTGTTGTTTGGGCTTTTCATTGACAAATCATGTGATCTATGGGAGAAAACATGTTCTGGGACTGGCAACTGTCTCCAATACAACAATATTAAGCTAAGCTACATGTTGTTTGGCGCAACTTGCTTGTTTCAAGGTAGGTCCTTTACGTCACTTATGGCACTTTGCTCAATTCATTGTAACGATCCACTCCTTTTGTTTTATTTTTTCTAACATTCTGTTTGAAAACAATTTGACTGAGAGGAAGAATTTCACTTTCGCTTACTGTCATTGTTACTAACATCCATAGACTCGCAATTCAACGCAAAAGCTCCCTTTTCAAGATAATTATAAAGATTTTGCTGTTTCTTTTGCATCTAGTGCTCTCAGCTGTCTTTTATTTGCTGTCGTGGAAGCTCTACAAGCCACTACCGAATTCAATAAAGCTGCTGGATGATCCTAAACAAGAAGACGAAGATGGCAGAAACTCAGTCACCGTCTCAAACATAACAGAAGGTACCGTTGTTGAAGATATTGACAATAATAGCTATTTCCCCAACGCAATTTCGATGGTCCAATCGGGGCTGATCAACTCAAAACCGGTCTTTATTTATGAATCCGCTATTTAGGATTATGACGAAGTTTTGAAAAACTTTGAGTTCTTGCACTGGGGCTTAATGTTCACACCCTGAAATACGCTGTTAGGTTCAGATGGATTCTTCAAAAAATATGCTGCTTTTATTGTAAATTTGATAAACGCAAAGCTCATGAAAAACATTTGCAGCATTCGAATATCCATCTTTCCCCCTCTTCATGTCTCCATTTTAAGTCGAATTTTGCAAATGACCAGCCGTTGCTAGGGCTCCGACGACGAGGGACCAGGATTTGGAGGCTTGCCTTATTCAAAATATTAATCCCTGGCCGTCGCAAAATCATCGTGAGTCCAAGATTATATAGACATATTCAACTTGTATCCCTCTCAACAAGTACCGTAAAAGAAAACGGAAAACTGAAGAATAATTTACACTTCCCTCACTCACACCCACTCATGTCCTGTTTCGTTGGAATCCGTGACCGTTTCAGACAGATTCAAGCCTTTACCCCTCTCAACATAAACCCTAGAATCATACCACTTTTGAACTACCGTTTAAGTGTCTTCCTGGCTGAGAGAGGGTTGTTGCTTTCCAAATTGTAATTCGTGGGTGTTGGATTCGCAAATTCAACTACTTTATTTACCTGCTCACTGTGAGTCAGGTTTGCTACTATGATGCTGACGCAAGGCGCCAACGCAGTAGCTGCTTTTTTTGTTTTATGCTTGTCATAGGTAGCCATGATAAGATTTGTAATGCTCCTATTCGGGTGTAAACAGACGCTCGAATCAAATTAATTAAAATATAAGTTGAATCAAATGCGTAGTGTATTTAAGGCTCAATGTGTATGCTTATATGTATCGAGGATTTAGATATTGATAGGGTTTGTTTTGTTGTTTGGTTGTTTGGTCACTAGTTTGGGAGAGTGGCTGCCGTCCAGCTAAACGAGAATATGCTATGTAATGAAAGAAACGATTTTTATGAAACTAGAACTAAACGTATTGCAACATAAGGCCTGCCTGAACGCGTATTTGGTTTGCTTTCATTAAACTGGAGGGTTGGTGGAAATAATGTTTGCTCCAATGAAAAACAATAGACGATATCAAAATGCTTTCCTGGAGTGTCACAAGCGAACGTTGTATCACGTGGTGCCAGTCCTGTGCTGTAGGTCATCGATTTGCCCCAGGAACTCATCATAGTGCTTGCATTTCTAAGCAAATATTTTAGATTTCCTCATAATCTGGGTGATTTACTGGCTGGAGTTACCACAAATAACCCAGATTTGCTCCTCTATTGTTGCATTCAGCCTTAATCTTCATTTCGGCTAGTATTTCAATAACAAGCATTCACAGAATTCCCCTAATCAACCGATAAAATGTCATCTACCTTTCGTCGGTGAGATGTCTAGAGCATCATAATAATTCTGTGTAAATCGAAGCACTACCGAGCTGTCTTTGGAGCTGGCCTCCATCACAACTCGGTGCCAGTGCAGACAATCGTTGGCATTTGCTGGGATCAAATGTGTCTATTGATATTTTGCCTCAAGGGAGGACTCTGAGGTAGAGAACACTAAAAAATGATGATCTGTAGAAATTAGAGGCAAAGTGGGCTAGTTACCCTTTGTCTACCCCCAGCTCTTTAGAAAGAGAATCATATTCTAATGGATTGAAAAATATTCTATATAGTGACCCGCTAGCAAATAATTAGGGTTAAAGCCCCCAATAACCCCTCCCCGTTGATGACACCCACGCGTCTCAGGCCTTATGTCGATTATAGCATCCGACCGTCGTTTTAAATGACAAGACTACCGTTTTACGGAATTTGTTTGCAACGTGATTTGTAGAAAATCAGATTCATTACTTAGTTGTAGGTATCACTGATACAGTGTCGCCATAGCTGCTGCATATTTTCTTTTTGTATATAATTTCAACCGTCCTATGTAACTAGGCGTTAAAAAAAGATTTTGTGTTCTTTTCGTACTGTAGAAAACCTGAGTTTGAATTTTACAAATAGTTCCATAATAATTTTTTGTGAGCATTGTATATTATGTAAAGATTGAACTTCAGTTGAGAATACGATTTTGTTTCTATCTTTTTACGAGAAACCCAAGCTTTTAAATGTTATACTTTCAACTAGAAGCCTAAAGAAGCTGCATTGCAAGAACACTCCCCTCAATGAATTCTCTTGTAGTGAAAGAATTGTTTGAATTTGCTGCTTATCCACAAGTATTTACTTGTTTTTTAAATTACTTTCTACAAACCAGATGCCCAGCTATTATACCCTGCATTCAACGCAGAGAAAAAGAAGAATACAAAATTCTTTATGAACAAGTTATTAATTTACAATACTTTCTATTTTCTTGAAGTAATATATTATAAATTTAATGTACCCGCATGAAAAAAGCTTCCTACGAAAAAAAGGGGCAGATCGTTGGAGATACAGGTACGAGAAACATTGTTTATGGATGAAATTACGGAGGGTTTTCATATTTGGAATTTAGTTGCATGGGAAATATGCTCTAATTTGAAAATGGCTAGTTATGTAATTTGCATTAAATTGATTCGCTTTAGAGGTACGGCTTCAAGATTTCTAATGTATAAATAAAATCTATTTCTATCCAATTTTTCTTCGCAAATGAGCTGTCGTCATGTCAGCATAGTGTCACAGATCTTCAAAGTCTGTATCAAGGTCGGTTGTCGTTCCGTGAAGAGATGAAACTGTTAAAACAAGCAATAAACAAAGGTTGTATAAACAGATTGAAGGTGAAAGTATAAGAATAAGTTACTGGATTTGTATCAAGAACCAAAGTAAGATACAAATGGGGAAAATGGGAGATACTAAGGGATGACCTTTGCATAAACATTATCTTTTCCTTGGAATTTTCAGTTATTGAAATCAGTCATGAAATCCATGTTTTATGTACAAAGAATGAGTACATGTTCTAGTTCTTTCACATAGTTAATTGAACTAATTTTCACCATTTAAACGGCAAAGAGATCTACAATAAAGGATAAAACTGAAAATATTATATGAACCTACATGATAGTATTGTGTGTCATGTGAAGACAAGAAGTTATAGAGATAACTAAGAAAAAGCTGCTTATTCTATCAATAGTTTCAAAATAATATCAAGAAGTCTTGTAATAAAATTTTCGTTATTTTAAAAGAAACATACCCTCAGAACCAAAATCTAGTAGTGTATGAATCAGCGAATCTGTCTTGTTGGTATTGCTAACATCTGGGGTATCAAAATTTTTTTCTGAGGTACCACAATTATTTCTGTTTTCATCTATTATTTCTGCTACTTCGTCCTCCTCTTTCATGGGTTCGCAGTTATTAACCTCGCTTTCAAATAGCTTTGTTCGTTTTGACTGCGAGGTTAACGGCTTTAATATCGGCAAAGTTCTTGTTTGTTTAACCTTTTCTTTGAGGTCTAAGAGTTTGACTATCGATTTTGCTTTTTGTACTGATTTGTCCCATTTATCTTTATATTCTGTTTTACTCTTTACAAAACTTTTTTTTACAAACGTATACTCTTTTCCTTCTTCTGGTAGGCCATATGCATAGCGATCGACCTCTGGTGTGTCAAGGGCTGCAACTGACACATAGGTGCTACTAACCCGCTTCTTCTTTTCACTCCAGAATTTCTTCCTTACATTTTTTAGCTCGTTCATATTACTAATATTTCTGTCATACCTTTCTTTCGACTGCTGTTCAGATTCACACATTTGTCTTTTTACTTGAGACCTATGTTTGTCTTCTATAGTTTTTCAATCTGTTTCTTTCTCTGTTTATGAAACGCGGTGTTCTTGTCAATGTAAATGCTGGAAGCTTTCTTCATTCTTGCAAGTGACGAATCGCTTAGTAAAAATACTTTGTTCTTCGCAGGCCGTCTTTCAGTTAATGCAGAATCCATATGGAAACTTAAATGAACAGTCTTTAGGCTTCCAGAACTTCGGGTTGAAGTCTCAGTGCTTATGTCACTATTTTTTTCATCTAACCAGCCGTTGTTATGACGAACTTCCGGATCGCTGTATGTTTTTCTATTGAAAATGTTTTTAACAGCAGCAAAACGAAAGCTACGCTCTTTTGCTCCGTCGTTGACAAATGACGTCCCATTCCATGGACTTCTTTTTTGAATCAAACCTTGGTCGGCTGTTGACACTGCAAATATTTTAGAGAACAAATTTAAAAGCATGACGTAGATTCTTCGTATCGTAGAAATATCTTCTACTGCCAAAGTCTTGGATCACTAACGTCATTTAAAGGTAGTCATTAGTCCTGTTGGCTTTGAAGCAATTTTCGCTTCCTTAAAAAATGTCCAACTGGGTTAAGAACTAAACTTTTCGTGTGACTTTTGTGATATTTTTCTATATTTTTATGGGGGAGCAGAGATAATAATATTTGAAGAAGAAATGGAAAGTAAGATCGAAGCTGGAGCTTTTGTATGTTCTGAGGGATTTTGGGAACCAGTTTAATGAATTCTCACAATGAAATACTCAACCTCGTGTACCCCATGGGTTTGAGTTGTCAAGGAATAACTCACATTTGCAATAATAAGATTATAAGAACGCATTAAATTTCCAACAAAAGCACACAAGACAAGGCTGAATTTCTAAACTTCAACCGACACCCGTAAATCCTTTTGAACACGATCGAGATAAGAAACAGTAGCCAGTTGCGTTGCTATCCGCAATTATTATTTAGAAGGAAATCTGGCTTTCCTTAGCCAAGACAAGGTTGAAAGGAATATGAAAATATACCCGATTGTTTTGAAACAACCGTATTCTTTTGACCATGGTTTATCGAAATGAAAGAAGAAAACCACATAAGTAGTGAGGAATAATTGAGTTATAGCGCAAAATATACTCACGCCCGGCTGCCTGGTGAAATGTTCGTCTTGTTGCTGGAGAATTAAACATCATTGCATTTTTGCGTGTTTCTCGCGAGTTTCTATTTCCTTCGGCAGAAATCCCAAACGAGCCATTTGTAGTGAAGGTACTGACAGGCAAAAATGATTTATATGATTTTACAGGGCTTTGCTCTCTCGACTGCACTCTGGAATGATAAATAACAGTTTAGATCAGCTCTGGCTGTTGTTTTGTTGCTCAACTGTAAACTAAAGTTAACTATTTTGGGTACATAACGGCCGTTTTCATCAACAAATGACGACATTTAGAGCCCAGTCCCCTTCACGCTCAGTAACATCAATATGTTTCACTTCAAAACAATTAAATTGTACAGAACCAAAAGTTAAATGCGAGAAACAAAATGTAAGAATCATATGAACTAGCAACTGCAGACTGGGAGTTTTGCTTTCTCGTATCATTTTAGGCAACTATCTACACGATCAACTGTTCGCTACATATTATCTTTGGAGCTTTTTTAATTGCTCTTTCGCGGTTCCTATTTTCTCATCTCTCAAGCAGACAAACTGTGCATTGAAAACCTCCATACAACAAAGATCTAGTTGACTTCACATTGAGTCTTCACATTGGTTTAAACCTGAACATGTTACAGCCTTGTAACGATATTAGGGGTGGGCACAAATTTTCAAAAACACGCCAGAAGTACCATAAAAAAGACAAGTTAAGTTACTTCTTGTCCAAATTTTCGAGTGCTCCGTGCCCTATTCTGTGCCACCATTTTGTTCTACTCCCGGTCAACACATCCTTTGGGCAATCTTTTGCTAAAAAATAGTTTCAGAATGTTTTGAAATTTGCAGCTGTTCTTGTTTCTGGGGATATTACAATCCGATAAAGCGTTACCAGTTTCGATTCCAGTGGTTACGGGTAGCCATTCTTATCTAATGAATGTATGCTACTTATTTGCCCAAAAGAACACCCTCAAGACATGCTAAAATCATCTTCTTATTTGTAACAGAATTCTTGCAAATGTTTTACATCCTCCTGATAAATAATTTAAAATGATTTTCAACGGTGACTCGATGCTTCACTATGCTAATGTCTAGGGTCTGTGCGACCTAATCAGGACCGTTGCTGACTTTTGTGCTGGGGTTGGGGGTGGGGGTGGAGGTGGTCCAGGTCCCATTGGCTGACAAATTGGACTAGCTATTATTTATAGACTATGCACCCCTAGATGGTAAAAAGTCATCGTTTGCAACGGATTTTTCTCAAGTATGTGTCATTTCTTTACCCCCCCCCCCTCTTGCGGTGACCCTGGCAGTAATGTCGATAATCTGAAGGTCTTGTTCACAAATGGGGATGGTACTTATTTCTTTCTCCTGCAAACCTACAAAACAGCGACATTCTGCAAAGTGGGCTCCTCGAAATTGATTCTTTTTTATGTTCTACTTGTTTTTCTAACGTTACCTTAGTCAAGTCAGATTAAGTGACAGTCCATGTCATTAACGTAGAAACCATGGCAAACAAACATCAGTTGCTAGGTTCTACGGAATCTGTTGTGAGTCTTTATAAATTTGACGCTTTCTCGGACAGGTATCCAGTCCTCTCTAAAAAACTAAAGCCAAGACTCCCCTAAAGAGGAATGTTTCTATAGACTCAAGCCTTGCCACGCCTTTGTTTTCATAAATGCACGAAAATAGTCTATGCTCACCAGGGCTGGAAGGACAATTTCCCTTCCAACCATCCTAGTCTATATTTTCAAAACCCCTGCTTTGTTACAATAACAAAGAAAAATCCTGCGTCACTAAGCCTCCTTTCAGTTAAAAGCATGTTAAAGCCGTTGATATCTTAAAAAAACTAAGGCTTGATTCAGTCTATTTAAATCCTAAACGTTGCTTGTTAAAAGTAGCCGCTTAGCTGGAGGGACTAGTATTGTGGAAACAGGGCCTAAATGATTAACATTATCACGCTGATTCTAGTTGATATCTTCAAGAAGCCATTTGATTAGCCTCGACTATCTCAGTTGCCTCGACTGAGATTATTCTAATAAGCAACCGAGGGCCGTTAGAAACGATAGGGAGGGTCTGGGCTGGTAGCTGCACCTCTGTAGCCCCAAAATACCTGCTTAACTGTATCATATTTCGTTCATAACAGAGCACCAAACAGGAACCAACCATATGCGACGAGGAACTAAATAGGCTGCCCTCCAAATATGAACTTCACACCGACGAATCTGCAAACTGCCTTCAAACACGCTCTGACGACCTTAACCTTAAAACAATCAGTCTGAAACTATCTGGTCGTTGGCACGATACCCAAAAAGATTGAAATATGTTTGTTTTCTTAAAGAAAAAGCATTTAATCGTTATCAAACCAATGACTGCTTTTTATCATAGTTCTAACGTTAAAAAAGAAGATGATAGCCAAGGCTGTATTATAAAAGTGTTTTACACGAGAAAGCTCTTAAAATCAATGGTTTATCTAATACTCACAACTTTATTCGGTCCCTAAATCAATATTTAACATCAATATTGGTTTTCAAACATTTTTATATTTTTCAATTTTGGAACTGTTGGTGTCTAGTTATGCAACAAAAATTTATCATTGCCTTAAGATAAATTAGGAATCGCGAATGGGAAAATTTTCATTTTGCATCAGTGAGTTCTGTTTTGTCTGAAAAATCCATGCAAAACAGCACTTATGCGTATGTAATTTACAGAAAACCACGTGGCTGCTCCTAGTTCAACCGAAATGCATGTCTAACAACGTAACATTAAACTAACTAAATATCTACATTTGATAAGAGCTTTTACCTTTATTTCAACTGCCTGGAATTCAAAACCACTCTTATAGTACCTAGAATTTTTTCTTGAAAATTAAGAAACTCCACTAGAAGGGTCTGAGATCAACTACGTTTCTGTTTTGCTACCCCTTCATTCGATTTTACTGTCTGATATTTCTAGACAAATGGTTGTAAACCATTATACTCGGAGTCAATATAAAAATTGAAAACACTGCACTATATATACACGAAAGACAGGAAACTTTATTGGTTGACATTAAAAATTGTCTGGTGACCTCTTTTTAACTTAAAATTTTCAGCAAGCAAATATATGAAGGACAACGAAAGAATGCAAGCAAGATGAATCATGCCTTTCCTTGAACTTTTGCGAAGGCTCTCCCATTGTGTTAAATCCTTCTCAGTGAAACCACAGTTTGCTGCTGATTATAGTCTTTCATACTGATGAAATTAATACCCCTGTATAATATATACCTGTGTATTTACGAACCTCGATCTTGAATTGAATACAGTGCTTCTCAACCTTTGATTCTTGTTATGGTTATTTTGGAATCCATTGCTTTCCATTTGGATTATCTAGCGATTTCGCGTCATATTCTTGAGCTTTTAGCGCGAAGGTAGCACACAACGCACTAGAACCAACTTCGGAGCGACTGCCTGTTACCTATTTACAATGCAGTTGGTTGCTAAGCAAGCAGATGTAAGGTAAACCACGGGCTGCCTTTCTTTCATTAAAAACCTAAGGCAAACTTTCCAAACCTCAGTGTTTACGGTACGAAGCGGGGGGTAGTGTCATTACAGCTCTCTATGGAAATCAAATGAATAATTTTATTGCAGATGGTGAGCTAGGATGAGATTTAGAGACCTGTTTCCAAGTCATTCTAGTCGATATCTATTATTTATTAACATAATGCACACTTGTAAATTCTATGAAGTCAGCAATAAACCTACATAGGTAGAGGTTGAGTTTAGAAATTAGCTGTTTTAATTAGGAATTTTGCATCCGACATATTGTTTGATGTATAAACCAAAACCTCAATAGCCTGAATTTCTTTTTTAACTCTTAATCCACTTTACTTTTTCGTTAGAATTCATTTCGAAGATTCACAGTAACGGAAATCAAATCGTTGATTAGCAAGTTAATCTTACAGCATCAAGTGTATGAAAACGAGGCTCTTCCCACGAAACATTAAACACTTAAAGGTCTTGTAATGATTCAAACTCTTTAGATAGGAAATTTTTTTTTAAAGAATCAAAAGTTCCAATCATTAACAGCCCCCCCCCCCTCCTTGCAGCTTAAATCTATTACATTGGAACCACATTGACATCTTCATAAGAATGAAACTCATGGGTACTAAATGTTTGTGTACAATGAAGGACCAATTTTGAAACTACCCCCGTTTAAAAGCATTATACTGTGTCACTCGCCCTGTAACAAACAAATGAATTCAAGCAAATCAGCCTTATTCAGGTATAATTTGTTCGAATTTTATCTTAAACACAATTATAAAGGATGATCAAAGAAAGGAATGCAAGGTGTTGATACTTTTGCACCGCAAAGACACCGTCTTTTCATGAAATAGCTTGAGAAAATTCTTCGCGTTAGATAATTGAATTCGGTTTAAGAATTCCGTCAGACGATAATCGTGCTTATGATCCATTTCAAACAACCAAAAACAAGAGGAAAATTTAATTTAATTCTGTTTGCTGCTTGTTTTCCATCTCTATGTTGTTTTCAAATAGGATATTTCAGCGTCATTATATATCAAGATTAAGACTAACCCCAGAGGCATTCGGTAATTTTCAAGCCACAACTCAAGCTTCCCTCCGTCCAATAAAAATGTCAGCACCACGGGGGGGAGGGGATTCGTCCCCCCAGTTCCCATTAGAATCGACTTTGTATTTCGCGGAAGGATTGTCCCCACACGGCTGGCACTGCAACTCGGGCCAACTCGGCAAATCCAAATAGTAATCTGTCCATTCTGTCTCTAGCCTGCGTGCAGTGCAGACTCTACACTTACCATTCGTGCGCTGCAAGACCACACTTATATACAGGGCATCCTAGAGGGGGCAGGGGGCAGGGGGCAAATTGCACAAGGTCCTAGAGGTCTAGGGTGCCCAATGAAGCTATTTGTGCCCATTTTCATTTACAAATAAATATCGGAGCCCTAATTTTTTCATTAGATAGTAAATTTTGCATAATCTTGTGTTGTGAGTCTTTAATTAGCCCTTGCCCCCTCCCCCCTTTCCCACTTGCATCTGAGCCTTACCAAAGTAACGGATAACTGCGCGACGGGAGCTGCTGCGAAGGAAACTACCTCATATTTCTCTGGTCTTCAGTTCAACATCGTTATTGAGATTTTTGTTGATGATTGGAGAAAATCTTCAACAATAATTGTTTCAAAATGGTACTAGAATCAACAGTCATCTGGTAAGCCCTCTTTTGATTGAATATAAGTATTTTATACTTAAATGATCATATGTGTGTTTGACTATTATAGCGGATATGATATGTTAAGCTGCTCCACTAAGCTGTTTGGTAAGTAGGCCATATTAAGCCCGGTTTTTGATTGCAATTATGTAAAAAGTAGAAAGATATCATGGTTTGTCATTTTTTTGTTTATTCGCTGCTTGCTAGCCCAAACTAATCCTCTTTAAAGTCTTCATGATCATAAAGAGTATCAGCATCTAAAGCATCCGCAAACATGATACATGACCGTCCCTGATGCCCGACCAGTTTGTGGTCATGCTAAAATAACACTTCATAGCAAGTACAAGAAGTATTTTCAAATTTTTACAAGCAGTATCAAAATTACACCTTTTTTATAACCTTACTTATTAATCAGAGTCACTTAGATAATCTATCAACTGAAAAACAGAGATGGCTTTTATCTGAAACACAGAGGGTAAACTTGCTGATATTTTTATGAATGGCTGGAATGGTAGATATTACATCATTGCTTGCTAAAAGTTTTCAACAAGATTAAACAGTTATGAGTTCCTGCCATCAATTTAGACTCCATTAACTACCAATCCTAAAACTTTACTCAATCAGCCAACATTAACATAAAATTATTTAATTAATAGGATCTTTACTTATCAATTGAACTCCAAAATGTTGTCTTTTACTTCTTCTGTTAGTTCACCTATTGAGACCTGCTTTTCCTTAAACAAAATTACATGCATATAAATCTGTTAGTTTGTTGTTTGTTAGTCTATGTCTCCTTATTGTTTTTTATACTTCTTCTAAATATTTAATGCATAATCTATTTTTCCTTCCTGTAACTTGTTGTTTTGCAGGAGCATTGTAGTTTTTCAATAACATATGCACGTAGTATAATTGAAAAATAAAATGAACTGAACTATACTAGTAATTAATAAAACAGAAATAAATAAAATAGTTAATATATATTCAGTTCTTGCTCATGAGAATTCAGGTCTACTTTACCATACAAACTTAGGCATTTGGAATAAGGCTTGAGCTAAGTTGAAATTACCAGAGAAGCCAATTCTTTATGTTTAATTTTGTAGAAGACATATTTATTACATGTTGCAGCTTTTATAGTTTTCTGGTCTACAGACCATCAGAGAATAATATATATATTAACTAGATAAGACACCCCCTGTTTATTCGTACCACCTTTTTTTCTAATGAAAACATTTTGCTTGATAATTTAATAGTTATAGTATTTAATTTTGTCTTTGAGCAAGTTTTGAAAGTGAATTAATCTGAGTATCACGTTTTTTATAAATATTTATTGTACCACAAGGTATATTATTAAAGGTTCTCACATTATCTTCAATGTGTTTGCCCTCATTGTTAATTGTTAGTTCACCCTCCTTATTTTTTTCAACCAGATGAGGCCCTCTCCCATCTTTATCTTGATGTTTCTTAAGCACCCAACCAAGCTATTGAACTAGGCAAACAACATATGATTTGACCTGCCTTTTATTGTCTATTTGCTAGTTTATATTTTGTGCTCTTTTTTGAAGTGTTGATAACTCAGAATGGATGAGAAATGGAGATTTTCTGCCCACCCGTATACAAGCCCAGCAAGATGCAGTAGGTGTAATATGTCATGCCAAGACTAGACAAAATCCAGAAAATAATGTTGCTTTGCTGACTTTGGCAAGGTCAGTAGATTTTCTTGTTAGTGTTGATAGCATTTTGTCAGTTCATATTAACGAACTTCTCTGTGTTATTACAGCAAGTTCATGGTTTTTTCTGTTTTTACTTATAAACCGCAACAGATGAAATTTTGTTTCATTTTATGTGCATAGTCACATACAAAATGGCATGCGTTTCATATAGTTATGTTGATGAGACATTTCCTCATGAAAGCAATTTACTGCAAAAAGTGTCTTTTCTATGTGTAATTTCTTTGTCAATTGTCCTCAGCAGACTACCATTGTCAGTTAAGTACCCTAATTGCTCAAATTTCTCCAATATTTTTCAATCAAAATATTGTTTCTTTGTATCATTATTATTAAAAGAACAAGATTTTTTCATTTCTTTCTTTACTTGCGTAGCTTGGAAGTGTTAGCCACTCTTACAACAGATGTTGGGAGAATTCTGACTAAACTTCATCAGGTTCAACCAACTGGCTTCATAAAACTTATCACCGGAATTAGAATAGCTCACGTAAGTTATATTTGATGTTAAAGCTGTTATAGATGCTAGCGCAGGGAGAAAAAACCAGACTAATTTATTGTTGCTGAATTTGTATTTTATCATTTATGTCTTTACATTCTGATTTATAGAGACCAAAGACTTTTTTATCCCTATCAATCAAACATAAATCCAAATAAAAAAATTGCTTAGATTTTCAAGCAAACACTATTTTTTGTGATAACGTATTCTTGATTGTCTTTATATAAATTTTTGCAATGTTGTATTTGTAGTATATGTTAACCTCTGTTTGATATTTTTTAAATGCATATTCTCCCTTTCCAGGATAACGATTGATTTATATATTTACATTATTTTTAGCTAAAAAAGGATATGTTTCATTAAAAGTGTGTGTATTGATAAGTTATCATGGCTGTTCGATTAAGAGAAAAACCTTTGTTGGGATGGTTGCCTTGATTAATTATATAGTCAAATTTACTAATGTTTGGTGACTTGCTCATTTTAAAAAGCTTTATGTTATCATTGTGTTAATGAACTTAACAAATTGACTTTTATGTTGGTGATGTTTTCAAAATCTTTTGCACAATAATTCAAAATGGCTTTGTATTTAATGGTGAATTATGATACCACTTTTATATTATATCAAATATTTTATAGCTTTAATTTTTCTGGCCAGTTGTGTATGAATTAAGTATCATTATTTCATGGTTCTTTGTTCAGCTTGCATTGAAGCACAGGCAAGGCAAGAATCATAGACTGAGAATTGTGAGTTTTGTTGGTAGCCCAATCAATGATACAGAAAAAGAGGTGAGCCATTTTCTCATCATCATCGTACTATTAAGGGCTTTTCATTATAAAAATAATAATAGATATTTAATACAGATATTTAAAGAGGAAGCCTCGATCACTCAAGAGTGCTTTTCATGAAGGTCGCTTTTCTTTTTAGGTCAGTTCAACACAAATCCTCAAATTAGCCCCCTGGGAGCCTATTAATTGGAGCAATTTTTAGATAAGGGCTAATTCAAAGGGGGCTTATTTGAGAAAGGGGGCCTCATAAAAACCGTCTAAAAGTTGCCATGATAATAGTTTGTTTCATAGCTTTTTCAAATTTTCAAGCTCATTTGCAATTTTACTTAAAAGCTATTTATAAGATTTAATACCAAAGTATAAATCAAAGCACAAACATATTTTTTAGTCCAAAATCTTTATTGTCTTTGATGGTTGCTTAATCTATGTCTCTTTTTAAATTTTTTTTTCATTCATCACTAATTGTGTTATTTATCATGGACTAATATTGTGAATCTTTCTGTTGTATCCTGATTAAGCACCAATGGGCTTATTAAAACAGATAGGCTGGCATGTTGACATTAACATTTTACGTCACATCATATACGGCTTCTTCTTTATTTTTGATTAAGCATTTCAAGGCATTTTATGACCCACTCTCTTTTAGCTGACAAAGCTGGCCAAGAAATTAAAGAAAGAGAAGGTTAATGTAGATGTGGTTTGCATGGGCGAAGATGTGAGTATTTTGAAAGTAACTCAAGCTGTCTGTCAGTCAAATTTGGCCAATCAGTAAGCGTAATACGACTCACACGGCCACTGATTGACCAATAGTTTCGTCAATTGTCTTTGGGCTCATGTTTCATTCACATTTCTACATTTGATGGTTATGCAAAACCACAGTGTAATCCAATTCAATTCTATTCACATCCTTTAGTTGTTCAAGCATACAATGAATTTATTAGTTTCTTTTATGGATATTCCCAGCATTGGATTTTCGCTGATTTTTTTGTTGAAATGAAGTCTTTCAGGCAATATGGTATGTTGAGGCAAGCGCAAATACATTACCATTAAGGGTTTTTTTGTTAATGTTGATCGCTTGCTTCTAAAGGCCCCCAAGGCATTTTGAAATAGGGCAGGAAACAATCTTATTTCGACCTCGGCATTGATTGCTAAAAATCAGATCACCGAAGCAGAGACGCCAATAAGCACCCAGTCGGAATAGGCACCCAGTCAGAATAAGCACCCAGTCGGAGTAAGCACCCAGTCGGTATAGACACCTAGTCAGAATAAGCACCCAGTCAGAATAAGCACCCAGTCGGAGTAAGCACCCAGTCGGAGTAAGCACCCAGTCGGTATAGACACCTAGTCAGAATAAGCACCCAGTCAGAATAAGCACCCAGTCGGAGTAAGCACCCAGTCGGAGTAAGCACCCAGTCGGTATAGACACCTAGTCAGAATAAGCACCCAGTCAGAATAAGCACCCAGTCGGAGTAAGCACCCAGTCGGAGTAAGCACCCAGTCGGTATAGACACCTAGTCAGAATAAGCACCCAGTCAGAATAAGCACCCAGTCGGAGTAAGCACCCAGTCGGAGTAAGCACCCAGTCGGTATAGACACCTAGTCAGAATAAGCACCCAGTCAGAATAAGCACCCAGTCGGAGTAAGCACCCAGTCGGAGTAAGCACCCAGTCGGTATAGACACCTAGTCAGAATAAGCACCCAGTCAGAATAAGCACCCAGTCGGAGTAAGCACCCAGTCGGAGTAAGCACCCAGTCGGAGTTAGCGCCCAATCGGAATGAGCGCCCAGTGAGAATAAGCATCCTCCCTTAGACAGAAAGGTTATTTTTAGTGCCCATGTCTGAATAAACTCTTATGTCCGAATAAGCGCTCAAAATGAAATCTTATTCGAACAAGGCGACATTGCTGTATCCAGAAACTGTTGTCTGGTCAATTTTAAATATTTCATAGAAACAGGGAAGCTTAACGGCAGTGTTAGTTACAGTTTTAATTCAGAATGATAGAATTGTTAGGTTTTTGAAGCTATTCAAGCAATATAGCTGCGGTTTGTTTATCGATGGTAACATCAATAAAACGGCCTGGAACAATCGAACAATCTTCACGTTTTCTCTTTCCGATGACTGCTGCAACAACAGGAGTTCTCATTTCATTTTCTCAAAAAACAGTTAATCACCGCATTGGCACATAAAAAATTAACGCACTTCCTTTGTAAACCCTGACAATATGATTGTAGTCCAGTGCTTTTTCCTACTGTCTTTATACTGTTTAGCAAGTATATAGCTAGATGTTGGTAACCAAGTATTGTGTTTCTGTATGAGGACAAACACATTATAAAAAGACTACTACTATTTAAATTACATAAGCGCCCAATACTTAAATAAGCGCCCAGTCTAGACAAGCCCCTATCTTAACAGCTTGAGAATTAAGTGCCCTGGGCGTTTAATGGCTCATTTACGGCTATATTTTCAGTTTTTTGCAAACGTTGGCATAAATGTAGTAGATGTAAAGTAACATTAGCCCCTTCAAGGGTTGATGCCTACTACTTGTTAATTCGCTCTTGTTTATTTTCCCTTGATGGAATTTTATTTTCTCTCCAAACATTTTTTTCAGAACGAGACAAATGAAAAACTATCAGCATTTATAAATACTTTGAATGGCAAAGAAGGCACAAGGTATTACTTTCAAATTTTATCGCTTCCAAAGGGAATTCTCTCTATCTTTCTTTAAGGCCTTAAATACCTCGTGTAATGGCTGAAACTGTGCTCTAACAGACACGAATCGTGAAATTAATAACTAGAAAACTGTTCGTGGTACCGTCAGCTTCTTAGTTGAACGCCAGTCTTAAAGTTTTACTTAGTTGATTATCCACCTCCCTCGTTTCCTGCCCTCTGTTAAAATCCTTCATTTCAAGCACTCTCGGTTTAGCTCTCTTTCTTCCCTTAACATCAAATAGAAAAAGCGTCGTTTGGAACATGCAGCAGACGTCTATTGTGTAATTTACCCAGTGCCTTTAGAAATGTTTATCCGTCATACCTTACAGTAATGCTATGAAAAGAAAACTTACCTATTGACACTGCAAGAAAATATTCTTTGAAATAGTTTTACAATGGCTAGTGGGTTTGCAGAAATGCAATTACTCTTTTACCCTGTTTTCTGCTGTTTTACAATCTGTACGTCTGAGAATCTGCGTGTTTTTTAATTTTACAGTTATCAAACGAAATGTTTCTTAATTTAAACCTCTTTTTACGCAAAGAGGCAGGGGCTAAAATATGCAAAAAGTCCTTTGAACAATCAATAATTTTCCTTCGTCTTTCTGTTCTTCATTATCATTCTATTATCCGAAAATACTATCGCTAGAACTTTTTTGAACAGGAAATAGTTTATTAAGAGAAATATTATCCATAATGTCCCAAAAGCTTTGAAGGTAGATAGGTTGCAGAATATAAGACAATATAAGTTACTGTTCAAGTTATTGTAATGTTCAAAAAATTTCACATTGTACATGGTTGATTTTTAAAGTTAGAAGCAGCTTCAGTGGCCGACCTAATATTCTTTTAGCTGTCATCTTGTAACCGTCCCACCGGGACCTGCTCTTGCCGATGCCTTGCGCTCCTCTCCTGTTGTGCAAGGAGAGGACGGCTACACTGCACCGAGTGGATTTGGATCCGGGTTTGACGATATTGATCCGAACTTGGATCCTGAACTTGCGTTGGTGAGTGCTTCCAATAAATAAAAATATTTTGGCAATTATTTTTTTGGAATATCATACCGGGCTTTGAAAATGTTACCGTTTTTCTTTCTGCCTAGTACAACTTTGTTTGTGTGATGTTATTTTATTCTAATATTCACAATATGACCTTAAACAGTATATTTAATCCTGTTCCGGATATTTTTCTTCTAATTTTTCGTATCTCGCATTGAATTGTTTGAAAATGGTTTTACAGGCGTTGCGCGTATCAATGGAAGAGCAAAGGCAGAGACAGGAAGAGGAGGCTAAAGAAACAACCGAGGCTAGCAAGGAGTCCAAACCCCAAACTGCGGTTGTAGCTGATTCTGCTTACGATGAGGATGCAGTGCTCCGCAGTGCACTCAATATGTCCATGGCAGGGGTTAGCATTTTTGTTCGCATTTGTTCTGACAACGGGGATTGTGTTTTAACCATTTTTGCCGGGTGAGGGGGAGGGGGGTAAGTTGTAGAAATGCTTCTTGAAAGACAATGTGAAATGAATGGGACTAAGAATCTTCGTTTCAAAGATAGTTTTGCCATATGTCTATTTGTTACTTGTGACAATATTATAAAATGGTCTATACTTTTTTTCTCAAGAGCCAAAATAAAACGAAGTTGGAATTTCAAGAAAAAGATTGCTTAGGGATTTCTTAACCAGCAGGTCGACGGGTAGTATAGAGACATGGCTGCTCTGTGATGCATCTAGTTTGGGATGTCCTATTGCAATGGTCCTTTTTTTAAATAAAGTTTTCTTCTGCCTAATAAGAATGTAAGGATACTAAGAGATAGCTGGAGTTTTTCGAAGATCATGGGGACATAAAATAATTGTTACAACCAGAAGGGTCTTCACGTAGAAAGGCAGATTTTTTCCTTTGCTAGCAGGGAAGTTTCGTTTCTAATTCGGCAGCTAAGAAAAACCTTTTTACCTCCTGAATTCATGTAACTGAGGATATTCAGTCATGAAGTGAACATGAAGTATTTGTCCTCTCTTTTTGCCAGGGCTCTATTCCGATGGATCTAGCAGCTTTAAGTGAAGAAGAGCAGATTGCCATGGCTATTCAGATGTCTATGCAGGATTCTGAGATGGAAGATAGTGATGCCAGCAGACCAACAACTGCTGCAACTGACAACACTGAGGCATCGCCATTGCCAATGGATGCAGAACAGGTGGGTGCCCATGCATGTGTTTAGTTCTTGGAACGAGCTGAAAGTCATGGTTGAATCGAGTTCCTCTTTTCTAAAAAATAGGATACATAGTAATATCTTTTCATGCTATAATTTTGATTCTGAAAATCATCCAGCTAATTCCTTGCTTCTCTCTTCTGCTAAGTTCATTTTGCATATTCTACTAAAATTACTCTAGTTGACAACACCCGTTTTTACTCTGTTATGCCATTGCATTTAAATAGTTGTGTCTTAGGTTTAGTTTTGTTAAATTTTGCTGCCCAGTCTACTGCGCTCTTTTGCACTTTGAGTTTGCTTGCGGTAGTAATACGTCGTTATATGACACATTACTATTGCAAGGATTGAATTGAATTGATTGAATTGAATTTAATACAGACGAAATTGCACCCCATCGTGCACCGCTCTTTATTATGCTTGTGTACAATGACTTGATGTTTTTTAGACTGAGCAAACTGATGATAACCTCAGTTCTGTGATGACCGATCCAGAATTCCTGCAGCATTTAGTTAGCAGCTTGCCGGGGGTTAATCCGGACAGTGAAGCCGTAAGAAGTGCATTAGGATCAATGTCTCAACAGTCAAACGATAAAAAAGATGACAAAAAGAAAGACGATGAAAAAGCCAAAAAATAACGAGACAATATGCATAAAAAGTAACGAGAAACTGTGCATAAAAAGTAACTGTATAAGAAAGAAAGCTTACTTGTGTTAATTTGTTAAGTAGGTTGCAATGTTTCAAATATAATTCATGTGATGGGAAGGAATTTGTGTGAATTTTTTCGTCTGTTTATGTGGAATTCTTAATCTGAGATTCTAAAGCTTTTGGTAAAGCTAAATTTCCTTACTTTTTACTGCTCTGTCATGCAGGCTCCCAAAAATGGGCAGGGAGGGCCTCTAATTTTGGGGGCTTCATAAAGTAATGAATTTCATCTTGAAAATGCAACTTATCAAACGTAACCAAAGCATAATTTTAGACTTTTGTATGCCCTGCAGAATACATCTCAAAGACATGTAGGTGTGAATGCACACAAGTGGATATTCGCCTTACAACACGTTATCTTCTTGAGAAGAAAATCCTATGTTTGCACTTAAGAAGGGAAAGCTTTCTTAAGTGCAAACATTTTTACTCCTAAAGACTAAATATCAATCATTAGATTAGGGATGAAAGGAACATTTTTCCAAGGAAGTCGGGGGTATTTCATAGTTAGAGGAGCACTGCTAGGAAAGGCACAATGTCACAGAAATTGGTGATTTTTTTCAAAGTGGCTACTTCTTGGAAAAGGTCATTTTTCAAAAGTTGGGGGCACATAGCCCTTATGCTCCCCCAGTTCCAACGTCCCTTACTATTTTCCAGAGACTCCAGAGTACGGGGGCGTCGTCTCTGTTCTCTTTTTAAAATGTTTCGACATTATTGAGTCATAGTTTGAATTTAGATAGATCAAGGGTTGATAGAAGCCATTTTTAGTCAGGCTCTATCAAGTAAGCAAAAACCATAAACAGTGAGTTCAATAGGTAAAACTTTTCTAAAGTGCAGGGAAATAGTCCTAATTTTAAAATGAAATCTCAATGTAACTTACTGAAGTAACTTCAGGGGAGATGTCCCCACAAATCCGTACGAGAGCACTTGAAAGAGACTGCGCCTCCACAGCGAGGACACCAGAGAAGCAAAACAAAGTTCGAAAATGGCGGCCGTATCGGTTGGGGACTCTGATAGCGGAGTACGGCAAGAGTTCCATGAGCTGAGGGCTTTCATGAATGATCAATATAATATGACAACATCTGTTGTCTTTGATCCACAAGAAGAGCTTTTCTGGGTCGGAACAAATTCAGTAAGTAAAATCTGATGGTTGGAAAGATTCTAATTTACTCGTATGTCATTCCATATATATATCCCCAGATCCCAGAATTCCATCATTCTGAGCCCGATTATAGGGCTGTGTTTGCCTTTGAACTGAGAGCACAACTCCTACAATTTCAGAATTTAGGATTGCTGCCCAAAGAGAATTCTTGAAAATTATTTAAGTTTGTAGAACAAGCTAGATCGAGTAGACAGATGGAATTATTGTATAAAAGACCAGCACAGCAGGTTTAATCTCATCGGTCACCATTGCATTACAGTAAGGAAATAGACAGCTGTGAAAATCAATCCCTAGTGGCAGCTAAAATATAGTATAGTTTATTGCTTTTTCACTGGGAGAAAATGAATGTCATGCATAATAAAGTTATAATTGGCTCTGCCCTCCAACACAGTTCAGGCTTCTCGTGTGGCCCTTATAAAATTAACTGCCAACCCCTATACTAGATAGATATACAACCTTTGGCAGTCTGATCAAAAAAGGGAAAAATTGCAACCTTTGATACCAAAGGGGAATGTGCAATCAATATAATTTATATGGAAATGGACCATATCTGCTCAAGACTTAGTCAAATTGGTAGGCACATAGTTTCAAAGGATAGCGTAAGGCAAGCAAGATCAGTTCAATTCTGGGAGCCCAAAATACTGCTCAAGCAAATAAAGCAAATTGTTTCTCAAAATAATCCTCATTGGAACTGTAAGTAAATTATGAACCTGAAAGATCAGATAAACATGCTGTATATAGGTCTATTTGCTGTACATTTGAAATGCAATTTCTTATAGATAAAGATCATATGATCCAAACCTTATTTTCTTCAGGGACACATAACTTCATACTATGGACCAGAGTTTCATAAATATACAGCTTTTCGTGGTCACATCACAGATGTCAAACAAATTGTACCAGATTCTTATGGTGTGTTGTCCCTGACATCCAACCAGATACGGTATACTACTAGGCAGGGACTAAAAAGTTTTGATGCAACGTAAGTCATTTTTGTATAATCCTTAGGGAACAGAAATATTTTTACTTCTTTTTTCAATGTATGGAAACTATTAGCTTGAAAAAAATTATGTTCTTTTGTTTCAGTTTGTATTTTTGATAGTTTTTAGTTATTTATTTTCAGGTTTGTGGGAAAACTATATTTGTCATTGAAATTTGCTACTAAGAGACAATTTGATATCAATATAAGCAGCAATGGTAAAGTTAATATATGATTTTCTTTTTGCAAATGGTATGAAAGAATCTGGAAGGTTTCATAAGAGAGTAAACTTTAAGCAGAAGACTAGCCCAAGAAAACAATATGCAATGTCACAATTTTGACCTCTGTATGAAGAAATGTCTTACGTATACTGTTAAGTTTTATCTTGCCTAGTTTCACATAAAATATAACTCTTGCTCACATATCATTATAGGGAAGAGACTATGCATAATATGCAGTGTATGGTTCATTATGACAGCAATTATGTTACCATAGCTGGTCACCAAGACCACTTTTATGAGGTGGACATGACATCTGGTGAAGTCTACCAAAGAGAAGTATGTCGGAATTTTCCTACTCAATAGGCATGCATTTAAGTGCTGTTTGAGTTATGTGGGCTTTTTTCCCAGCTCAGATATTGTAGGACTGTTTATCACAAGACATTATGTTAACCTTGCTATCACTTGTAAATAACCTTTATTCAATTGATTCAGTTCAATTCAATGATTCAGTCAGTTTATATTCTTGCTACACATTGCATGATACCTGTCTCTTGCTCTTTGATCTAAATACTACTCAAAGTAATAGGTAGAACTAGACCTATTATAATTGGAGAAAACCTTGTTACACAGAGGGGGTGGGAGCAATGAGCATTACTAATGAGACCATGTCCTTTTTGCCTCATTTGAGCGCTTTGCACCAGGTGTATTTTCCTTAGACAAATCTTAAAAATATGACGTTAAAAATATGACCTATACCTACCTAGTGCATTTATCAGTTTTTAGTAGAATTATATAGACCATGTTTTGACAAAAGTAAGGGATAGTTTTTTGCCTCCTCCCCATACTACCCCTTGGTCCTATCATACTCATGGCTACTGTTTTTGCTTCTGTAGTTTTATTGTGTTTTTATTTTGGTTCCTTTCCTGTATCCATCTTTTTCATATGCAGTCCTGGTGGCTTGTTATATTTGCCTTTATTTTAGCATGAATATTTTCAAATATACAATATTACTATCATTTAGGAAATTTAATGGCTCCAAAAAAAATAAAATGTAATGAAACATTGTACAACAGGAGACTTGTTAGTTCATTTGTCAAACCCTCCTGTGTAATCAAATCACCAGAGTTTGTTTTACTGAAGTTTGTTGGTATCTTATGTTTTTATAAATATTGCAGATTGAAGTTGATCCTGGTATTGTGATGATGAAGCATTCAAATCATTTTCTTTGCTGTGGGGATAGTCAAGGAAAGGTAATACCTTGATTTGTTGCAATGGGTGCAAGCCTCCTATCTTTCAGACAAGCCAGGCAATGCCAATGGTATAGCAACAATCATATTTGTTAGCTGACATCATGGTAGCTAAAAGGGGACTGTTCTTCACTTCAGAGTGGAGTTCAATTCGACCAGTGATGTTTTTCATAGAATCTTTCTAAGCAAGTGACATTGAATCAGTTCTTGAGACACTCTGAAAAGGTTGGAAGCCAAAGGATTAGTTACTTAAAATTGTATTATTGATGTAGATAGAGATAATTGAAGTAACTTCATTAAACACCCAAAGGACTATCTATGAGAAAAATGTTTTGGAGTAGAACATAATGCTTTTAATTGCTCTATAGTGAAGACTTGAGAGATTTCCACTACACTCTGAATAAGTTGTACAAGTCATTCTGTTCTCTTGTAAATGGGCCCCAAAATTTTCATTTCAAAAAGCTACTTCCCTCTGAAATCTTATACTCCTATTGTCCTACTGATAAGGCACTTTAACTTTGAATGTTTCATTGGAAAATCACAACTCTTAAAGGGTTTTGACATTTCAAGGATTTATGCATAAATTCATTATCTACTTATTTAATCTTCTCAGACTAGTCAACATTTGGGTATTTGCATCAAAAGGGTTCTTTCTTGATGTATTTATTTTTTGGTTACAAAATGGTTCTTCTGATGGCACATCTGGCATTAATTGCAGGTAACTCTGAGGGACCCAGAAACCCTTGAGTCTGTGCATGTTCTGAAAGCCCATGGTCAAGCATTGTCAGATTTTGACATTCACGAGAACACATTAGTTACCACTGGATTCTCTTCAAGGTATTTTAACTTTCCATTTTGCTTTTTTTCTGGGGGTAGTAAATTGATATAGTTCAGCATGTTGTATGTCAAATAAATAATAAATACATATTGTAATACATATGAGTTACTATAATTCAAATTCGACTTTTTTCATTGAAAACCTAAATATTTTTGTGATGTTTCGACCATTACTCTTCATCAGGTAAAGAAAATGCTGCCTTTACATTTGAAATGTTTGAATTTGCTGAATTTATTTATCCTGTGTAAGCTTTTTAATAAGTTTCTGCACAGAACATTTTCTAGTGAAATTGAACTCAAATCAAGCTATTGATTGACATCAACAAATTTTATGTTAGATAAACCCAATGAAAACGTGACAAGGGGAAGGAAGAGCCTACACTGTTGATCTGGAATTTGTCAGATTTGCCAGAACATTTGGGCAAGAAAATTTTGTAATCCAAAAATTTACAGTTTCTTGTATGTTTAAGTGAAATTTATCATAAATTGGTTGGTCTCTTGGGTCCCCTTTATATGGCTGTCTCTTCGGTCCCCTTAAGATGGTTGGTCACTGTCTCTTGGGTCCCCTTTAGATGGCTGTCTCTTCAATCTCCTTTAGATGGATGGTCTCTCCCGTTCCCTTTAGATGATTGGCCTCTTTGGTCCCCCCTAGATTCGATCACCGGAAAGATCTGAATAAAGTCTGATATTTACTTGTTTATGTCTTTACTTTAATATTTATATCTTTACCGTTTTCACGTATTTCTTACAGATATGGTCACTTGAGCGTTGATCGTTTTCTTATGGTTTATGACCTAAGGAATTTACGTGCCTTTCCACCGCTACAGGTCTGTCTTTGTACTCATTTTAACCTGAATCATTCAATTTACTGTCCTTTTTGGTAGAATTTCTTAGCTTGATCAACATTGATCATCCTCTAACGTTCTTTTCTAAAATATTTTCCAGTATTGTTTTTGTTAAATTGTGCAACTGGTCCTCAACCTTGAAATACTTCGGAACATTCTAATGTAAGCCTAAATGGCTAAATGCCACACGGATATTGATATGGCAGAATTTCATTAAGATCCATAAATTTTCATTAATACTCCGCTTGCTTTATCCCCATTCATTCATCGTATCTGAGTTGTAAAGTAGATATTGTTTTAGAGCATAGTTATGTATTATGTCTGTATTGTGATTGAATTGGGTTATAAAAAAAGAACTTGATAAAAATCCGACGTTATATGTGCAATTAAAATTGTTAATCTTGATTTTTAACAGAGGAAGACTTTTAGGTGTCCCTTTATGTTGCTTTTAGATACAGTAAAAGTGAGTGTCAAATTGCTACGTTACCGTGCCTGGTGCCTTTTGTAATGGAGAAAAGCTATACCCTTACCTGTTAAGTGTTGCAGCCCTTCGCTATGTATCCGTGAGATTGATTTCGTTATGTATTTTTATAGCAGAAAAACCATCTGAAGACGAAGATTCTAATAATTTAATAAACCTTAGTTCAGAAATATACTTAAAATACTACAATGCAAACAACGTCGTAATAGAGGTTTGGTTTTTAAAGCCATAAGGCTTCTCTTTGGTTTTATCAAGGAGCATCCCAGTCAATCGCTCTAGCCATTATTCATTGCATCGTTTCGTTTTTATTTCAGGTCCCCCTGGACCCGTATCTTGTTCATTTCATGCCAACATACACAACACGGTGCGTCGTCGTCTCACAGGTAATATTTTTCTTTTTATTAGTTTTCATCATAGTTATTGTGAGATTGACTGCAGCTAAGTCTTGAAGGGGCTGCAATTGCTTATGGGTTGCTCTCTTTTCGACAATATCTCTTTTACTATGAGTGGTGGATGACTTAGATGTTTTCTATTGAAACTTCCTTCAAATCAACTTTTAGCATACCACCACGATCTGCAACCGTCTTTAACCTTTTTGAAAACGTCTTTAACCTTGCAAATTGACGCAGGAATAAATCATATATATCTTAATAATGGATTTTTGTGATCCGCTGACAGCACATTAATCAGTTTTTATCCCTGACATTAGGAGAAGCAATGCAGATAAGAGATAATCAATGCAATCAGAACAAGACATATATATATATATATATATCAGCTTGATACTTTTGTTTTCAGTCCTTTAAAAACATATTAACCAGGAAATAATAAAGGAGAATTTCATTTGATAACATGCTTAGATGATCTATTTTATTAAACACGACTTTTGTTATAAAAATAAAGAAGTAAAGAAATTATGGAAGAATTTACATGCAATGTGAGAAGTAAATAAATGATCTATCTAACATTGCAATTTTGTACTTCTGCCTTAGCATAAGTAAATGTCATTGTTCACAGGCTGGTCAGTTTTTGTTTTGTCAACCTGAAAATTTGGTATACGATCCGTTGATATACCAAGCCAGCACTCATGGGGCTGCAGTGATGGATTTTGACATCTCCTCCTCATATCAAGCATTAGCATTTGCTGATTCATCAGGTTTGTATCTAGGACTGGACTGACTTATGTCTTCCCCTAGATTGCCTATAGTTATTTCAGCAAAACGTTATTAAGCTTGAAAATTTTGAGTAGATCTCTAAAGTTTTTGTTTAAAGCCAACGGCAAGCATGGGGGGGAGCTTTAGCTAAAGATTTATTCAAATTAGGATCAATAGATTTGCGAACCCAGAAAACTTTAATTATAATAAATCCTTAAGATTGTGTTTTCTATCATATAATTTTCTTCAGACATCTTCTGAAAGAGTTTCCTACTGTCCTAAAATAGGAATCAACTTTTTTAAAAGAAATCCCTCATGTTGTTTAACATTAGTTACCAACATTCGCATAGAAAGCAATTAATTTTTTATATACATATTAAGAAAGTTCTATGTTTTTGTTTACAGGCTGCATTCACATTTGGTCGGACAGGGGAGAGAATGAGCTTGTTTACAATGGCTATTCGAATCCAACGTTACTTGCAGATGAGGTATCAAACGAATTATTAAATAAATCCGCTACAAAATGCTTGGGAGATAGGGAGAGGGAGAGGGATAGGGAGAGAGAAAGTAAGGGAGAAAAATAGATAAAGAGATAGAAAGGGAAAAAAGGGAGGGATGTGACAAGGATTTTTGCCTTAATCAACTACTTTTATATTCATTATACCAACAATACATGCAACTTTTCTGTTGCTTAATGATCGCATTAAGCGTGAAACTCGGAGTAGCAACTAAGGGAATCATCCTATTATTCAAACCAAAGCATGCACAGACTTTATACGACACCGAGCACTCTATAACAGACTTTAAAGAGTAATTTTGTCAACTCATTTTATCCGGAAGTTTGCTGCTTTACACGAAAAAGCTTGGCGAATCTTCAAGATATGAGTAAATTTGCTTACAAAACTTGCTGCATCTTGTAAATTTAGCAGTGAAGAAAACAGATTTCGCATTGTTCTTGAGGCCAAATTTCAGACTCCACTGAGAATTTGCAGAAATTTGACGAATAATGTATGTATAATGCATATGGAGAACATTTTGGTCACCCATGAATTTGCAATTTTGTAACTGAAAAGCTCGTGAGCTAGAAAAGTCATTGTATTCATTCCCGTCTGATGCTTATGGTCATTATTTCAGGTTCAGAGTCATCCGCCATTGTCGTTTGATGACTATTCAGTATCATTTTCGTCCATTCCAATGCCTGAGTGTAGGTGAGTGTCATGCACATATTTCTTGAAAGTCGTATTTTATATCTTTTTCTCTCAAACTCATTATTTATCGGTAGAAGGAAGTAATTGTTGGAATGACGAACAAGCTTTTGTTGAAGGTCCGTTGGCTTTCTAATATTTGCACCGTGAACATACGCGCAGTTAAAATCTATGACGTTTTTTCACACCACGTAATGAATTTTATGGTAGGAACATTTTTCATCAAACCTCCAATCAAAGACATGAAAATTAAGAGCAAAAGCTGTCTTGACAACAGTGAAAATTAAGCTCTGGTTTTGATTAAATTCTGTGAATCACCGTGAGATGTAATTTTGTCTACAATACGAGCCATCGCTCTAATGAACATGTGCATACAATGCACTTTCTTTTTTATGTAAAAGATTCTATCTTTACTGGCCATTGTGTTCGTCAGTGGCCATTGAGCTACTAATTAGAACCTCAAGCCTGGTTATGTTGTATCAAATTTCTGATTTGAATTTCGTTCTTTAGGGAAACCCTTCTTTCGGACTGGCCAGAACATCTAAATCAGATGGGTGACAGGTTAGGATTGTGTACCATTTTCATTTTGATATTTTTTGCTTTTTGTTACTGTAAAATTCGTCTAACATTGATGCTTATTTTTATCACGTTGGTTTCTGATAGAGTTGTCAAATGTATCGATTGACATCATTTGCTGATGCCTTCAGTGGCATTTTTTTTCAAAGAGCAGTCAAAGCGAGTAATAATATCGAAATGTTCTTAAATGTTTAGATGATCTTATTTAAGAGAGGTTTTTTTTTATGAAAAAAAAACCTTTATTTGAATCATGTGATGGTTTGTATGAGGTGTAGAGAGTATCACATAAATGGAAAATCTATTTTATCCTTCTCTTATCCATGGTTCATAATTTTTATCTGAGTCGTTGAAATTGTTTATCATGGTAATAATTTTAGGAAAACCCCAGATGTTGATCCAGAAATACTTCAAAACATGACAATTCGACAGTCGGTTGGCTATGCTCCGAACCCAAAGAAAAGGTTAAGAAACCAGGTGAAATGTTATGTTATCTCATTTTATGTCATGCCATGCCATGCCATGTCGTGTCATTTCATGTCTTGTCATGTCATGTCTGTCATGTCATGTCATGCCATGTCATGTCGTGTCCTGTCGTGTCATGTCATGTCATGTCATGTCGTGTCATGTCATGTCATGTCATGTCATGTCATGTCATGTCATGTTTGTTATGCCATGTTATGTTTAAGAATAAGTTTGTATATTGCTTTTAATTTTTTCTTTGACAATATTTTTTAACCCTGGAACCCTTAATATTTGTTAAATCTGTATATTGATTATCCTAGGTCGCATATAAATTTGACAAATCAAACTTTTATGGAGAGTTTGAAAGAAATCCTCCGGAATCTCCTCTAAAGCGAGGTATTATTCTTAAGTATTTTCATCTCCAACTTGCTTTGTATAAAAATCGACTATTATAGTAAATATACATACCCAAGAGCTCCGACGCGAATTGGGGAGTGAGGGAGCCAAGCCAAAATTAACAAATAATAGCACAATATTCTGCAAAAGGCTTCTTTGTTTGTATGGGTCCGTGGCCGTAGCCGTGGCCGTGGCCGTGGCCTTTCTGTCGTTGGTGGCAATGGTAGCTGGTGAGAATTTGACACTTTGAATTTGAGGAGACTTGAATTTTGCCTAATTTAAGATTAAAATTCTCGAACAATTCCTTTCTTGTAGCAAACAGGACACCATGTTAACATTTGTTGGTAGCGTTTAATGATACTGTAAAATTGTAATGAAATGTTTTCTATGTTGTTGCAACCACCTTTAACCCTTTGCCTTTATTTTATGTTCCTTTCAGTCCTGTGTGTTTCATTATTCTTGCTTTCCCAGATGTTTTCCTGCTTTAATCTCACTAAGAGAACGTCAGTATCTAAAATAATTTCTTGTAAGATACGATCTTATGCTTCTGTTCTTATAGTGAATTTTTTACCTTTTTTCATTTGTTAAGCATAAAACATACTAATAACTTGTAGAATTATAAAGATCTTAAATTTGAGCACGTAGCAACTTTACAGGACATCTGTCGCAAAGCATTATTGGGTTTATCGCCTTTTTCCTATTGATTTTGGATATCCATTTTCCAAAGAAAATTTGAAAATCTAAGAAATTTTGGCAGAGGTATGTAGATGGACTGACAGCTTGGCATTAAAATAGTCATCAATTGATCATTTACCTTATCCTTGTTGACCTTGGCACTCTCAACCAACCTTTCTGTCTCATGTTCATTTAACTGACTTAAATGTTAAAACTTAATTCCAATTTTTTTTGTCCAATGTTCAAATTTTTAATGATGTGTACTTCTCCAAAGATTCAACTTCATCTATTCCGAAAATGTACAGAAAAGTCGACATAAAATATTCAAAGTATGGTAAGACCCTTTTTCGTCTTGATTAAGTAATTACTTTGTTTTTACCTCAGGATTAGACAACTGTGTGTATGTATGTACTTGTTGTAGCATCGTGGGGTTTCGTTCATTTTTATTTAATATTTTGGCGTATCCGGTCGTATTGTATCGTAAATCTATGCCACATGGATCCTTAAGCACGCCTCGACATTATTATGGCAATTCTTACCATTGAAAACCTCACCTCTTTTTCGAGAGTTTCCAGCCTCGTTTTGATGGGATTCTGTTATTGTTACATCTTTTTTTCTAGGAATCGAGAATTTTGACTTCAGGCATTACAACCATACGAACTTTGCAGGCCTAGAAATCCATATACCAAACGCCTATTGCAATGCAATGCTTCAGGTAGGTTTCGTATTTTATCAAAATGTATCAGCGATTGAGTATTGTACTGTCTTCAAAAGAAAAGTACATTTATCTGCAAGTTTTTAAACAAGATAGATATGTTTTGTAATGAAAAAGGATTTGGAAAAATTATATCCTTTGTCGGACAAAATGTTTCTTATGAAAGGGACTTGAGTCTTTTAGTGACTTAAATTTTTGTCTTGTTTACGAAAAATTTGCATCTGTTAAAAACTGAGATTGTATCTCTTTATTGTCTCCTTCTTATAACAGCAACAGGATTTAACATCAAATGCCACAGTCATGATTACCCTGTTTGTGATTCGTTCCTCTATATATTGGTAAGACCCATGAGTAATTGTAAAACTGTGTTATTCTTTTACAAAGCAATTCTTCGCCAAAAAATTTTACATTCGTTCCGACGGCATTGATACGAATAATATACTTGTTGGTACTTAAATGTGGCACGCCTTTCACTTCAAGGTACTGTATTTTGTGGAGCCCTTGCGTTGCTGCATGCAGAACCATGGCTGCCAGAAGGAGTTCTGCTTGGCTTGTGAACTGGGTTTCTTGTTTCGCATGCTTGATATAGCAGAAGATCAAACCTGTCAGGTAAACATATCATGTTTTTTCAGTTTTGTTGTTATCTCAATATTCTGTTTCTCGTGTTCACTGCTTTGCTTTTATGTTAAAGTGCAGCATGCTGGAAGCTAAGCTTATTGAAAAGGTCCGAGTAACTTTCAATCGACATTCTGACAGAAACGAAAATTGCTTGCTGTTGCATGTAATGTGGCAGGCATGGTCGTTTTAAGGACACCAAGAATCTGCGCTTGTAGAGGAGTGCTCCTATCCTTTCTCGCAGTGTGACCACACCTCATGATTCCTACCTCTAAATCCTACAATACTAGAAAGTTTTGTACTTACTCCGTGGCCCAATTTACTGACCCATCCCCACACCTCGAAATATTGTGCTTTTGGTTGCTGTTTTTTGTCATTTGTAATGCCATAGCACTGCTTTTTCTTTCACTTTTTCTAATGAAACTTCTATTTTTATCCAGGCCACAAACTTTCTACGAGCATTCCGCACAATTCGGGAAGCATCCGCACACGGACTGATTCTATCAGATATGGATGAAGTACGGAGGAACCAAAGTCTAGAAAAAGTCATCCAAAACTGGCATCGCTTTGTTCTGCAGCAGATTCATCAGGTATTGATCGTTGAGTTATTTCTCCAAGTGATTTACTTCCTGAATTTCCAACGAGGAAACAAAAACAAAACATAAATTTTTTATCGATACACAATTGCAAGGATGATTCATTTTATTATGCAGTTAAACCTCGAAATAGCGCCTGCGTTGCACGAACCCATGCACTTTAGGCGAGATAATAGTGCAGTCACTTTTATGCATTTTTAGAAAAACATTCAACCATGTTCGCACATCCATTAGTGTCCCTCAAATAAGTAGCTTCAAATCGGTTGATCATGCCTGCTTTTCGATCTTTTTTCCAGGATACTATGGAAAAGGTAAAACAATCCGAAAAAGAAGAAAATGATTCGCCTATTGAGTAAGAAAGTGTTGGTTACTGTGTTGTATATGTATCATAATTTTTACAACTCGATACGGTGAATTCCTGCGAAGCTTCCCCAGAGTCAGGCTGTTCTTGGTTGGGTTGTTTATCAAAGGTGCATATGAGAATTGCAGGGTCAAACATTCTTAGATTAAGTTCTTATCTTTAGAGGGGCTATCTAGAATGATTGTTACCTTTAGTTGTATCTTAATAAGTGGCACATATCAATGACTTTTGTCACTGATGCCTTGTTGCAAGTAGTGTTTCAGGGGTCATTGCACTTTAAAGTAAAACCTCATAATTTCTTAGGCTGAAATTGGTTTGGTCTAGGGATTTTTCATAGACTTCTCTTTGCAGAGATTTGCTTTATCTTGATGTGGACTCAGTTCATTGTACGTGTGATGGTTCCAATGCTTTTGAAGAAATCTTTAAAGAATTAACATTTCCATTTTCCTAAATGCAAGGCCTACTTTGTTATTATTTACCTCTTTCACATTTAAAGGGTTTATGAATTTTTGTATTCCTGTTATAAAGAGGCAAGATTTTATACCTGTGTCAAACGCTTCCAGATTATAGAAAAATTTTGTTTTTATCCTGTTCTTCTATTAGCTACAACACTGATAAGCTAATTTTATGTTTTAAGTTGCTTTTTATCGTCAAAACCTTAACCTTAACAAACTCCCGTCGCTTAGGTCTGATATTACTACCTGGTGCATCGATAGTAGAAGGTACTTTTACAATGAACCTTTCTCTATTAGGAACCATTCCAGGGTTAGACTTACACATACTTTGGTTGTATTCATATTTTGTCAGCTGTACAAGCTAAAAGTGTCAATTGTTAAGTACAGTAGAGAAAAACCAATTTTTGAAAGTATAGCTGAGGAAAATAGTCATTACTATTCTCAAGCTGTGAAATAACCTGCCTTATGTAGACACGCACTTTCTTGAGGATAACCATTAAAAGGGCCTGCCTCTTACAATATTTTATTATTTCAGTGAAAACGAATCATCAATTGTTAAAGATATTTTCGGATCACAACTGGAAATTACAGAAAAGTGTAAATGTGGAGCTGAGAAAAAGAGGGACTCGACAGTTTTTTTATTTGATATGCAGTATCCAGAGAAATCTGAATTAGGTATTCGTATTTTCAAGAATAAATTTATTTGCAATGTTGTTTTTGATGTTGTCGTTGGTGTTGCTGGTGTTGTCGATATTTTTGTTGCTGCTGTTGTTATTGTTGATGATGAACCGGCTGTTGTTTTTTTGTTATCAATGCTCATTTTGTTAATGTTAATGATTCACAGCATGTAGCAAAGCAATACATTGCTCTCTGCGTTGGAACACGTCAAATATTAGTCACCTACAGATGTGACTCCATTTGGCATCTCATTGACAAAAATGATTGCTAAACCTAGCCATCTAATTATAAGTACACAAGATATTTTATAATCGTAATTGATAAATTCAATCAATTAAACATTGTCCTTTGCTTGTTGTTTTCCTTTTTAAATGTCTGCTCTTGAGTCAAATTTCAACTTTTTATTCTTCTTTTAAACTTTAATGTTCATTTTTCTTTGACAGGTGAAAAGGGGCTTTCATTTGTGAATTTTTTGCGAAATAGTATTTCGAGGCAGCATTCTCTGCAAGCTTGGTGCGAAGGCTGCAAAAAATACCAATCCACAGTACGTTGTCTCTTATATTCGTTGCTTGTCTGGCCTCAACAAAGAATTCATAGATGGCTTGTTATTTGGATATTTTTCTTACATATATTCTTTTGTGTACTTATTAGTGTGTTTGTGTGACATAGATGTAAAAATGATTTGTTTTCGTTTTCTAACTACTGCAACATATAAAGCTCATCCTGCTCAGACATAATGCATATTCAAATGTTTGTGATATAATTGCGTGATCAAAGAATCCATTTGTGTAGTTTGTGTAGTGCTAGTATTTAATTATCTATCTTTTTTCAGCCTTTTGTTTATGTCCATTTTGTTTTCCTTTGCTAGACACAAACGAAAACTTTGAAAAAGTTACCAGATGTTTTGAGTGTTAATTGTCGATTAGACCAAGCGAGGAAGCTTGAGCTCTGGCAAGAACTTGTGAAGGTGATTCTTGAATCTCGAAATGTTGATTGTACATTGATAGCATTTCTTTCAAAATTTGCCCAACTGTTTTATGTAGACAACAGCATATATTCCTGAAGGTAACATCCCAACTGCCATGAAAATTCTTTATAGTTGGGTAGCCTTATAGTTAATTACATTCAGACAACGTACAGCTTTTGTTGCAGACATTATGTAGCCTATGTTATTGTGTAAACTGAGTTTTGTAGGAATAATATGACCTTTTTGTTTCTGTGCAGCTGTTTTTGAATGTTTCAGAGATGCTGCCAATTTCTTTTTTGCATGCAATGAGATATATCAGCATCAATTAAGTCCAATGAAACTTATTTCACATTTTATTGTGTTGTATAGATATATTGTTGTTATCTTGAATTGTGGAGACAACTAATTTCATGTAGCGAGTTCTTGGCCATGCGAGCATAAGTTCATGACACCTGTTAGGGAGAGTTAAGTTATTGTAGATTTTGTTCAATTCGCTAACTGTTATTTTTGCATGTTATGGTGGCCTACCTATCAAGAGTTATTACGTTCCATCATTGTTTTCCTAAAAGTTTAAAACACGCTGTTCATTTTCGCAGTCCTGCCAATCAAGTCATCACCATAAATCGAGTGTTTCACCTCCAAAGGCTTGCAGATATGGAAAACTATGCACAAGACAGGGCTGTAGATTCTTCCATGGTAGAGATGGTGAACCTGTTTCAAGGTTATAATTTTCTGCACACATTCATTCTTAATACTTTTTCTTTAAAACCATCTGCTAATGTGAATGTTTTGGTCTGGTTATTTGCTAAGTTTATGTCGCCAAGATGTTTCTTTTAGCTCTGGGTCTTTCAGACATTGTGGTCACTCTCGCTATTATTCATCAGTTATGCTTAGCCTTTCAAGATGCAAAGGGGAGTTGACGAAGCTATTATAGTGTCTGAATGTCTGAATACTAAAGGGTGTAGACTGGAATCCAGGCTCGGCCTATAAGATTTATATGCCGACCAATAGCAAAATGACAACACAGGGCTAGAATGGGAAGGAACTGGTTATCCCAACCATGCCAACGGCTCTTCCTCGTAAGACCCTATACAGGCGTGTTACCTTCCTATCGACTCACCTTTGACTATGCAGGGATTCTCTAACCTACCTTCATTTCAACCTAATCTATCAAGCAAAATTATGCTTTTATTAAATTCTATCATCTTAAGAATTTGACTGCAATTTCCATACTGCAGTTTCTCTTCCAATTGTCAATATGCCATCTATTTTCTTCTACCTTTAGCAGTATTCAAACAAGCTACAGAGAATTCTTCTATTTACACGTTATTGTTTCTCATTATTGCAGCCATTCCATCAAAGACGGCGATGGTCACTTCAAATCTGTTCTACCAATGTGGCTAGAAGTAAGAGTTGACCCCTCAAGTGGCGAATTAGCGATCAAAGAGTTTGATCCTAAGGTATTCTCCACGTCAACAATTAAAAGTCTTTCTTTCTGCTGTTGTGGTTATTGTCTTATATGTTTAATGCATTAATGTTACTGTCTACAGAAAGAATAATTTCATTTTTTTCCTTACCTAAACCGAAAGAGACTTTTTCTTATTAACCAAAAGATTATTTTCGGGTGGTGTGATTTTGGTGCATATTTGTTCCCTATATTGTATGATTAGAACGTTCTCCCTATCTTACAAAATCTCAGACTCAGAATACAACCACATTCACTGCTTTTGTCTCAACAATTAGTCTTGCATAGCTCACTATTGTAACGATGTCGAGTTTTTTAACCGTTAATTTTATCTCGGGCTACCTTGTTCAGTTACCTTGCATTTTATGATTGCCTAGATCAATTACCATATATTTGTTCTTATAAAAATGCAACATTTAATGAGGTTATTTTGTTTTAGAAATGTAATTTTGGGTTGTTATGCTTTAACCTAGAACTATTCACCTTAAATCGTCATGCTTTTGACCCAAGGAAAATATCCTCTCTAACAGGCATTTCCCTAAGGTGTTAATCATATCTCAGTTCTTATTTATATCTATACATTTTTAAGTATACCTATACCTTTGTGTCTGTATCTCTCCTCATTTAAATGTACACCTTTATATTGTATAGTTTTTGGCTCCTCTAGTTAACTTTTCTTTCGGTTCGCAGTTATTGAAAACTTTTCTTATCCGTAACAGGACGGTAGTACTGATATGGACGAGCACCGAGTTGTGTATGCCTTGTCTGCAGTTGTCTCCTGTGTTCAGGATGCAGTCGATGGAAATACTCTTGTTGCTGCCGTCCATGTTGGCGAAACATACCATGAACGCAAGGAGGTATGAGCTTAATATAAAAAGACCCTAATTGTTTTATGGTTTATATGCTAGAAAGCTTAGTGCTCTGTAATATTTGCACGAAATGTCGAACACTATTGCTATTGTTTATAGGTATCTAGGCCAATATGGTCTCTAACCTCATTGCAATGCTGAAATAATATAAATATAATCGCAGCTAGTTGAGCTTGTTACGCGTATATTCAACACAATTCAAGATAAAAAAGTTCTCAATGCATATCAAAAATAAAATTTTCACAAAAAATCATTTACAGCAGAAAATATTATTATTTTAGTCAACATAATAATTAACAAATTGGTTTAACTATTTTGGCGTTGTTATTGTACTAAGTATTCGACAATTTGTTGTCATTAAGAGTAAGTAATTGCTTTGAAATGATTCTTCTAGGCTTAATCGAACATTTTATTTCCCAGAATATTAATTAGTAAATACACGACTAAATTAAACATAAATTTTTGCTGGTTACTTCGCAGTTTTAATGGATTATTGTTTCACATTTCTTCACAGGACATAAAGAGGAATGGCTGGTACCTTTTTAACGATTTTGCAATAACCCCAATAACAGAAGTGAGTCAAATTATTTTACTCTATTATTTCCTTGTTCGAACAAACTTTTTATTTCGAAACGATACTTGAAATGGATCATTAATAAAATAATTCATATTATACCTGTAGTATCTCGTCGCAGACACTGTCATTTATTGTCAGTTGATAATCCTTCATTTTACTTCGAGTTCTTTCCAAAACTTCACCCCATATCATCAGATCGAGTAAGAAAGAGAAACATGTCGTATTGTTCTGGGACAATTTGGAAGGAGAATTTTTTCATGTTTCCGTTTACTGAAAATTTGGCTGCAGCCCTTGAGTACCATAGCGGCACCCTGGGAGGGGTAATATTGTGGCAACGTACTTTTGGTAATGTAATCCTATGATTTTGAAACTGCCTTTACACAACCAAAGTTACTCATGGGTGTTCCCTTCAGGCAAAATTTGCTTCTCTTGTTGGTAAAAGGGCGTTTTATGGTGGTAAAAGGGCATGGCCTGAAATTTTTTGTTTTGTCCCCCCAGAGCCTAGTGGTTCGCGCGGCCACTGCTTGAGAAGCTTCACAGAAAGATTTTTTGGTTACAGGTCTACACTTCTATAATACGTATTTCTGAAAAAGCACATTATTTCTTGATCATTCTTATTCTGTAGCATGAAGCTGTGGATTTTTATCCTGGATGGAAAGTACCCTCCTGTGTTGTTTATAATCGCATCGACCTGCTTTCAAGATACGACCAGTCAAGTAAGTGATGTTGTAAATTCCCTCTGGAAGGGGCCTCTTAAAGATGTTAAATGCTGGAAAATGTGAATCTATTGCATACACGTAAATCTGGAAGCAGTTGATTTATGTATTCATTGTTTAGATCCATGTATATTTTTACTTGAGCTCTCTCATAATCTCCAATTTCTTTCTTTCATTCTTTCGGATTTGTCTTTGGTGAAACGTATAAACTAGTTATTAACCTATTGGAATAGTTTAACCTATAGCTTAAAGAATTTATCATTTAACAAAGGACTTTTATCGCACAAGCATTGTTAATGATTGAATGCTCACCTTAATCACTCGTCTACTAACCTTTTCTTTTAGCTTGTGATAGATGTATTGGTAAAATTAAAGCAAATTTTTTAGGTTTGCTTTTTATTTGTTCTTGAAAAATTTTCTAGTGAAAAAACCTCTGAGAAATTTGTAACCAATTTTTAAGTACTATTTCGATTGTTTTTCTTTCTTAAAGTTGAGCCGCAGATTGACAACAAAATTCTGGTGTCAGATACCTCACTAGCTCAGCGCCAGACGAGATTTCTGAGGCAGTTCATACCTTTAAATGCATCAGAAATTCAGCTTGATGAAGACAATGTTGTCGGAATTGATGCTGAGTTTGTCACCCTGAACCAGGTTCGTTTGAGGTTAAATCTGTAAGCATATTACCTGACTGGTTAGGCATAAATATCATAAACATTATCAGATAGACTGACAAACAGACAGTATGCACATTACTAGATAGAAAGTATGCATATGGACTGATAAAGCATCAAAGCATAAAAGTTAGAAAGGGTAAAGAATTTCAAGGTTTAAGTGTTATCGATTCATCATTTCAAGGTAGATTGCTATTTTTTTGTAAATTAAATGCCAAGATGAAGAAGTTTTATGGATCAATAGACGGTGACTAGTGAAATGGCTTAAGCCCTGGAATACAGTCTAGTTTGTTTATACTTCCAGTTATGATTGCATCTGTTTTCACGTGGGTTTTTAAGATTTTAAGGGAACCATTGTAATTTATACATTTGTTTCTCTACAGGAAGAGTCTGAGATGCGAAGTGATGGGACATTGTCTACCGTGAAACCAAGTCAAATGTGTGCTGCAAGGATAACTGTCGTTAGGGGGTATGCTTATAAAATCTAATCGATCGTAGCATTTTAGAAGACATTTTGACGGAATCGCACTTAGGTCAAAGCATTGTTTAATAGTTATCACTTGCAAAACATTTTCTAGGATTAACCTTGTAATCGCATAAATGGTATTTGGTCCAAAGAACCCACAGGGCTTCGAATTCGGAGAATAATTGTTGCAAGCATGATGGAACAAGATAATGAAAAAGCATTGAAGATTTTTTGCCATTTTTTACCCAAACTATGCACGGCTCTCAGTCAAAGAACACTGCATTAGACTGTCTTTTGAACATTTCGCAATGGGCATTATCTTCCTATTTTTATACCTTTAATGGATTTTAATGTCAATGTTTTTATATTGGTTTCGCTTCTGTTAGTTACATACTGTTACATATTTTTGTCTTTGTAATATTTGCTTGTTACCGTGTTTGTGTTTCTGTATTGGCTAACTTAATTCACCCCTTCACTTTTTAGGTGGGGTACTTTGATGGGAGTTCCCTTTATCGATGACTATATATCTACTTCGGAGCAGGTATTTCCCACGTTTCGCTTTATTTGAAAATTAATATCTTTCCTGTCACCATGAAACTGAAATTTTTACCTTTCCAATTTTTTTAAGATCTGTTCCTTTGACAATTTTGTTCGAGACTGTATGCCCACTGTCAGTAAGAAGGCTTTGTGAAGAGCAACGTGATAACATATAAAAATCAATAAATAAAGTAAAAATTAACCGTGAAGCTTGAAATATATTCTCAAGTTTTGCCTTGGTAATGAAAAGTAAATAAGCCAAAACGTCTTTATGCATATTTTATGTTAAGTTATCTAAAACATGTAAGAGGTAGCCCGCATTCAAGTATCCAAGAAGATAAATTTCCTTGGTTTTTTTCTTTCAAAACGTGACTCTTGCTGATTGAAATTTTTCAAAACAAACAAATATTTTCACAAGGAGCTCATCAAAGCTTACTACTTCAAAAACATTATCAAAATTAAAAAATCTATTCTTTACATTTAATTTTATTTTCTTTTAATTTCTTTCCTTTTAATTTCTTTCCTTTACATTAATAAATCGATAAAGCCCTCCTCTTGAATTAGCCTCTCTTGAATTAGCCTCTCTTGAGCATCGAGTTCTGAACATACCCCCCTCCAAATTTTAAATCGAGTTTTCTGTCCCTTTACCCGTTAGATCTTCCTACCATCGAGTAATAATATGCATCCATTGTTTATATATTTTTTTTATTCTCTAGGTCGTCGATTACCTGACCAGATTTTCTGGGATCAAACCTGGTGATCTTGATGCAAACATGTCTTCGAAACACCTCACAACTTTAAAAACAACCTACCAGAAACTGTTGCATCTTATTGATCGAAAGATTACCTTCATCGGTCATGGCCTAAAAAAGGATTTTAGAGTCATCAATATAGTGGTTTGTCGGCTCTTCTATATTTGCATTCATGAGGAAAACCAAATAAATAGATTTTGTTCATTAACAACGTTACATAACGTTTTCCGCATTGAATGTTTGCTAATCGTTTTGTGGGGCAGCCATTAGAGAAATGCCTTTGGATATCATAAGATAAACACAGCCTATAAACTGTTAAAGCCTGCGGTAATTCGTACTTTTCTAGCCTAATCTACAGGAAAATGAGAGGCAGACACTCATCCAACACAGTGTAGCGACATCATTTTGTCTAGATGAAAGATTTTATCGACTAAGTCTGCTTGAAAACAAAATTTCAGACAGTATAACATTACTTATTCAAACAATTCTGCTACTTTTTTGATAAGCTCATTGTTTGGTATATATCAGATAATTTCCCAGGTGACAGTTTGAAGGTTTTTGAATTTTTTTTCAGGTACCTCGAAATCAAATAATTGATACAGCCGAACTTTTTAGAGTGAGAAATCAGCGATATATTTCCCTGAAGTTTCTTGCTTGGCATTTTCTAAGTAAGTTTGGATATTTGTTTCATACCTTTAAATTAAGTTTTAATGATAAGAAAATATATTGAATTTTAATAACAATCTTTTGGTGGTACAAAAAGGCTCTTCCGTCCATTCAAAAGGATTGCGTTCCTGCCACACAAAAAAGTTCAGTTGTTTATGAATTTACGCGCCAGTGTGATTCTGGCTACGTAGGACGCACTACCCAAAGATTGGAGGATAGAATAAAACAACATGTTTCGCCTAGTATTAGAAACAAAACTCGTCCCCAAAGAGAACAGCCACCTCGGTTTTGCAAATCCAAAATTACAACTAAAAACCTGCGATTCTGCTATCGGGCAGCATTTACCGGAAAACCCAGATTGTGCAAAAAACTATAATGGCGACATGTTTCGGATTATTGGCAAAGCCCGATCGTCGTTCCACATAAGCACGTTACTGTGTAGACAAAAGGAGTTCGTTTTCACCTTAGGACTCCATTGGTAACATTCTCAATAGGCAAGCGGCACTGATTGGGCAACCTCAACAGTCATGTGCTCGTGTTTTCTGATGGGCCTATTTCGATCCACAACTGGGTATATATATTTCCTAGCGTAGAGTTTTGATCTATGTTCTGACGTTTTAAACTCTGAAGAGTGTCAGACGAAAAGCTTTAGTTTACTAAATGTTTGCTTTTTTCAAAGCCATTTTAAATTTTAATATTTCATATCTTGGCTCATTTAATAGCACTGTCATCTATTTTGATAATTGTGCTTTGCTGGGCTTGTTGTTTAAAATGTCAATAAAATTAGTTTAATGAAAAAAAAGGAAAACGTAATTTTATTACAGATACCTATTATGAAGGCAAATGAAAGATAACTACCAAGGCTTTTGTTTTATTTTAACATTGTTTTGCATGATTCATATCATTATTCGATATTATCTTACAAACTTTTGTACTCTGATGAAGCCCTGTATGCCGGGGCGAAATATGAGTATATTCCTTAAATTTAATTTATTTTGAATATTTTATCTCGCGACATTGGATTCTCGTCGTCGTATTGCTTTGTTTCTGTATATCTTTCGTAACATCACTCATTGCAAGATTCACAGAATCCGGCGGACAGCCTTTCCTGCGGTTCTCTCTTCTTACACATATTATGCTTGCCTGCCAAATTTTTGAGGATATACTGCCTGGATGTTCTTCACAGTTGCTCAATTGCTACTACACATCGTTCTAATACCACAAAATCTAGATTTTCACTTTTTCAAGCAGATTTATTTATTGACCATTTTTGTCAGGAAGTCCCAGAACATGTTCTGATACCCAACCTTTGAAATACATTTCTGAAATTATGATTTATTGAATGCTGTTTAGACTTCAGAAGACGTATGGCAATCTTGAATTCCTCTTTTTTGGTGAAACATTTAATTTCTTTGTCTTTTTCTCGATATAGATATAAAAATTCAGTCAGACAGCCATGACAGTGCAGAAGATGCGTACACGGCTGTGAAATTGTTTCGCAAGTACAAAGAAATTGTTGATTATTCTGGAGACGAACAGTTTGACAGAGAACTTGAAATTCTGTATGATACTGGGAGACAATTAAACTGGCAAGTTCCGGAGTGATTAATGTTTTTAAGCTCAGCGGTAGACAGATACCGTTCCCGTGTTTTTAGCTTCACTGCCCGAAGGGGGGAGTGTCTATGACCTTTTTGCCAGCAGGGGTATGTCTAGTAATAACCTGATTATTGACCAATAAATGCTAAATTTGTGAATTACATATTCAGATTTATACAAAAGCGTAAGAATTTTCGTCCACGCTTCTTTATCGATAAATTTGTACAGATATTTATAGCCATTAAAGGAACACAAAAATTCTTTGTTTATGTGTACATTCTGTGTGGTGACAAAATCTTTGTTGTTGATTTTTGTAAAGCAATATATTTCCAATTCCATGAGAATATGAACCATGTGCTTACTATCTTTTTTAACAAAATCCAAGTTTGTTTAAATTTCCAGAAGAGATGCCCCTTACATTGCCTGACAATTTCATCAATAATCATTAGCAAAAACTTGCCAGATACTTTCCCGTCTCTTCCCTGTTGGTAATTGAACCAGTCGGGTACAGAAATGGGGTTTGACTGTTTTAAAGTAGCTATTCAACTCTGGTTGCCGTGTTATGTCGTACATAATTTTGCTTCCCTTGCTGACGGCAATGTCTTGCATTAATCGTGCAAAATTTTGCGGCTCAGATTTCTCTATCCTGCGAACCATCAACCTCGATTACTTGAACTGCCAAGATCTAAGCCAATGTTTTAAGTTCTAACTAGCACAGAGTGCACATCGATGTGAATAACAAGAAGCTGTTGTATTGATTGAGAGAATTTTACTTCCTGAACATAAATTTGCATCTTCTTTGTCTCGAGTATTATCAGTAAATCATGTTTACACACAGAAAACGCAGACATTGCAATGATACAGAAAGTTATCTACTGAATTGATGCAAATAATAGACGAATAATAGAACAAGTTAGTTAACAGATAAAAGAAAATCAAGCAGTATATAAACAGTTTGTTCTCTTTTTATTTCATACTTTCTTCTCAAAAATAATAAAAATACGGTCAAAAAATGTTGTCTCTGAAAAAGTGGGGGGGAGGGGCTTCAGCCCCAGCCCCCCTGTGGCTCCGTGCTTGAATTGGTAAGGGGCGCCGACTACAGGCTCAAGGTTTTGGAGTTTGAGTCACCAGCTCTATACAGTTCCAGGCGTAGGAATAACGGGTATTGTCACATCGAGAGGAAGGACACTGCTCGAAAAGTAGAGCTTCTCAGTGACCTATAAACAACCTTCGGATGCTAGCTAGAAACAAATGTTATGGAAGTGTGATGATATAATGATATAAGGCTAAGAATTATGACAGTAAAAAATTGCTGGAGGTGAAGATGCCCTTTTATTATTCTGCATACCACATTGACCAATCAGAATTCAAGAACATGACAACAAACGTCAGAATTCAAGAAATTACCTTTTCTGCGTAAAAAAATTTTCTTTTCATCTGCAAAAGATTCAAAAGGATCCCCGATGAAAGAAAATGTAAGACCTTCTTCGTAAATGATGCATGTTTCATTTTCCCGCCCGTTTCATCCTTGGCAAATTACTTTTACAAGGCCGTAGCAGTGAACATCAGTGGACGTGAGCTTCTCATCGATCTTCAAACCTTTAAAACTTATATATACAGCACCTGAGCGCAAAAGAAATTGTAAAATTGTAGTTTTTTAAGAGAAAAATGGCCTGCATTTTCTCTCAATGGAGTTTAGCGATTTTTTCTGTCAGTAACACAAGTATCAATGCCGACAAGAAAAGATTTTAACATTGGCTTGTAAAGGTAAGTTCATATTTCTTAATTTTGTAGATAAAACAGCTTTTAAGGTTAAAAAACTGTAATTTTTCTGTGCTCCATTCCCCATAATTATTTTAAGGGTTTGAATAGGACAGTTTCAAGCCATCGTAACTAACGATCACGGAAAAATTTTTGCTATCATTTATCAAAGGCTCAATTTTTAAAGAAATCTACCTAATTTTTCAGCACATTTTACAGGTTTATTTTCTGTGGGTAGTGGTGAAAACGTGCAAAATAGGCCTAAATCTTGCTACGAGGCAGGTTTGTTTTCACATTCTGGAATTTTGATTGGTCAATGTGGTATAGACAATTTTAGTCGCTCAGCCAACCAAAGATTTGGAACCTATGCTGATCTAAGAAGAAGCAGAATTTTTAGAAAGGGCTTTGGAGGACCTAACGATTTAAAAATCGTCGATGGGCGTTGGTGTAGGAGGTGGATGGGGGTTTAGGGTCATCAATAGTAAAATCTACCAACGAAGACATTTATGAAAGAGCATGTAGGTGTTATTTCACAAACCGATAGACGATTTTACCAAGCTAAGGACTGTGTGAACCAGCTGAAGATTTACTAACCAATTATGAAGGTTGTCACACCCCCCGCTAGCTACGCCCTGGCTTTTTGTTTTGTCGAATTTTGAGTTTTGAGTTTATAATAATAAGTTTTGAATTTCATAAGCTTTGAGAATATTGATTTCCGAAATGAGAATATGTCACCTCATAATGGCATTGAAGCTCAATTTCCAGGACTCCATGTTGACGTTTTGGACTCCATGTTGACCTTGCAAATGGCTGTATTAATTATGCTATAAATTATCAATATTAGCTTAAAGTTTTTTAGGGATTGTTTCTTAATTTTTCTTTTTGTCATTTGAAATGATTCTGCTCTAGAATTGTGCAGCTAATTTTTCACAGAGTGATCTTAAGACCATCCTGTTCTATACACCAAACGGTACGACAAATAACATCGAACTCTTTTGACTGACCGGTTAACAGTTTTAAATAACACAGATCTTTAAACCAAATGTATTTTTCATTTTCCGCTAGTCATCATAACAACAATAGCTTTTCAAAAGTCAACGAAATGCGTAAAATTATTTTGCTTCCAAAACACGTAGTTTTAAAAGTTGAGTGCAGAGGTTTAGAATTCCCCTCCCCCTCTTCCTTCATATCTTTGAAGGCAGCTACGGTGGCCCTGTTCCCCTATCCCCGCGTAGGAAACGCCCCCCTCTGGGGAAAGTTACGATGGAAAGGCACAATGTTAATACGGAGGAAAGAGCGGCATAACGGAGGAGGAAGCAGATGGCTAATGTATGCTGAAGCACCCGTAGTTGCTATGATCAAAGTATGTGTTGATAAAGACACTATTCGTCTACATGATGTTAGAGAGAACGTTATGTGATCATCTCCAGTCAGTGCAGCATAATCTAACTGACAGTACATCCAGAACAGCGCTAACTGCACATCAGCAAGAAATGTGAAAATTGCTAGCTTCTGTCGATGTACGATGCCAATTGCTCACCAAAAACAAACTGGCTTCCACAAACCAAATTGTGGTTGATCGGTGATCCAGCTCAGCATGAAAGACAAGCAAGGTATTAAAATTTGCAGTTCATGATTTTGGAAGCAGACTAGATTAAACCAACAAGGGATAATTAATTTCAGGCAAAGTGGGTCAGCCAGCTTCTCTTCTCACCACTTAACTGTTCTTTTTCACAAATTGAATAACACAGATCCTAATTCTACCCATGAGATATCACCCGGAGTTAAGCTATGCTACCCAGCAGATTTTTTGCTTTGCCTTACGTTGTTCACAATGAATAAATGTTTAATAGGTTTCAATGTGTTTTCCAAAACGTTTGGAATTGTTATGCATTATTGTTTATGAAAGGAAAGTATCATGATTAGAAGAGCAGATAAGAATAGCAGATAAGTGTCTTCCTATTCCTAATAGGGCAAGGAAGAATTGTGAAACAGATCTTAGAAATGAGACTCACATGAGGCACATACACTCCATTTTTTTCAGAATAGGGGTTAAGTGCCTACTTGCTCCATATTTAGATGCCATTTTTGCCTACATCAGTGGCATAACGCACGGTGTGCACCTTTAAGCACAAAACTAAGGGCCCCCAAGCATTTGGGCCCCGAAAGGGCCTCCAAGAAGTTTATCAAAAAACGGGTTTTTAATAAAAGTGTGTGTTTCTTAATAGCATTAACAGCATCATTGAAATTGGCAAAAGACTGGTTACAGTTTGTGAACATGAGCAACCAGTATAAAAATGATGCAAGATATAGCATGTCAATTAGGTTTTGCTCTAAAGCACATCTATATCGGTATGAAATTTTGTATTTATATTTACGAGAGTATAACATATATTTAAAAGTTAATTGATGTCCTCCATGAAGCAGTTTGAAAATATTGATCTTTCTGAACATATTTTCAAATGCATGTTCAATCCCCATCTGTATATGCTGCATGGAAATCCAGGAAAGCTTAGATGAAGATCAAAGGAAATGTCTCAGGAGCGAATACTTAGGCTTTAAAACCTGACGCAAATTTAGTAAAGTGTACGGGCCTCAAAACACTTCTTTCAATTAGGGCCTCACACTGCTCCGTTACGCCACTGGCCTACATGTCCCCCCAAACTTTAAAAATGTTTAAGGGTGATCTCTGAGCTCTTCTAAACAGCAATTTTTGCTCTTTCTATTTCTCTAAATGCTATCAAGAAATTTCAAATTCATAATGGAGATCTGTGAACTTTCATAATTTGAAATGCAACACCATAGTTTAAGAGCTGTATATAAATTTTTTGGCAAAAAGCTACAAATGAATAATCTTGAAGATATTTTAATAGTATTTTGAAAATTGTTCAATGTCTTAAGAAAAATATTATCGTTCATTGGGCTAAGGCCGTAGAAATAGAGATGATATATGAGCTTAAAGCCAAAGTTGATTTTGTGAGCATCCACTCTGCCTAACAGGAGAATTGCCTATTGTGAAACAACATCATGAAATTAAGACTTTAGAATCAAAAGACACAGGTTAGAAGCTGCAATAAACATTCATAATTTTTCAATAATTTCTTGAGGCCTAGAACCTTTTTTGTGAAAGCAAGAAAGGAATGAATGTGTTTCTGTTTATGACTTTTTATTGTTTTTTTAGTGCAAGGTACTAGTAATCTAAAATTCAAAAAAATAATATTTTTAATCATTGAAAACCAGTTTGAAGAGTGTGATGTGTCTCATGAGCATGTCATGCTTTTGTTAGAATCCTGTAAACATCATAGTGTAGCAGGTTTAAATTGAACTGCAATTTTATGCTTTTATGCTAATTCTAAAACTAGAGCTGGCAAATGACAGCTGTGTGCAGTGATTCTTATTCATTTAAATTGCAGCTCTTTCTTGTTTCCAACTCAAGATTGGAGATGTTACCTTAGCATTTTACCTATTTCTAGGCATTCATTGTTTGTTTAGCATGTTCAGAGCAAATGAGTTTTAATAATGCATTCAAAACAGCTGTTTCCTTTATAAGTGTCCCGTTCGCAAGTACAACATTTGGTTAGGTTGAAGTAATATTGCTGTTAAGATTCTTTAGAGAAGAGAATTTGATCCAGAAAACTATTTTACGTTTACTTCAAGATTTACCTCTAGATTTACCCCTAAGAAGCTCCGATTGACAGTCAACTTAACAGCTTTAACCCAATGTTTGAATGAATTTCAAATTCGACATGAAAGTCAAATAGGTCTGTCAACATTAGGAGCCAGAGTTATATACTAAAACACCACTCTGTCATCAAGAATAATATATTGAAATTGTTCTGGTTGAAAGAAAACTTTATTTTCTGTTTAAACTGGATGAATTTTAGATTCTCTTTGCTTTTAGAAAAAATATAGAATTGATTTCACTTCTAGTACAAAATCCCTATAATTTTCTAATGGAAAGCTACATTACAAGCTAAAGATCTTTCTCTATTTTCCTAGCTACAATTCAAGACCTTGAAGACCTGCCACCTTTTCACTCAGCTGCAAGACAAGGACATGCTGAAGAGCTCGCTCAGCTACTAGCCATTCATCCAGGTGGTGTATATCTCACTTTTCTTTTACTTATAGCTACATGCTAATTATTACACAAAAGCTATTTATTATAAATCCCACCACTAGGTGAATGTGGAGCAAGTCATTCTACAAGTATCACAAGCTATTGTTTTAACTTCTTGTTAAAAATCATACAGGAATATCTAACCACAATTTGAATTGAGAATTTACTTGTTTCTGACAAGTGGTTTATGTAGAAAAAAGTATTTCATGTCAGTTTTCAGTTGCTTGATATTGTTATAACCTTGGAGATGGGAGAAGCAACTCATTTTAACCAGCCAGTTCTATTTAGCAATTTTTTATACTAGACTTTCTCCACACTATTAAACAATCTACAAATAAAACAACCAACAGGACTCTAATCAGTAGTAATCTCCTCAAACAGAAAAATCCTACCCTCATAATTTGGTGTGATAATAAAATTTCCCAAGAACAAACATTTTTAGACAACCAATCATAAGCCATTCGCTTGGTCACTATGCAGGAGTCAACAATCACACAGAGTTGCAGTTGTATTGTAGTTGTGTAGGATTGTATGTAGGATGGATTGACAATTATATGAAACTTGAAACTTGAATCACCTTTTGTCATTTTATTTACATTATATAGTCCCCATTTAACTTGAACCTGCATGTGCCTTAACTACTTAAAGTGGCTGTGTTACGGTTTTGTAAACAAACTAAAAACATGGGACATTGTGCGTTTTTGCACATTGGAATAATGGCAATTGTTGCTCCGGTGCTTCAATATGTTCGATAAAATATATTTTATGAGTGAATTTACCGAAAATGGAAAGGAAAATTACTATATTTCCACATTTGTACCAACTATCGACACAAAATGTGTAAAGCAATCTAGGCCAATAAAAATAAATCTTCATTCAATCAATGGCAAAGATATTTCAATTCTCTTGGTGAATTTCAATTGCATTACACACAACAAAATTGTCACTCCAAAATTGTCCTGCATCCTTTATCCAAAGAGATATGGTGATAAGATTGAAGAAAGAACCTTTGTTATTTGTTTCCTTTTATAAAACATACAAAAATGTGAAAGCTCCACACGATAAGCATAAGATACAAAACACTGTTTTCTTCCATATTAATTTTCCTATTGAACGCCGGTTGTGTCACCCAGACAACTTTTGCTCAACTGGCATGTTGCCACGAGGGATGTCCCTTGTGACACAGCCCCTTTAAGAAGTATAGATAATTATTTATGGAAAAAAAGCTGTCAAAGGCTTCTCCACTTGCTGTAAACAAAAATTCTTAAGTATGATATTTTGTTGCTACTGAATGTTTGAGCATTTTCATTATCAGATGTGAAAGTTATTATGGTTCATATTTGAAAATTTTTGAAAATTCATGGGCTTTAAGAAACGTGCTTCTTTATTTATGGGCCCTTTTCATTAGGTTTAGTTATTTTTATAGTCTTAAAGAAATGGAAACAGAAATCCTTGATATATAATTTTATTTAAATGTCTTTCTCTTGTATATTTCTTCACTTCAAGTTATAGTTTGTATGTTCTATGAATATGCACAACTGTATTTCTCTTTAGATCTGATTGATTATGGAGATGCAAAAGGTTTTACCCCGCTCATGCATGCAGTATTTTCAAAAAGTATGAGTTGTGTTAGGATCCTACTTCAATTTGGTAGCAAACCAGAAATAATCGACAGCAAAGGTCGCACAGCCCTTCATTTCTGTGCACGAAAAGTATGTAGCTTTTCTTTGATTGTAGTCAACCTTTGAATGATCTTTCTTTATTATCTATCATGTTCCTTTTGATGTACATTTTCTACTTAGCAATCCAATCTTCATCTGTCAAAACGAAAGTTTTTTCAGAACTTTCTCTAGGCATTGCCTATTTCATTGCATTTTGGGTGTGTTCAAATAGCAAAAATTGTAACGCAATGTATTCATTTTCTTTATTTTACTTGAGTAAATTATTTGAAGAGCAGAATTTCCTTATTTTGAAGTCCAAATTGCTTCTCATAATTTCTTATTTTTGAGCTAATAACTATACCATTAAGAGTCTAGTGGTAGCCATTTTGATTTGTCTAAGGAATCTCCTAAGAACAGATGTACATTATAGCTTATGGATAGAAAATTGTTACCTGAAGCTGTCTTTCTCTTGGCAGTCTGTCTTTTCTCATATCATCTGATTTTGCAGGATAAGCATATTCCAGCATTTCAGCATATTTTTTCCTCTGATAGCAATTAGTATCTTTGTAGGTTACATTACTTTTTGAGTTAAATTGACATGGTCAAAATTGACAATGAAAGTATCAGAGGATTTTCTATTGTGTTTGTATAGTGATTGCTTAGTAAGATGCCTGCTCAAGTGGCATCAAGTTGCTTAAAGGCAGTCTGTCCCCTAGTGTGTTCAACTTTATTTTCACTAGAGTGAAGTTCATGCACTGTTGAGCTTGATTGATAATTAAACAATTTAAACCAATCAGATACAACTTTGACTCTAGAGCTTTTGAATCAAATGGCTGTGTTCCTGTTGTAGTGGAGCTGTGGCTAGAAAAATTTGGTTCCCTGTTTTGTTTCTACTACAGATATGTCAACAGGGAAAAGAGATGCTCCCATTATCATCATTCAATTCCAGTAATTAAATCTTCTTGCCATTTCCGATAGCCTTTTGCTTGCAGTTTCAAATGTCACTGCCGCAGCTAGGCCAGCCAAAGCGAGCAGTTAACCGTTAAGGCGGGATAGGCTATGGTTCATATAAGCCAATCATTGAGGGGACAGACTGCCTTCAACCAGTAAACCAATAAAGAAACACAAATTTTCTTGTTTAAACCTAAAGAAGTTTGGCATCATGTTGATAGATAATACTAGCATCTCCAATGCAATGCCTGCTTTAGGACTTGAAAATGGCCAGTTGTGGCAAAAGTTTTGATGACAATTCTTTGCAGGAAATTTGTTACTGTTTTGGTGTGGACTTGTTGCTTTGATTATGCAGCAAACATAGAACCTAAAGCTATTCTGCATTGATACTCATACTAATCAATTATTTAGTTTGCTGATAATGGTTTGAAACTAAACCTGTTGTCATACAGACCATGTTTTTTAATATTTATTAACTTTTCCCTCGAAAATAACCAATTGTGATTTGCTAGAATAAGCTCTCTTTGATCATCTGATCAGCATGAAGAAGATGATTGCTGTCTGAATCATGTTTAATATGTGCAAAAAGAATATGTTTGATATTGCTCCTTGTAGCTATGATTCTAGCTAAAAATCAATTCCTAAATAGTCAGCTACTGATTGCGGAAGTTTATTGAGGTACCAATGAAAAATTTTGCCAGTGTAATATGAAGGGTTCACAGCCTTAACATAATTTTTCTAAATAGTTATTGAGGAATGCATTCGTTTATATTCTAAGGGATGGTCAGGAGGTGCTGAGATGCTTATAAAGCATGGAGCCAACACTAATACTGTAGATGCAAAAGGAAGAAATGCATTACATTTTGGAGCGTGCTCTTATGAAGAAAGGTACATGTTCATTTAGACGTAGTTTAGGACAAAGAGTTAGTTTACCACTTTCGAATTTTTTGTTTGAGTTAGCCCAGAAAACCTATTGTTGCAATTTGCTATACAAATTTATTTAATGTTTTTATTGATTTAACGCTTTATTTGAAAGATGTTTCCAATTGAAAAAATTTCAGTTAAGGATTTTGCTACCTTTGCATAATGCATGATACACAAAAATCTTTATTTCTAATGCTAATTTATTCAAGTTATGCTTTTTCGTTATAAATTCATCGTTTCCTCAATTTCAGCTGCATGGAACTTCTTCTTTCTCGCTCAGGAAATGGAGCCATTAATAGATTGGATTGCGAGGTCTGTCTTTTGAACAATTCAGTCATATCAGTTATTTTGTTCTTTGTACTGGTTTATCATGGTTGCAGATTATGTTTAAGCATGTCAGTCTAGGATATAATGATAAAAATCTGCTTGATATATGGAGTTATCTGCTGTTTGTCTGTTAGTCATCAGCGACATTTGTTATGCTTAACCTTTGTAATGAAAAAACATGGTTGGAAGATTCTGTCACAGATCAATAGGATGTCTGTTAACAGCTTATAGAGTTTATAATTTCTTGTTAAGAAATCCGCGACAGTTTGATTCCAGAATATTTTCTGAGAGACAAATTCTTTTTTGAATTCCCTATGAGTTTTTTGATTGAGAAGTCTCGGTAGAATTTGATCGCCTTTGCCTTCCCCTGCATCTAACAGCATACGGTAGCCAGGGAAATGCTTTTCAGCTTTTCAAAGGTTTTTGGATTTGTTTTCAGAGTCCAAGTATCCTTAAAATATATGGGGTTATACATCCCCCTCCCAGATATGATTCCAAGTATAATGTGGTTCACGAGAAAAACTGGCAACAGCTCTAAATTATCCGGGAATTATGTTCCTATCAATCTAAGGTCGCTTTCCTAACAACGCTGTTAATAAGTGTGAGGATGAATTTATTATCATGCTATATGATTTTGATATTTTTCAAAGTATAGCAATATTGATGGCCGCTTACTATTGTCATTATGATCTAGTCTTCTTGCTAATTGCAACTTTTTAGAATGGATTTTGCTTTTTAAAAGGGCATGACTCCTTTGCATTGGGCTTCCTTTCACAACGTTTGGGACAATGTTGATTTGCTGTTAAAAAGAGGTGTGGATCCAACAATCGTCGATAAAGAAAACAAAACTGCTTTACATTGGGCAGCTCAGGTAAGCAAAGTAAGACCCTTCCGCATCTCTGTAAGCACTCCAAACGTTGTTATCTTTTTTTGTTCACTTTTAGGTGTTTACTTCTTTTTGGTGTCAAAATGCTTTGTACACACTTTTTATAAGACGGTTGTTGAAATAAGAATATACAGGCTTAGAATCATCCAGTTTTTATGAAAATTATAAGAATATTGCTCAGCCTCAGCGCGTACATTTGTTTTTTTATTTTTCTGCAGTTGCCCTTGTTTTGGGATATTCCTAACAGAGAATCGCAGGATTGACATATCTTGTTTTTCAAAAAGCGTGGTTTTTATTCAAGAGCAGGCGATGTACTGCTAAACACATATCAGATTTGAAATGAATAAGAATACTTAAAGAATATATTCAGGCTCAAAACGAACGATTCTTAAAAATATCGGGACTGTACAATTTTTTAGGGTTTTTGGTATTTCAAGTTTCATCTTTGATTTGTAACGTAAAGGAAAAAAGGGTTGACCACTGCAATATGAAATCGCGTACTCGAAAGCAAAGTCAGTAATTTTAAAGTTGATTAGAATACTGAAAGAATTAAATGCAGAGGGTTATCTTTGTGTAGAATAATGGGAACTTTCAAGAGCTGAAGAATATATCGAAAATAGATGTATGCAGACCCTTTCTTTCTGTCTGGTGATGGCACTTGAAACTCAAAGTTACAGCTTGAAACCATCTTGTTTTGTATTGCAAAGAGACTAACAAACTACTCTCATTTCTTGCAGAATGGCTGTGCCCCCGTTTGTAAGGTTCTCTTGGGTTCGAAACACTGTAAAGGCTTCATCAACAAAAAAACAAATGATGGAAAAACTGCCTTACACCTTGCCGCGATTGGAGGGCATTTAGGTGTGATTTTTGAATTGGCCCAAGGCAATACGTTAGATGCTGATTTAGGAGATGAAGAGAAAAGGTATTTGTTTTTATCTGTTTTAAAATTTTTTATAGGCTCTAATTCCTGCTTTAGCTATAAAATGTTTCTTTATCTGAAGGCTTGGCAGATTCTAACAAATATATATTTCGGCTCGAAGCAAGGAGTGTTTAACCTTCTCTAGTTTGTTGTGAAATCATCGATAACATTCTGTCTGAACAAAACTATGAATTTACATTATCGTCTGGACCTGTTATCGAATTTACATGCCCGATTCTTTCAGGAGAGGTTTCCTGATTTTTTTTACTTATAATGCTTAAAAACATCAGCCACTTCGAAAATGTCTTCCAGGTTCAATGTATTGTGCATTTTTAATCCAGTAAATCAGATTTCCTCAATCCTTTCGGCATTCTATAGATCAGTAGTGTTTTCTCTGCAACCTTTGCAGTTTCTCTGCAAATTGGTTTTTCATTTATACGAGCGCAAAGATATAGACCTGGTAGATTTCTTGTGGGAAAATTGCAGGTGTAATTGTCTTGGAGTAGTAGTTTAGGTGTAGTAGAAGAATTTTTTTTTCGGAACTGTCGTTTATCCTTGCCAAGGCTGTCCTGAATAATTTATTATGCAGTGAAAATAATGGCCCGACCTTGCTCAAATGGCCTGACCTTGCTCAAATGGCCTGACCTTGCTCAAATGGCCTGACCTTGCTCAAATGGCCTGACCTTGACCAAATGGTCTGACCTTGACCAAATGATCAATTTTTTTTCTAGGACTGCTCTTCACTGGGCATGCGCTGTAGGCAGTGATCGTTGCGTGGCTGGACTTTTGCAGCTAGGTGTTAGGCACGACATTCTAGACAAATACGGAATGACGGCCCTCATTTATGCAAAGAAGCTCAACCACCATTTGTGCGTATCGTTATTAGAGAAATTCGATCCAAGGAGGCCCCAGGATGTATTAATACCCATGGAGAGCCTCAGTGACTTAAACGAAAACATGGAAAAGGCAGCAGACCAAAAATTATCTTTGTCAAACCTTGAAAATGACGTATTCCATCTGATTCCAACTGCCGAAAAAGACCACTCGCAAATTGATGAAATTGTACTGCTTCATCAAGAAGCTCTGGCTGCCAATCAAGAAATCCATTCTTTGGCCGAAGCAATCGGCAATGTCTTGAGCAAAAACGACAGGGATTCCGATTCAGATTTCATTTTGTCAGGGGATGAATCGAGCAACGCTGGTGACGTCACACTCAATGGTAACTCTTCCGCCTTAATGTGTTAAACACATCGCTTTGTCAAGGACTTGCCATTGACCTTTGTTTTAAAATTCCATGTGTTCCATATCGCTCGTGCCCATTTAATATTGTCCACTCACATTTATTGTCCTTTGTCTGTTAGGTAGATTCGGGAGTTTTCAACTTTGACTGTTTTCCAAATAATTCCTAAGACAACACTGATTTTGATCAAGATATCACTGATTGAGATGTTACATTTTAGACAAACAAATTAGAAAATATTTTCCTGTTCGTGGTTCGAATAAGGCCAGTGAAAAACGGAAGCAACATCTCAACAAACTACAGGATATTTGTTTTCTAACTGCACCTTTTCAAACATAATTCTTTTTCGCTTTTTGTTTCTGTTCTGAGAAATGTCAGACGAAAAGCTATAGCATGTATAAGAATGTTTGTTTTTTTCAAAGCCATTTTCAAACTTTGCTTCTTGAAAAAACTGTTGGTTAATTATACATCCTTTGCAATGTTTCTAGCTTGCGGAAATGCAACCTTATCCTCCCCATATCTTATTTCAAGAGCTTTACCATCATCTGAATTATTTGGAACAATCTGATAAATTATCTTGCAACACTAATCAAAATGCAAGACGTTGTTATATGAATTTTTGTATGGAGAATCTTTTTCTCCTCTGAATTCTAAAACGGTTTAAAAGCCTGAATGAAAAACTTCTTATTTTCGAAAAGTCGATCCTCTTAGCTTTTAGGCCCTGAATTTTCTTTAATGGAAGGATAGACTTATTCTAGCCAAGAAACTAGAAACAACATATATTTTAGAAATTTATTTTAGTGTGCTTTTAAAAGATGTATCTTTCTATGTTTTGGTTGAATTTAACCATATATTTTCTTTACTGTCGAGTCTCTAAGACTCATGCATACTTCTTTTCCATTTTCTATAAACATTTTTAACGCACTGAATTTTTGCTAAGTGTGATTTTTCTCTAATGCTAGACGCACATCACGAAGCAGTGATCAGCGATGAAGAGTCTCGACGTCAGCCACAAATGGCTATAACTCCTCCTAACTCCTTTCTTCACTCACCCATTGGAGTTCGTGGAAATAAAAAGGAAAAGCGGAAAGACATCCGACCCGCTCGAAAAATTGTAAGTTGTACCACTGTCTTCTTTGTTTGCTTATATTATTGATAAGTTTAAACATGGCCGGTGTTTTAGGGTCCATTGGATAAATTTAGCATAAAGAGAGTTGGATGTAAAGACCGTCTTGTTTTTAATCCTGAAAGCAGAGATAAAAAAATCGGTGGCGAGCCTATTACTCAAATTATTACACTTTCACCAATTTTGATTACACCAAAAAGAATTAATGGTAACTTTAAAGTTACCGAAATTGGTACTTGGATGGTATCGTTTTTTTTGAAATTTTAAAGACGAAGATTTTTTCTGCTGATGTCATAAAATTGGTCTAAGGAAAGGGAAGTCGAGTTAAATTGAATAGGAAATTACACTTTCAATAGACTGCAGTATGTCGATTTATGAACGTCCTATAAGTTGCCATTTTACGGCTATATACTGAAGGTGGTCGCTACGAAAGTGTGATTGTTTTCTTTTCTAAAAACTTTTACTGCAACTCTGTGGGATGGCATACAATCCGCCAAAACCTCAGCACTGCTCTGCGGTGCGGTTCTTGGTGAAATTGCTTGAAGAGACTGCCGAATCTCTTAGACTCATGCATACTTCTTTTTCTATCGTTTTTAGAAATGTTTGTTTTTTAATGAATGCAGTTTTGCGAAAATAGTGCGTTTGGGTGTTCTTACCTTAAAAAGATACATGTTTTTTCTTACTTATACCGTTAACTGGCTAGGTTGATTAAATATTAACCCAGTTAACTACAGCTGCCTTCCTTTGCTTTGTAGCTGTAAGTAACTGTTCCTACCTGTAAAGAAATGCCGTAGAAGTTCAATGTTGACTGCCCTGTTTTGCATCTTTAAACATTTTACAGTTAAGATTCTCTTTAAAATGGGTATAATGGGAGACGTTGTCAGCAACAGGTTCGACCATGGCTTGACAAAAGTTGTTGGATTACCCAGGCAAAGGATCCTGTCCCGGCCACTGGGCTGGAACCTTTATTTCAAGCGCTTTTAGTTGCACTAACTTAGTTGTTTTCACGATAAACGTCAAGTATAATGGCGACATGTTTCGGGTTAGAGACAAAGCCTCATCGTCGTTCCATCTAGCAGTTTTGGAATCTACATAAACATAAAAAACCGCTATTGTGTTGACAGAACGAATTCGTTTTCACCTTAGGTCTCCATTGGTGATATTTCTATAGGCAAACGGCATTGATTGGGCAACTTCAACAGTCATGTGCTCACATTTCTGATTGGCCCATTTCGATCCACAACTGGGTATATATATTTCCTAGAGAGAGTTTTCGATCTATGTTCTGACGTTTTATAGTCTGAAGAGAGTCAGACGAAAAGCTTAAGTGTGACTCGAAATGTTTGCTTTTTTCAAAGCCATTTTAAAAAGTCTATTCGAAAACAACGAGAAAATACATGAATTCCAATACAAAAACGGATCAAAATTTGTCTGTTTTGGCCTGCTGTACAAATTGATCCGCTTTTAAAGCGTGTATATTTATAAAGCACAATTTTGAAAACAGCTTTGAACATACTTTGAAAAAAAATTGAAATTAAAATGAAGGAATATAAAAATTAAAATGTGCGGTATGACAACGAACCGTTTCATTTTGATGTGCAAATAGATTTGCATTTGTGATAATTCTTTCTCATAACTGTATGATTTTCTTGGGCAGCTAATTTAAGAATAGAACCTCCTTAAGTGAGGTATTTTTTGGTACTTAGAAACGCTGCCAGAAGCTTTCTGGAGTACATTGGTTTACTATTGAAGGTCAAATCTATTGTTGATCAAAGTTTTCTGCAGTGATGTTGAAATTTCCTGCTAGCGTGCTCGCTCGTTTTTTCCACCCCCGATGAACAGATAGCATTTTTGGAAAATAGGCCATATTGACAAAACAAACCAGTGGAGACAAACCAACCCAAAGCTATATGAATTTAAACTTATTCAAACTACTGACAAATGCAATAAAATTTAACGTATCTTAACAAATACTTCAATATGTATTTGCGTATGCATATACCTTCTCGATCCATTCTAGTCGAAACAGTCAAATTCATCAACGTACAAATTAGCACCAATCAAGACAAAAGTATTCAACCAGCAAAACACGTTAAGAGTTGACGAATCGCCGTCCTCACGGAATGGAAGAAGATCGTCCTCGCAACGGGAAAACGCAAGAAAGATTTCCATCAACTCAGGTACGGTATTTCCTTTATAAAGGGACTTGACTTTTTTGTAGCATTTTTTGGTTTGCAGGAAAATCTCCAGGCAAAATTTCAAGTAATTTCCTTTATAATGTACTTTTGACATGTTAAAGTTCCAATTCTGACACAAAATCTGGACATATTATTTATGATTATAATAAGGTCTGCTGGGATCTTTACGCATTCACAGTAGGAAGCACAGTAGGAATATAGCGGGGTGGGGTTGGATATAACACTAGTATTTCAATATGTTTAGAAATTCGAAGGGAATCATCAGTGTTTGTTTCTTTATGCAAGTTTCAAGCGCTCTCTATTACCAACTGTAGAAACAAAGCTTTATTCTATGAAAAGCATGCAAAGTTTAGTCCCGTTTCCTTTGCTGTCCTAAACTTCGTATCTACAATCTCTTTTACATAGAAACCAAGAGAATACACTTAGAAATTCATTTGAATTGGAAAATTTGTTAAAATGGGTGGAGCAGAAATTGTTTTTTAACAGAAAGCCATTATTGTGCAGAAGTGCTGTTTTCTTTCTTTCTTACAGTCTTTGCTCTGGTTTTTGTGCTTCTTTTTTCAATATGTTTCACATCTTCAATTAAAACTCACTTCATTCATCTCATTTTGTTAAAATCTCTTGTCATTGAAAGTTATCTTGTATCTTTTATTCAAAGAAACATCGTCCGAGAAGATGCCAAAAAGCCCAAACAAAAATGAAATGAATGGTTTTAATTGGGAAAGACCCACTGGGCTGCGAAGGAAAAGTCTGTCAATGAACGAAGGGCTAGTTCAATATGCAATGAGAGCACCACAAAAAATTACAGTAGCTAGAACGTAAGTCTTATTGTGTCAGAAATTGTCAAGCGATTAATCCGAAAACTGCTGAAAAATTATGCAATATATCTTTATCAGCCTTCCGTTGACCGGAAATCCTTGCTAAAAAGTTGGGACACAGATTTAACTACCTCGACAATTTTTAACTACCGCTGCCTCTCCTCATCCCACTCAGATTTTAACTGGCAATCAAAGTAACTTGCTGACTCAAAAGAGACCCAGAAAAAGAAAGCTTGTCGTGGATGGGTGGTGGAAATTTAGTTTCTAACGTATAAGAAAAAAAAAATTTTAAAGACTAGATGCAGCAGTCAGCATTGCGAAAATATGATGATAGGATAAATCTGATCGATATTAGTTTTTAGTTGTTTTAATAGGTACACAGGAATAACTTTTTAAAATTTTTAAACCTTTATGTACAAGGTGCTGTAACAGTTTTAGATACTATTTCAGGTACTGTAACTTTGGCTTTGTTGACGTATTTTGAAATAAGTATTTATTGTATTGGTCCGTTGTTGTTCCAGCAGCGAGGTTAAATTGTAACTGGATGTTGTCTGGCTCAGTCTATGTGACATCAACAAGGATGAAAAATGTTTTGAGCCAATCAGACTGTTTGTTTACAATTTGAACCAGCCAATGGTATAGCGTCAAAGACAATAGAAATCTGGAGAGAAAATAGCATCGAATCAGCCGCAACAGTAACGCTCGCACCTCCTATCCAAAGCTGTGGGGAAAAACCGGCGCCACAAAAAGTTAACGCTGAACGCGAAAATTGTCATTATTGAAGTGCTTCATACAATTATGCATAGCAAAGGAGTATATCTAAAACTTTGCCGTCCCCATTTTTGAAATTCGGTCGTTAACCAGAGATAAGCGATGAAACGTTTAGCCCATTATTGCCCTGATTGAATCTGCTTACGTTGGTTATGGTTGGTTTTACGGCATCATGTCATTTTATTGAAAAACAGGTCATTTTTTACTTACAAAGTATGTACGTCGTATATTTTAAAGTAAGACGGAGAGATGATTATCAAACTCGGGTTTTTTCCCTTCATTCTGCCTTTTTCTTGCATGTTCTTAACCCTAAGACAGTCCGTCAACTTTCTTTCATTGAGTGCGTTCTAAAGTGTTGCGTATAGAAGAAATGCATATCTTGAGAAAATAGCGCCATTGTTGCAAATATTTATTCCAAAATCATATGCCTATTCCTGATTTTGGTATTTTTGTAGGTGCAAGCAATGGTTCTTCTCATGGCAAAGTTTTTTAGGCGATTTGTCAACGAATTTTGTGGACACAAATTGTTATCAAGGCTTCAAAACGTTAGACAGTAAACGATAAAATGTTTTCTCTAAGCACGCAACGGCCCACGCTATCTTTCTCCACTGAAATAAATCCCCTGGTTTTTTTAGTGACTTAAGTACGGATTCATTTAAGAAAAAACTCAGAAGTACTTACGAAGTGCTTGAGGGTTCAAGAATTGTATTCTTCTTTACTGTAAAATGTAGAGGGTCTTTGTTGAGTGGTTCCCCAACTTTGCATGTCGATATATTCAAATATTTTTGCAAAGTTTCATTAAAAAGAGTTGGAGAATGTACCACTTTACAAAATATAAGCTCAATAATGACCCTGATCGTTGTATTCCAATAAGATAATGAGAACTCAAAAAATGTAGCTTGTTATATCTCAATAGCTTTTTCAGTTGAAGGTTTGATTCAAACTTTTGCAGGTCATGTAGAGGTTTCAAATTTTACTTTACAAATTTTTAAACAAGCAATTTTTGAAATAACAAGTAAAATGTGCACAATTTTTCAAGGTTTATTTTTTGCTTAAATTTTATCAACGACCTGTAAAAAGATTTCAAAATGACCTGTTTTTCAATAAAATGACATGATGCCGTTTTCTTGGAGTACAACCAACCATAACCATCGTAAGCAGATTCAATCAGGGCAATAATGGGGTAAACGTTTCATCGCTTATCTCTGGTTAACGACCGAATTTCAAAAATGGGGACGGCAAAGTTTTAGATATACTCCTTTGCTATGCATAATTGTATGAAGCACTTCAATAATGACAATTTTCGCGTTCAGCGTTAACTTTTTGTGGCGCCGGTTTTTCCCCACAGCTTTGGATAGGAGGTGCGAGCGTTACTGTTGCGGCTGATTCGATGCTATTTTCTCTCCAGATTTCTATTGTCTTTGACGCTATACCATTGGCTGGTTCAAATTGTAAACAAACAGTCTGATTGGCTCAAAACATTTTTCATCCTTGTTTGTGACATCTGTATATATTTTGAATAACATCAGTCAATCAAAGATGCACCTGCGCAATGTCTCCATTGTCGTGGTTTGTACATGTCTGTTTTGAACCTTGATGGCATGAATTTTCATTTTGAAACACAGGCAATCGTACGCACAGTTCAACCCAATGCAGAGTATACTCCCCGTTATCGACATTAGGGACGGACGAAACCTTACTCAACGCATACGCCCAAACCAGTTTGGTAAGAAGATTTTTCTTTTTGTTTGTGTTTACGGTATGCAATTCTATTCAATGAATACAACACAGTATAAGGTCCTCCAATTGCTTTAGCCAACTATGATATATAATATGGCTTTGAAAAAGCAAACATTTCGCAGCATATTGTCAGGCGAAAAAGCTTTAAGCAGCATGTTGTGAAATGACTATGACTTTAGTATGGTAGGAATATTAAATACTCCTATGCATAAGTGGGAGACCCTAAGTAGGATGTCCCAGTTTTTTAGCTATTCAATCAGCAGTAATCACATTTTCACCACGTTTTATTTCACGGTCGTAACTACTATATGTAGATTTCGTTGCCAAAGGCGAGTGATACTTGGTACTTGGTACCCCCCAATAATTGTCAAACTGTAGTATGTTTCCTTTATAACAGTGCACTGAATAAGATGGAAAACAATGGGCAGCCCCCCTCCCCCCCTTCAATATGAATTTCGTTCCGACGGCACTGAAATTCTAGATTTTTTGTCACCAGATATCATATATTATTGATTTTAGCAATGTTATCAAGGGCAACTTGAAAAATTGTGAAGATTTTATGTAGTTGTTCCAATTAGTTAGGGAAGGATTCAAACCTTTAGTAGGGTCAGCAATTATAATAGTAGGGATGGGTATTTTGCAAATGTCTGGATGCCACATGGAAAACATATTAAAAAATTGTTATAATTACACCGAGAAAGTAGACTTCAAATGGGTCTCAAATACTTTGTAAAAGATTTTTAATTATCATAGTACGGCTTGCTATATGTAGACAGCAACCTGATAGTATTGTTACTTATATCGGTTTGTTGTAAAGTATGCAGGGCCGTCGCTAGCAATTACGCTCAAGGGGAAGGGGGATGCTCAAATGCCATTTGCCGTTAATATGAGCAAGCCATCATTTATTTGCAGACAAATCTGAAAATTTGCCGATGAGGCATCCCCAGTTAGCAAAGAAAACTTTTTTTACAATGGAATTTACCGATAAAACACCCCCCAACAGCCCGAAGCAACTGCCCTGAGAGTATGACGTCATTATAATCTCTAAAATTGTACGGGGTATTGGTATTGGTATTGGTATTGGCTGTTTCTCTTAGACAATGGGTACGATGGGCAAGATGAAGTTAGTCATTATGGCTTAATAGAAAATCAAGAGAAAGAAAGAAGAAAGAAGCAGAAAAGAAAACAAAGAAACTCTCGCTACGAGCGATGAAACAAATGGGTTTTTACTGTTGTAAATAGCCGTAGCTACAAGCTGAAGCACCGATCGTTGTCCATATTGCTTCCTGGTTTTACTGGACAGCAGGCGTTTTGGATTTTTGAAGGTGTTGTAAACCTTCAAAATAAACTTAGTTATCCTTATCATGGGATATAATAAAACTTAGAAACAATCAGAGTAATTGCACGTTAAAAACCGATAAATTTTTAATTGTTATATTTTCATAATATCAAAGTTTTATTTAGAGTCACCCAGTGCTCACATGACACGCACATGTGCCAAAATTTAGGGACATCCATATCGAAAAAAATGTCTATGTTAATACCTTTTACCTTTCTTGGTAATAAAGACATAGATAGGTTTAAAACCTTAATGACTATTCCGTTTCTCACTGACCTAGTATTCTGGGGTCCGCAACGTTATTTGTCACCAGGCCTCTATTTTGAGCTAAATCAGATCGGGATGCCTTGCCTGGTGGATTTACTCGAAAGAAGTGTGGCAATTCCTCTATTAATAATTATTTTCTGTCCGAAATTTAGGGAAACTGGCAATTCCTCTATTAATTATTATTTTCTGTCCGAAATTTAGGGAAACTGCAATGTCATTTTAAGTGTCATTTCAGTTCTCGAAAGACATGGACTCCTCTCGAACCCTATTTATACAATCCAGTAAACTTTAAAAAAAACATACTATGTAATACATTACTCATTGGAAAATACTCTGCAACACTATTACAGAACGATACCCCAAGGAGCAAAGGACTATTTTACCCCAAAGCCATTTAACATAAGAAGGAAGAATGGTTTCGTGAAGTTTATACATACATATAACTACATACAAAGATCCAAAAAAATATACATTATAAGATGCTGGCATTCTTATATTTGGTAGCAAAATGTAGTGCTCCTAGCCATGCCACAAAAAACTCCAGCAGGAACGACTCCAAATGAAAAAACCACTGTGACTGAGCATAATCTGTTCCGCAACAAAATCATTTTTTTTCACTTCAAATATTTACTTGCAAAACCCATTTGTAGAAAGTATACACACCCTACACACAAGCAATTCTATGGAATATCCCAAGCACGTCAGAACTACTACTATCGTTATTCAAGTGATGGATTCAGCGGCTTTGTCTCAAATTATCGATTCGGTAATTCAGTATAGTACAACTTTAGAAGATTGTATTATAATCTTTTGAATAGCTTTTTGAAAGTTAATGAGAAATATCAAACCACGTGCGTTTTGTTTTTTGTCGATGTTTCTTGGTTATGGAAGATAACGTCACTGCCTGCCTGAGTTGGCAAAAAAATTTACGCAGGATACAGTTCAACTTTCCTAAAAAAAATTTGTGTGGGAGCAGATTTGCTACCCACCTTAGGCACCTCTGTTCAATTTACGTAACGAAACATAACATAACGTAAAATAACGACATTAGAACTGAAATAAAAAAATCTTTGATTCGTTTGTTTATTTAACTTTAAAATCTTTCTTATCAAAAACAACAGCTAGATAAAAATAGGCAACCTTATTAAATTTCCGACAAGTCGAGAAGTTTTCCGACAAAATAGCAGTATAGCTTTACAGGGGGGTTTTTCGCCCCCTTTTACCCCCTTCTATCTACGCCACAGTTTTGAGGGCACAATAATGGTGATGGCACAATTCTAACGCAACCATCCACGCACAGAACGAGTATTCCTATCTCTAGATGTTTCTTATACAAAACTGTGATTCTAGAAAAATTAAGTTTTCCAAAATCAAAAATTTTTAAAAAGGGATAGGCCAAGCATGACCAGTGCGAGGACCGCTCCAGCACAGAATAACCAGAAGGGTCACTCTAGGCGGTTCCTTTGTTGTTTTTGAAGCTCAGAATCTTTGGGGGCGCCAGCAATAAAATACATGCTAGAACTCGTTTTCAACACGAGACTATGCAAGTCTTGTCGATGGAAAAGTGTACGATGAGAAAAATGAGAGGCCCAAAAACTGATTTTTCTTGACAATTTTCTAAGACGTTTCCCATAAATGATTCAAAGATCAAAGCAAGGCATAAAGCTGGTTGCTGCGATAAAAATTGTTGTTGTTTGTACAGATTTACTAGCCACGAAGTTGGACAACAACTTTAGAGGGAGCTGAATGGATTTCGCAATTTTAACTCTTTATCTAAGTTCTCTTATCAGATACTTCAGACTGCTAGATAAATTCCACGTGAGGTAATACATGATCTGACACTTTATTTACGAAACTCCATCCGAAGGGTCGATGACAAGTCAGCACTTTGAAGCATTCTTGTAGCCGTTACTTCCCGAGTACTACCGCTCTTTTATGGACGCCCAGTTTGTTTTGAGAGTTTCCTTTGACAAATGCAGCAATATTGTAGCAATTGTACTAAGCAGAGAAATATTTTCCAATGCACATTAAACTTTCACGAAGCTTGTTTACATGCTAATTCTCTGCATGAAAACGAGAATTTGCATGCAAATTAACGCATGCGCGAGCAATTTTAGGCTCTTCAGCAACTGCTCCTACGCAACCCACTAGTTAAATCCGTTACGGTGAAGAAGCGGGTACTGGCAGCCATGTCTAAATATCGAAGACCACCGAATACTTCATTGTTTGTAAGAAATATTCACAATGACACACGGTAATTGTTGTAATACAATATTTTATTGAATGTTATTTATTTCTTATTTGATTATGCTAGGTGTCCAGTTCAATGATTTGCTCTAACTTGTGACTGACAAAGACGGCCTAATTGATGTACGGGAAGCCAAGTCAATTCGCCTAAGGCAAGGTCTTGAGGTTAAATTCTTCTGGATCTATACTGAATACTCATTGGTTTCATTTACATTTTTAAAATGAAAACCTTCAGTTGATCTATCCTGGCTTTTTTGCGGACACGTTGAAGACTACACTCCAAAAACGAACGATGAAATATGAACAATACAATGTAATGAACATGTGGAATTTACCAATCATTATTTGCAGTTATTTTCAGATTAGAAAAGTTTCACTTTATTGTTACCGAAATATGGATTCTTTCAACTAATAAACATTGTTTGAATTTATGAAGAATTTACTTGATGCAGCTTTTTCTAAGGTATGGGATCAATATAAAAATGACAAATTCTCTGTTCCGGGCAATTTTTTTTATTTTCATATTTGCCAAAAATGGATCATAGAATTTGAATCATTTTCACACAGCAGCATCTTCCGGTCAAATCTAAAGAAATGTCTAAAAATAGAAATTGAAGTAACTCGCAACCGCCCAAACAACACAAAGTTTTCAGTGTTGACTAACCTTAAGATATGGTGATTTCAAATCTGAAGACCATTTTTGAGAAAAGTCTGTTGATAGCAAGATGCAAAATCGATGACATTAACCTGGAATGGAGAATCGAACCTGGAGCTTTACTTAGAAGAAATTATTAGCAAATAAAGCTTGAATTCCTTGATTTAAACACAGGACGTCAATTGTATGATAAGTTCTGACACAACGGAGGCAAATCTGATAATGTTTAGGTTTCAGATACCAGGCTATATGAACTCCAGAGTGCAAAGTATTTTTTGCTTGCAGGGAATTATTTTCTGCCGCTTAAGCTTGCATGGGAACACGTAATGTTGCAAAATTGCAGATTAAAAGCTGCAGGATTTTAATTCTTAAATAGTATTTTTAAGCCTAATGGCGAGGCTGTGTCCAGGATTCACACAAGAGTCTGTGTTTCAAGTGCAAAAATTAATCCAAATTTGCAACAGTGCACAGATGGGATTTGAGGAAAAATTATAACACATTCCCAGCTTATACCAAAACTTTGCAGTCTGGTATGAACTTTAAAATCATTTCCAGAATATCCTTCAGCAAAGGATATTGCAATTTTTTTAAAAAATGCCCTGGCATGTAGACCTTTTATGGCAGTTATAGTATATATATATATATATAGTGTAGGTATGACTGCCTCGCCACAAAGTATACAGACAGGAAAAGGATTGATTTGTTTTCACATAAAAGAGTATTAATTAAGATTGTTTAAATGGAGAGTGGCCAAGGCTCAGCTGGCAGAGTATGGGAGATGCATGGACAAGGTGTTTATAGCATATGAAAGAAGAATTTTAGACATAACTCGTTAATTGCTAGCTTTATGACAAGAAATCATCATTGAACAGCTTTGAACATAAGAACAAAAAAGTATAAGTCTCCATACTATTGAAAGTTACATGGAAGAAACAAGACATAGGGCTTGTCCTTCCTGCGCTATGTACTGTAGCCCAGCCAAAGAAGTAGATTTCCATTATTCTTCTTTAAGAGGTCAGATAATAATAAAGCTGTTCCAATTTTGTTGAAATAAGCATTGCTGAAAGTGGATTTTAAAATACTAGAAATTAAGAATTAACCTGACAGGATAATACATACTTTTTAAATTTCTGGTATTTTCTAGAGTAGCGCGTGAAATGTAGCACATTGAATCTATGTCCTATGGGGGGTTGTTTACAGAGGAATGCCTGTATTTCCCTGTATGTGTAGAAGACCAGATGTTTATAGAGGATTTCATTTATTTTAGACTTAGCTTTTATTATGTGTAAACAATTATATTTGAATGCATATTAGTTCTGAATAAATTAAAATTGATGTTTCATTTTCTTTGTTGCCTTGGTTCCCTGAATTTTGCTCAAAAGTCAAATTCCTACCCTTGAACAAGTGCTTCAATTACCTTCATAAAGATGAGTGTCAGACATTTTCTGGGACCATAAAAAAACATGCTTGCACCCCTTTAATTCAACTGCCCTATACCCAGCTGTTATTTTTTGCCCTATACCCAGCTGTTATTTTCTGTCACTTGGGTTCCAGTGGCACAAATTATTATAGTGGATTATGCAACATTCCTTAATGCAAATTTGTGATGACTTGCTTTTAGGGCTGAGGACATGAGAAAGCTCTTTGGAAGGTATGGTCCAATATCAGATGTCTATATCCCTCTGGACTATTATCACAGGAAACCTAGAGGATTTGCATATGTACAATATCCTTTTCTTATGTCTGAAATTTAAGCTGTTTTTTATGCAAACTTAATGTAACACAACATGTATGTATATATACTGAAATATTCTCCAGTTCATGGATTGGTTCAATTTTTTTACAAAGTATGCAATAGATATGCTGCCTAAAAGAGAGCAACTGTTTTTAAACACCAAAATAATTATTGCTAATAACTAGATAGGTTTTTGTTTTTATCAATGCTTTTAGAGTATTTGCTGTTCTTTGACCTTCAGTAGAATCTCAGTTAAAAAAAGGCTGTATACAAGTTGTAAATCTGAAGGGAAAATTGGTGAAAGTTACACAAAGATTGTTTATTTTCTTTAATACCGTAAATCCTTGAATTAGCCTCCTGGGGCTTATTTATTTTTAATATTTTTGGATGGGGGCTTATACGAGGGGGGGGGCTTATACGAGGGGGAGCTTATAAAATTATTGTAGACACTAAGAAGACATTATAAATAGACCTCGTTTGTTTTAGTAGGAATGTCTTTATGAGCATTTAATTAATTATTATCAAAAGTATGAATTTGTTGTGGTAATTCAATAAAACGCCATAGCAACCTCAGATGGCAAAAATCATCAAATTGAGGGGTCAAATTTGAGAATTTACAGTAGCAGTGGGGGCTTATTTGAGGGGGGGGGCTTATTGACAATTTTATAGTTCTAAGGGTAGGGGCTTATTTTGGAGGGGGGGCTTTTTTGAGGGTGGCCAATTCGAGAATTTAAAGTATTGGAGAACAGTTTTGCAAAATCTTACCACTACAAGATTACTGCTGAGTCACATAGATTTTTAATTTTTATTGTTTAAATGAGTTTTATTAAATAAAACTGATTGAAGAAACATACCAGACTCAGCCATTGTTAATTTGATAGAAATTAATTCAGCAATAAACTTCAAGGAATAGAGTTTTTTGTTCTTGAAATTATTTTTAAAATTTTTCCTGTATTTCAGGGCTATTATTTGTTTAATACCTAAGACTTTTCTTGTTCCAATCTCACGTATTGGTACTTTCTAACAGGTAATAGTTATAGAGTTAACTGGGAGTGAAAGCTTGCAAAGATTAAAAGAGAATAGAGATCTTTTCTAAAGAAAATAGAGGTCTTTTTCCTGATTCAGAGCATCAAGCAAAAGGAGAGTGATGAAAGAAGAATCACATTAAACAGAATTTGCTTCTAAAGAGTTGAAATTTCATTTCATTTCACAACAAAGATGAGGCTTCCAGAGAATGTAGAGATGGCAAAGATGGCATAAGGTAGTACAAGGGTTAATGATATTGTAAGTCCAAAAGTAGAGCATGTGAAAAAGTAGAGAGAATGTGCCAGGGTTAGAGCCCATCAGAGACCAAATGTGCAGGGGTTAGATCACTTCAGAGATGCTCAGGAGGTTTGAGAGTCTAACTACAAAATGGATGCCCATATTTAAGATAAAGTGTTGCTTAAATAGCAAAAAGAGGTGGTTTTAGAGATAGAGTTAGAGATAAAGAGCCATATATGAAAGGACCCAGAGTATTTGCTAATAGAGATTTACCTGCAAAAAGGTACTTGTTTTATTTCTAGTTTAATGTCTTAACTCCTTTTACGTTTGATGATGTGCGTGATGCTGAAGATGCATTACGTGATCTTGATGGAACTATTCTATTTGGAAGAGAACTTGAGATGCAGTTTGCTGATGGCAATCGAAAAAGTGAGTGAAAGAGGTTAATTCTGATGGAGAAATAAATGTTTTAAGGAATCTTTATGCTTTTATCTAGATTTCTTAAGTTCATAGTAAATAGTTGCTTTCTCTCCTGTGAGGTTTTGGCAACTTTGTCTTTTTATATGGTATCATGAGTCAATCTATGTACATTTTTTACAAGCTCAGCTTTTCCAATTTTTCCACTTATTTACATTTCATAAGATTTTTGTGGCTTTTTTTTATAAAAGTTTCCTTAATTTACATAACTAAAAGAGTTTTACAGCTTTTCCCCAATCCCATTTTTTAGAAACTCTTCAACTGTTTTTGACATAACAAACTTTCCTGTATTTTTAGTTCTAGGTAAATTAGTTGTTTCTTGTATTTCTGCAGCCCCAGATCAAATGAGAACAAAGGGAGACAAGGGAAGAAAGGGATTCTTTGGTGGTGGGGAAGGATACTATCGGGGCAGGTAAGTGACTTGCTCTCAGTTTTTCAACTAGATTGAACACAATTTTTCACAAAAGTTATAGAATTTAGGGTTATATATTTGGATTATAAACACTGGTGGAGCAACAACATGGTCTTTAAACAGAAGGGATACAAGGGGGGTCCCCTTAGACAGTTTTCCTTAGGACCACACCCTCTAAGACGATTGAAAATTGTTTTCCTATAAAAAGTACATCTTCAATCATGTGTTGACTTTACTTACATAATAGTTTTAAGACCCTTTTACGCAGTCAAATTTTTTCACTAGATACTTATCAGGTATTGACATTGTCAAAAACAGGAATACATTTTCTGTTGCAACTTTTGCTCTAGCCATGCATGAAAATGAATAAAAAGATTATAGTTAACAATAGAATATTCAACAATGTTAATTTATGCTGATTTCTGATGAGATCATCTGACTGTGTTACAAGGCCTTAAAACTATAATGAAATTGAAAATTGAGACAATAAGCATCACATTCCAAGAACTTCCACTGGTAGAAATAATTGCTTTGGTGATTTTGTATCAGTTTTAGATTTCTGATATATTATATTTTTCTTGTTCCCAATATGCTAAGAATTTATGGTACCAACTAAAAGCTAACAACTAAATGTTAACTTTAGAGGGAACCTCAAGAAGAGTCGCAGCTAAACTGTTAAACTTTTTGTTTTGGTTTGATTACTTAAAAATTTTGAAAATCGATTTTTTTTTCATAGACGAAAGCAGAGCTACTCACGCTCGCGATCAAGAAGCCCTCGCCGGAGAAGTCATTCAAGGAGCCCCAAACGAAAACACTCAAAAAGACGCGAGTCTCACAAACCACAGAAATCACAGAAAAGTCGCTCCTACAGCCGCTCGAGATCACGATCAGCGAGTAAATCACCTGTGAATGCCAGGCAGAGGTCGTCAAGTGAAAAATCAAGGAGCCCGTCGCCCAGGTATACTCGGTCGTATAGCCGAAGCAGAAGCGAGAGCTCCTCTGCGAAGGAGGACGGTCAAGACTGAATGCTCCAACAGTTAACAATTAACAATTCACAGTAGTAATTCTACTGTTCAGGGAACTGACGTACTATAAAGTCGTTTATATCTTATGAGCTTAAAGATTTGCAATTTGTCAATGGTTTAAGCTTCCTTCGCATTCGTGAAGTTTTCCGCTTTGTTATTGTGCTGGGACAGCTTTAATGTTTTTTATATAATTATACTCGTATTTATGTTCTCTGAAGATACTTATGTTTCTTTTCATTATTTCTTGTCTGCATGCAAGATCTGGTGCATCCCCATAGGGGTATAATCTTCGGTACTTTTAAGGGCTTACATAGAATGAGGTCCTCTTTATTGTCAAGATAATTCTCAAATCTTATTGCACGAAACAGTATTACGGCTTTCTAAACGTAGGTTAAAGTCCGACACATAAGCTAAACGGAAAATTATATCCAGAAACGGATCGAAAAAAAGGCTGGAGAAAAGCTGTTTCTTGTTGGTTCCGTGTTTTCGAGTCGATCATTTAGTTGAAAAGCCCGTGTGAAAAACATGCTCTGTCTTCCCAAGTTTTGGGTTTTCCACTTTCATGTAAACCGATTTTGAGAATTTTAATGGAATCTTCCCCAAAGAAAAAAGTCCAAGAAAGAAATTTTCCGGTTTTTTATGCGGAATACTCTTATTGGAAGTGAACTTTACCTTTCGCGTATATTTGGTGTCGATGATAGGTGTATGGGATTTTCGAACGATAGAACGAGAGATTTTAATGAGGGTTGTTGTTTACTGGTTTGTGCTCGATACCATGTACACAGATCTTTACACTTTTTGGTGTGCTAAATAGGATGGTTTTTAATTGTTATTTTGAACAGTGAATGTGTATTCCTGAAAGCACAGGAAGAAAGCAAAGGTTTCTTATTGCTACACGCGGTCTTTGCTTTGTAGATATAGGCCTTAATCACGCGGGTAAACAGCCACAATCACGCGGGTAAATAGTTTAGAAGCGTCAGTGCCCTGTTTAAAGTACAGTGAAAGAATTGCTGACTACCTATGTGTATTCCTTTTACGCTTTCGTTTATGGAAAGCGGTCCTTTGGTTTTTTTAGCAAAATACTGCGCAACAAACAAAAAAACTTGCATGTAAACACGACAGATCTCGTCTTTTTAATTTTTCATAGTGCAGGAAAGGTTAGGCACTCTCAAATATCATATTGTCAAACAAATAATGACTACCAACAAAAAACACTGTTAGTGATATATCTATGCCTCAATAAATAAAAATTGTGGTAACTGCCATTTCTGTTAGAGTATAGCCTTACTCTTACTTTTTTAGATCCTCTTCCGTCATGACATGTCATACATTACATAACTTTCAATTAGTAACTCATTGCTTAAAGTCGTTGATTCTCGTTTCACTAGAGCCCTATGCTGAGGCTAGTTTTTAAAGATTCCAAATGTTGAAGAGCTGAAATGATCTTTCATGGGTTATTGGGTCAGGTCAGGAAAGAATTTCCAACCAGTTGTATTGAAATTTTGCCTAATTCATTCAATAAAATTTCGATTAATTTCATTTGACCCTTAAAACAAACTGTGGAACAGCAGTTCTTTCTTCATTCAAGACAAAGTAACTGGGCCAGACTTAAGCCGTAACTCGTGGTCATTTCATTCTTTCGCTATAAAGCCCTTAATTGTTTGCAATTATAAAGTGTCAACAGGGCCTTTCGGCTTCATATTTTTAGCTAGTTTTGCTTAATTATACGTTGTTTTGCTGACCTTTATTGCTAATTGGAACGTATGTCTTGGCAAATATTCTTTACTTTAGAAAAAAGGAATATTTTTGAACCTTGGCATTGATAGCAAAAAAATCCGTTTCTTGAGTCAACTTAATTTCATGATTTACAATCTCTGCAAAAAATCATTGCAACGCCCTCTGCTTGAAAAGTCAAAATTTCCAGGCGAAAACACCGATACTGCTTTAACCTCTCCCTCAAAACAATGTTAAACAAAATTTGTGAAAGGGAGGGTGGTGTTATACCGTTGCATCACTAAAACATTGACCAGTAAGAAAATTGTCGTTTCTGTTTCCTAACTTTTTAATTAAAGTTAAATCGACCTGTATAGCATATAAAATCTGTTTAGCTGAATAAAAAGCCACACAAAATTGGGTCTGAATAATTTATTTTCCTGGTGCTGATGAAGTTTAACTGATTTCCGAAGAATGCTCTTGCCCGAGATACTCATCAAAGTTTCTATTAAACAATTATTTTCAAACCATGTGAAATTAGGATCCATAAATTATCCATGAACTTGACGAATATCAGACATTAATGATGTAGATTTGAGGCTCTATTCTGAAGAATACTCAGTAGGCAGTAGGTGACAAACAGTTGATAAAATCTGCAAGCAACCATAAAAATCAGATTAACGGGGTTTTTCAACTTTATTTTACCTGTATATTATGAAGAAATCAAAAGACTTCACTGGCGTAAGATAATCTCAAGCAGTTATGATAAAAGAAGCAGTCATGATAATAGTTCTGTTGAGCAGGGCCTGTGCCGCCGATTATTAACTGGGAGAGGAGGCAGCAATGCAAAATTATTCTCCTCTTTTCTTCTATGGCTCCAGAAACCAGTTTAATAGTCAAAGTAAGGATAGCACCTTGCTTTTTTGTCGGCATTTCCAGGGACAGTCAATAAGTTCTTGATCCAAAGACAACATTTTGCTTTTAGTGTTTCTTTGTTCACATAAACGTCGCTCTCTTTCTAACTGAAAACTTCGAACTTTGTCTGCCAGAGAACTCACTCTATCCGCCTTCTAATTAAGATGCTTACGATACTGTAGGCAGTTGTAGAGGGGCTATTTACCCACACATAAAGTGGCTATTGCTACATCAAATGCCATTACTTTGCTGAATAAAATATTCAAATTTTCATACAGATAAACTTGTATATTACAACAATGATATCGAACAGAATCGAGAAGAAAAACAGCCTCAGCGCGAAATTTTACCATAAAACACCTTGATAATTTTGTTTTTGATTTTGCTTTTTTGTGTGGGTTGTAAAGTGAAAGCGAGGCTATGATCAAAACCAAATCAAAAGACTTCTTTGAAAGAAGTCAAAGGCGCGCATCTATAAATTAAATTCGTCATTCAAATTAGAAGGAAAATGAAAGGCCAAAAAGCAGGTAAGCCTAAATGCTACCGATTAAGATGTATTTTTGTTCCTTTGAAATTTATTGGCTACAAGCAGCTATACAAGACATCCATAAGACCAGATAGGACGTCGCGTCGCACCCGAGTTGTAAACATTTAACGTTATCGGTCGGTAACCTTATACTCTTCTCACGTTCTCTTGTCTGTAAGTTTGTATTTAATTCGTAGTGAGAAAAATGAATACAGTTAGCAGTAATTTTAAGGTTATTTATCATTTTGCTAAATATTGCCAGCATAATGCTTGTCTGCATGATACGCCTGCTATAATTTTGTGTGTTGTCTGTCTGTCAGATTCGGAAAAGATTTCGAAATATAATCAACAATATTCCTTGATATGAAATTAAAAATTTTATTGAAGCCTGCTTTCCAGTTCCAGTTGAAAGCAAATAAACAAGTATCAATTATGTTGGAAGGTGGGCTAGCATTTCACTAAAACTGCAGAAAGAAATGTGTGAATAATTAATATTCACCTTGTTTTTCCAGTTTCAAACTGTAGGGATTGTCTTGTAAGCGCTATTTTCAATGAAACTTCATTCATTCCTGTAATGGGGCTTAATGAAATTTTCTTAGGCAGGAGTGTTGTGCTAGTGATAACCCCCCCCCCCTGTTGATGTCGAAAATTGGCAAATTTCTACTTTTGCTATTGTTTTTCACAACATTTTGTTCAAGAGCCCTACACAACTGCTTTTAGAGGTTCCATTCTAGGAACTATGAAGTTTTTACTGGGTTCCCTTTAAATGTCATGGAACTTTAATCAATAAAAAGAAAAACATTTCCAGAATTAAATTGCCTTTGCTGAATTGAACTTTAATACTTAAAATTTTGACTCTTTTTGCAGAAACTTGATTTATTAAATATTGACTTACTGCATAGAAAACCTTCATATAAATACCATTTGTCATTTCTTGTTTATATATCAACTCAAAAAAGCATTTTTGAGTTGATATATGACGTCCCAATTTTTGTCTTTTATACAAGTAATTACTGACAGTACTGACATTTAAACTTTTTATAGAATTGACTCTTTATTATAAATATATAGTATACTTTATATATCCTGGATAAATAAATATATATTTATATATATATGTTTATATGGCTCTGAAAAATGCTTACAAACCCGAAACAGAAAAAGGAACTGCCCTAGCTATAGCGAAAATCTCCATGGGGGCCTCAAATGTCACCTGTCATTTCATCAGGCAATTTGGCTCAGTGGAATGATTTCACTGGGCTTTTGATGCCACAAACTCGACTTTGATCATTAAGAGGAAAGACACTCCTTTGAGAAACAGGCATCAAATTGATTCTTTTTGTTTTTTATGTCAAGTTGATCGGGTAAGCTTCAAAAGCTGGCAAATTTCTTTCCCATCATTCCTTCTTTTCAGTGGTTTCGGACATGCTTTTCATCTTTACCCTGTTCTTATTCACTGTAGCCTGCGTCACAGACCATCACCATCACCACCAAGAGGTGATGGTCTGTGACGCAGGCTAATTCACTGCAGAAAAGTTTGAGAACCACAGTGACTCAGTGGCTTAGGATTTTGAATGTCTTTTTGCTTGCACAATACTTGAAGGAAAATAAAAGTAAATTATTGTTTTGAACCAATGATACCTTCTTTGAAATAATATGGGGATAGTTATTGTGGGTCATGTAAGCAATGAGAAACAATATGGACCCTAAAACAAATGTTCCTAGCAAATATTGTGTAGCAGACAGAAAAGGTGATTAGCTGTTTATTGGTTTTTTTATTGTTGATATCAAGTACTGAAAAGACAGGAAATTTAAAAGAGATTAAGCTAATAGTTTTAGTTTCAGTCAATTGTCTTGGATAAATGAGCAAAAACCTTTTCATATAAATATTATGAAATCACTCAAATCAAATCCTTCCTTTATTTCAAAAATGTTCTATGAGCTTTGAAGGTATTAAGAATAATTCTTTTATATTGCTTGAATTATTTGATTGTTTCTTCCTTTAATAGAATGTTTTGATGAAAATGAGTTTATAAAATTTGAATGACAGTCAGGTTTAGATAAATATTTTAGCTATTTGATTAAAGACTAATTTCTAATCACTTAGAATATTTTTCAATCCGTTTTTAGCACCATTTATCAATTTGTCTAGCATGTATGCATGATTTTATTTGTATATAATATATATAGTATTAGTCTTAATCTGTTATATATCTATTCTGTTTTTTATTGGTATTTTATTTTTTATTGTATATATTTTATTAGTTATATATGATACACTTTTTGTGTAGAACAGGATAATGCTTTGCTATGGTTAGTTTTACTTTATTACATCACACCAACACCACAATATAACAAGTTCTTGTTTTATCGCTGCTATGAGTCATGTGTGACAAGTGAGTTGTCTCTTTTAGAAAATGGACGGATGAAAGTGTTTGTGAGAATCAAACCACATGAAAATGATGGTAAGGAGTCCCTTTGTGTTGAAGCACAGAAAGATCAGTTACAGGTCAGTTTTTATCTATGTCTTTCAGGGCCCGCGCCACAAATTTTAAAGTGGGGGGCCAAGGCTAAAAATGTAGGGGGCCAAGGCCTCTTACCCCTTTTATTGCAGTTTAAAACTACTTGCTTCACAAAAAGTGGTGGGGGGCATGGCCACCCTGCCCCCCCCCCCCAGTGGCGTGGGCCCTATCTTTAATGTTTGGATAACTTAAATCGATTGTAGCAATAAAAAAGTGTGGAGTTATCATTATGGCATTCAGTATTGCAAAACTTTGCATTGGTAGTGAAAAAGATATTTGAATCTTTAATATTTGCCAAACGTTTCAGTGTTTTTACTTTTCTAAACATAGAATAAAATATCAAGAAGATTGTTTAGTCTTCTTTAACATCTAACTGCTGCTTGTTTTGTATGCAACAATAATAGATTCAGAAAGACAACAAGGAAGTTTTTTGTTAGATGTTAGGCTGCTCTTTCTCCAGCCTATAATTTGTCATATTGTTAGAGTGTTTCTCTTGATAATTTGTAGATAATGCTTAATGGACACAAAGATCCCAAATGGTATAAATTCGATGGTGTTTTTCCCCATAGCAGCAAAAACCACGAGGTAATTACTTTTATATATAGTTGTTTGTTTCATCGGAGGAATTTTAATCGCTTAATGCTCGAGTTAAGAATTTTGTAGAGATCTCATTTCATTAAATTCTTAGTTTTGGAAACGATCTAATCATATTAGACGAACCCTTTCACACGTGATTATGTGCCCGTGAAAACAGCCAATGGGTACATTTCATGGGTGGAAACTGACGCATGTGTCTTTGTATTCTTGCTTTCTATTTAAAGATTCAAACTGCTGACGTAAAGCCTGATCTGCGTTCGCAAGGCCGATTATTTTGCGTATCGTATATAGCGGCGTGTGCAAAAGTAGGAAAATCTTTACTGGTGCTGCTATTTTATTGTTTCATTACAAATGGACGCGAAAGTCAAATATGGAAAATGTTTTGCAACCTACCTGCAATGGTGGAGATTATCGATTTCGAAACTAATTTTGAAAAACAATAGATGCCAAACACTCTTTTTTTGTTAAGAACAGAGCAAATAATTTATGAAAACTGAAATTCATCTTTGCAAGACTTTTTCGGAATATCTCGGGGCAGTCCTTTAAAACTTTTACCAAACTGCATTAAAGCTGATTTTAAACTCCTCTAACGTTGAGCTGAATGAGTTTGGCACATGGAGAACGAACTCCATAACGATTTCAAAGTGCATTGCCTTAAATTGTTTCCAGTCCATATCAGAAACCGGAGCTTCGATATGCTCACATTTTACTCCTTTCCTGTTTTAGGCTCCCTTTGTACAGATTCTCTCACTAAAAAGTTTCGCGGATTATAAATATTACTTAATGTTTCGCGGATTTAAGCGCCTTTCTAAAGGGTGTTTTAGATAATTCAGGATAAAACCTACCCAAGCTGTTGGACTCCACCTGAAATGCCAATACCCATGGGTTTATATATTCTTGTACGATGAAGAGAATCTTTCCCCAGGGATTTATTTTTGTATAATATTCGAATCAGTTCCTGTGTTTACTAGCTTTTACAGCTCTTAACGAAGATCTTTCTGCACTTTTCAATGGAAGATCCTTTCCAGGGGAAGTCAAGGGCAATATACTTCTGTTTGTTGATAAAATAAGATGCCAGCTAGATACTGTATCCCTGAGTTAAATTCCTTTGTTATTTAAATCCATACCATAAATTCCATAGCAATACTGTTGTAAAAAATGTGATATGCAGAAGAAGTTATACGTTGAAAGTCTTCGGAAATATCTTCAAGTTGGGTTGAGGGATCTTTTCCTCCATGGGGAATTTCAGTAATGTTACCAAGAGTAAATATCTTGTTATAAAGCATATACACATTTAGATCATGTGTGATGTTCTGTTTATTTATTCTATCACTATCTCTCTTTGCTAGGTTTACGAGCATGTTGGAAAACCTGTTGTTCTTGGCGCATTGAACGGGTTTAATGGAACTGTCTTTGCGTACGGTCAGACTGGCTCTGGTAATTTCTTTTTTCAGTATTTCCTTAATAAAAATCAGAGGTCCTAAAATATCAAGAAACCTGACGAAGAATTTTGTGAACTCAGATTTGGAATTATGTATTTATCCTTACATTTGATATTAATGTTGTTATTTTACTTCACAGAAGGCTCACTTGAATTCTTAAAGCTCACGGTCGCTTATAAATTGACCATAGACCTGTAACTGTCTTTTCTTCACTTTTTTATATTATCCCCTCATTAGGAAATGTTGAGCTTGTGCCGAGGGCTTTAGATTTTTAACTGCACTATAAAGTTAATTTGGTTTCCATTGCCCTCTTTTTAATACACTCATAGCTCTTGCCTGTAGCTTTATGTGTCATTGTGAAGATTCATTTTTCAACGATTGCTAACTGTTTTGGCCCTGAATGAAAAAGAGAAAGCGACCTCGAACCACACTGGAATTAACAGCATTTTGGCAAGCTATATTTTACCATGTTTTGTAATGCAATGTATATTCCGTGAAGTGATCACAGGATTTTCTTGTAATCGTCTGGAGTCGGTGTAATATGAAACCTGGCAAAAGCTCTGAACGATTCTATGATGCAGCATTATTTAAGATCGTAAAACTATTGAAACATTGGTCAACACAGCATCTGATCTTTATAAGTTCTACCAATGGAAAGAATAAATCACAGATCTCGGAAGGCAATTCTTGCATATTTCAATATGTTTAATGAAGAGCGTGTTTTTGCAAGAGACAGACTGTTCTTTTGTCTCACTAAAGTGTGCCTATAGAGTTACAAGGTCACTTGTTCTTAACTACGATTCATAACTAAAAGGTGTGTTTTGATGATAAATTTGGCTGATTAGAGTTCAGGGGACAACCCTCTTTAAATTTCAAACTTCACGATTGGTAATGAAAAATGTGTTTTTAAGACATGGTGCCTTATCAAAAATGGCGAGTTCTTAAATTCCGAGGTTCTTCGTTGCGGTAATTTGCTGTAATAGAATTTGCAGTTATATAAACTTGCTATCTTTCATATTAAATATCTGCAGGCAAAACGTAAGGCTTTAAAGTTTTTCTGTTGGAGGAACAAAAAGCCTTTTTTCTGTCAGCAGCTCCCCTTCAATCACTTCCCAGTCAGAATCATTTTGATTCAATCGATTCTGTTCCTTCCTTGATGTATCTCATTCGCCATTACAGGAACAATCTTTATAGTAATCATGCCTAGAGAAAATAACCCAAGATTTGACTTTGCAGGAAAAACTCACAGTCTTATGTCAAATGATGGTATTACTGCAAACATGATAAATAAATTGTTTTCAAAGATTACTCGGGATCGCGATCATACCTGTAAGGTGAGAAGAATATTCTTAAATCTATGAAAAATATTTTTATGTCAATTCGTGAATTCTGTTCACCCTTTTTCTTTCGAGTGCTTTTGAATGCGCAGAATCGTAGCCTCTGTTAAATCCTGGAGAGAGAAAAATTAAATTTTTCGCTACTTTTGGTACCTTCTATTGGTGCATTGCCTGTGTACTAAGGTTTAGGCTGTCAAACGTCACAATTTTGTAAACAATATTTTTGTTGTAAAACCTTTAATGATGGGCATAAATTACTTGGTAGAACAATTGCCTGAATAACTTGGATATTTTGTTTGTCTTTTTGCGTTTGATCCTTGTGGCTGCAATAATATTCCCCTTGAAATGTCGTTATTCGTTTTCTCTTTTTTTCATTGGGTATTTAATCTCCTCTCTTTCAGATAAAATTTGGATACCTGCAAATTTATCAAGAAAAGATGTTTGATTTGCTCAATGAAGACTCGAATCTGAGACTCAACGTGCGAGAGGACCCGTCTACAGGTTGGTTTTTTGTCAGTTATGTGTGAATTCGTTTCAATGTATTTCTGATATATGAAAAACTATTTTCCATTAGCTTCCTTGTATATGTATAAGTTTATCACAAACGCTATATTTACGTTCAGCGTGTATTTTATGTTAATTAAATGTTAATGTTTGCATTAACTATACGTTAACTTTTGTATTTTCTAGAGAAATGTTTTTGTCTATGATGACTTTTTTTCAAGGAATATTAAAAAGCAGTATATATAATTGGCGAAAGGTCCGGGGTAATGAATTTTGAAATGAATTGAAAACGAAGCTAATGGTTAAGAAGGTTTCAGGATCCCTTTAAATTGAGGTTTTATTATGTCACAAAGACTAAATGAAAAACAAACCTAAGAAATACTCGTTTTTTGTTCTCTTCATTAGCATAAAAACTGCAAACAACTTTGAATATGAACATTCCAAGAAAGATTATCACATCTTAACCATTGGAAATACTTTAATTCAATATAGTCATTTTTTCAAACATGGACATAGCGATGTATAGCAATTTTTGTTTCGACGACCCATTTCCTTCCATTCCTGAAAAACAACTGCAAAGTAAATATTTATACTCTTGGAATTCATGCCTGTTGCTAGGTTCCATGAAATAGGCCCTATTGTTTTGAAATCTCACAAGGCATTCCTTGATGGTGTACATAATACCAAGTTTATCCTGTAAGAAAAGGAGTTTTTATCAATTGCACTAATCATAGATAACCAGAAAATAACACATTTGTTCTGTCATAATATTACAAGTGCTGGGAACTGCTATCCTGTATCGAGATTTATTTCTATTATTAAAACAGAAGTTTATTGGTATTGTTTCATTTATATCTCTCTGGTGACAGTTACATTGTCATATCTTGTTTAATCGAATCTTCCCTACCATGTTTTTGCAATGTGCCATGCGAATTAGGACTGGCTACAGCTACACGCTTGTTCAATCAAATGTAGTCATTGCAATCTTGGATGGAAAACACATCCAACCTCATAAAAAACTAGTGAAACAATAGAAGGGGGATTGTAACCATTCAAGGAGCAAAGGAATATTGGTCAGAAAAAACGAAGGAAAGCTAGATAGATAAAGTGTGTGAAAGAGGGTAGAAAAAAGAAAGATAAAACGAAAAATTAAAGTAAAGGAAATAAAGAATAGAGAAAATAATGAGAAAAGAGCAGTGAAGGGCAGTTATGAAATGCACGGAAGCAATTGCATTTCTAGTTTTGTTCCCCTGAACTAGTGCGTCACGTTTAAAATGACATCAAAGTTTATGGTATATTCTGTTTTGCAGCCAACTTAGTGGTTTATCTATAGTTTGTTTCATTTTAGGTATTTACATTGAGAATCTTGCAGAATATGCCTGCCACTCACCACTAGATGTTCTCGAATTGTTGAGAATGGGTCAGAAGAAGCTTATATTTGCCGAAACAAAAATGAACAGAAGGTCTTCAAGGTGATGCTTTTAGTAAATGTTTCCAAGCCTCTGAAAGACTGTCTAGTGGGTAAATGTGGAATCTGTATCTCTATGATGGGAATTCTGAATAACTACGTCCTCTAGGCTGCCATTTGTCATTAATGCCTTTCGCTGTTCTGGTAAAAGATACAGATGGAATCTTAGCAATAGTAACTGTATTGGCCTATGATTAATCATAAACGTCGTTAGCTAGTAATACAAAATCTATTTAATATAGACGTTATGATGTGTAAAGTGACCACGAATGTCCTAAGTTGCTGCTCTTAATTTCACGCCAAACGGGATCGCCAGGCCGCAAGGGCGTCAATCGCTCTGTAATAGCACAGTTTGTAACCAACTCTGTTGTTTGTACTGTTAAAGGTTAATTGAATTTTTCCTCTTTAGTTAACCTCTAGAAGTAGAAAGTTGTAAAACATATTCATTGTAGGATGGGAAATTTCTTTGCTGTCAAATTGTTGCAAGTTGTGGAGGCCGATCGATCTTACTGTATAGTCCATACTTTATCTCCCGAAAATTTATACTTTTACTTAGCTGTTATTACTTTCCCCTTTAACCCTTCGATGATTTCTTATAAAAACCCGCGTTTATTCCAACCCCGGATAGCTCCAACATTGATTATCTTTATCCACTTCCATCACTGCCTTGGAAGTTCGAGTTATCAGGGTCATATTGAATTTTTCTGACCAATAGCTGTTTGGTTAAGCTTGTCAGTTTGTTTTCTTTCAGGTCCCATGCTGTTTGTCAAATTTCAGTTATTCGGTCGAAGAGAAAAGCTGGTAATCAGCAAATTTTATTTTGATTTTTTCAAAAGATTGCATGCACCTGCCATTCCAAACGTGTTCCACATCTTGTCTTGACAATAAGTATATAAAAGACAACTTATTGCTTTGCCTAACTGTGTGCTTTGTAGTGATAACAACGCATTTAAAGCTTGGTAGCTCAGTGCTGGACACGAGGATAGTGCTAAGTCTCTTTTCATATTAAATTTAAATGTTTACGTAGAAAGCCTAACCTGCTACGGCAAATCACTGCCAACGCAGCTCATTAACCAGCAGATGCCGAACATCAAACAACGACATCCACGTCAATGCTGATTGGATTTAGTTTTAAGAAAGTTAAAGGAGCATATGTTGTTTGCCTTGATGTCAACTGAAATTCGTAGTTTGTAGCATCTTGTTTCCTGATGACGTTTTCTGTACACATTAGCATATCTCATGATCTTGAACTGTTATGCCAATTACGAATATGCAGATTATTTTGCAATTAACCATAAAATAATCTACGTCTATTTTTTATGAAGGAGATAGTGAAGAAAATACAAGAAGAGGTCAAAGTGTACTAAGTCCAATAAAAAAGTCCGCGAAAGGGACGAAGAGAACTCAATCTAGTTCAAGTAGAAGGAGGAACTCGCAAAATATAAACAGGTCTGTGAAATTTAGAACGCGTTCGGAAGGACATTTGAAGACAGCAGATTCAGGCGAAATCTGTGTTCCTCAAGTTGATATTGCTGTTGATCGACCAGTCAGTGCTGTTGAGCCGTTGGATATTTTGGATCAAAATGATCAGAGTTTCAATTCAAGCCTGAGCATTTTCGATGACAGCTTCACAAGTTCACCCGATGTAAGCCATCTTGCTTATATATATTGTATTTGTGTAATGGTATCGAGCGTTTATACTAGGCCTTAAAAGACCTGGTGCTTGTGTGTAGGGTTGTTCAAAGGGGACAAGGAAAGAATTTCAAGAAGCATGGACTGTGGATAAAAAGAAGAGAGGAAGAGTGAGATTGTGAAAGGAGGCAGAAAAAATTAGGGAAGTAAAAGGAAGAAGGGGGAAAGGAAATGACCAATAAGAAATTTAGATAATAGAAAATGACTGAACTGAGGATTTAAAGTGGAAATATGAGTGGATGAAAAGAATGAAGAAAAGGTGGGAATGCTGAAAGGGGAAGAGAAAGGGTAAAGGAAAGAAAGGAAGAGCGGGCAAGGAAGTGACTGAAAAGAAGTCAAGTTGAACAGACAGGAAAAAGTTTTTGAGAAGGGGAAAAAGTGGACCTTCCTTTGAAGAATTGTTATTTGTAACCCTATGAGATCATCACCTTGTTGGAGATACTCTAATAAATGTTTTCCATATTAAAGAGGTACCCTAAGTTAAACATATTTAGCTACAGTTGTCTGATATAATTTTCTTATATATCCTAGTATAATGATGAAGATGATTCCATTACCTCACTGGATAAGGACGTCCTGCTAAAAGGGAAGATTAATATGTGAGTAGTTTAGATATGAATTGGTTTTCAGATTGCGTCTTGAAATACTATCGAAACGCTTGTTGATGCTTATACATTCCTGTATAAAACTTGATATTATGAAGTTCTTGTTAGTGGAGGTCATGATTATAGATAGACAGTGGTCACTACAAAAGATTGCAAATGGTCACTACATAGACAATGGTCGCTATAATTCCTTTAAAGTATCTAGAAGCCTTTTGCCTTGCAAACAACAATCAACATGAGTTTTTTTGCCGTTATAATAATAATAATAATAGTAATTCATTTATTTACAGTAAGCGTTCTTTACAGTAGTAGCTAAAACGATAAGCTAATTAAAGCCTACTATTTACAGGAATAAAAATGATAATATTATACAGTGATATAAAAGCCATTTAAAGAAATAAATTAAAATACCTAGGATTTAATTAGATAAATAGTTGAAAATATTAATGTTAGACAATTCATGTCAAGAACCCGACCTGTGCTCCAAAGGTTCTACATAGCCTGCAGCTGCAATTATCCTTCCCCACGTTGGAAAAGGCACGTCTTATAACGCAGACAGGCTCTACAATCACTCCCTCTTTTTTACTAATAGAATATATTTTACTCGTATCAGCGGTTTATTTTGTCCTGAACCTTAACTGGACATTGGAACCTCCTCTTTATAATGAAAGGTTCTCCATTTGTTGTACTCCCTTTTATACATTGCCATGTTTTCTTTGCACTGAAAAGCTTAAATCAAAGTAGTTTTACCAATCTGAACTGAGCTTAAAAATTCCTAAAAGTCAGATTGAAATAGCAAGTGATTTAGAAATCAATTAGAACTTTAATTACATAATGACATAGATCTGAATGTAACCGATCTATTTTCTAAAATTTGGATAATATTTTCCGAATTTCAGGTTTTCCTCGAATGCATATCAGACCCTGTTTTTATATCGTTGATATTTATTTAATCTATGTTTTGTAACAGCTGTGATCTTGCTGGAAGTGAAAGAATCAAGCTAACAGGGGTTGAGGGCGAGAGGCTTAACGAGGCACAACACATTAACCTGTCTCTGCTTGAACTTGGGTAGGTAAACCTAGAAAAAACATTGAAGTGTTTATTTTTTAAATGGCTTTGAAAAAAACAAACATTTAGTAAACTAAAGCTTTTCGTCTGACACAGAAATGTATATACCCAGTTGTGGATCGAAATAGGCCAATCAGAAACACGAGCACATGGCTGTAAAGGTTGACCAATCAGTGCCGCTTGCCTATTAGAATTATAGAGAGTATATAGAGAATTAGAAGAGGGTATATATATTTCTTAGCGTAGAGTTTTCGATCTATGTTCTGACGTTTTAAACTCTGAAGAGTGTCAGACGAAAAGCTTTAGTTTACTAAATGTTTCCTTTTTCAAAGCCATTTACAAGTTTTGTACCACCAAAAAATTGTTTGTTTATTTTTTGTGCCAAGACCCCTCAGTTCAGCTCCGCAGCTTATTTTACTTGATATTGTATTGCATAGAGTGTGAAGTGTTTTAATATGACTTACACACTACTTAATTCATATAGTGTTTAATTATACCAACAATTGAACCTACGACAAGCAACACTAAATAACAATAAGAAGGGTTTTTCACAAAAGCGTCAGAACCATAAAACTCTAACAATCAGCATATTCAAATTCCAATATCAGTTTATGTATCAATCTCACATTTTAATGGGATTCTCCTTCTGTTTGTTGAGTTTGTTTTCGTCGTTTCCCTCATAACGTGCTTGCTGCATTGTTTTGTTGCATTTATACTATACTGGTATTGTTTACATAGAAATACTTAATTGGTTCATCCAAAAAATCATGTGTAGACCTTATCTTAGATCTTTTGTCATCGTTGAAGGATATGTTGTGATCAAGGTAATTTTTTTAAAAGTAAAGTTCGTTCTACAACACTTATCATTAATCTTAGCAAAAATTTATAAAGAGATTTAATGTTTAGGATTCATATCTTGTTTGTATTGCTATCAATTTCGATAATATTTTCACTTCATCCTAGGAATGTGATCGCAGCCTTAGCTGAAGGCAACAGGACCTACGTTCCCTATCGGAATTCGCTTCTGACTCGACTGTTACAAGACAGCCTCGGCGGAAATTGTAAAACAACATTTTTGGTAGGTCTCCTTTTGTAATAGTGCTGAACCGTGAATTTGGTATATCCTCGCGTGTTTTGGGAATCTTATATCTTGACCCTATTTTCAAACTGCAAAGTAAAGCTGTTAGAGCAATTTCACATGAAAAGGCCTCTTCCCATTCAACACCGATCTTTAGAAATCTGAAGCTTTTCAGACTTCATGACTTATTTAAACTCCGGTTATTAATATTTGTTTTTGAGTCAATAAACAAACTAACGCCGAGTTGCTTTAAAAATTTCTTCCCACTAAATATTTCAGTCCATCACTATGAAACAAGGCAGTCTTTCCGAGGAGATATCTATCTAGATAAAAAAAATATGCTTCAATTTGGCTTAAAGGCAATCTGTCTCGTTGTGGATTGGTTAACGAGAACAATAGCTGGAGCAATAGCCTAAACACGATTCCAGCGCTCCGCCATATTTTTTACAATGCGATAAATTAAAGGGGGACTGGAAACAATAAAAAATCCCTTCGTTCTCATAATCAATCAACGTCGCGACAGATTGCCTTTAAAGTCCGTTCGATATATGGGAGCAAAACTCTGGAACGACCTATCAGCTGACATTCGAGACTCTACCTCAAGATTTTTATTTAAAAAGAATCTAAAAAATCACTTGCTAAATGCTATCTGAATGCCTAAATGAAATTTTTATTCGATATATTTAACAAATTTTATTATTTAAGCTAGCAATTTGACATCGCCTTTGTTTGACATGACAAACCTTTCACGCTTAATGTGACCATCAGGCGACTTTAGTGGTTATGTACAGCGCTGCCTATACTGCATTGAGCGCTATATGACTGATCGTTTAACATACATTTGTTATCCTGTAATGACCTATATTGTCATCATCGTGTGTCTAAAATAAACAGCTGTCTCATCACTGAAAATCTAGCCCTTCTTTCCTAAAGATCTTTGACATTGTGTCCAAAATACATGTGTCAGTCGAAAGCAGTCATTCGCGGTGTTTTTGTTTGAATTCCGTCGTTTGCTAGAGACAAGCTACTATTGTATTTCTTCTATTCACAGCTTTGTGTTTCGCAAGGACTTCATTATTTCAACGAGACGAAGAGTACCCTTGATTTTGGTCAAAGAGCCTTGAAAGTTAAGACCATGCCAAGAGTCAATGTCGAGGTCAGAACTCTTCTTTATAGTTATAAAAAAATATCCGTTAGTTAGATATTAGGTATCCTAGCACCATGGATAGCATGTTGCTTCATCAATCAACTCACGGCTGTTGAGGTATAGAAGTATTTTCTCTTTTCTTCCGGTAGCCAATCAGGACAGTCCTTTTTGACATCATATCCAATCAGAATCTTTCATAACAACTCCCTCAGCGCTACCAAAATCCTATGCCTTGATATTTATCATCTCCTTTGACAATGTTTTTAATTTATGCAAAAATCACTTTGATTTCATGTGAAGTAATTAGTCCTTTGCTTTCAAGGTTGATTATAAAATGCTTGCTGACGATTTGAAGGTGAAGCTGCACGAACAAGGTGGGTCTTAAACCAGATTTTCGCTAGCAGATCTTACATAGACATAATACATTGTGCAACGGCCACTGAAGGGATTCCACTTCACATTAGTTTAGAGACCTAGAGTCATCCGCTAAATCTCGTATTTGCTTTTTTTACTTCTATGTATATACTCTTTGTACCTATTGTATGTATTGGCTTAAAACGTTATTCCAGCCCTCCCTGGCTATATGTTCTGTGGCCCCTGACTTTGTGGTTTTGAAATTTTGTAGCATAAAGATGTGTTTTTAGGTACTAGAAATTTATTTGCGTTATTTGAAGTTAGCATGTTGAGTTAGTTTATCATTTGCTACAATCAGTGGTACTTGGGAAGGCGTATTTTAGATTTTAAAAAATAATTAAAGAGGAAGGCTCTAAACATGTTATGAAAAGATAAGGAGATCAATTTCTCATGACAGAAGTAGTTCTTTCTCATATTTTCTCTTTCGTTTGTTCTTCTGTTGTGGCTTGATTGGCCAAGTACAAGCCAATCACTTTTCGTCTTTTTCCCTGTTCGTGTTACCCGATCCTAATATGAATCTTTGATTTTTACTTGTCTTTTAGAGAAGAATGTTTAAAAATCGGACATAAAAGCCTATTTTCATAGCAAAATTTCTGTGAAAATAATATGCAATCATTTTCTCTTTTACCAGAAAAATCGTATTCTTTGTTGAAAGCTGAGTATGAAAGGCTGGCGTCGAAGGAAAATTGCAATATGAAAACAGATGCAGGAGATCTGGTATGTAATTTTTGGTATTTTTCAATATGCTGGGATAAAATTAGTTAGGACGCAATCTAGGAAGACGCAATTCAAGGCAGGCGTGTGCGTTTATTACGGTGTTAACGAATGACATGTCGATCAAGCATTTTCTTGGAATTACGGTGCTACATATTTTCGTAAAGTATATTTATATCGCCCTCTTCTACCGCAGCAATATTGTCTGACAAATTTGATTAGTTTCAATTTAACATGCTTAATCTTGTCAGACAGCTATGTTTATAAGCTCTTTTGCGAACGTTTTTAATAAGAAAGAATTGAGTTTCTTTTTTTAGTGTAATCCCCTGAATATCTCATGCTCGGAGTTGTTTTGATTTTAAACGGGAACAACATCACCCCCATCTACCAACAAGATAATTGGAAGACCCATTACTGACCGTTAGCCCCTTGAAGTCAGGGTAGCGATACGTCTTTTGATTCTCGACAAGTTTTTGTATCCTCGACAGAGGCGAGAATCTTACCCTTGATTGATCTAATATCTTTTTTTATATTTTATTTACAAATTTTTTTTTTACAAAACATACACATATTTACCAGACGATACCACAGGGAGCATGGGAATACATAGCAACCCTGTGGTAAATTACATTCAAAATATAAAACTAAATTAACTACATTATTTAAAGATGCAAAGTGAACGAAATGATCTAATATTCTATGCAGCATCATCATGTTACGAGCTATAAATTCGCCGTTAAGAGCTTCAACATGTGTATGTTTAAAGAGCCTTTTAACTAGGATAAGAAGTAAACTTGCAAGCAATTATTCACGCTTTGAGCTGGCCTGTAATGTGTTTTTTGTTTTTCTATATCCAGTTCTTTGTATAATTGCTTTTCCTGGTCGTATTCTGGCTTAACCCTTTTGTCTGTCAATTTCCTCTGTATTTTCTGAGCTTAAATCCACCAAATTTCGTTGGATTTACCTTCAAAGTCAGCCATAGACCGACATACAACTTTTTGTTTCTGGAGGGGAAGCAACCTTGATAAATTATTAAGCCACTGAAATTTTACAGTGGTCTTTTAGCTCGTGATTTGTGTTCGTGTGAATCAAGGAAAAGAGAAATCTCAAATGATTCATTCAATTTTCAAACTTCTCGTCTGCACAGTTCATATTATTTGATCAAACTCAACAACAGCATAGCGTCATGAATTGGCAAACTTCCATAAAATAAACTTATGTAAACGAATTATGAACGGCTAAATCAGCCGCTTAAAACCACACTCTAGCTCTTTCGACTAGGTTGACGACTTTTCCATTTTTCCATTCTGTCAAATTTTCTTTGGCTGTGGGGGCTTATGTCTCCGTCCTTTGAACTTACGGCTTTGAATTTTAGGCCGTATAGCCATGTAGCTTATTGTGTATGTTCTGGTAAAATAAAATGAAGTAAATTTGCTATTCTGCTATAAGGTCGAAGTGCCGTCTTCATTGGATGAAAATGATGGTACGAGCTTCCACTGCCAGTCCATGGAAAATTGCAAAGAAAAAGCGAAATCGATTTTAATGGCGCAGCTAATGTCTTTGCAGCTCGTATATAGCATTAAAGACATTGCCGATATGGATCCGGCAACTTTTCCTGTTGAGCCTGACCCGGATCATAACAGAAATACTACCGGCTTAGGCCGTTTAAAGAGCTCTGAACAGTCCTTGTTATCAGAAACAGAGAGGAGCGGTGGCCTCACCTCAACATTCGCCCGCACCTCGTCTTCATCTCCATCTGGATACGAGACTGCATCACCTCGTAGTAGCCAGGATGATGTCCGTGGCAACCAGGATGACGACACTGCTACGTCTGCGAAAGAAAACTGGCCGCAATCATCAAAGGAACCTTGTTCTTTGTCGAACACGTGTAGTCCTCTTCTAAATAAACTAAGAGCACCATATTCTCCAAGACGTAGCTGTATCCTGGAGAATCTTTTCGAAACGCAACTCTTTGGTGTCAATTTGGAGAGTGTTTTACAATTATCCGCCTTTACTAAAACTGTCAATGAACTGAAAAAGGAATTCAAACAGCTAAAAAGCTCGATCGATAAAGATCTTGGCCAGTTTTGTACCGACGTCTTTCATATTTCCGAGCCACTGAATACTTCAGGTAAGTTCTCTTTGACCTTTAGTACCTCATCATTTCACGGCAAGCCAATAGACATTTTTTTATCTTATACTATGCATGTGTTTTTCTGTTCTACTGAGGGACTGGCCACATTCTCCTGAAATCAACATTTGTGCATGAGAACGAGATTTTAAATTTTATATAATGATCTTACTGCCCATAGAAGGAAAAACATGTCGAATTCGAAGCAGGCAACCATACCGTTCCAATGATTTTGCGAGGCAGGTTTAAGGTTGTTTTAAAGTACCATCTCATGGATGGAAAAAGAGTTCTTCTCAGCCTGTTGATCATCTTCTCTGCAAAAAACAGCTTTTGGTTCATTTCACCTTCCCAACGCTGTTTTCCTAACTGCTTACTAATACAAAACTCGACTATGGGGCTTCTCAAAACTACAACTAACAGGCGATCAGAGGTACCGAGTTAAGGGTCAAACTCTAAGGGACAATGATTTTATTCGTGATAACGTTTGCGATTCTTGATGTGTTATTTCAACAATATTTAATTCTAGGTCATGAGGTTGATTGTAGAAATATCTGTGCCGTGCTGATGCAGAAGCTCAACGATCCGACGACAGCCGATGCAGTTTCACCTGATGTCCTTGATCAACTTTCAAACTTGATAATGGTTGAACAAACCCTCACAGGATGTCTTTTCGCATTAAAGGGACGCAGTGATGTAAGAAGTTCAAAACTTACACCTATGATGTATCCATTGCAGTTTTTACACTGAACAGTTTTTGGGAACTAAAGTTTCCCTGTTTAACACCTTTCAATGTAGAGACAACAAAAATATCTCACTGCTCATATTCAATTTACAGCATCATTCTGAGTATAACTCCAGACTTCAATCTACGAAATTGATTTTGTGACAAGATAGTGTTTGATGATTTGACCGCAGTGATCTTTCCGGGTTGAACTTTTCACCTTCAACCTCGACTCAGGGTCTAAACTCTTAGATAATTTCAACTTTATTTTGTCAAAGAATGTTACAAGCGCTTACATCATGGAAACCTGTGCGAAGACTAAAATTATGGTCCCCAGCACGAATCTGAAGTAAAAAACAAACAGAAACTTGAAGCCTAGTCCTAAAATATATACCCATTGAATAGCGGCCTCAACGCACGCAGCGATCTGTTTTTCTGCTAGTTGGATAGATGTAAAATTGAATTCCGATGGATTAAATGAAGAGACAAGAATGAAGTTTTCCATGGATGTTGCTAAGAAATGAAACTTTAATACCCGGAGTTTGACGCTCCTGCCACGGAATGATCCAATTTGATAATAATCTTGTAAAGATAGAATGTTTATCAGCAAGTGTGTTAAAAAGTAGACGTGATTTCCTACGAAAATAACATCATCTCCTTTCTATGTTTTCCAGACCACTAGACATTCGATGTTACGTCAAAGTCAAAATCTGCACGAGTCTAGTGTGGCAAAGTGCTCAGCATCTGATATCGCTGTATCACAGGAGAATAGCTCAGTGACGTCACCACCCGAACAGCCGATAGAGATTGCGAAGAAATCGAAGAAGAAATCTCGTTTACAGCGATTCATGTGCTTGCCTTTAAGAAAATCTCCTCATGTCAAATAAGGCTTTTAAATAACTTTGTATAAACGATTGTGACTGTGACATAGGCACACTTCAGGGTAGGAGATGAGAAGTTCTCTTTATTCATGGCCATTATCGACTTTTTATCAATTCTGAGATTAAATTTGAAGGGGGCAGTGAATTGGAGTGTGTTTTATGTCATGAAAAGGGTGTAGTCCCCACAATTTGCACCATTTGTCCAACTTT